TACGAAGCCTCTGGTGCTGCTGCGGTTGCTGTCGCATGTCTAGTGGCTGCAGCTCTTGTTGTGCCCCTGGCTGCTGCCACCCCTGCTGCCACCCCTTCTGGGGTTTTGGCGGGTGTGGCGGTGGCTTGGCGGGGCGGGCCGGGCGGGGGGGCGGCGGAGGCGGGTTCAGCCGTACAATCCTGCGTTGCGAGAGCGCTGACGACAGGACGTCCGTCACCACGTTGACATCCCCGAAGGGAATGCTGCCGATCGCCCTGGGGTGGCGATGGCATGGGGAGTGGTGTGGAAAGGGCCAGGACTATGATCCAGAAGGTGGGTGAATTTCATTGGGATTGCTTCAATCCCACTTCCGCCTTCTCCAATTTCCCGCCTCTACCCGCTACCCGTCTAGGCCCTCCGCCCATCCGCCGGTTTTAAAGCCTCCCACCTGCCCAGTCATCATAGTTGGATTTCGCTTACCCAACCTCCCGTTCAACCCACCTGCCCGTTTCAATGCCGTCAGCAGCAGCTCCCCTCCGGTCGGTGGCAGTTGCGAAGTTAAAGGACTGCTGCGTGGCTCCTCCGAAGCTGTTCGTGGCGGCGAAGGAGACGCCGAAAGGGAAGGCAGCACCTCGGAAGGTGGAGGCGAGGGCGGAGGTGGCGGAGGTGTCTGGAGGGGAGGAAGGGGATCAGGTGCAGGGGCAGGAGGAGAGTGTGGAGGGGTAGGGCGGATGTCCGGGAGGCGTCTGACCAGGTGCAAGGCGACACCCTGGGCTCTCCCTTTCCCGCATGTCAACGCAATCACACACAACTCACCCCGCCGCCTCCTGTCCCCATTGCTTTGTCCTGGCCTGTGGCTTCCTGTGGTTTGGTCTGTCCTTGACTCCCACTCCTACCCCTCGTCAGTTGCCTCGTCAGTTACCTCATTTTTCCCAACCCTGTCTAGCATAAAGCATCCAGCACCAGCCACCACTCACTCCTTCCGGTTGTCCGCTGCTGCTGCGCCAGTGCAAGCCCCAGCAGCCCAACTATCTCAAAGTCGTTGGGCAGGTCGGTGGTGGGTCGCGGGACGGGCAGCGTGGTCGCGCCGAAGGCGAGCTGAGGGGAAGCAAAGGTGGAAAAGGGGAGGCGAGATAGGGCCGGGGGTAGGGGGGAGGGCATCCGGGAGGGGTTGGGAATGTGCATGACAACGCAAACGAGGAGGGGGGAGGCGGCGCTCAATGGGTGGCTGCCCTCGTACCTGCAGTAGCCTGCGAGTTGCCATACTGCCTACGTGACTGAGATCGGCATCTGTACGGCGAGCCTCTGTATGCCCCCTTTCTACTGCTGCTGTGCTTCCTATCTGCATTTCTGCTGCATTTCGAGTAGTAAGAGACCCACGGGTCGCCCCCGCTCCTGCAGCTGCCACCGCCGCTAGCGTCCCCTGAGCCGCCGCAGCTGCAGGAGATCCCGGTTGTGCCACCGCCGCCACCGCAGCAGCCGCCACCACCACTGCTACGATAGCTGCGCCCTCCGCTTCTGTGCCCTCTTCTACTTCCACATTTTCACCTCCATGCTGTTCCGCATCCCACCTAGGCCAACCCTCATCCGCTCCCTCCTGCGGCCCCTCCTGCGGCCCCTCCTCGTTCTCCTTCTCTTGCTGCTGCACCTCCACTGACTCTGCTGCCGCCTTTTCCCTGCGTCCCAATTCCCGTCGTATGCCCCATTCTTTCCGTTGTACTCCTCCTCCTTGCCGTACAGCTGCCTCTTTCTCCCCCTGCTCCGCCGCCGCCTCCACCTCCGCTGGTCCAGCAGGGGCGGCTACAAACCCTCCTCTAAAGCCACCACCACCAACAACACCGCCCAACCTAACCTTCTCATTACCGCATTCCCCTCTGCCGGTTCCGCCGCAGGGTTTCATCCCACGTTGATCACCCCCATTACCACTACCGCCGCTTCCATCTTCGTGACCTCCTCCAACCTCACCTACCTCCTCATCTCCGCGATCTGCACCCCCTTCATCCCCCCGACCACCCGGCCCCAGCAACGACGCCAGCAGCCCCCCCGGCCGCAAACAGTGCCCGTACAACGTCGTAATGCGGGCTGCCGCCGTCTGCTGCTGGGACGACGAAGACGTCAGCAACAGCAGCTGCGAGGGTGAGAAGGGTGAGGAGGGTGTACGGCCATCGTACGGCAATGCAGCCACCTCCACCGCCCAGGCGAGCAGGTCGGTGCAGGGGGCGGGGCGCATGTGGAGGCAGGTGGGGAAAGGCTGCTGGGGGTGCTGCTTTGTGTGCTGCTGGGAATGGATCTGCTGCAGGTGCTGGGGTTGCGCGTAGGGGTGTTGTTGCTCATCTTCTGCGCCCCCCGGTTGCTGGTGCTGTGACTGGTGTTGCTCCTGCTGTTGCTGTTGTTGCTGCTGCTGCTGCTGAGATTGGTCCGGTTGCGGCTCCTGCCTCCGCTGCTGCTGTCGGGTCGGCGAGAGCACCCAGATCCGCACCTCATCATGGAGCAGTAACGTGGCCGGGGTCGGGGCCGGGGCAGGCAGGAATTGCGGGCCGCTGCTGATCCTGGTCATGTTACTGCTGCCCGCCTCTTGCTTCCCTCCTTCCCACAGCGCCTCCTCTCCTTCCCACAGCGCCTCCTCTCCTTCCTTCTCCCCCACTTGCTGGTGTGGCGGCTGCTGCGGACGCTGCGGCAGCGGCATTAGCGGGTGCTGCTGCTGCTGCGGTGACGGATGCTGCTGCTGCTCCTGCTCCGCCGCGCCGTGCGTGTGAGTGTGCGCGTGCAGGCCAAGAGGTCGGCCCAGCAGCAGCTGATCATGAGGGGCAGTCGTGGGGTCGGAAGGGCGGGGGAGGTGATGCAGGGGGCGTTGCAGCTAGTTAGAGCTAGGTATGAACGGGTGGGTTAGTTGCAGCAGGATGCCCCCCGCTCAGCTCAGCATGCGGGCACATGGGCGCTGTAACCCTCAGCAACGAAAGGTCGCAGAGGGGTTAGGCGACATGACCCACCGGCACAGGCTGCCCGGTAACAGCCCTCCTCACCTTATTACCTACCTCCTCCCATACATTCCTAAGCACTTCAACCCTTACGCACACGTACCTCCAAACTGTGTAGCAGCTGCAGTGGAAGGTTCATCGGCGCCCGCAGCTCTGACTGGGGCTGCTGCCGACCTGCTGCTCCGCCGCCGCCTTCTTCTACCCCTTCCTCTGCCTGCTCAGCCGACCCAGGCATCGTAACCGCACTCCGCTCGGTTTCCTCCTCCCGGTGCACTGCTAGTGCCACCGCCTTCGCTGCTGCTGCTGCTGCTGCTGCTGCTGCTGCTTCTGGCTCTCCTAACTCCGGGGCGTTCACTGCATCCATGTACAGCTGCTTCCCTTGCTGCAGCTGCGGGCCCCCTCGCTGGTGCTGCTGCTGGTGAGGTGGTTGCATGAGCGCTGCTGCTGCTGCCGGATGGCTCACATGTACCTCATAAGCCGCTGCCTCCACCGCAGGCTTATCCAGCCGCACATACACCGCTCCCGCCCCTGCCCCAGCGTCACCTGCTTGCCCTGCGGGTGCTGCGGATGCTGGGACGGTTGCCATGGTGCATGAAGGGACGAGCAGCAGCAGCAGCAGCAGATGGAGGGGAAGGGCTAGGAGGAGCGGCGCTAGGAAGAGGCATGCGGGGCGTCTAACGAGGCGGGGTGCGCTAGCCGCCGCATGACGCGGGGAGGAGCGGGAGGTCCTGGTGGGAGGCCGGCTGCGAGTAGGGCATGTGGGTTCGCCCGACATGGGCGGGCTGCTGGTGAGGATGAGGGCCGGTAGATATGTGTGGGATGCGGGGGTGTGTGGAGCGGTTGTCTGCGGTGAAGGACACCTGGCCCCTCCCTGGGAAGCAATGCCAACAAGGGTGGCTAGGAAGGAGGTGGTGGAGGCGGATAGAGGAACGTCACGCTTGGTGGCCGCTTATTGGTGGCAGTGTCCTTAGAGAAACACTGCCACGGATAAGTGTCTCGGTCTCTGTCGTCCGCTGGTGCTGGTGACGGTAGTGGGCGGGTAAGGACTCTCAGCGGGCAGCGTGAGGTGTTGTGGTAATTGCGACAAACGAGCTGCCGCTACTGTTGCTGCTACTGTGCTACCCGATGCGACGGTATTTAGACGGAGGTGCGTCTGTCTGCCTGCCTGCCTTTCTGGTGTGATGTGATGATGCGGGTCGGGTTCCTGGCTTTGAATCGAGGAAAGGCCTATGTGTCAGGCGCAGATACAGGATACGGTTCCTCCCATGGACGCCTAACCTTCCTTTCCCGCCGTATATGGCCTGCTTCGCACCTAGCACGTTCGTTTTGTTATGGTTGTATTATCACTAAGTTCGAGACCGCAGGGGACACTGGCGCTGCCCTCATGCCCGGCGGGCATACCGATGTAACATGGACTTGCACTATTGGCAGGAGCTATGTACGACAAACCGCCCATGGGAGCTCAGTGCAGTTCCATCAAAACTAGGACAGATGTGGCATTCAAGCCAGTATGGGGTAGGCAACGGTTTCCAACGGCATTGCAGAAGGACACGCAGGACTGAGGACATGTGCTGATAGGTCCATCCCAGACCGCAAAAACGCAGTCGCGTGTCAGCGATGCAGTAACATCTTCGGGGTTCCAATCCAGGGTCATATAGAGAGTAAGGTGCCGGTGCACAATGAAAGGTTGTCGGGTTGACCAATGGTTGTTGCGACCAACTGGTCGACGGCCAAGACAAAGAATTATACTCCTCCATTGTGTATGCAGTAGCGCAGATGCCCGTTAAGTGTATGGCAGCATATGCAACCCAGGACGGCGAATCGTGACCTGAATGGCCTTTGCAAGTAAAACTCAACTGGCAGCATAAGCCTCCAGTTCACTGTGCGTGACGCGACCAATCTTGTGTAGCTATTATATTTTAAAATGTCCCCGTGATCGCAACTGGCTGCGCAGTTCTGGCGAAGGTCAGTACAGGCAGTACAGTTAACTGCTGCAGACTGGCAGTTAAATTGGTGCGCAAAGTTCCTACTCAGACAATACAACGTTGCGTATATTGAACATAATGAGCTTTATAATATCTATCAGAAGCTACTACCGGTACCCAATCAACATGGCGCTACTCCTCGCCTTCCTTGCCGCCGTCATAGCTTTGGCTTCTGCGCAAAGCAATATGGACTACAAGCACGGCCCGTCCATTGTGCGTAAAAGCCGTGATCAGTTTAGAAAGGATGCCCATGTGCCATGGCTGCCCCATGAGTGTCATGGAATCTGCTCTTAGACCCGACTTCAAGACGCCCGACATCGACTTAGACTTATGTTTCATGGACCCTTGCGTCTTGCTGCCAGGTTCGCTTCCTTGGCAAGTCTCCCAACTTCCAAGTTTACCCCAACGTCAGCCTACCAAGCTATCTTCAACTGCGTTTCTCGAAATTTGAAGAGCGGGACCCTTCTGGGCAGAAGGTGCAAGGGCACAGTATCACTAGCCTGGCGTCGGCAGGTACTCTCCTTGCGCAACACCTGTTCTGCTGACAGCTCTGCTGCTAACCTGCTGGTAGCACGGAATCTCTTGTGCCCTTTCTGACCCCTTCTCCCAACCTATGTAATTACCGGTACCTTGCCCCTTCCACCCCATCCCCGCAGACCCAGTATGGACCTCTGGCAACATCACCCTGTCTGACGGCACCAACGTCTCCTATGTTACCATGACCTTGGACCCAACTACCCGCAACGGATTCCAGCTCTCCTGCCCAACCACCGGCAACGGTAACGGCAACGGTAACGGCAATGGGAACGGCAACAACGGCGGTCGTCGCTTGCTTCAGGACTCCGCATCGCTCTCAGCGGCGTCCCCTCGCCGGCGCCTGCTTGCAACATCCGGCCAGCCCCTGGTCAACGTGACCCTCTTCTTTGGATTCGACAAGGATACGACGTTTCCTTACGGCTTCAACAAGACGATTTCCGTATCCAAGGGCGGCCTTAAGTTCAACGTGCAGTACTCGAACTGGTGAGTTGGAAGGTGTGCATGCTGCGAGGGGGTCGGGAGGCGGGAGTCCCTTTGGGTTTCATGGACATGTCATGACCCAAATGCTGTAACCCACATGTCTAAGCTTGCATGTCCCCTATCGCTACCGACCGCTTCCGTTGCGCCCTTTCCAAACCGCCCACTCCACCAATTGTGCAACAACCCTGACCCTTATGCTGCCCCCTCCAACCCCTCCCCTCAGGCCCTTTTGCGCTGACAACAATACGCTGGGGATGGAGATCGACCTGCTACTCAAGGGGGATGCGGCAGCACAAGCCAACGTGTCGACAGGTGGGTGTGATGCAAGCCATCAAGGTGGATGGCGCATGGCGGTTGCAATCATAGGACCCGACCCAAATCCTGACCAATGGGGTTTTGCTGGACAGGGGGAATGCACGCTACACGTACTATGCCAATGGCTGCCGCATAAACTGCGAAACAATGCTTGCTTATTGCGTTCCACGTCTGTGACTCATAATCTGGTTTGACATCCTGACGGTTGTGTTCGCATCTTTACCATGCATGCCCGCCTCTTCCCTAACCATCTGCCATCTCCCCGCCCGCCTTCTGCCCCCATACAGCCGCTGATGGCACAAAGACGCTCTCCATCTCTCTGGGCCACAACACCGCCTCCAACATCACCTTTGCCAACTACGCTTACGAGGCGGCTGACGGCAACCGCACCCTGCCCGTCTCGGTCAGTCTGAGCGCCTCGAACAGCAGCGGCAGCAGCACTGTCACGCTGAAGCTGCCCAACCCAACTCCCAACACCAGCGTGTACTATGATCCCACGGTCACCACAGGGGCGGACACCACGCCGTCCTCGTACGGCGGGGTGGGGTTGCGGTCGAGTGTGTGGGTGGCTGCGTTGACGGCGCTGCTGAGTGCCCTGATGATGCGGTTCTAGTGTTTTAGGGTGTTGGATTTAAGGGTGTAAGGAAGAGTAAGTAGGGTAAGGATTGGCGGTGGGTTGGGTAAGGATGCGTGAAGCGTGCGGGTGCGAAGAGGGGATCTGCGGAAACGCAGAGCCTAGCTGTTACGACGGCGGTGGATGATCGGTGCACAGGTAGACGTACTGGTAATTTGCTAATTTGCCGTGTTTGAATAAAGCGTGCGGCGCGATCTGGGTTGGAGTATATAGGGTTAAATGTATTCTTAATATGATGGTCTAAATGGAAATAGACGACTAGTAGCAGCATGTTGGCAGCTTGCGTTACTCGGCAGGTTTAGCGTGCGTGAGGCGTTATATAGTGCTGTCAGCGTTTGCAACATTAACGTTTCTTCTTTAGTCGGCTTAATCATTGTGGCTGGATAATGCGCTGCGACCTAAAAATTCATTGCGCGCTGCCAGATTGTTTGCAGCCGTCTTCTTTATGACCATTTTGCTCTTCCCGTGTGTATTAATGACCGGGTCTTCATTATTTCCCCCTCGTCCGTCCCATGGGGCCACACATTATTCATCCTCCGGGGTAAAAGTACATATCTTCGTGCGCGTGGCTAGGCAAGGGCTATAAATGCTTATGTAAAGGTTTGATAGCAGCGGGAGACATATGGTAGTGGCATGAGAGGTCTCACTTAGTGTGAACTGCGTACGTGTGTGCCGTTTCCACTTGCTGTCTGTAACATCCATCGTGATTATGGCGGAAGCGTAATTCACAAAGTGAATGCTAGGCGGTACTGATAAGTTGAGCTCTAGCTCAAGATAATGTACCTTCGAAGCAAGACAACTGGACCGCCACCGTATCCTGCATTATCAATGTGTGCTTATATGGCAGACCCATGGGTCAGCCGGCCACTAACCACCACACAGTAGGAGTTCACCCCCCACGCGGACAAAACGCGGAAGCAGAAGCGGGGAAATGGGGAAAAGAAGGAGAAAGACCATGCTGCGAACGAAGGCCTGGGAAAGAGGAGTGTGCTGAGAGTGGTGCAGCGTGAGGAACGCATGACGGTGGAGGAAATGAGGCGAGTGGGGGAATGACAGAGGGTGACGGGAATGAGGTAAGGGAGTTAACTTGGTGCAAAATGCCCATTACAGGAGAGAGGCGGGCGCGAGATGGGGGCAAGGAGGGGGGGTAGTAACTCCAGCACTAGGCGGGGCGGCAGCGAACAATTGATGCCCAACACAACCGGATCGGCTTGGGAGCTGTGCACATGCTCATGCGCTTCAGCTCCATGACGGAAGTAGGACACGGGCACGGGGCATGCTTGCTCTTTCGTCTTGAAAGGTGCGGCTGGTGGTGTACGATGGGTGTCCACGTATGTTTGCTAGTGTACTGCGCTTGAGCGCGATGCAACCCCATGATGCCTTATTGCCGCAATGCACCTGTGCTGCCGGTAATGGTCAGGTTAGCGGTGTGCCAGGGTATGCAGGGGTCAGCTCTTTCCTCTACGTGGTGCAGGGGCGTCCCCTGGGTATGCTCGAACTGTTGCCCTGGAATAGCCCATTGTACGACAACTGGCGTGCGGCGCTGACATCCTAATACCGGTACATCTTGCCATCTGCCTGCAAAATTGAAGGTGACAGATCATCTGCCAACTTGGACAAACCGCCTCATTTACCGATTTACACAACCCTTTCCTCTGCATGGCGTGCGCCATTTCCACACATTAGTTAATCCTCGTCCCTACCTATACAAAACGCCAACATGAAAAGCCGAACAAAATATTACAAAAAACCAGAACCAGAGGTTGAAAACTAATACCTAGGGGTGCATGGACACGGAATAGAAATACCTTCGTCATACTATGTACGATCAGACATGTCGTACTTTGGTTCCTTGTAGAGATGCTCCGCTGTCCTTTGAACCCCACATCACAACACATCAATGGACCGCGAATGGAACAAAGAAACAACGGCATAGACAGCACACGACAGTAGCCGAAGGAGAGGTCAGTCGGCACAAAGCAATCACAAGCAATCCAGTACGGCAGTATTTCGAAGTTTGGCGAGGGCTCCTTTGCTCTTTCCTTATCTTGCAGGTATCCCTCTTGTGGTAAATACCCATCTTGTTCCGGGTTTCGGTAAAAGGGACATGTCCATGCATTCAAGCGGTGGTTACCTTTCAACTTAGATCCACTTCCAACTCCTGCAGTTTGACAGCAACAACAACACCAGCCGCCAACCGCTCCCAGCTGCCGACTGCTAAAACAACCCGCCAGCAAACCCCTGCAGTTCTTGATCACTGAGACCTGATCACACACACCGCTGACTGACGCAAACCCTGCTAAGAACGATTCACCCAGCAACCCAACAGACTCAATCACACGGCGGTCGTTGGCAACGGCTGTACAGCAACTGGAACATCAACAGCAGCTGCAACACCAACCAGCGACAGAGGCAACAACTGCAACATAAACCTCAAAGCAAAGTTCTTAAGCTGCCCGGCCTGCAATGCGGAAATGCATGTAAGGGTGTGCGCGGATGGTTAAGCAAAGCCACACCCACGTCCCTGCGATTGCTTCATACATAAGCTGCCTGCGGGTCTCTCCCATACCTTATTTCACAGTTGACCTTCCTCCCCTGATCAGATGTCGACGACCTTCTTGACAAAAAGCAATCATTACGGTAGCAATCGCCATCAACACTAGAGACCAACATAATACCCCATGCATCAGAGCACCACTATTGCTGCCATCACCACTACTACCGGTATACAAAGAAGCGTACTACAGGGGATTATGCGATTAAATCTACACACTACTGTTACCGCCTGCTGCAGGGAAATGCATGTCACATCACTTGGCAAAGCACTCACCACGTCATCATACTTGCGGCAATCCCGCCCCATTAGATTCGGTCACATGCTCGCATCACCGTATCTCCCCTCCCCTACCCGCCCACATCTAGGCGTTCACAGCATTTTCCTTCTGCCCCCAGGCCACAACCTCAGTCGCATGACAAGTCCTTGAACGTGCGGAAGTACACGTACAACGGTACGGCAATCAATTCCAGCAGAAGTACGACTACCGCAATGCCGTACAGTCCGTATCGCAGCAGGCGGTGGCGCTGCCAGAAGGAGTAGAGCTGCCGACCCGCGGGACTGTCCATTGGCGGCATGTGCGACTGCAGACCCAGATTCGTCAGCAACTCCCGAACCTGCGCATGGGGGATGCAGGGCGGTGGAGTGCAGGGCGGTGGAGTGAAGTGGAGCCATGTGCAGACGTGGTATATGGCTGTGGCTGCGGGTGCTTGATGCCGGCTGGGGTTGCAAGGGGCCTTCCTCCACTCCCCCAAACCTGCATTCCTCCCTTTCTCCCAAAACACATGAGACGCAAGCCACCGCTAACACACACACAGCACGAGTATTTAAACGCAACGCAGCCCAGCTTACCTTTTCGCTCCTGCGCGCCTTGAAGTCGGGTATGACCAGTGCCGCCAGCAGCCCCCCCGCCAGGAAGCCCCCCACGTGGGAGGCGTGGGAGATGGAGCCGCCATGCCGCACCCCGCCGTCAGTCACCTGCGCGCATGCGTGTGTGGGGGGGTGCATGCGGGGGGGTGCATGCGTGTGTTAAAATAACTGGCCGCGAGGCGAAACGTACTGTGCATGCGTGGGTGCATGCGGGGGGAGGTGCATGCGTTTTCAACGTGGGGGTGCATGCATGCATGCATGCGTACTTGCGCGGTAAGGGCGCGGTTGGGGTACCGTACCCCCTGCAGGCCATTAGGCCATCACCCATTTCTCATTCCTCCCGCCCGCCCCCCACCCCGCCCCACCTGCAGCGCCACCATGAGTCCCACCACCGTCCCCATGCCCCCCAGCCTCAGCCACAGCAGCGGGATGCTCTCCCAGTTGGTCCCCGCATCCGCCAGGTAGGCGCCCAGCAGCCCGAACACGCAGCCACTGCTGCCCACCACCAGCGTGCAGGGCGACTCGAACAGGGCGCTGGCCTGCAGGGAGTGCGGAGTGGGAGGGGGGCGGATAGTCAGGGGGGTGGGAAGGGGAGAGGGGCAGGGAGGGAAGGGACAGTAACGAGACGTGGGAGAAGGCGCCTTTCCTCCCCTGTCCCAACCAGCTCCTCTCACGCGTTTTTAGCCACCCGAGCAGCAGCAGTTAGCTGCTGTCCAGTCACTTCCCCCGCTCGCCAACTCCTTCCGTTGCGCTTACATGCCAAAGGCGCTCTCTCTCCCAGTCACTCCCTCTTCCCCATGCTACCACCCCTCCCCCCTCCCGCTCACCATGTTCCCAGCCACCCCCGCGACCACCCACAGCGGCAGCACCCGCCAGCCGCCGTACAGCGACTCCAGGTAGGTGCACAACACCTGGGGGGTAGGGGGGAAGAGGGGGGGAATGCCCATTGGTTTGATCAATTGTGGCGAAGAAGGGAAGGGCGGCAAGGCAGGGTGGTGTTAAGACGGTGATGACCAGGCGAACCCTTTTGACGGCGCCCCAGGGATGGGAGGAAGGCCACCAATCTTCCCCTCCACCCAGCTTCCGAGTCTATCCCATGGTCTGTTCGGACCGGGCTTGTTACCAGCATCACAGACACCCGCCACCCGGCTAATTCCATTACTCCGCCCCCCTCTCTCCCCCTACCCAACCCCCTTGATTTGTTGCTATTAATCCAACAAGTATGACTACACGCAATCCTTGATCCAGCCAAATGCGGAATATGTGTTCCTATTCGCCCCTCCCTCCCTCCTTCCTCCCTCCCTCCCCCTCACCAGCAGCAGCGCCAGGTTGGACGCCAGGTGCAGCGGGCTCTGGTGCAGCAGCAGCGAGCTGCCCCACCGCCACCACTGCCCCGCAGCCAGGTCGGGGCCGTAGCGCCCGCCCCAGGCGCGCAGATACTCGAAGGAGAAGGTGCGGGCGGTGCGGGGGCGCCAGAAGGCGAGCCAGGAGGAGAGGGAGGAGGGGCCCCAGGCGGGGGGCGAGGAGGAGGTGGGGGAGGTGGGGGAGGGAGGAGAGGGAGAGGGAGGAGAGGGAGAGGGAGGGGAGGTGGAGAAGAAGGAGGTGGAGGTGGCGGGAGACCTGTGGGGAGGGAGGGGAGGGGAGCAGGAGGGGAGGGGAGCAGGAGGGGAGGGGAGCAGGAGGGGAGGGGAGCAGGAGGGGAGTTGAGGGTGGACCGCGAGGAGCGGAGGGGCTGCAATGCTGGCTGCAATGCACACATGTCCGGCTCTCAAGTGAATCCAAGTGATGCCTGCCCGCTACCGCGCCCTCCATTTGCCCAGACTTCCCCATCACCCCCTCACCCACTCCCCTCTCCCTTCCACTCACCATGCTCCTGGGGGGCTGCCAAAGCTGCTGTAGCTGCCGCTGTTGCTGCTGCCAATGCTAGTGCTGCTTCCACTGCTGGTGCTCCCGCTATTCCCACTAGTCACATTGCTGCTCCCACTACCGCTGCTGCTTCCACTACTGCTGCTGTTGCTGTCACTGCCCCCACTGCTGCTCCCCCCCGCCAGCCCCGCCGCCTGCACCCACTGGTACTGCCCCGCCATGAACAGGAAGCCGCCCAGCAGCGCCGCCAGCAGCAGCATGGAGAACAACAGCCAGTAGCCGGAGCGCAGGTTGGCAACACTGGGGCGGGGGTGAGGTAGGGGGTGAGGTGGGGGGTTTAAGGACAGGATGTTGGTACTATGGTACGTCAGCATGTTAGGAAGGGGTGTAGAGGGGAGGGAGATGGTAAGAGGCGAAGGAGACGCAGACGGGGTTCAAGACGACCGCAGCCCGCCGTTACGTCCCTCATGACGATAACTCCCAAGCCTCCTAACGAAGCTCCCCAGGCACCCCCTGGCATCCCACCGCACCATCCATCCCTACCTGATGGACAGGTCCTTCCAGGTGCGAATACGCTTGGCGCGGTGGCGACCCAGATGCGACCTCAGCCGCCGCCGTACCTCCGACGGAAGCGCACAGGGACCGCCGCCCTCGTCATCTGTACCCACATCGTCGTCGCCGCCACTGGTCGTACCGCGCCGTCGCCGTACGGCAGCTCCGCCGCCACCGGCGGTTGCGGAGATCGTCGCTACAATGTCGACACCAGGGTTCGTGGCTAGGAGCGCCGACCCGGCAGATCGTACGACAAGGTCCGCGGGGCCATGTGCATCTTGGTGATGCTGTGTGACACCAGTGGCAGCGGCGGCATCCGCCGCCGGGCGACCCATGACAGTGACGGCGGCGGAGGGCTGCAGCAGCATTACGGGCACGCCGACGGCGGCGCCCGTGACGATTGACGGAGCGGATCCCAATGCGACGGTTCGAACTCGGCCGCCGTCGGCAGCGCTGGCGGTGGCGGCGTCAGCGGACAGACTTCTCTCGCGAGCGGCGGCGGCGTCATCACGTTGAGCAAGCGACGGCGGCGAGGCGGCGGTCAGTGAGGCGGCAGCGGCGGCTGGGGCCGCAGTGGGCGGAGGTGTAGCCGGAGCCTCCGCCGCAAGAGGCTGAGGGCTTGGTACGACGTCGCCCCCGCCATGCGCCTGCTGCTGTTGCGCGTGTTTCGGCAGCTTGGCGGAGGGTCCTCCTTCGGCACTGGGGCTGCTGCTGCCGTCGGCGGCGGCGCCTGCACCAGGCAGTGCGGCGTCGCCTGCTGGCCGCTGGTCGTGAATGTCCGCGCCGCATCCCTCGTCGCCGTCAGCTGTCGGTGTGCGCGTGTTGTCGGTGGAAGTGCCGGGTGACGGCAGCAACGGCGGTGGAACCAAGGATGACGGAAGCGGCGGCAGCGGACGTCTCAGTGTTAGCGCGGCAGCGGGGAGGTCCGGTGATGCCGCCACCGTCGCCGCTGCTAGGTTAGCCGCCAGGGCGCCGCCAACCGAGACGCTGTGAGACAGCGGCGGCGGCCGCGGGGGCCGCAGCACGTGAAGCCTGCTGGAGGAATCACCCGGTGAGGAGCTCCGGAACACCTGCTGCCGCTGCGGAGGAAGCTCCGGAACCGCCATTGCCGCCGCCGCCGCCGCCGACATCGAATTGGCCGCCGCCGTCGCCGCTGCCATGGCGGACCTCGCGGATTGTCTGGGCGAGATGACAACCTCCAGTGGCGGCGGGGGCGGCGGCAGCTCTACGGCACTGCCGCCGGAAGACGTACGGGAGCGATCGCGGTACGGCAGTTCCGCCGACGGCAGCGGCTCCTGCGGCCCGCAGTTTCCCAGGTTACCCGTCGGAGCTGTGGCCCCCGCCGGAGCAGCAGCTGAAGGCGGCGGCGGCGTCAGTGCCGCAGCTGCCGTTGCCGTCAGCGCATGCATGCTGAAGTGGGTTGAGACACGAGGGGCGCGAGGGGAGCTGCTAGACGAGGGGGGGCCTGACGTTCCAGTGCTCCTGCTGCTGCCACCGCCGCCGCCCATGCTGCGACTGCTACTCCCGCCCATGTTGTATAGGTGGTTGTGGTGGTGTTGGCGGCGGCTGTGGTTGCTGTCGCTGCTGCTGTGGGCCCCTCCGGCGGCCCCTAGGCTTAGCCTGCGTGGCTGATGTGGGTTGGAAGGTGGCGACTGAGGGGTGTCATGGCGGTGGTGCTGGTGGGGGCTGGCGGTGAGAGTGGCTTCCATGGGGGGTAGCGGCAGCGGCAGCGAGGACGCATGCGGCTTTGGATGCTGCGGTGATGATGAGGCGTGTTGGTGCTGGAGCTGACCGGGCTCCAGTACGACACCCACGGCGGGAACAGCGTCGGGACTTGGACTGGGGTGCGAGGTGACGGCAGCAGCAACAGCCGCGCTGGGGCCAACTGCATGCACCCGAGGGCTGGCGAAGGAAAAGGCGGAGCCAGAACCCCGCCGGGCGCCGCCGAGGGAGGCGAAGCCCCGTCTAGGGCTAGGACTCACAAACGAGCCGGCTGCGGTGGCGGCGGTGACGTCAGCAAGCCTGGGGCTCGCAGCTGCAGGACTCCCTGGGATGAGGGAGGCTGCGGCAGCAGCGGCGGAGGCGCTTAGGTGGAGCCTTAGTTGGGGGCTGCTGCCACCGCTTCCTCCGCCGGACGTTGGGGTTATGTTAGCGGCGGCGGCCCGGACTGCTGCTCGAGGGGACTCGCCATCATCAGATTCCCATGTGGCGCGTGGCGTGCGGAGGCCCAAGGCAGAGGTTGCGATTGTCGAGGCTGCGGAGAAAGGGCTGGGTGCATGCGTGTCGGGAATTTGAGCTGAGCTGGAGATGGGTTCGGGAGTAGGAAAGGCTGCCGGGTTGTCTCCGGGCGGGTCGTTGGAAGGTGTTGGCGGCTGCATGGTGCTCCGCTAACGCTTGCTGACAGCTCCTCCAACCGCTGTGAAAGGCGGCCTTCCGTGGTAAGCTGCCTCACGGCTTGGTAATGCTGTTACTACAAGTGCTGCACTTGCGGCTGTTGCTGTTTGTAACTTGGTCGTTGTTGGTAGATCCAAGTTTTAAACGTCAGGACCGATTGCAATTGCACGACCTGAGAGCTATACCTGGTGGTAATTCAGCATTGTCTGGGCAGATGCTTCAGTCTTGGCTGCAGTTTGGTGAGGCCCAGGGATACCGAACCTCTTCGCACGCCCGGAAACACCGTCAGTCTGTAGACCCGGCTGTGTGGAGCGGTTAGTGGGTAGACAAGCGGCGTCCGTTGGCTGTTGATAGCTTGTTGAAAGGCTCGAGCAGCTGCGGCGAGCGCCCTTTGCGAGCAGTCGCGCCTAGACGTTGAGGGTGCAAAGTCACCGTCTGTCTATATACGACAGCGTGCGCCAGTTGGAAGCACCTGTTGTGAAAGAGGGCGGAGCATAGGGGGGCGAAGATAACCTTGGAACAGATGCTCGGCCTGGCCGAGTAAGTTAATATGATAGGCCGAGACTAGTAACACAAAAAGCAAGGTGCCAGCAAAATGTTACATGAAGCACGTTCGACGGTGAGCTTCTTAGCTAGCCAGCTTCGCTCGACACTTACTACATGATGGGGCCGTGGCAACAGGTTTAAAAATGATGGGGATCAGAGAATAACAGCTTTACATACGACCAACCATAAACTCATACCTTGCGTCGCAAAGTACTTGAGGTTACCTCGCCGATGCTCTTTGTTCGGTTATTAAGCTTGTAGCTATCCTGCCTTTCACACGCTTTCCATTTCTACACAGATAAAGCCAAACTATGGTTAGCGACTAACATATAATTTAAAGACTATAGACTTTCTTGGACAAGTTGCGCCAACTACGTCTAATACTGGAAAAAGTGTTACTTCTTCTCCCAACGCACACCCTTAGCCCCAACTGTATGCACTATCTTCACGAAGACCTCAACCACCTAAAAGTATATCGCAGCTGTAATTGAAGCGGGCCACTATCGACGAGCAGTGTAGTACTTTGGAACCGATTCCGCCCCACACACCGAGGCACGTAGGCATTTTACAAGTTCCGGCATATGGTGTCAACATATAGTGCGTCAACTGCCAATCCGGTTTGTGTATTTGACATAGCTGTTGCATGCCAGCTTCCGGCAGGCTCACGAAACAACCATCCCTCAAGAAACACTCTTCAGGTGTCAGATAGTTATTCGTTAATGCACCTAGTTTAGGTTTATTACGGATGGCAAGAGGTTTGCAAGCGTTGTCTACAGGCCCGGCCCCAGAAGTTATTGCGAATCCAGCTTTTAGGTATGGCTTGAACCGTGCATCAACGAGGCATCCGGTGAGTATTTCTTACACGGCCTTTTGTCTTTTGGGGGTGTGAAGTGGTCGATATTACTACAGAACATGTCTGCAGTGTGCCTTCTCACAGCTTCAAGTTCCCCATGTCATTCAAGACGATTGTTCGGATGTCAGTGAATTCTGCGTGGTAGAATTTCGTTGCTCTTCGTTGCCCTGTATGCAACATCCCTCTGCATGTTGACTTCGCTATGACATTCGAAGCCAATGCTTCCATTTCATTTTACTGTTCCTCCGCCTCTATCCTGAGCAGCGTGGATCCCGGGCGCTGCGGATGCGCCGAGCAGCTCGTCTATCCACGTTCGGCGCAGCTTCCTCCACGCCCCCCACCTCCACTCTCCAGAACTCCGCAAGCCTCACCATTCGCCGCACCACACCCTTCAAGCCCTTCCGCAGCGTCTCCTGTTCAGCCCTGGTTCTCGACATGCCCCACGGCCACGTCCTCCCCAGCATCATCGCCTCCACAGCCTACCAGTCCAACATCACCACCGTACAGTGCTATGTCGTACAAAACACCGCGCGCGCTCCGCACCACCCCCTGCTACACGCCGCCCCCATGCAAGCAGCGCCACCACTCGACCTCCTCCCCGACCCACCATCCCTTCCCTACAACCCCAACGTGTCGCAACTGCCACCGCACTCGATAGCTCCGTGGGCCGCCGCAGCTGCCGGCAACCTGCAGCCGCCCACCCATGCGCACGTGTCTGCTACAGCCCTGCTGGGCCGCTACAACGCCTTTCCCGGCAGCAGCAGCCGCCACCTGGTGGGTGATTTGGACCAGTCGACTGACTTTGGCTTGGCGGTTTGCCTGGCGACACCCATGGATCCTGGGCCCCCGCGGCTGCTGGAGAGGCAGCCGTTGGAACCGTTGCCAGCGGGGACATCCACAACCACAACGGCAACCACCGCTACAGCAACCGCAACTGCAAGCACCACTGCCGCGTCGACCTCCACTGCCGCTGCAGCTGGGAGGTAAGGAGGGTTTCGGGTGAGGGGTGGTGGGGAAGCACCGGTAGGCGAACAGGTGCGCTGATGAGCGGTTGGTGTGGGATCCAGCGATGACTGGGGACCAGGGACCCGGATGGTGCAAACATGGTGATGGGGTTGTGTGAAAGGCAACGGTGGCGTGTGGACTCCACAGGCCGCGCGTCAGTCACTACAGCCACGCAGGCACTCCGCAACCAAATCCATTCCGCACTTCAGCCCGGATATTGCAAAGCTTGTCATAACATGCCAGATTGCAGTTCCCAACGTTGCCACTCGCCTCGCGTGCCGTCTTCCCCTTGCTGCCCAGGACCGTCGCCGTCTCCCACACCACTTCAGAGCAGCGGGAGCAGCCGCTTGAAGAGGAGGAGGAGGGGTTGCAGCAGGGCGCTGGGATGTGGGGCGAGTGGGCGCGCAGGCGCAGGCAACGGCGGGAGTGGCGGGTGGGGGCGGGGCGCGGACACGTGCAGCGGAGCGGGCCCTCGGTTCCTCCGAAGAAACAGCGCAAGGGGGAGCAGGAGGAGCAGGAGGAGTGTTGGGTGCGGCTGCTGAGAGCAATGCAGCGGGGGTAAGGGCTAGGTGGTCATGCCCCGAGCATTAACGTACTTTGTGAGGTGGGATGAGCTAAAGAGAACCATGCAGGAGCAGCGTTTGCTGGGGGAGAAAGAGCACGAGGAGGTTGGGGTGGGGTGGGGTGGGCTGCAACAGGATGGTGAGCAGTGGGAAGAGCTGGAGGGATAAGTTTGTGTGCTCCGCCGCTGCCGTTGTACTCGTGCTTGCGTTGTCGTTGCTGTAGGGCCTAAAATTGTTCCAATAAGCATTACTCGCCAGCGCTAGTGGCTGCGGTCCCGAAGCCCTTTGGTGTCTACTTCGTGTCAAGCATGTCCAGGCTCAGCGCATGTTAGCTGCTTACCGGTGTTCGGGTGTCCAATTGTGATGTCGTGCATCCTACCCGTATTGATTTTAGTTGTATTGAGTTTATCAATTGATAGATACCCTATTTTTTAACGTTCTTGCATTGGGGCAAGACCATTAGTAAGGCATGGGTGGACGTTCGCCGATGCCCTAAATTGTCATGCTTTGCATCGGCCAATCTCCGGGGTGTTCACCTCTGCTGTTCGTGACCTACGTGGACCCATGCGTCGTATCGCGACTAGCGTGAGTGCTATGTCTTGTAGCGGTTGAGGAGTGGTGCCTTCTCGTGCCATTTATGTTTATTTGCTTATTATTGCATTAATGTACGCGAGCTTTATATTTAGCGGCAAGTACGTGAACGCGGCAGGTCGCAGGTGGCTAGTTGTGCCGTATGACAACTGCGTGCACAGCTGTGGCTTCTCACTTTTTTTACGCTTCACCTTCATTTATCTGTTTACTAGTATTACTAGTATTATTTTTGTAGCTTTAGTTTTGCTTATCCGCCTGTGCGAGAACACTAGCGTTCCCAGGTGGAGCGCTCCTGGTGGAGTTCATTTCTGAGGTTCTTTGGAAGACCAGATGGCTTTTCCAGCAATTCTCTGTAGCAAAGAGCGATTGAAAGGATTTTCTGACAGACGCTGAACGGCATAATGCTGTTGGGCATGCGGCGTTGGGCTGGCAGGCGCACCACTGAGCCAATTCCCAACAACATGGCACTCCTTGGTAGGCATAATTGTTGGCGGGCCCTTGTAAGCAAATCTACAGGCCGTAGCTGTGCCAAGGAAACAGCCAGTTGACGGCCGACACAAAAGCCCTGGCGCGCCTGCCAGCCTTTCCTTGTGGCAGCGTGGGTGGGGTTGAGCACCTTGAAGGCAGCCCACCTACCACTCCACACCGTTTACTCCCATGAGACACACCACACTACGTGCCGCACAGCCGCTCTATTCTCCGGTATGCAACCACTCCTCCCTCGTCTCCCTACCGCAGGCTGGTGCCGGGCATGTCGTACAGTCGTACAGCGGCATCACCACCTGCTGGTCCCCCGGTTTTCCCCGCAGCAGCAGCGCTCAAGCCTGCCGTACAACGCCTGCAGCCACCCTTCGGGACCAGGAGGCCTTGCCCCCGGCAGCGCGTCTATCAACGGTGCCGCTACCAGTGCTTTCCCCTCCCCTGCTGCCAGCGGACTAGCTTCTTCAACCTCCTCCCCAGCCAGGACGGCACCGCTGGTAAGGTCAGCCAGCTCTCCCCATGCGAGCAGCCTGTGCGCTGCAGCAGCCACTGGCAGGGCTGCCACTGGCGGCAGGGAGCTCGATGTTCGTACGTGGGCTAGCCACTCCAGGAAAGGCAGCAGCAGCAACAGCAGCAACAACAACAGCCACGCACGGTCATCGTACCACAGTGCTAGCAGCGGTCGCAGCAGCAACAGGGGCAGCATTTCCAGCAAGGAAGCCGCTGGCAGCAGGGACACCAAGGGCGCACCACGTCAGCGGGCCTCGCTCGGGACTGCACGCCCGGGCACCTTTGCTTCGCCCTCCACTTCAGCAGAGCATAGGCCGCCTCGCAACGGCAGCAGCAGTAGCACCAGCAGTAGCAATAGTAGCTGCCCCGCTGCTGCTGCTGCCCCAGACGTGCCCCCCAACCCGCTGCTAGCAGCACTGCTGCGAGTGGTGACACCCCTGGAGGCGGCGGGGTACGCCTACTGGGCGGTACGGCGGACAGCTGCCTGGCTGCATGGCGTCGTACTGCCGCCCCAGCTGACTGTACGGCAGGCGGACGGCATGCAGCGGCATCAGGCCCAGCAGCAGCAGGAGCAGGAGACGATGAGCGGCGGTGCAGCTGTAGTTGTGGAGGAGGAGGGCGACCCGCGGGTCGCTGCTGCTGCGGATGCAGAGAACCTTGACTCCACCCATCACCACCTCCCCCCTCCTGACTTGGAGCTGGAGGTGCAGTGGGACCAAATGCAGGTGGGCTGGGTGCGCGTGGATGGGTGTTACCAGACCTGCAGTGTGTGTTTGTGTGTTAAGAAAACCGGCCGCGTGTGGCAGTATGTGCGCACGCGCATGTAGTGGGATCAGCCCCTGCATTGCCATCCCTTCCTTAGTTGGTGTTTGGCGCCCCTGGTGGCCCGGCTGCTGAGCTGGATGAGCGCCGGTTACCTGCATCCGGCACTCAGCACACCTTGCAGACCCAGCAATCACCGTAACCGCCTCCTCCACCCGCCACCTCGCCCCCCCCCTACCGCTTCCCCCTTCCCCCTCTCCGTATGCGCTCACTGCATAAGTCGGGACCGGGATTGAGACTCTCAGTTGCTGCACTTCTCGTTTACTTCCTTTCCCTCCCTCTGCCCGCCCCCCCAGACGGTCCACTCGCTGTTCAGCCGCCCCGGCTCCGACTGGCACCCCAGCCCGCTGCAGCTGCTGCCGGGGGGCAGGGCGGCCTTCACCATGAGCTCACCCCTGCCTTTGCCGCCACTTTCAACAACACCAGTTTCATCCAAATCTTCATCTTCATCGTCATCGTCATCACCATTATCGCCTTCACAAATCCCCACCTCCACCTCCACTCCCGCCCCTGTGGCGATAGTGGTGGTCCGCATCGGCTGTGTGTTCAACACAGTGCTCCGATCCAACCCCGCGAGAGTGCTGATACGGCCGCAACCCCCACCCCCACCGCAGCCGCAGCAGCAGCAGCAGCCGCCGCTGCAGTTGCAGCAGCAGCTGTTGGCGCCGTCCCCACCGCCGCCGCAGTCGCCGTCATCATTGTCGCCGTCAGCCGAGGGCTACAGCGCTGGATGCGGGGGAGGGCAGCGGTGGCGGCCAGCGCTAGCAGTGCTGGTGGATGCAGCCAAGGCGGAGGCAGCCAAGGCGGAGGCAGCCAAGGCGGAGGCAGCCAAGGCGGAGGCAGCCAAGGCGGAGGCAGCGAAGGCGGAGGAGGGGCTAGGGAAGGTGCGGCAGCAGGGGGGGGAGGGGGATGGCAGGCAAGAGTGCTCGCAGCAGGCAAGAGAGGCGTCGCTGGGAAATCGGGTTGTTTCCGATTTATTGCACCCCTCCCCTCTCCTTCTTCTTCTCACCCACCTTCCCTCCCGCCTAGGTTTGGAGCCAGTCCCTGTACTCCGTTGCGGTGGAGGCGGAGCGGCGGGGCGAGGGGGCGCTGGCGGGGGCGGTGGCGGCGGCGTTGAGGGACATGCAGCGGGTGCGGTGGGGCAGTTGCGGGTGGGGGCCCAGCTTGCAGGTGGACTTTACGAGTTAGTATCTCATTTGCTCGGTGCCGGTAGTACTGCACAGGCACCCCGCCTCCTCCCTTGCCCCGGCCCCACACCCCCACCGGTCCCTACACCCCCCTCCCCCTCCCCCCTCCCCCCCCCCTGTGCACGCAGGAGCTATCCGCTCACAACGCCGCCGCCTGGGGTCGCGACGCGGCTGCTCAGGCCGCCTGGGGTGCTCGCTTCGGGGCGCCCGACGTCGCGGCTGGGCGGCTGCTGGCGGATCCGGGGCGGGCGCTGGGGCCGCTGCTGGGCTACCTGAGCCTGGCGGGTGAGGGGGGGGGAGGGCGGGGGCGGGGCGGGGTAAAAGTAAGGGAAATGACGACGAACTGTGTGATGAGGCTTCAACTTGGATGGGGGGGGGCCCCGGGCGAGGAGAGGAGGGGGAGGTGGGTGGAGGGAGGGAGGCGTTGAGGACAAGCAGCTCCTTGGTTCCCTATGCGGTGGTTCTCTCCCCACCTGGCCTGGCCTAGTTTACGCACGAGCAGCTGCGGCTTAGTCGCTCCCCACGGCTCCTCTCTCCAAGCCTCCACCTTGGCCTGCGGCCCAGACCCCACATCCCTCTCCCCACCTCTCTGCCCACCTCTCTCCCCACCCTTCCCCAGATTCCCCTCCCCTATCCGCGCTGTCGGTAGTCAACCTGTGCGGCTCACACGGCCATAAGGCCCTCGCCCTCGCGGCACTGGGCGCCCCGCGGGTGGTGGTGGTGGATGCATCCCCGGGTAATGCACGGTATGCCGTACAGCTGGCGGCGGAGGCTGGGCTGAGTCATGCGGTGTCGTACATCGTGGCTGACGTGGCGGAGCCGAGCAGTTGGATGCTGCCGCCGGCGGCGGAGGCGGCGGGGGAGGTGGGGGAAGTGAAGGTGGAAGGCGAGGGAGTGGGTGGTGGTGGTGTTAATGGGGTTAGGGATGGCTGTAGCAGCAGCAGCGGTGGCGGTGGCAGCAGCGGCGGCAGCAGCGGCAGCAATCCTGCCGAGGCAAACATGACGGTGACCAAGCTGCGTGGCGGGAAGTTCAACCTGGTGTTGATGGAGATGGGGGTGCTGCACTACTTCCTGGACTTGCGGGCGCTCATGAGGGGTGAGGCGGGGAGGGGGGGGGGACGGGGGGAGAATACCCAATGTGTGATGGCCGTGATGGGGGGGAAGGGGGTGGTAGGGAGGTAATACTCATCGTGCTCTGAACAGCAGTGAGGCGGGTGGGGTGGAGTGCGGTAGGCGAGAGAACGGATGAACGGATGAACGGATAGGATGGGGATGCATGGGCTCATGTTGGGGTATGCGCAGGCTAGCCCGGTGTGCCGCTCTCGGGGGCCGGGGCTGCTGCTGCTGCTGCTGCTACAGCTCCCTCGCACCGGCACCTGCCTTCAGTACGTTCCTACCCGCAGCGGGTTTCCTGGGCACACGCCTCTACCCAGTGCCGCATGGGCGCCTCATGAGCACCTGCACCTCCCCCCCCACCTCCACCTCCCTTACACCCTCACCTCCCCCCTGCACCCCCTGCTGCTCCACCTCCCCTCCCTCCCCCCGCCACCCCCCCCCCCAGACGTGGTGTCCCCCCTGCTGTCCCCCGGCGGCCGGCTGCTGCTGCGCGAGTTCCACCCGGCCAGCACCAAGATGCTGGCGTCGCGGGGCAGGAAGCACAAGGTGGGGGCGGGGGGGTCAAGGCGGGGGGCGGGGGCCCACAAGGCAATGGAGGTAAAGAGAGGTTGGTGGGTTATGGCTGTGATGGCTGTGATGGCTGCGTGATGGAGTGGGGGGTCATGGATGCGCGGCTGGGCGTAAGGTTCCCGGCTGGTCGCCCCACCACTGGGCTACACTACCTTCATCGCCCTTCCCGTCCCTCCTCCTCGTCCCACTCCTCCTCCTCGCTCCGTCCCCATCTCCTGCTACTCCGATCCCCCATGGCTGGGGACCTACCTCTTATCTCCCCTTCCCTTGTTTTCTCTTCCCTGTTCCACCACCTCTCTCCAAATGGAACCCTCTGTTTACGGCGGGTCGGTTTGGCCATTCATGCTGTGTACTTGGTTCCCTCCACCTCCTGCCAACCGTACCGTACCGCCACCCTCCTCCCTCCCCCCCCTCCCCGTGTGGCTTCCTATGGTTCGGTATGGTCTTTGACTCCCCCCCCTCCAGGTCACGGGTGACTACTTCGCCACCCAGCCTCTGGTCTCAGTGGATGTGGCGTACAGCAAGTACGAGGAGGAGGCGTCCGCTGCTACTGCTACTGCTACTGCCGCCACTGCAGACGACATGGGGACTGTTATTTCGGACAGCAGCTACAGTCCCGGCAGCAGCAGCACCGGGAGCTGTAGCAGCATTGGCAGCAGCAGCAATGGTGTTTCCCCGCGTGCTCGTGTGTTGGAGCGGCGGTGGGGACTGGGTGAGGTGGTGAGCGCGGTTGCGGGTGCTGGGCTGCGGGTGGTGTTGTTGGAGGAGGAGGCGGGTGTGCGGCTGGACGATGCGGGGGTGCCCAAGACGTACGTGCTGCTTGCGGAGAAGGAGGGGAGGGAGGGGCGGTGAGAGGGGAGGGGCAGTGAGGGGAGGGGGTGAGAGGGTAGGTGAGGAGGGGCAGTGAGAGGGGAGGTGAGAGGATGTGACGGGGCACTGGAGGTCAGGATGGGCGTCCCTGCATGCCTACAAAAGCAGGTATCCCTGATAGGCAGGGGAAACAGATGGTAGCGAGGGAGCGGGTGGGGTACAGAGGATGGAACTAAGGGGAGGTGAACATAATCGGCAGTCGCGTAGTGAAGGTGGATATATAGGGTGTACGCCAGTGCCCCTGCATGCTCTTCGCGGTTATTCGACCCGACGGCGGACCTGACCGACCCATGGTTCACTCAGCACCCTCAGCACCCTCAGGCCTCAGCCGGCCCTTCTTCCCTCACATCTTCTGGTTGCCCTAGAGAGGCGGCGGCGTGTCTCCTTTAATTGGAAAATTAAATTGGAAGAAACAAGTTAGCTGTAAGACCAGGCCTCATCATCATGAGTTGCAGCCCCGCCTCCTCCCCTGGTGCTGCTGCATGCTGCATGCTGCGTGCTTGTCCCATCATCGCAATTGCGGGTAGTGATAGCGACAGCAGCAGCAGCAGCAGTGTCCCCAGTTGTACACACCACCCGTAGTGCCTTGACGAGTAAAGTCGCAGCATTGGTAAGAGGTGCAGGCTACAGCCGGCTAGCATGCTAGGGGTATGTACGACGCCCTCTCGCTACACTTGCACGTAGGATGTCCCCAAGCGTCCCTGTTTTTGCCTTCTAAGCGCGGTGGTGGCATACGTTTATGGACCCCATACCATAACATTTCCGTATGGCTCCCTTAAGGCATGGCTTGGTTGGTTTGAAGGAAATGTACGGTAATGGATTGTCCGACGTACGTCTGTCACATATCGCACATTCCCACAAACAGAGATAAGAGTATGACAGCGTATGATACAACACCAGGTGTCGAACTGTATGAGTGTATGCGGCACAGCTCCTCCTCACGTCCTGACTCGCCCGCCCCATGGCCTCCTAGCCCCGAAACCTTCGGCCAAACCAACCGGAAAGCCATGTGCTGTCCCATCAGAATTTAGTTGGATGTAGCCCACACAATTGATGTTACATACTAATTCTGCACAGTTCTAGGGAGTGTAAGGGCCCAACGCAAACCTCGGCTTCGCTCACGTACCTCTCGTGGGAAGTGTTCTTTTAGCAGGTTGAGGATTTAACAAGCTGGTCCTCGTACTGCTTGTGTTAACAAATGCATTTAACGGAGGGAGAGATGGGGATTCCATAAGACAAGTTACCAACCATGAGCACTGGCGTTGTCGCGGCTGGTGCCGCAGCTGTAGCTTTGTATGTGTACATAAAGCAGAAAGCATTCCAAGATGGTTCAGCTATGGAACCTGTGCTTCCTGTGGAGGTTACCAGGAATGCGCCGGACCATGCGCCCAGCAACTGGGGAGAAGCGCTTTACCACGTAAAGGAAGTTCTCAGGCGAGTTGCAAACGCCTTTGTGTCCTTCGGTCTGCCCTCAACTGCATTAAGGGAAGGCAAGGGGACAACCAACTACCACATACATCGTAATTCCTTATTCCTTACGCCGCTTAGGTACATGTACAACGAGACCTTTGCAAGGTGGCATACAATTGACCTTTTCGTCGGCCTGGCATATCTCTCGCACCGGGAAGCGGTTGAGTATCCTGCTGCGGACATCGCGGCCAAGGGTGTTCCTATCGGGGTAGACCTAGGCACGGAGGAGCGCCTAAAGCTGTTGGTAAGTTAATAAATATGCTGCTGCCCTTTGTAAAACTGGGGTTGTCTGGCCGGTGTCCACTTCGTTTCCCCAAGGCTGTTGCTTGTTAGGGTTCCCGGCCATTTAGGGTCCCGGCCAAATCACCTACCTACCGCCGCGCCAATCAGACATGCACACCTTCTCCTTACACTCTCCTGACCCCCCTCCTTGCCCCCTCGCTTCACTCCTCCACTACCCCCCTCCACCTCCGCTGCTGTACTGCAGTTGGAGTTGCAGGAGGCGCGCCGCTACATGCTGTACTGCAAGGGGCTCAAGCTGCGGCGGGAGGACATGCAGGCGCGGTTCTGGAGGGAGCACCTGGGGGCAGGTGGGAGGGGGGGCAGGGGATCGGGGGGGGGTAAGGGAGGGTCTGGAGGGGGAGGGTCCCGCCTAGGCAGGATGGAGGGCTGGGGTGGGCGGGGTGTGTGTCGCATGGAGCTGGCGGGCGGGAGACTCGACGCGCGAAGTCGACTCCACGTGGATGCAGCGCGGCGTGCTGCGGCCCCTGCGTTGTGTGTGTTGCGGGGCGGGGATGGTGGTGATGTGGGTTGAGCGCAGAGCGCACATGTGCAGAGAGAGAGGGAAGCAGCGCCGGGAGCAGCAGCTGGGGGGTGGGATGCTGTGCCTTCCAATTAACTGTGAGCCGCATGTGGGTTCATCCCCCTCGGCCCCCCTCCCTTCCTCCCCGCCTTCCTTATTTGCCAGCCTCTTCATCCAACACATTGGGTATCCTTCTTTTCCCTCCCCTCCCCCCTGTTTCCGCGGCTCGGTTTACCTAATCCCCCCTCATTCAACGCACTGGGAATTCTTCTTCCCCCCCCACTCCCTTCCCCCTATGCGCAATCCAAAAATCCAGCCTAATGCGGAATCTTCATCCCTATCTTAAGTTCTTAACCCCCCTTCCCCCCCAGACTCCCTGACGCTGCTCCGCCAGCAGGCCACCGCTGGCGTGTTGCGCCCCGCCTACGTGGTGGTGGCCGACCACCTGCTGCGCTGCATCGTGCTGTGCGTGCGGGGGACGCACTCCATGAAGGACCTCTTCACCAGCCTGGCGGGTAGGGGGGGAGGAGGGCGGGTAGGGGGGAAGCGGTGAGGAGAGGCAGGGTGTACGGAGAGAGGCATCAAGCCCTACGGGTCCCCAAATCCCCCCACTGACACCCATGGGGGGGGATGTTGTCCTGTTGTCCCCTGGTGCCCAGTTGGCAAGATCCCGCCCTGCCTTCCTCCTCCATTAACAGCAACCCAAACCAACAATACCTTCCCTTCCCCTCCCTTCCCTTCCTTCCATCAAGAGCCTCCACATAGGTTTGCCGTTGTCCTTCACCGCACGGTGTTTTGACTTCCATTCCGACGTTCCCCCACCCCCATCTACCTCCCCCCCGCCCCCAGGTGCCGCCAAGCCCCACCACGTGGTTGACCCGCTGACCGGGCAGCTGGTGCTGGGGTGGAGCCACCTGGGCATGCTGGCGGCCGCACGGTGGCTGGCGCGGCAGGTGGCGCCGCTGCTGCGGGGGGCGCTGCGGGAGCACCCGGGGTACCAGCTGAGGATCGTGGGTGGGTACAGGGACGGGGGGGAGGGGGAGGGGGAGGGGGAGGGGGAGGGGGTGCTGCTGGCGCTGCTGGTGGTGGTGGTAGTAGAGGCCCCCCGATAGCCCCCGGTAACATGACTCGTTCGTTCACCCTGCCCCCCTGCCGCCTACTCCCCTCCCTCCCCATCCCCCCCCCCGCAGGCCACTCCATGGGCGGCGGCACCGCAGTGCTGCTCACCATGATGCTGCGGGGGGGCTACATGTGCGGAGGGGGAGGGGAAGGAGAGGCAGGGACAGCAGCAACGGCCTCGGACCGTGTCCCCACCGGCTCCTCCGCCTCCTCCTGCCCTCCCTCACCCTCACCCGCAGCAGCTCCCTCCCCTCCATCCCCTCCCTCCTCTCCCTCCCCTGAACCCCACCCTCCCACCTCCACCTCCCCCACCTCCCCCGACCCCTTCCTCGACGCCCGCTGTTTCGCCATCGCCTGCCCCTGCCTGCTGACCGCGGAGCTGGCCGCCTGCTGCCGCCCCTACGTCACCAGCCTGGTCAACGGCACGGACATCGTGCCCACCTTCTGCGCCGCCTCGGTGGATGCGCTGCGGGAGGACGTGACGCGCTCCGCCTGGTTCACCGAGTTCAGTCGGGACATGCGGTCGGGGGTGGTGCGGGCGCTGCAGGTGAGGAGGAGGGGGGTTTGGAAAGGGAAGGGAGGGGAGGGGTGCGGGCGCTGCAGGTGAGGAGGAGGGGAGGGGGGGGAGAGGAGTTTGCGCGGGTACTGGTAACGGGTCGCTGTCGCTACTCCTTTGCACTCGCCTGCAACCCTGGCATAACGCTTGCATCCTGCCTCCCCTCCCTTCCCCCCCCTCCCCTCCCCTCCCCTCCCTTACCCCCCCCCCAGGGCGGTGTTCGCGGTGTGGGCAGCGCCACCCAGTGGACCAGCCGCAACATACTGGCGCCCGCGGTGGGGCCGTTCAGGTGGGGGGGGGGGGCGGGAGGGGGGGAGAGAGAGGGAGGAGGGGTGGTTGGGCGCATGCCGGGACATGCCGGGACAGCGGGGGGGGGCTCCTCATCACGCCCTTGTCGCACCGGTAGTCATCCGCGCCCGTCACAGTCGCCCGCTGTCTTCCGCTACCTGCTCCTCCTCCTCCCACCCCCTCCACAGGGCCTGCTACGCCACCACCACCACACGCCGAATCAAGCGCCGCACCGCCTCCTCCGCCTCCCTCGCCTCCTCCACCTCCTCCTCCTCGCTCTTCTCATGCGGGCCCCTCACCACCGCCACCACCACCACCCTAACAGCGGTGGAGCAACAATACGAGCAACAGACGATACTAGCAGGGACGCTGGGGGCAGGGCCGGGGCCGGGGCAGGGGCCAGGAGGAGGAGTGGCCTTCCCGGCTGCCTACACCGCTGCCACCACCACCGCCACCGCCACCTCCTTCTCAGCGACTACAACAACGCTGGTGGGCGCGGCGGCGGCGGCGCTGCCGCCGCGGGCTCAGGCAATGACGTCATCATCAAGAGGACCCATGGGTCAGGACCTGGGCAGTGCTGGTGACGGTGGCAGTGGCGGGCTGGACGAGCGGGCTATGGCTGAGGCGGTGCAGGTGGGCCTGGGGGAGCGTAAGGACTAAGGAGGAGAGCGTGAGGAGGTTGAGTCGGGGGAGTCCTGTGGAGTGGAGCGGGCTGGGTCATGTAGGGCCGTTCAACATATATATTGATTAAAAAAGTAAGTGATGATCGGCTGGCGGATTCAACGCAGCCTGCGGTGCATGCATGCATGCATGCATGCGTGTGTCCGCCGTGAGGTTCCCCTTGCCGCCCCGCTCCTTGCCCTCGTGCGCCCTCGGAATCCCATGCCTGCATTCCTCCCTGCCCGCCCGTCCACCCGCCCCCGCAGAGCTGCATGTACGCGGTGGAGTCCGCTGTGACGGCGCAGCAGGGGGCCACCAGGTGAGGGGCTGTGCTGGCAGCAGCAGGGGGGTGTGCTGGTGTTGGAGGTGCCGGGGGAGGTGCAGCTGGCGAGGGGAGGGGCTGGCTTGGTAGTTGCGCTCGATGGGCGATGTGGTTATCTTGTTAACGACTTGGTAACACGGCCTAGTGTGCTGCTCACCCCTCCCAACCCACCACTGCCCTCCTCCCTAGTTTGCCATTATCATTCAATACATTGGGTATTTTCCTGTCCGCTCCCCCTCTCCGCCCCTCCCCCTCCACTATCACACCACACACTGGAATTTCTTTTTCCCCCTCCACAGCGCTACTGACCCCGCACTGGCGGAGGCGCTGGGGCTGCTGGAGAGCCTGCCGCGGGAGCTGGGAGCCGGCAGCAGCAGCATCAGGGGGGCGGCGGCGCATGGAGCAGCCGGCAACCACCACCACCAACACCCGCACCACCTCCACTCGCAGCACCACCACCGCCCGCAACGCGACGACGTGAGGATGGTGGAGCCGCGGGAGGAGGAGGAGCAGGCAGATAGCCTCATGGCGGGTGGCGGAGGCGGGGGTGGGGTTGGGGGTGCTGGGGTGTTTGGCAGCGGGGGCGTGTCGTCAGCCTTGTCGTACGGCAGCAGCTTGCGACGGCGGCTGTGGCCCTGGGGGCAGGGTCAGCAGGAGGGGGCTGCGGGGGGCGGGTACGGTGAGGGGGCTGCAGCCGCCTCGGGCAGTGGTGGCAGTGGCAGCGGACTGACGTCGTCGACGCCGAGAGGGGGTGGCGGTGGAGGAGGCGGTGGTGGTGGTGGTGGGCTGGTGTTGCCGACAAGCACGCTGGCCAGTCATGGATCTGTGGGGGCAGCCGGAGGCGGTGGCGGCGGGTTATCCGCTTCGGTGGCTGGCGGCAGCGGCAGCGAGGATGAGCGACGGCGGGGCAGCGGAGGTGGCGGCGGCGGTGATAACGGCAGCGGCAGCGGGTTAGGCGCTTGCATGACGTCACCTCCACACCTGCACGTCCCAGACAGCCCAGGCAAAGTAAAGAAGGATGCCGCCATGGCAGCGGCAGCTTCTCGAGCAGCAGCAGGGGGCGGCGGGGGAGGTCCTGGCGGGAGCATGGCGGGGCCGATGACGCCATCCACCAGGGGCGTGTTCGGCGACTGGCTGTGGCGCGGCGGCGGCATGCTGTTCGCCGCGTGTACGGCGCCTCGCCGGCCGCCGCTGCCTGCTGCTGCTGCTGCCTGCGAGGGGGGGCAGCAGCAGCAGGCGGGGGGCCTGGGCGTGGGTCTGCCCGGTGCTGCGGGCGGTGGTGGGGCTGCGCGGTCGAACTGGAGACGAGGAGGCCTGCAGATAGACGTGGGAGGTGAGTGGGTGGAGTGATGCTAGTGCCGCCATGCAATGTCTGCCTGTTACGTACCTGCATGGAGGGGGCTGCCTCCTGTGGTACGTCAGCTGACCGCCTGACCCGCTCGCCCCATCACACCCACCTGCGCTCCCGTTCTAACCCTTGACAGGCGGCTTCGATGACGAAACAGATGATGATGATGACGAGGAGGAGGAGCAGGAGGAGCGGAACCGAGCGGCAGCATCCGGGGCTGCCGGCGGGGTCGTCTTGGGGCGCGATGAGAGCTCGGAGGAGGATGAGGAAAGTGACGAAAGTGACGACGAGGAGGAGGCCGCCGGCATTGGTTCTCGACCCTCTTCGGACGGGCAAGCGGTGGGTGAGGAGGGGGGCCCCATGGCTCGTGACAGCGCCGCTGCGGATGCGGTCAGTGAGCAGCAGCTGCAGGCGGGCATCACGGCGGTCGTGGCGGCCGTGACCAACCAGGCCTCCCGCGCTGCCGCCGCCGCGGAGGGCGGGGCGGCGGCGGCACTACGGGACGATGACACCGTCCGGGCCGCGGAGGAGGTACTGCGGGAGGTGGAGGGAGCGGAGCGGGAGGCGGCGGCGGCGGCAACGGCGGGCAGCGGTCGCGGAGGGGGCGGCGGTGCAGCAGCAGGTGGTGCTGCGGGCCCAGCGGGGTTGCGGACCGCTGCTAGCATGCCGATGCATGGGGCAGCGGTGGGGAGGGAGGTAGGTACTGGAGGGCGTGCGGGTAGAGGGGGTGCAGCAGGGGGGTTGGCATCGGCAGCAGCCGCAGCTGCAGGAGCAGCGGCCGTACCCAGTGGTGACGGCAGCGGCGGCGCGCACCGACAGGGTGCCGGCGGGCTGTCGCGCGCAACCTCGGATGTGGGCGGGTCGGGCAGGGCGGCGGAGGAGCTGCTCAGTCCGCCCCTGAGCCCCGCCACCGCCGCCGCCGCAGCGGCTGCTGGCAGTGACCCCACCGCCGCTGCTGCCGGCGGCCGTACCGCCGCCTCTGACTACGAGACCCGCCTCTACAAGCGCCGCCTCTACCCCGCTGGGCGCATTCTACACTTCTTCCCCGCCGCCGCTGTGGCTCACCTACAACCTAGCAACCAACACCACCACCACCACCAGCAACACCCATCCGCCGCCCCCGACAGCAGCAGCAGTCACAGGAGCAGCACCCCCGGCGGCGTCAACGCGACGGCGGCGGCGGCATCAACGACGCCCGCTGACGCTGCGGCGGCTCGTACCTCCGCCGCCCAGGCGCCGTACTTGCTGTACGAGGTTGGTGACCCCCGGGCCTACTCGCGTGTACGGCTGTGTCGCACCATGGTATCCGACCACCTGATCCCCGCCTACCTCACCTCTCTGGAGAGCGTGCTGGCGCAGCTGGAGGAGCAGCAGCAGCGGGCGGCGCGGGAGGCATGGGAGCAAGAGCTAGAGCAGCAGCAGACGCGGTAGCCGCTGAGCAATAGCAGCAGTGGAGGCAGTAACAGAGGTAGCAACAGCAGTAGCAACACAGGCAGGAGCAGGAGGTAGAGTAGCAGCGGCAGCATGGTGTAGCAGCAGAGCAGCTAGCGGCGGCAGAGGTGGCAGCGACGCGCATTCGGTGAAGGGCATGAGTGACGAGAAGCGTGGGTAGGAGGGGGTCGTGGCAGCGGCTGCATGGATGGTGGTGTTGAGTGGCTGTAAGGGGCGTATGATGATAGAGGGCCGTAGGCGGGCTAAGCAGTGTATTTCGGCGGCTGCGTTGACTACAAGTCATCCCAATGCATCTGGCGTCCGGACTAACACTTTTGTTTCTTCTTCTTCTTCTTTGTGCTCGGAGACTCGGAGAGGAGTGTTGTTTCGTGCGGTGTGACTATGGTGCGGTGTGCGGCTTCAGTGACAGGAGGGCGGAAGGTGCGTCAGGAAGTTTGTTTGTTTTTGTCAGCGTGGGTTAGCCGCTGTCGGAAACGCCATGCGTGGTCTGCCTTGTAATTGCTGAATGAAGTGCGTGTGTTGCTGGTGGTGGGGAGGCGGCGGCCGCCACACCGCTGGGCCGACTAGCTTGCAGAGAGTGCAATCGCCTGGAGAGCCTCCAGGGGCAGGGGCAGGTGGGATGGAGGCATTGCAGCGAGCAACTGGCACTAGCCGATCAGGCGTGTTGTCACACAAGCCACATAACCAGCACACCTCAGTTGCCTTGCGCACGGTCCTTCCGGTGGCAAAGATGCAGGGTATAAGGAGCGTGCAAGTCGCTATGACGCCCGTCACGGGGTCTAGGCGGAGAGCTCACATGCACAAAAAGCCCCATCGCTAAGCAACAAGTCCAAGTCGTAACAACAGAAAGTGTAATGAAGGCGCATGCACGTTACGTCCACGGTGTGACATACCAGAGGCCCAACGCAGGTCGCAGGCATTGCAGCAAAGAATGATTGCCACCACAGTATGAAACGCACCGAAAGACAAAACAGAACGCAACCTAAGGGGGCGTCCGCGAAGAGGAACGCGCAAGTCAACTCAAGCTAATAGAACGGCTATTCACGGCTATACAACTTTGTTTACTATCTAAGCGGGTAGGCTTGGCCTGGCACTAAAGGCACAGCCAGCATGGGAGTGAACGGCGTAGGGCGCACGCACAACGATGCTTTTGCGGCGCTAACCAAACCCTCGTAGCACCCGCCTCCGCTGCCACCCCTTCACCTTGAACTTCCCGGTGTACACGTTACGCCAGCGGCCCCCTCACTGCATCGGAACAGACAAGATGCCAACCTGCATTCTATGGGTTTTAACTTGATACACAAACCCTCCTGCTAGACGCCCCATGCCACGGCAACATGCATCGGTGGATGCCGGAGGGACGGCGGCGACGTAACGCCCTCGGCTCGACAGCACAACAGCACTTTGGTGTGACAGGGAAGCAACAGCAGCAACCAACCACACGACAGCACGCAACGGGGATTACCTACGTACGGCAAGCGTCAACGGTAGTCGGATTTCGTGTTCTATATCAATCGGAAGCCATTCCAAGGATCAAATCAGAGCGCTCGCTCGCACGCCCCATCGCACATTGGAACGCCCGGCATGTTTCGATGCATCATCAAGCATGTCTCAGCTTGCAGTTCATTTGATGAGAGGGGGATGGGGCGAAGAAAAGCTGACCCGAGCACCCCTCCCCAACGACAACGGCAATAACAGCAAACGTCACACTGCACCGGAGGATTACGGAGGAATCACCAAAGCACAACAGCCGTCAACACACATGCTGCGGGCTCCTAAGGGGCTATACTTGCAGCCCTCCGCGGACCGTCTCTTCCTAGCAAGGCCCCTTCCTCTTTCCCTCCACTCCATACTAGCAACCTCCATGTAGCCATGAGCCCGACCCGCCGCCACCTCCCTTGTGGCCCCCGCCCCATCACGCGGTAGCAGCAGGAATCCCGGTGCACCCACCTCCGCTCCACTTCCGCATGCAAACGCACATGCAGGCACGAATGGAAGTGAACTACTATGAATACTATAATCATAAGCCCATGAATCCCCCACTCCGTAATGCGCCCCGGTCCCTTCCATCAATCAAAACGTCCTTCGCCGCCGCCAGCAGGACCATCGCTTTCCCCAACCATCAAACCCATCGCTGCTGCTTCCTGACCCGCCTCCATCCCCGCACTCGCCGCCGAGGAGCCGGGCCCCACTGCCGAGCCCTCCGCCCCGCTGCCGCTGCTGCTGCCAGCGTCCCCGTCATTCTCATTCATCTCCCCGCCGTTAACGCTACCACCCCAGCTGTACACTCCCTTCTCAGGCTTCAACGACGCGGCCTCGCTTCCCTCATCCGCAGGCAAAGGTCGCCCCGCAGTACCAGCACTACCCGTATCCGCGCTCGCTCGCTTGCTGCTGCTGCCGCCCAGCTCCGATACGCCGTCCCCACTGACCCGTGGGTCACCGCCACCGCCACCACCACCTCCCACACCATGTTGAATCACCACCACCGCATCCACGCTGCCGCTGCCCTTGCTTCCCGACACCGCCGTCGCCGCCCCGCTGCTGCCGTACCGCCCGCCCGCCTCCATCTCCGCTTCCGCCTCGGGCTCCTCGGGTACCGCCGGCAGGGTGAGACCCCCCGAGTGCGGCAAACCCAGTTCCGCGGGGGCAGACACAGCAGCAGCAACAGTACTGCCGTCCAGCAGGCCGCCTCCGTAGCCGCCTCCGTAGCCACCTCCTCCGTAGCCTCCGCTGCTGCTGCCCTCGGGCGCCATGTCGTCCACTGCGCCGCTGAGGGAGGGCAGCTGCGAGAGGGAGGCCTCCTGCAGGTCCGCGGCGCTGTCCAGGCACCAGCCCCACCTGGGAGGGGGTGGGGGGAGGGGCAGAAGGTGGGAGTGAGGGATCGCAGGGCGTGAGGGATTGCAGGGAGTGAGGGATCGCAGGGCGGGTGGTAATGTAGAAGTGGGAAGGAGAGGGGGGGCTGAGGCGGGTGAAGGGGACGGCATGCAGCAACACCAGGTGGGTGACAGCAGAGGGCCGTGTAGCGGCCAGGCAGCTAGTAGGCCCCAGCAGGCAGGCGGCGCTAGGGCTTGCGTGCCCTCCTCATCACGTCGCAGCATCCCTCTCCCCCCACGCAGCACATGCGCGCGCCCCCGCCACTACCAACCAACCCCACTCACCCGCCATCCGTGTGTGCCCTCGCCGCCACCTGCGCAGCCGCCGCCGCCCTCGCCGCCTCCATCGCTGCAGACCCAAACACGCCTCCACCCCCACCACCCCCCGCCGCCGCCCCCACACCAACCAGCCTCGCAGCTCGGACCTGCATCGCCGCCCTCGCCTCCGCCGCAGTGGGTGCCCTCGCACTGCTCGGCCTCACCCGCCCTGCAATACCCACACCTCCCGCCACCCCTCCCCCCCGCAGCGGCGACGACCCAGGATACTCCCTCCTCCCTCCCGCTCCCGCTCCCACCCCCGCACCTCCCTCACTCCCGCTCCCCTCACCCCCACCAATCCCCTCCACCGCCGCCGTCACCCCGGCCATGATGCTATTCGCCCGCGCCGCCGCCGCCCTCCGCGCCGCCTTAATACTCGCCATCGTGCCCGCCCCCACCGCGTTCACGCGATGCATGGGGCCCAACAACGCAGTCGCCTGCGCCTCCAGCTCCAACGCCATCGAGGCGTACGGCCGCAGCAGGCTCCGTTCCGCGCCCGCCGCCACCGCCGCCGCCTTTGCCGCCGCGGAGAACTCCGGATCCAGGCTCAGCAGCGGCGTGGTGTCTGGGTCGATGCCGGCTGCGAGGGCGGAGTTGATGGCAGCCGCCTCCGCCACCGCGGCCGCAGCGGCAGCGGAGCGCAGCTTGGGCACCCCGGGCAGGCCCCGCAACTCCTCCACGACGCGGCAGATGTGGGAGGTGATGAAGAGGAGCGCCTCCGCGCCGCCCGCGGTGGCGGGGCGGGTGGCGGCTAGCTCCCGCAGGTCGGGCATGGTGAGGTGAGGCGGGAAGGAGGACCTGAAGGGGTAGGGGGTGGAAGGGAGGGAGGGAGGGAGGGAGGGAGGGAGGGAGGGAGGGAGGGAGGCAGACGTGACTGCCGTTCAATGTGGCGCCTCCAACTCACCAGGTGGACCAGACATGGCTGACCAGATATAGCTTTAAGGACTCTTTCCCAGTGCTCGCAAGCAATCCGCCGCACCACCATACCATGCCTCCCACGCCGGAAGCAACCCAGACGCCAGCCCCCAGCCCCCCAAACACCCCAAGGCCCCCATCCCACCCCATCCCATCCAGCCCCCACCCCCACCCACTTGAGCAGCCGCGCCTCCCCCATGAACAGCCGGTGCGACCGCTCCAGCACCGCCAGCGCGGAGCGAACCATGGGTCGCGACAGGTTGTTGCCCTTGGGCAGCGCCATAGGGGGGGCCGCTGCGGGGGGGCAGGAAGGCGAGGCAGCAACAATACTTTACGACTCAACAACACTACCAAGGCCAGGGTCATCACTGGCAAGGCCCGGTTTATAAAGCGGGCGAGGACTTCCTGAGTCCCTGCATCTCAGTTGGTTACCCCTCCCTGACACAACCCTCAGCAACACCCAGTTCACCCTCCCTTCCCGCCTCCCCGCCCCCCTCCCTCCCTCACCCGCCAGCTCCTGTTCCCGCTGCTCGTACCCCGCCAGCCGCTCCCTCGCCGCCGCCAGCTCCCCCTCCGCCGCGTCCAACCGGGCAGCCAGCACCCGGCCCAGCTCCGCCTGCCGAGCCGCCTCCGTGCGCACCCGATCCAACTCGGACTGGGGGAGGGTGAGGGGTGGTGGGGGGTGGTGAGGGAGGAGAGGAGGGCGGGCGGAGGTAGGTAATGGGAGGGGAGCAGGGTTGAGGGGAAGCGAAGAGGTGAAGGAGGGTAAGTGAAGCAGCTTGGGGGGAGGGGACTGCTAACTTCAGTCCCTCTTCGCCCTCGGACACTCCCGCTTTAGCTCCCCACACTCACCCACCATACCCCCTAGCGATCACATCCGGTTTCCCCTCCGCCCCATCCCCCCCACCACCCAACACCCCCCCCACCGCCCCCCTCCTCACCTGCAGCTCCTGCAGCCTCTGCGCCCGCGCACCCGCCTTCACCTCCGCCAGCTGAGACGCCAGCGCGTCCCTCGTCGCCATCAGCGCCCGCACCTCCCGCCGCAGTGAGCTCACCAGCGAACAGTTGGCGGCGGCAGCGGCGGCGGCAGCGGTGGAGGCGGAGGCGGGCAGCAGGGCGGCGGCGGAGGGGGAGGCGGAGGGCGGCTGGGGGTGCTGGGAGGCGGAGGCCGGCCGAGGGGGGCGGGCGGAGGCGGTGTCGGCGTCCGCTGTGACGTCCTCCGCTGCGCCCGTTTCGGTGACGGAGGCGAGCAGGTGGGCTGCGGATGCGGCATGATGGTCAGCCTCCCTGAGGGAGGGGTTGGTGCGGACAGGGAGGGAGGGCGGGGAGGTGATGGGAGGGGTGGGGTTAATTTAGAAACAGAATCCGCATCACGCTGGATAGTTGGGATAGCAAATAATTGGGGTGGGGTGGGGAGACAACCCTGTGCTGCTGTCCAAAGTAGTACTACCGTAACGCGTACAGCATGTGCCGCGATCCGGCCGTTAATGCGTAAAAAGTCCACAAGGAGACCACCTCCCTCCGAACAGGAAGCTCTGGAAGCGTCCTTCACCCCTTGTCCCCATCTCGCCCCTCCTTGCCCCTTTCCGCACCCCCTTCCTCCCCACCACTCACCATGCCGTGACCTGCCGCTTCCCCCCGCCGCCGCCGCCGCTCTCCCTCAGCCCCGCTGCCCCTGCTACCGCCGCTATCCCCGCCGCCCCCGCCGCCACCACCGACCCCGCCGCCGCCGCCCCCGCCGCCGCCAGCCACTGCTCCATCCGCACCCGCGCCGCCCGCTCCGCCTGCAGCTCCCACTCCATGCGCCGTACGGCAGCCACCGCCGCCGCCTGCTCCTCCCGCGCCGCCGCCTCGCGCTGCCGCGCCGCCGCCAACTCCTCCTCCAACGCCGCCGCCGCCCGCGCCGCCGGCAGCGAGCGCTCCAGCATGCCCAGACCGCGCGCGGTGGACTTGGAGGTGGCGGCGGTGAGGGCGGTGACGACGGAGGGTGCGGCGGAGTTGACGGCGGTGATGACGGAGGCGGTGCCGGAGGTGTAGGTGTTGGTGGAGGTGGTGGCAGTGGTAGCGCTGGCGGCGGTGGTGGCGGTGGCGGCGGTGGTGGAGGTGTAGCAGGAGGAGACGGAGGCGGAGCGGTGGCGGCCGATGGAAGCGGAGCGGGCCGCGGCTGCTGCGGCCCCTCCTGCACCTCCGCCGTGGGTGAGGGAGGAGCGCTCCTGGAGGATGCTGCTGGTGCTGGCGCCGCTGCTGGGGATGGCGCCGGAGGAGCGGCCGCGGGGGGTGGGCTGAGGTGACGGCTGGGAGTAGGGGGAGTGGTAGTTGGTTGGGGTTTTGGAGCGGGTTACGGTGTGGAAGGTAGGGGTGGCGGATTTGGGTCGGGGCTTGGGCTTGCTTGGTGGGATGGTGCTGTGGAGAAGGGGGAGAGGAGGCCGGGAGGAGGGGAGGGGAAGAGGAGGGGAAGGGGGAGGGAAGGGAGGAGGGAGGCTAGGGTCAGGGGGTGATTTGGAGTCGAGGATGTGAGGAGTAAAGCAGGTAGGTGCAGGAGTGGCCGACGGCAAACCGGAAGGGAACAACTAAGGCAAAAGGCAAGCGTGCGGAAGCAGGCCGCGGAATTACCGATACCCCCAGCTGCCAAGGCTGCTGGACCACCCGAGTCCAACATTAGTCAACGCCCATTTGTTCTTCTACATAACTAGGAACCGATTAACCTTCCTCCGCATGCTGGGTTGAAGAGGCCCCATGCGCGCCTGGACCTGGAGGGCCCCACCAACCTGGAGGGCTCAAGAGGAGAGCCTGGGTAGGAAGCGCCGTAAAGTCGGTTGTCGTCGCCGACCAGCATGCCGCCAACAGCAGGCGTTCCATTTGGTTTGCTTTGGAACTGGCCCTTGCGCGTTGAAGACAAGCGGTCCGGTGGCAATGCGCAACAACCGCGAGTATATGATGACGAGGAATGATCCTGCGGAAAAAGGTTTCCACGTAGCAAACAATACTGCTGAGTAAACGTAAGAGATGGACGTGCATTGGCACGTCATTTGCTAACGGGAAGGGGACGCGAGCCTGGCACAATGCATGTCAGCGAGGTTGGCCACACTCATGCAAAGGCGAAAGCAAGTTGTATGTTGCAAGCGGCCAAGGTTTGCAAGCCACTTCAATCCGCGTCGCCCTCATGGATAGGCCGCCCAAGCCCGCGCCACGTTCCCAACGCTATCTGGCAGGTAGACATTACAGCACCCATGGGATTCCAAAAGCGTAGCCAGTACGTTAACAAACTCATTGTTATCCTCCTTATCCCAAAAACGATGCCAGGGTTATGACTTCGAACGTACGCTAACAGCAATGGACAAGCGCAAGCCCGAGCTCCGCATGGAATTCCGCACAATTATATTATTGCTTACCATTCTTAGCTTGTCTTCAAAGGAAGAGGCCGGCGTTTACAGTCGGGGACATAAGGTAGCGTTGCTGCGCAAGCGAAAAGCCGAAGGTAGGGGAGTTCATTGAGTTATATGCTAGAAACAGAAGCTGTGCCGTCCTAGCAAAGTGCACGGCCACTTCCTCTTCAGGCTAGGCGCACCCAGGGCTGGATCTACCGTACAGTACCAATGATGGTCGACACGACGACGGGAAGCGGCGAAGCGCGGAGTAGAAATTACGGGACATCAAGCAGATTCTAATAATACTACCATGGCGGACCTTGAAGCATTCACTGGTTGGCGATGCGTGATTGCTGCTGTCGGAGGTGCAGGGCACGAAAGCCTGACTTTCCGGATGTCGTCGAGCGCAACAGCGTCTTTACGCATTCCCAATATAAGACGTTAACGAAGCAAAATTAAAAACGTGCCAAGCGCGTTCTCCTGCAAAATGGCGTCGTATAATTCGTACTGTCGACAGACCAGCGCCAAGCGGCTTGAGACACTGAGACCCAGAAAGCACGAGAGAGCATCCTTCCTTTCATGCACGTAGGCTGGACAACCACGTTTAACATGACAAGTCATGATAATTAATCGTCTGCGCCTTTCGACTACCTCACGGGAATAGACCTGCGCACCACTTGCAACAAACAACAACAAAGTGCAACAAGGCATATTTACCAGGCAGGTCAAGACAGAAAAAACCCAACGGGTACCGTCTGTTCTCATTATGTTGCCCATGCTTACTAGGGCCTCTCCTCGGTGGTTTCCTCAAGATGACCACCTGTTGCTTCAATGCCGCAAAAGTCCAGGTCCGTAAGCCGACCATCGATTGATGCCTGACACGCGTCTCAACCTAGCAATCAATCGCACAGCGCCCCTCTGCACCAGCCAACACTCGGCACCATCCTTCACCTGAAACCTGAACTGCCCTGACGAACCAGCTAACCGTCGCACCCGCACGCAGCAAGCACGACATCTCAGCCGTGGCGCACGGCTTCCCCCCCGGCATCCATCCAGGCATAACCTCCAGGAGCAACGACAAACTGCAACCGACTGCAGCCGAACACGTGATTGCTGTCTGCCAACCAGGTTCACCCGGCCACTCGCCGTACACGCATGCTGCAGACACGCTACCCTCTCCTGCCCTGCAGAAACGCCATGCTCACAGCAATGAAAGGCAGCGCATGCCGTGAGGGGCGATGCTCAGAACTACTATCCAACATATGTCAGCAAGGTTGCACTGTATCGCGTCTTCGGCCCCCATCGTTCACATTTAGCCCTCCATACAACCGAAGCAATTCATACTTGATGTGAAAATCACTACTGGTTTGGCCCGTGCAGCCAAACGGGACATAGGTAACAATGTCAACACGTACAGTGATGGGGGCACATCGTCTGCAGCCATGAAACATTCAGCAATACTTCACAACCCGCATCCTCCGTAGTCGAGTCATTGCCCCCTTGGATAATTAAGTACATCATGCAAGCATCGCCTTGCACTAGCTTATTGACAGCACAGCGTCCATTGAAGACCCCATCATACACCCCCACAACGACGACAATTTATTAGTCATGGTACACGTTCGGGCCGCCAGAGGCAGTACGGCAAACAAGGAAACCTGATCTGGGTCGAGTCCTCCCTAGCCCTTATTTATCCCACACGGAGCCCAATCCTTCCACACCCTTTTCAACCAAACAACTTGCCACATCTTTATTAGCATGTATGTATGTTTACAAAAATTGACGATAGAATCAAGCCCAGGGAGCAGCGCGTGGAGCATGCAGCGGCACTCACACGCACGCTCCTGCCCAGTCCCAGCTTTTTTCAGTTACAGTTATTAGCGTCTGTACGTGCGCACGGTGTGCCCGTACGGGCCAAGGACAAGCGCAAAACACCTGCCACCGTCACCTGCCGCGTCAACTCCCCTTGCATCTAGCCGCATTAGCACTAGTCCTCTTTCAAGAGCAGCTCGCCAACAGACCCCGCGGAAGTATTGCGCGCCTCAATCCCGCTCTCACCAAAGGCGCCAGCTGCCATCGAGGACGCGGCCGCGGGCGGGAAGGTCGGCAGTTCAAAGGTGCCGAGCTCCAGCGAGCGCCGAATGAGCTTCTGCACCCCATCAAGCTCCTGTGCCAAGGCCGCTAGTCGCCTTGGTTCCGCGCGCTTGCGCGACCACCATTCTCGGAGCCAGACCAGCCTGACAACCATGAACAAGATGGTAACCCCCACATACGTGATGTTGACTGTGTCAAAAATCCACCCGAATTCTAGGGCGTTGAGGATACACGCGACGAGTTGTACGATGTCGCCGACCATCAATGACGCAATGACTATCTCCAGCACGCTCTCCGTTTTACACCGCAGCCCAAGCTGAAGGGATACGGCCAACGCGATAACCCCGACTCCACCATGGCGCGCCGCAGCTGAGCAAGGCTGCAAGGGAGCGCCTACACTGTCTAGTGTCCCTGCCCAAAGCGCAGGAAGAAGCAAGGACGATATGCCGGAAAACAGCATCAGAATGACCTCCAGCTGTAAGATGGCGCGTGCGATGAGCGCAGTTCGGCTCCGGGGCTCTGCTGTAGCCGCGGTTGGGCGATAGGCCGAAAAATGAGCGCTCTCTGAATTTTCGCTCCGCTGTAAGTCTTCCATGGTAGATCAAAAACCCTCGATTGCGTCTAAAGATACTATCGCATTTACGTGGAAGCGCGAGGGCTTGCGCCTTGACACATGTCAAATTAGTATGACAAGGTATCGGTACTCCTCTCGTTACCCCGCGGCATAACAATAAGTAACACCTGCTCAATACCGGTATAGTAACGTGCAAGGCTGCGTCCCTGTATTTCATTTATGCAGGAGAGCCGTGTCCTTGTCAGTACAACTTCATCAAGTGTGCAAAAGGATTGCAACTTGCGTACTATTTTGCCAGCCCTACCATTACTGCAACCCCGGAGCCTCACTATACCCTTTCCCTGACAAAATATATCCGGAGAACGTCTGGGTTGCCGAATGGCCACGGCCAACCCAGCGCAGCGCACGGCTTCCAAGACTGTAACCGATACCATAGTTGGTAGGAGGACTTCGGTTGCTGCATAGCCTTTGGGTTCTTTGACAGTTATTAAGAGACACTAATGTAACTTCTTCTGTGTCCGCAGGCGAGCATACCCATACCATTGTTGGGTACAGTCTTATTAAGGGAATAGGCGACGGCGAACCCATAGCATCGGAGCGCTTTGTAGTCGGGGGCCATGAGTGGGTAAGTGCAGGGACTTTGCGCGCGCCTTGCCGTCTCCGTTGCTGCTCATGAATTCCCTACGAGGTCACTTGCAGTTATTCCGTCGTGATAGCTGCGTTGCCTTGCTGTAGCCTTGTAACCGCTACGCAACGTCCCACTGTGTCTCACGTTGGGAGCGTTTCCCGCGCTGGTCCTCCTCTCCGCATCCTTCCAGCTTGATCTAAACAACATGTACCTCCCACATCTGCCAACCAGGTCCTTCTCTTCTACCCAGACGGCAAGCGCAGCTCATCGGAGGGTCCGATGGGCAATGGACCAGGCGGAGATGGCGGAGGCCACGCAGCAGTAGCCCTACCCGTTGCCGCTGTGGCTGGTATGGCTGGACGTGACGACCCTCTCGACCCCGTAGGCTTACCGCCCCCGGGTGCCGCCCCGGGTGGAGTGGCGATGGGCGCTCCGGAACACCGTGCGGCAGGTGGCGGGGGTGCCGGGGGAGGCGGGGGCGGCGCTGACGGCCCCCACCATGGAGCTGGTGGAGGCGGCGGAGGTGCGCTGGTTGCCGCTGCCGCGCCGCACCACCACCAGCACCACCCGGCTCACCCGCACGGGGGAGGAGGAGGGGGGGGCGGGGGGCAGCATGCCGCCCTTATGGCGCAGCTGGGGCCGCTGCACCGGCAGCAGCGGAGGGACACCACGGTAGGGAAGGGGGGCGGGGGGTGGGGGTGGGGGTGGGGGTAAAGCAAGTGGAAAGGGCAGCACCGGGAGGGGAAGGGAGGTAGGCCGGGACACTGCTGGAGGGTCTCAACATGTAGTTTGTGGTGAGGGGGGACGGGTGGTCCTGTGAGGATGCTAAGGCTGCTTTTTGCACTTCAGTTGGGATATGCGTTTGGCGTGGATATGCGGCGGCATGGTGAGTTCACAGCACATGTCCCCCCTCCCTGCGATCTTCCTGCGGCCACACCGGCCACCCCACACGGCTGCACCGCTGCCGCGCACCCGCACCTTCAGCCCGTGCACCCCCCGCACCGTCTTCCCCTCCTCGGGATATGGGATTGGGACTCGTTGTTTCACTTATTTATTTTTTTCCTCCCATTCGTCACCCTCTCTGCCTCCCATCACACGCCTACACCCCCCTGGCGACCATCTTCCCACCCCTACCGCCCTTCCACCCTCCCCCCTTCCAGAACGAGTACGCGGCGCTGTTTGTGGCGCTCATTGGGGAGGGCAACAACCCGCAGGTGTGGGGGGGAGGAAACAACTAAGGAAACGTGTGGCAAGCCGTCATCCTTATGGGGGTGGGTGGAGGAACGGCCTGGAGAAGATGGGCAGGAAGGAACAGCCATAGCATGGGGAGGAGGGAGGGAGGGAGGGAGCAGCGGGGTGGGGTTAAGAGAAGCAGGTATTCCGCATGGGATTGGCCGGGTGCGGGGCGGGCGGGGTCAGTGTCTTGATGTGGCTTGGGCGGGGGGGAGGGGGCTGAAAGGGCGAAGAGGGTGGATGTGGGTCTCTGCAGGGGAGTTAGGGGAGGTGCGGGGGGGGGTATAGGAGTGGGTGCCAGAGTGTGCACGGCGAAGAAGGCGTATAGGCAAAAGTGGGCACAGGGGGGGGGGTAAAGAGGAAACAACTAACTGACTGGCACAGAGGGGGGGAGGTGACGTGTCATGCTGCACGCCCGGATCCTCCCTGAATTCGTGTTCCCCGTCCGTCCGCTTCACCCCTGCTTCCCCGCTCCCCCACCTCCCACCCCCCATTCCTGCCCCCCCACACCCCACCCCAGGGTATCGTGAGTACGTCGGAGGGCAAGGTGGTTCGCGCCTTCCATCGCTTCACACTGGTCGACCAAACGGGTGAGGCGGGAGGGGGCTTGGGAGGTAGCGGTGGAGGGGGTGGGTGGGTTCGTTGGTTGGTTGGTAGGGCCAGGGCGAGGCTAGCCGGTCCGGAGGTGGTGGTGTTGCTGGTGCGCCTTCATGACACAGGGCAGGGGGGTCTGGAGGGCTGGAGGTGGGTGGCCTGCCTCCATCCGGTAAACTACGGTCAGGATCAGGGTCAGGGTTTCCGCGGCTCAGTTTACCTAAATCCCCCTCCTGTGTCCCCCCCCCCGCAGGCCAGGGTCGCGACCTGACCAAGGGACGCACCCGGGACGCGGGGGCGGTCAAGATCAGCTGCGCGCGGCAGGTGGGGGGGGGCAGGAGGCGGTTGGGGTGTGGGGTGGTGGTGTGGGTGGGGGACCAGTTGGGAATAACGGAGGGATGAGTGGATTACTGCGAGCTGGGTATGAGGCGTGAGGCTCCGGATGTGCGCCTCCTCATGCTGCCCCTCCCCCCTCCTCCCCCCCCCCCCCAGGACCCCAACGCCCGCAACTGCCACGGCTACCGCAAGTTTGTGAAGCGCTCGCTGCTGGAGGACCCCGGCAAGGGCTACCTGGTGAACGATGCGCTGGTCATCAAGTACACCATCGAGCTGGTGGTGTCCAGCGGTGAGGCGCATGAGGGCCCCCCCTCCCCCTCCCCCTCCCCCTCGCCTATACACTCCCTGTTCGGAGCATCATCCACCTCCGCCTCATCCCTCACTTCCTCTCCCTCCACCCAGTCGGGATTTGGGATTGGGACTCCGTTGCTGCAACGTTTATCATATATTTTCCCCCTCCCCCAACCACTCCCCCTCCGCAGGCGGCGCCCTCATGCGCGGCGGCTCCTCCGCCCGCAGCCCCGCCGACCTGATCCGCGTGCCGCCCCCCTCGCTGGGCCCCGACCTGGCCCCCCTGCTGCAGCGGGCGGAGGGGACGGATGTGACGCTGCTGGTGGAGGGGGAGGAGTTCAAGGTGGGGGGGGGCGCAAAGAGAGCGGGCGGTTGGGGCGCGGCTGCTTATGGACTTTGGTGCGTGGTGTGCCATTGCTAGGTGATGCTCCGGAGGAGGAGTACCCTGCCGTCCTTCAACTTGGTCTACCTCTTCCCTCAACACCTCATCCCTCCTTCCCCCTCTTTCGTATATTTCACCCCCTCCCCCCCTCCCCCCCCCAGGCCCACAAGTTCCTGTTGGAGGCGCGCTCGCGCTTCTTCCATTCGCTGCTGAACAACAGCATGCGCGAGGGGCGGGAGGGGCGGGCGGTGGTGCAGGACGTGCGCGCGCCCGTGTTCCGAGCGCTGCTGCACTTTGTGTATACGGACACGCTGCCGGAGGGGGTGAGAGGGGCGGGAGGGAGGGGGGCGGCGGGCGGGGTGGGGGAGGGAGAGGCATGGGAGGCGCGGGGGCTCGTGGCGGGGAGTCCAGGAGGAAGGGTTCAAGAGGTGCTCCTCAGGGTCATCAGTCGTTTTGGACCTGCTACCGGTATGTCCATCACAAACAGGCGCTGGCAAGGGTCCGCCCAGCCACCCTTAGTCCGCATGCCCTCTCTCACTTCCCCCCTCACGCCCCCTCCCCCCTTCTCCCCCCCCTCCCCCCCCTTCATGCAGATGGAGGACGCCAACCTGGAGGTGGAGATGGCGCAGCACCTGCTGGCGGCAGCCGACCTCATGCAGCTGGAGCGTCTGCGGCGCATGTGCGAGCGGCGGCTGTGCGAGTGCGTGGACACGGAGAGTGTGGCCTTCACGCTCGCGCTGGCGGACAAGAACCACGCGGAGGAGCTGAAGAAGGTGTGTCTGGATTACGTGGGCCGAAACCTGGGCGCGGTGATGAAGACGGAGGGCTACACGCACATGGTAGCAGCGTGTCCGGGGCTGCAGGCGGAGATTCTGGCGACGGTGGCGGCGCTGGGGGGGGCGCCGGAGGGCGGGCGGGAGGGCAGGCATGCGCGTGGGGGGGCGCCGGCGTTGCCTGGGGGTGGAGGGAGTGGGGCGGGGGCGTGTTGTGGTGGGGGAGGGGGCGGGCGGGGGAGGGATGTGGCGCTGGAGATGGAGGAGGTGCGGCGGGTGCGGCCGCGACGGGATTGAGGGGAGGGCGGGGCGGAGGTAGAGTGGGGCGTGGGAGGTAGGGCGGGTAGGTGGGTGGGTTGTTGATGTGGGTTTGGAGAGCCATGCCCCGGAGAGGATGGTGGGGTGGTTGAGTTGGTGGGGGCGTGATGTGGCTGTGGGTGCGTTGGGGTTGGCCGGGTTGGGGCTTCTGAGGAGTCTTGCACTAGGAGGACGTGTAGAAAGACGTTTTAACAACACACGCTTGCTGTGTGTTGCTTGTATATTTCGAGTAACAGTACTTCCTAACCGGAATTAAGGGGTGAGTCCCCAGTCCCGTTGCATGAGATACAACCTCATAAAAGCTTGTTTTTTTGTGTACGTGTACGATTTTGGAATTTGGAACTTGCAGCTGAGTGGGCTCTAGTGACAGCAGTTGTGGAACAGCGGGGGTGGCGCAGTCCCTGCTCTCGTGCCCATTAGGGCGAGAGCATGTTGTACGGCTGAGCACTGGGTAGGAGACTTAACACCGCAAACTCATGACGCTTCTTTTCACTAGTATGTGTGGGTGCATGCATGCGTGCCTTTTTAATCGTTCGCAGTTTACCCGTAGGCCTCTGTTGGGGGCCGCGTCAAGGCGGGGCTTGGATGGCAAGTTAAACATGGTTTAGCTCTTAAGTCATAGTGTCGATAACAGCTACGTCGGGGTTAGCTTTTAGTAACACGTGTTACGTCATGCTCTGTGCCTTGTGCATGTCGTGCAGAGTTCTGTTTGTGGCACAGAGCAGAGCGGCACTGCTGAAGACGTTGTTGCTACCGTATTCCTAGGAGGGAGAAGCTTACCACGGCCTCCTAGCTTCGATCGGTCCACCTGTATTGCGGCCCGTGTACACATCCTAGCATGGGCCAGTGGGGACCCGTGGTTGTCCGCCGCATCATGTACTAAAACGAGTCATGTCAGGGAGACACGTTGTAACAAATGGGTTGCACAGCAGTACTACTGGTATGCTCTTTGAATGGCAACAACCTCCACTATCCGAGCTATGCTGATGTACACCGCACAGGGACTGCGGGGCTAGAACGACAGGTGTGTCGGTGCCCTGCCTTAGCATATCCCATTCGGAGCCGCAGCCGCCTGCAAAACTCCCAGACGCGATCCTCCGTCATTACGGCACGGGAACGCCCCGACCCAAATCTCACAGCAGGCCACTATGTACGGCGGCGCACACCCCGTCAACTGGCTGAACTCCCCGTCACGAATCAGGCTATGTCGTATATACAGGCGTTACGACCCCTTGACATGCCTACCTACGAACGCCACCAGTCAATGCACGCTAAGGATGTGCTCGTCTAGCTACTGTAACCCGTCGCTGTATGCACGCTAAGGGCCTTGGCCACATGCTTACTAACATGGTCTTGGGTAAGTGCACGCTAACGATATCATCGTCTAGCTACTGTAAACGTTGCTGTACGTCTTATGTCCTATTAGTGAGGCAGTTAACCACAATTCGACTCATAAAGCTCGGCACCGCTAGTCTTGGTACTGAGGTAACGTTCTAGACTTCTTCATTGAGCAGCTGCAACTGGCTTCACGGCCGCGTTCTCATCAGCCTCGTCCTGCATCTGCTCGTCCACCTGCTCTGCAGCGCAGCAATCCGGCGCAACGAGCGGCCCCTGCTGGCCCGCGGACTGGGGAAACAGCAGCCCACTGTTCGAGCTGCCCATGACCGCCTTGGTCGCGTGAACCCCCACAGCAGCCTCACCCAGCTGGCGGCCAAAGTGTTGGCGCGGTGCGCCGCGCAAGTCGCTCTTGTTGTTGTTGTTGGGATGCGAAGGCGCACCCCAGGGGGGCGGCTGCGTGCTCCGTGTGGGGCTGTCGTATGCGTCCGAGGTGGCCGCGGGCCCGCCGGTTGCCAGCGTGGAGTGGCGAGTTGGTGAGGAAGAGCCATCCTGAAGGTCAGTTTGGCGCAACCGTTAATAGGTATCAAGTTATCAAGCCTAGAGCTTTGCTTTGCTTTTAGGAGAAGTGCGGATCACTTGCCTGCGGTTGCGTGTGCGCACGGACAGGTGCAAGCACGGAGGCCGTTATCCGCGCGTTGCCACCTGCAGGCCTCGGCAGAGGCGGCAGCTCGGTACTCCAAAGCCGCTTTGCAGCGCTGCCAGGTGGCCGATTAGGAGAGAAGCGTAAGCCAAGCATGCTCTTTGGCTTTGTATCTGGAGACTTCATGTCAGCTGCACAATAAAGAGCGTCGGAAGGGATTAACGGGTGTTTGCGAAAAGAGTTGTGAGCAGAGGGGACCTGAGGGGACCAACTAGCAAAAGCTACCGCCACCTACAAGCGTAAGCAAACGCGTAGAACTCGGCGAAGTTGCTCGTAACATCCCCAAAAGGCCGTCGTATGGCTGCTGATGCGGACCCAAGCTCCGGTTCCGGCATACCGGTAATTGCATCTGCGACCTGCCCATGGAGGCAGGCGCTGACAGGAGCTCCATCGTCGAGCTCATATGCCCATTTTGTGTTGTCGGCTGTACCATATTCTGTTCCCGTGCTCTCCATCTAGGTTCGAGCTTGAGCTGTAACCAAGAACCTAAAAAACTGGTAACAAAAGGACAAGCATATGGGACGAAGGGCTGTCCAGGCCAGCCGCAAACCACTTAGCCAAGTAGAACTGTAGAGGGCACAAAGAATATGGAAGGGCCAACGGTACCGACCTGGCATGCGGGGGGATTTAAGATCCAGCTTCAAAACGCGGTTCTGGAGCAGGTGGCTAAATGATGGACACTTAAGCCAAGCATTGATACAGCTGCTTGTAACAACAACAACATGCTATGGCTTGATGGCCACGCAAATTCCATGCGTTCGGCAGGGGCACTGGGGCAGCCCTCCGTTCCGAGGTTCCGAGTGAGTTGTTTCGACGGCTCTTACCAAGCTTGACCTCCAAGACGTTAATTTATTTATATGTAATTATGCTGTAGGCAGAATAATCACTGCAACCCTCTTTTCTATGCATCTTGCACCATAGGGTTAAAATTCCCTACTTATTGCCCTTCTTCATTTCGTCTGTTCCTAAAGGGATATACATCTGAGTAAGCAGAATAAGCATCTGCAGTGCGTAGGGCAATGAATAGGCACGTTGGGCGTGTCCAGGTGAACTGGTAATGCAAAATAAATGACCTCAGCGAGCGCATAGCCCACGCCTATTAGCCGCGCCATTCCCCTGTTTCTCTAAGACTCTGTTTAGTCCATACTGGTAATGCAGGCTCGCGCTGCCCATGGGGCCCTGGGGCTGCTACAACTAACGCTTCCTGTAGGCCTGCGTTAACCAACAAATTAAGTGATAGTCAGATATGCCTGATAAGAAAGGAACACACACACACACACATGTCATTTTGCCAGTTCCCACTCAGCAGGCAATTGATCGAGTTGATCGTGTCGTGTTTTTCACCTTCGTCCCAGTTCTACCACTTCTCGCCTCTTCTTAGTCATCTGCTCATCCCCCAATCACTCCCCTGTTACCCAACCCCAACCAGTACCTTGTACGTACTGTGGGAGCTTGTTTAAATTTCCGAGTCACAAGCCAGGATTTCTTAAATGTTGTGAGGACCTCTACATTGGTCTAGAACTCATGTCTTGTGTGGCACTGCATCCAGCATGGCCCTGGATCCATGACCTTGACGGCCGGGCGGGAAACGAATAATTACAATACTAACGCTTGGGGGCCTTTAAAATAACATTGTGAACAGTACCGCTAAGACAGCGCACCCCAGCGTCCACGGCAATAACGTCTATGCGAAGGCAAAGGCGTTTCCATAAGTTCCAAACACTAGCAAATGCTGTAAACAACAATTGCGTGCGCGCTTTAAATGAATGGATAAGGATGTAAAGGGTCGCCTGCTACCTGCGCCCACCACCGCCATGCCATGTCAACAAACTGCTGCATGATAGACAACTCAAGCGGTTTAAATAGCCGTGAAGCATGATGTATTACAATTGCGCGCCAAAAGCACGTTGGCTAAAACAAATCCTATCCAAGTGCTTGAACCTCATTTGTCATTTCGGTCCAAAATGGCCGGCTGCCATCCTCGTGCAGGCAGGGAAACGGCCGATTACACCAAAACTGCTGGCGAACAAGTTGTTGCACCGCAACGGCGGTGTGCTGTAATACCGGTAAGTCTCTCCTTCAAGACAGGTATCCGCCCCGTACCTATACACGCAACAGCGCATTTGCACACCCACCCACCCCCCATACACACACGCCGGACCTCCCACCCCCCCATGCAAGCGCGACGCTCACCCCGTCATCCATCCACCAGACCATCCGTCCATCCACGGAATGCCGTGCTGCAATCCACATGTATGTGCTCCCACACATGAGGGCGTCAATAGGCGCAGGGCTGCTGCAGAGGTTTGCATGGACATTCGACTACCGGTACAGATCACGCAGTCAACGCCGGATACATGCAGCAGAGACAGCAATGCCCTCACCACACACGGTCCCCTTCTCAACACACCACAAGCAGCAGTCCCCCACACCACAAGCAGCAGTCATCACCCCTGCAGGCGCCATGCTCCGACCAACCCCTGCTTCCCGCTGCACCCGCACCTGCACCCTCACGATGCACCTTACACACACCGACACACGACATGAAGGTGAGTGAAGGTCAGTGCCAGTTTTGCGGCCTCTTCAATTGACACACGATATGAGGGTACCGTATCACCGCACTGCTTAATCCTCTCGCGGCCAGTTTTCTCAATACATACACACCGCACCCTCACCTGATCAGACAGTCGGGATCCCACTCGTCCACTCGGTTATCGCAATCGTTATCGAGGCCATCATAACAGCTGTCGTCGTACGGGTCCTCCCGTGCAACCGTACGACGGCACAGATCTACAACCGCTTCCGTTGGCCCAACCGACACCACCCTAACCACCAACGAACCGCCCAGCCCAGTCGCCCCATCCAGCGCAAACTCACTCGCCCACATATCGCCATTACCCGCCCAATCCGAAGCCGGGTCAGGCCTGTTAAACCTCGGACCCCAATCCTCCAAGTTGCTGACATTGTAATCCCGAGGGTTGAATAACGAGCCGTTGAAGGTATGAATGTGAACCTTCCTGCTTAACGCCTCGGGAAGGCCGCTGTCGTAACCTCCGTACGTCTTATTCCGTACACGGTAACTCAAATAAATAGTCGGGTACGGCACCGTTGCCCCAACCGGCTGCCATGTGTAAGGGTTGATGCTGGCTGCCCCCAGGTGCACCTCGATGAAGCTGTTGGCGGTGGTGCCAGCGACGGGCAGGATCAATCCTCGGATCCAATCTCCGTACGAGAAACTGCTGACGGAGATTCTGCCGTACGATCTGGGTGAAGATGATGAGGATGTTGATGATGATGATGAAGACGAGATCGTACCAGGTGCTGTTTCAGCGGATGCGGAGTCAGAGGAGGCGTTGGGGGCGGAGGAGGAGGAGGGGGCGGAGGCGGAGGCAATGGGCGCCGCCCAGCCAAGGCGACTGGCGCTCACGGCGTTGGGGCAGAGCAGCTTGGTAGTGGCGTTGGGGGCGGAGGAGGAGGAGGCGGAGGTGAGGGAGGGGGAGAGGTCGCCCAGGGGATCGGAGGGGTCGCCGGCGGGGTCACCGCCGCTGCAAGGGGGGGGCAACGCAGGTACCGGTGCACAGCACATGAAGTTTTGACATGACATTGGGCGGGAGTCAGAGGAAATGTGTTTGGGTGATGGAGCTGAGGATGAGTCAAACGGGTGCCGGGGAAACAAGGGCGGGGGGAAAACATGGTGGAACGCCTAGCGATGCGGGGGACGCCGGGGGCGGCGGGCGGGTGTGTGGGTCAGCAAACACACACGCATCGACACACGGCGAACGTCCCAGCTCGCGGCCAGTTTTCCGAACACATACATGGCATGAGCAGTTACATGTTGTTGCAGTGAAGTCGCACATGGGGCAGCTAGGCGCTGATACACCCCCACCTCACCTGTAGCGCTCCCAAGGGACTCACACACGGTCTCTACCCATGCCACCCTGCACCACCATCACCCCCTACCCTACCTGTCCCCCAGCGCCCCAAACCTGCCAGTGCTGAACCCCCCACCCTACCCCACCTACCAGGGCTTGTCATCTAGTTCACCACTGTCGCACAACTCATTGGGTATTCCCCTCCCCACCCCACCCACCTTGCCGCATGCCGCATCACCCCCCGCGTGTGCATCAGCTCATGCAGCAGCACCTGCGGCTGCCGCGCCAGCCCTGCCCGCATCAGCACCTCGCAGCTGGGCCCCCCGCACCCCGCCTCGCCCAGCGCCGACCAGCCGCAGGGCAGCTGGTCCGGCAGCAGCAGCAGGCTGGTGCGACCGCCCTGGGAGCGGTAGTGCCGCGGCGCGGAGGCGAGCAGGGCGGCGGTGGAGTCGGGACCGCCGCGGGCTGCGGCCTGCAGCGGGGGAAGGGAGGAGGGGATGGGGAAAGGGGGGGGAGGTAAGGAGGGAAAGCCTGGCATCATGTGAGCATCATGGGTTGCGTCATGGTAGCCGACCCAGGGAGGCGAGGGAGGGGAGGGATAGTGGCTTCAAATGGCACCTCTATACAAGCATCCTCAGTAGTATGTTGGGAGGGAAGGGAGGGGCAGGCTCTGCACCCCCCCTCGTACCTTTGCCAGCTTGCGCTCCGCCGCCCAGCGCCAAGCCTCCACCTCCGCCGCACCGCACCGCTGAGAGGCATCCCAGCCCGCAGTCAGCCGCACCGTCCCACTGGGGGCGCTGCTGCTGCTGTTGGCAGTGGTGGTGGTAAGGATGCGCGTGTTGCCGCTGCATGGTACCTGCAGTGTGAGGTTAAGTGCGAGGGCAAGAGCAAGAGGGAGGGGAGGAACCCGAGGAAGGGAGGGAGGTTCTTGGTTGCATGGCGCGCTACCACTTCACCTGATCATACACGATGCCGCCACCACACACCGGCCCTCCTCCTCCCTCACACAACGGGAGTGGTGCGCTGCTACCCCTGTCCCTGTCCCTGTGTTTCGGTGCCATATGCGGCATACCCCACCCCACCATGCCCCCGCTGCTGCCCCTCAATCGGCCGCATACCGCTGTCCATGTTCCCTGCTTTCCCCACTCCCCACTCCACACCCACACTCCAAACAACACTCCAAACCCCCACGGGCCACACCCGCACCCACCGCGAAGGGCCCCAGCACCAGCGTGCTCTCCGGCCGCAGCTGCATCGCCCCCAGGGAGCAGGTATGCAGCAGCGACTGGGGGTGGGGGGGGGGGGGGGGGTGGGGGGGGGGGAGGAGAGGCGGGCAGGTGGGCTGGGTTGCAGGGTGCAGGGTTGCTAAAGGGATGACTTAGAAAGGAGGAGCAAGCAGTGGCGGCGGCAACCGGGAACAGCAGTGTGCAGCAGCAGCAAGGGTACAGGCTGGTGATTCCCCCCGCGGCCTCCCTCCCGCCCTTTCCTTCTCAGCGCCTATTAGAGCCTGTCAATGCCTTCCGGGCAGATAACGCGCGTCCCCACAACGCTGCTCCTCGTCCAATCCCTCTGACAATCACACGTCTGCTCTCCTCCCCCTGTCCCCTGTCCCCTGTCCCGACGCTTCCCCCCCCCCCGTTACCTGCAAGTTATTCTCTACAGCGCCCGGTACGTCACCTAACAGGTACTTCTTGAAACCCTGGAAACATGGTGGAAGCATGGTGGCAGCATGGGAGCCCCGGGCCCCGGGTGGGTGAGCCGGCAGGGAGACACGCCATGGCAGCAGGCAGGGGGGTAACGAGCAGCGAGTACAGGGGAATGGGCATCCTTCCTCATACGTCATACCCCAATATATTTCTAGCCCAGTGCGAAATATTCAACACCTCTTAACCCCTCCCACCACCACCAAGGGCTACTGGGAAACAACACCCCAACAATACCCCAGCACCCCAGACACACCAAATCACAGTACGTTCCAACACCCGGCCAATTTCCATAACACCCCCCCACCTGTGCGCTGCGGAAGGGATTCTTCCAGCCGCACGTGTCCAACAGGAACACCACAGTGGGTAGCGAGGCGGAGGATGACGCGGGAAAGAGGGATGAGGGGTCGTCCAGCACCCCGGAGGGGGTCACTGGCGTGTAGCTGAGCAGCGCCGGCGGGCGGCCGGCGGACAGCAGCTGGCAGGTGAGAATGAAGGAAGAGGTACAGGTAACTTTGAGAGGACGTGACAACCCTTGGTGGTAAATAGAGGGAGCTGATGGTGGTGGGGGTGGGGTTAAGATGGATATTCCGCACTGGGCTGGGAAGTCTGGAATGTTGGGTTAGGTTGAATTGGGGGGGAGAATGAGGTATGGAAGGAAGAAGAAAGAGCCATGCTTTAAATACCAGTACCGGTGAGGGAGGTAGGGAGGAGGGAAACGAGCCCTGGCTTCCGGGGTCGCGCTCTAATCTCTATTGGCTGGTTGCGTGTGGCTCAGACCTGGTACGCGGTAGTGCGATGGCGTAGGTGTCGCTGGGATGATGACCCTTGGCCCCCACCCCCCTTACCTGCGCTCCGGCGGTCGCATTGACGCTGACGTTGAGTCGCAGCTGTCCCACCTCCCCCGACAACAGCCTGAGCTGCTCCTGCAGCGCCAGGGCAGCAGGGCCCTCGGCCAGTGTCAGCGGCGGCAGCTCGCAGCCTGCGTCGGTTAGGTAGCCGTCGGGGCCGAGCTGGGGGACGCAGCCGAGGTGAGCGTAGGCGAGCTGGGGTTGTTTTGGAGGTGGTGGGGAGGAGGGGCTGAGCGGAGGTGGAGGTGCAGAGGGTGAGGGAGATGGGGAGGTGGGTGGGATGGCAGGTAGGCCGCCGCGGGATGGCCTGGTGTAGGCGGTGAATATCCGCAGGGAAGCTTGTCCTGAGGAGCAGGTGGTGTGGTGAAGGAAAGGTAAAAAGGGGGGATGCTTAAATGTCTGGAGGTGCAGAGCTCGTGGCTGGGCAAACATCGCGTTGACAGTTGGTAAAGGCTGCTCGTCTTCCTTTAACGCAACTGGGTTCCACACACTCAGAACTTGCACAAGAAAGATATAACAGCGTAACCGAAGCTTGGTTATCGCGAAAAGGTGCATATGTCGCTTTGCCTCAAGTCGACATCCGCGAAGCCGATAAGCATGATTCATCGTACAAGCCACGGGATAGGCTGCATACCTGTTATTATGTAGCTTTTAGTTGCTGCCCCTTGCGCGCCGTTTGGAGCAAGCGCGACTGCTAAAAGAAGCACAGCAGCAAACCCCAGCAGCTTTGGCTGCAAGACACGCTGATAGCCCCTCATCGTCCACATGGTTATAGAGAGCTATTTGGCTCTACTTCCTTTTCACGGTATTCACGGTGTTTCGGGCTTTTGTGGGTAGTTGGGGCGTCGCTACATGCTTTCCTTGGGGCATAGAATCTTCAGTATACGGGCATAAATAACAATGTCTGTATAGTAAAGTAGTCGCTGTAACTCTAAAGCCAATGCTTGCGTTATGTTTCCATGACCGGCATACGTGATGAGGCCTTGCATTCCATTGCTCCTGTTAGAGGTCGTCGCACCGCAGCATAAAGAGTAGGTGACATACATATAAACGCTGTATTGCAAGCTTAGCTTGTGAATCGAGCAAACAGATTAGTAAGGTAACAGGCCGTCGCAAGCGGTATAGCGAGCAAAATCATGGTTAACTTCGCTTATCCTATGATAAACATTCTTGCACACACAAAACACTATAGCCACTTGCGGTCCCTTTTCTTTAAGGGGCCCAAAACAATTTTGGCAGTTGACGGGATGATACATCAACATGTCAAGTTCGTGTCCGAAAAAGATGGTCATGCCAGAAAGGATGAAATAACCATAAATGTAAACTAAGAATATACAACGTTGGAACTTGCGCCTGAGGGAAAATGGATGGATATCGGATTGAAACATCCTAACCACGCACAGGGGTGAGGATCGTGAGGACAAAAGCTAAGTTGCCAGGTCTAGCTACCAAATTCGTACCAATTTCACGGTAGCAGCAGAAAGCTCAAATTTAGCTGTGAGTCGGAACTTTACTTGCTTACAGGTACGGGTGGAGAGCGTTACCGGCATTTCGCCTTATTTGGATTTTGCCTTAAGCAGTGCCCACGTATGGAAAGGCTGACCTTGAACCTTACTAAAGAAGTAGAGGCAAAATTAGGAACCCGAGACTGACTACTAATTACATGTCTTTCACAGCACAGTTTACATTAACAGGATAAGCCACGTACGATGGGCCCTTCTGGCCTACATCCCGCAACAAGACAGCCCAGCCATACCAATGTTTCAACTGTGCAATACACATGCCAAAGCTGAAGCTGAAGCAGTAAGACTGTACGACAACAACTACAAAACAGGATAACCGTTACAAAACATGGCGCAATGTACAGCAGGAGGGATACGGTATGCAAATCCCCTTCTTCCCTTTTCCACGTCACGCAACGTGCGGGACAATCAAAGCATGGCCTCCTGACGGTAAAGTAAAAACAGTACTGACGCATGCCGCTGCAGCAAGAGTTGGCAAAAGCATCAACAACCATTGCACAGGTCCCGACAGGCACCACAGCACCGCATCACTCCAATCGACACCGCACCACAACGCCCCTAACAACGCAACCTCGTCTACCCAGCAGGAGTGAACCATTCGCAGCGCGCCATTCCGCCACTCGTTGACTGCGCAGGGGCAACTGACGGCAGTCGTATCAATCTCTACATTAGCAGTGGATGCCTGGAGCTGCTCCGGTCCCCAGGTGGCCGCTGCTGCCCTCACCTCAGGTGGCCGCTGCTGCCCTCACCTCAGGTGGCCGCTGCTGCCCTCACCTCAGGTGGCCGCTGCTGCCCTCACCTCAGGTGGCCGCTGCTGCCCTCACCTCAGGTGGCCGCTGCTGCCCTCACCTCAGGTGGCCGCTGCTGCCCTCACCTCAGGTGGCCGCTGCTGCCCTCACCTCAGGTGGCCGCTGCTGCCCTCACCTCAGGTGGCCGCTGCTGCCCTCACCCCAGGTGGCCGCTGCTGCCCTCACCTCAGGTGGCCGCTGCTGCCCTCACCTCAGGTGGCCGCTGCTGCCCTCACCTCAGGTGGCCGCTGCTGCCCTCACCTCAGGTGGCCGCTGCTGCCCTCACCTCAGGTGGCCGCTGCTGCCCTCACCTCAGGTGGCCGCTGCTGCCCTCACCTCAGGTGGCCGCTGCTGCCCTCACCTCAGGTGGCCGCTGCTGCCCTCACCTCAGGTGGCCGCTGCTGCCCTCACCTCAGGTGGCCGCTGCTGCCCTCACCTCAGGTGGCCGCTGCTGCCCTCACCTCAGGTGGCCGCTGCTGCCCTCACCTCAGGTGGCCGCTGCTGCCCTCACCTCAGGTGGCCGCTGCTGCCCTCACCTCAGGTGGCCGCTGCTGCCCTCACCTCAGGTGGCCGCTGCTGCCCTCACCTCAGGTGGCCGCTGCTGCCCTCACCTCAGGTGGCCGCTGCTGCCCTCACCTCAGGTGGCCGCTGCTGCCCTCACCTCAGGTGGCCGCTGCTGCCCTCACCTCAGGTGGCCGCTGCTGCCCTCACCTCAGGTGGCCGCTGCTGCCCTCACCTCAGGTGGCCGCTGCTGCCCTCACCTCAGGTGGCCGCTGCTGCCCTCACCTCAGGTGGCCGCTGCTGCCCTCACCTCAGGTGGCCGCTGCTGCCCTCACCTCAGGTGGCCGCTGCTGCCCTCACCTCAGGTGGCCGCTGCTGCCCTCACCTCAGGTGGCCGCTGCTGCCCTCACCTCAGGTGGCCGCTGCTGCCCTCACCTCAGGTGGCCGCTGCTGCCCTCACCTCAGGTGGCCGCTGCTGCCCTCACCTCAGGTGGCCGCTGCTGCCCTCACCTCAGGTGGCCGCTGCTGCCCTCACCTCAGGTGGCCGCTGCTGCCCTCACCTCAGGTGGCCGCTGCTGCCCTCACCTCAGGTGGCCGCTGCTGCCCTCACCTCAGGTGGCCGCTGCTGCCCTCACCTCAGGTGGCCGCTGCTGCCCTCACCTCAGGTGGCCGCTGCTGCCCTCACCTCAGGTGGCCGCTGCTGCCCTCACCTCAGGTGGCCGCTGCTGCCCTCACCTCAGGTGGCCGCTGCTGCCCTCACCTCAGGTGGCCGCTGCTGCCCTCACCTCAGGTGGCCGCTGCTGCCCTCACCTCAGGTGGCCGCTGCTGCCCTCACCTCAGGTGGCCGCTGCTGCCCTCACCTCAGGTGGCCGCTGCTGCCCTCACCTCAGGTGGCCGCTGCTGCCCTCACCTCAGGTGGCCGCTGCTGCCCTCACCTCAGGTGGCCGCTGCTGCCCTCACCTCAGGTGGCCGCTGCTGCCCTCACCTCAGGTGGCCGCTGCTGCCCTCACCTCAGGTGGCCGCTGCTGCCCTCACCTCAGGTGGCCGCTGCTGCCCTCACCTCAGGTGGCCGCTGCTGCCCTCACCTCAGGTGGCCGCTGCTGCCCTCACCTCAGGTGGCCGCTGCTGCCCTCACCTCAGGTGGCCGCTGCTGCCCTCACCTCAGGTGGCCGCTGCTGCCCTCACCTCAGGTGGCCGCTGCTGCCCTCACCTCAGGTGGCCGCTGCTGCCCTCACCTCAGGTGGCCGCTGCTGCCCTCACCTCAGGTGGCCGCTGCTGCCCTCACCTCAGGTGGCCGCTGCTGCCCTCACCTCAGGTGGCCGCTGCTGCCCTCACCTCAGGTGGCCGCTGCTGCCCTCACCTCAGGTGGCCGCTGCTGCCCTCACCTCAGGTGGCCGCTGCTGCCCTCACCTCAGGTGGCCGCTGCTGCCCTCACCTCAGGTGGCCGCTGCTGCCCTCACCTCAGGTGGCCGCTGCTGCCCTCACCTCAGGTGGCCGCTGCTGCCCTCACCTCAGGTGGCCGCTGCTGCCCTCACCTCAGGTGGCCGCTGCTGCCCTCACCTCAGGTGGCCGCTGCTGCCCTCACCTCAGGTGGCCGCTGCTGCCCTCACCTCAGGTGGCCGCTGCTGCCCTCACCTCAGGTGGCCGCTGCTGCCCTCACCTCAGGTGGCCGCTGCTGCCCTCACCTCAGGTGGCTGTTGCAGCTGCTCGCCGCGCCCGCAGCTCCGCCGCCCACTCGCCGTAGGATCGCCAGTGGGAGGAGCGGCCCTGGGCCTGACCCTGCGGTTGGGCGGGTGGGGGGGTGGTGTGAGGGGTGGGAAAGGTGCGTGAAAGGAAACGGTGATGGGGAGAGGGGTTTTACTACCGGTATAAGAGGGCTCCAGCTTAGTATGGATACTCAGCTTCGTTATGTGGGCTAAAACTGAAGAAAATGTTTCGCGGTCCACCTGCCCCCTCCCCCCAGCACGCAGCGCAAGCCTCCCCCATCCCCCGCCTTACCTCCTCCCCGCCGCCACTGCCGTCTCCCGCCCCCTCCTTCTCCTTCTCCTGCTCCCCCTCCGCCGCCTCCTGCAGCACCTGCACCCACATGCGCCACGAGTAGCTGCCCTGCGCCCCCGCAGCAGCCCTCTGACAAAAGATAGTCGGCGTCAGCACCTCTAAAGCCACACCAGCACCCCCAGCAGCACCGCCTCCCCCGCCGCCGCTGCTCCCACTCGGCCCTGCTGCGGCTGCTGCGCCCTCCGGTGGCGACTGGGCGAGGTAGATGATGCGCACGCCGGTCTCCATGCCCCGACCGCCGTCTCCGTGTTTGGCGCCGGGCGGGCAGTAGGCGATGCCGTAGCGGAACTCCTCGCGCGTGCGTGAGCAGCGCACCCGCACCAACACCTGGGGAGGGTGGGGTGCAGGGAAGGGAGGGCATGCTGGATGGACCAAAAGCAAGGTGTGCCACCAAACACGCACCTCCAACATCTCACCACATCCATCTCAATGCCTCCCTCTGAAGCACCCGCCCACACCGCATGAATGCATCCCTCACATCCTTGTAACCCCCCACCCCACCCCCCCACACAGCTGCCTTCCTAACACACGCTCACCGGATCCGTGTCTGGCGCCTTCCGGCTGCCTCCTCCTCCTCCTTCTCCTCCTCCTCCTCCTGCTGCTGCTGCCGCGGGTCGAGCCGCCAGCTGGCGTGCCTCCCTGCCGGTGGGGTTCTCCAGCAGCACCCTCAGAGCGGCCTGCACGCTGGGGGGGAGCAACGAGGAGGCCGCAGCGGAGGCGGAGGCGGCGGAGGAGCCGCTGCCGCCACTGCCGCTAGCAGCGCCAGCAGCAGCGACAGGTGCAGGGACAGGGGCAGCAGGCCGGACCGCTCCTCCGCCGCCGCCGCTGCCGCCGCCGCCGCCGGCGTCGGTGGCGACCAAGGGGGCTCGACGGGCAGGAGCCGGCTGGGCAGCGGCGGCGGCGGCAGTAGCAGCAGCGGCGGCGGGGTCCTCGCCCCCCGGGGTTGCATAGGCGGCCCACCAGTCGGGATAGCGCACCCAGCGCAGACCTGAGGCCACACGAGCCTGGCGGGGGCAGGGTGTACGGGGGCAGGCGTGTTGTAGTACTGGTAGCAGGAAGAGGTTTGCATGCAAGTCATCAGAACAAAAACACATCAGAACCGTCCACATCACAATAAGAACGGCATCCCTGTGCGAGATCGCTTTTCACAGCGCACCGTAGCGCTGTACTACGTGGTGCGGTTGTGTGCGCTGGGTTGAGAATGTTGCGGTTTGTTTCAGGGAAGCAGGGGTTCCACTGGTCTGTGTTTTCCCTTCCCCCAGGCGGCACCTCCCAGCTCGGACTCTGTCCTCCGAAGAACCCTTCAAAGAACCCTCCGAAGAACCCTCCAAACCTTGTCCAATAAGAAGGAGACCAGCACGCCTCACCTTCAGGTAGGAGGGGGTGAGCTGGCTGGGCAGCAGCGCCACCTCCACCGCCCCCTGCCACGGCCCCAGCCGCGCCCCCTCCCCGCCATGCGTGTGGTACCATTTGCGGGGGGACATGGACACCGCGCGCCGCCGCCGCTGCACCTGACCCGCACCTCCACCTCCACCCCCGCTACCTCCCACGTTACCCAATGCATCCGCAGCGGATGGGGCGGCGGGCGGCACGAAGAGGACCCGGGCGGGGCTGTAGGGGTCTCCGTAGCCGGCGCCATCCCGGCAGTAGGCCACCGCGTAGCACGCCGCTCCGCCGCCCGCTGCAAATGCCCACAGCGTCTGTACGGCGGGAGGGAAGGGAAGGGAAGTGGAGGGATAGCGAGGTGGGGTTTGAGAAAGGTCACTATGTGAGCCCCTTCCCCAGCCCCACTCTCGCCAAGCAGCCTTCTCAGCCGTCCCCACCCTCCCCCCAGTCTGTATTGTGGTAACCTGCCACATCCCCATTGCTTTGCCCTAAGCTGTGGTTTCCTATATCTCGGCATGGTCGTTGACCCCCTAGCCCCCTCACCGGCTCATTGGCCCCCCTCAGCTGCCCCGTGAGTCTGGGCAGCTCCCCCGCCACCACCGCAGCCGCCTCCGGGTCCAGCGCACGCAGCTGCTCCACCGCGGGGAGCAACAGCGCTGGCGAGGGGGCGGGGGGGACACCAGCACCTGCAGGTGCTGGTGCTGCTACAGCAACACCTGCTATAGGAGCAGGAGCAGCAGCAACACTACCTGCAGCAGCAGCAGCAGCAGCAGCGCCTGGAGACCCGCTGCCACCGCCACCACTGCCACTGCCCACCCCGCCAGCGGCTACCCCCAGCCCGCCCCCCTCGCCTCCGTCCCGCATGGCTCCCTTGTGGGGCAGCGTGGGGAGCTTGCCGCCGCTCCGACGTGCGGTGGCGGCCAGGGAGGGGAACACCGCCGTAGCAGCCAGCATGCTGCTGCTGCGGGGCTGCGGCAGGGAGGGGCCGGCAGCAGGGGGAGGAGGCGGAGGAGGCGGAGGAGAGTGGGAGGTGTGATGAGAGGGGCTGGCGGGAGGAGCGCCGGCTGCTGCCGCTGCGGCTTGCGCGGGTGGGAAGGCCTGCCGCTGCTGCAGCCCTTGTTGCTGCTGCTGCTGCGGGTCGTCCTCGGGTTTGGGATGTCCCAGAGGCGGCTGCTGCTGCAACACAGCCCCGGCAGCCCCACTGCCGCCCGCTGCCGCCCCGCTCCCCTCCCGTCCCACCGCCCCATGCAGCGGCGCCGCATACTCGTAGGAGTCAACACCCGGCGGACTGGTGCTGCCTCCACTGCCACCTCCTCCTCCTGCTGCTGCTGCGGTGGCTGGTGCGGTGGCGGCAGGTGCAGTGGGAGCGACCGTGACGCCGCCGGGAGTGGTGGCGGTGCTGGTCGTGGTGGTGGTGGGGGCGGTGGAGACAGCGGCGGGCGCTCCTAGCGGCAGCGGCAGCGGCGGGGCTGCATGGTTGGCGGCGGCTGCGGCTGCGGCGGGGGACCCGGCGGCAGCGGCGCTCGGCGGGGGGGCAGCAGCGGCCGGCGGAGGGGAAGGAGGCGGAGGAGGAGGCTGCCGTGACTCCGGGGGCGACGCTGGGGCGCCTCCTGACATGGCTGCTGCTGTTCCCGCTGCTACTGCTGCTGCTACTGCTGCTGCTGCTGCGGGGGTTGTCGCAACCGCTGGCCGCGCCGCCGCTGCTGCTGGTGCTTGCGGTGGCGGTGGTGCTGGTGGTGGTGGTGCTGGGGGAGGCGGTCCCCGAGCTGCCTCATGCAGGGTGGGGGCGGGGGCGGGCTGACGCCTCTGCTCACCACCCTGCTTGCCCTCCTCCTCCTCCTCCTCCTCCTCCTCCTCCCCTCCTTGCGCCTCCTCGCGCTGCTGCTGCTGCTCCTCCTCCTCCACCTGCTCCTCCACCTCCGAGGAATCATCCTCATCCTCATCCTCATCACCGCCCTGCTGATCCTCCACACCGCCTCCCCGCCCTCCTCCCCCGCCCCCGCCCCCCACACCCCGCTGCTGCTGCTGCTGCTGTCGTCTCGCCCCCGGCAGCTGCCAGTTGGGCTGGCAGCCGCGCCAGTGCGAGTAGGGCACCCACCGCATACCGTCCTCCTCCTGCGGCAGGCAACAGGCACCAGCACGTGAGGAGGCAAGGCAAGGCAGAGGCTGTGAGGAGGCAGGCAAGGCAGGCTGTGAGACAAGGCAAGGCCGCTAGACATGCGCGCGCGTGGCTTCCTTTTACACGTGATGGACAGTACCCGCACCGCACATGAGGCGGTACCACCGCACCCCCCACCTCACATCCCGCTCTGCAGGACCCACATCACTCCCACTCCCACCCCTTCCCCCCTCCCACCTTGACTGCCCCCTGGTTCTGCTGCTGCTCCTCGCGCGGCAGCAGCGCCACCTCCACCTTCACCTGCCACCGAATGGTCCTCGCCCTGCCCCCGCCCGCCAGCTGGAACCACTGTCGCGGCATCAGCACCACACACTCCCGCCCCCCGCCGCTACCACCAGCAGCGGCTGCCGCCATGGCTGCGCTCTCCTCCGGCTGCGGAGTGTACAGCAGTCGCACGGGTGTGCCGCCCTTGCGGTTGGGCAGCACGTCTGTGTAGGAGGCGCCGGGGGGGCAGACGGCCAGCGCGTATCGCACCAGATCACCCAGCCGGAAGCGCCAAACGGTCTGGGGAGGGCGGGGGGGAGGGGGGGAGGGCGGGGGGGAGGGGGTTGAAGGCGGGGAAGAGGGGAGTGAAGGCGGGGTGAGGGGACAGTAGCTGTCTACCATAGATGCATGGTGTTTGGGAGGCTTCTGAGGGGGCAGCCGCAGACGTCCGGCTAAACCCCTCCCCCTCTCGCGTTGCAGCGGCCAGCGGACCACGCAGGGACACCCTACCCATGCACCCTTCAACAGCGCCACAGCCCTTGCACACACACACAACTCAACTCGCACTCCGACTCGCGGCCAGTTTCCCTACCCCACACATCACGGTACCCACTACGGTATAACGCCCCACCACCACCATCAGCAGCTCACCCGCCACCCCGCACGCCCCACCCCCCAAGTTAGTTGCCTCGTCAGTTCCCTTAACTTTACCCCCCCCCCCGCTCCCCCCAGGCCCACACGCCCCACCACACTCCCGGTCCCCCCACCGACCGGCTGGTTGGGTCCGCGTCGCTGCCAATGGCCCTTGTAGAACGCATATAACACGTCGCGTCTCGGATCCAATTTTTTCAGCTGCTTCAACGCGTTGGGCTGGTGCTTGTAAGATAAACACCGACGAGCCGGCTTCATGCGATGAGGGTTGGGTGAGGGGTTGGGTGGGGGGTTGGGTGGGGGGGAGGAGGAGTATGCGGAGGAGTGCGAGGGGGAGGGTGAGGAGGAGCGCGAGGAAGAGGGTGAGGAGGAGGGCGAGGAGGGGGCCGGCGCTGCAAGGTGCTGCTGTTGTTGCTGCTGCTGCGGGTGCTGCTGCTGTTGTTGTTGTTGCTGCTGCTGTTGCTTTGAGGCCAGGAAGGGGCGACCCAACCAACGCAGGGGGGGCCGACCCCGCCTACGGGTAGCGCCGGCGAGCAGCGGACCGGCGGGACTGCGGCCCGCTGCTGCTGCTGGGGAGGAGGAGGGCCGCTGCTGCTGCTGCTGCGGGCTTAGGTCAGCCCTCCAGCCCACGCCCTCCACCTCTTCACCTTCCTCGCCGCCCATGAGGGAGGCGGGTTGGGTGCCGGCCGGCCGCATTTCCTCCTCAGCTTCCGCTCCCTCCTCCTCCTCCTCCCCGTCCCCTTCCTCCTCCTCCTCATCATCATCATCAGCAGCAGCACCCTCCTCTCCCGCATCCCCCTCCTGCCCCCTGTCCTCGTCTGCCACCACCCGCCGCGCCTCCTCCTCCTCCCGGTTCTCCTCCTCCTCCTCCTCTAGCTCCGAATCCTCCCGTCCGCGCTTCCACCGCCGCTTCCGCTGCTGCCCTCTGTCTCCTCGCACTCCACCCCCTTTCCGGCCCCCTGCTACTCCTGCTGCTGCGGCGGCGCCAGCGGCGCCAGTAGCCGGGTAGTACGACAGGGGGTCATCCGCGTACGGCAGGTTCACATCCATGTCGTTCCCGGCGTTGTCGTACCTCTCTAGGGCCTCCATACACATGGCGTTGTGTACGACAACCAGCCAGTCCTTGTACCGCAACCACAGGAAGCCGTCGTACTGGCGAGCCTGGGGAGGAGGTGAGAAGTGGGGGAAGAAGGGAAGAAGCCTATTAGGCGAAGAAGGACAAAACGAAGGAGGCAAGGTTGCAGGGACGGGGTTAAGGGAGGCAAGGGAGGTAAGGGAGGCAAGGGAGGTAAGGGAGAGATGGGTGGGGGGGCATACCAACAACAACCTGATAACGCATACTGCAGGCGGCCATCGGGTAACAAACGGTGGTAAGCTGGTCTCCCCCCCCCTTGCCCCTCCTCCCGCCCCTCCTCACCTTTGTCCCCCCCCTTGCCCCTCCTCCCGCCCCTCCTCACCTTTGTCCCCCCCCTTGCCCCTCCTCCCGCCCCTCCTCACCTTTGTCCTGCCCCTCAGCGGCCCCCACAGCGCCACCTGCACCCGGTTGGGCCAGCGGTGCAGCGCAGCCGCCTCACCGCCCCACCGCTTGAACCAAGTCCACGGCTCCAGCTCCTCACAAATCCGCCCGCCGCCGCCACCACCACCACCACCACCACCTGCTCCTGATGCGCTGTTGTTGGGTGGCGAGAAGAGCACGCGCACGCCCGTTCCCTTGCCCTGCCGCCCGTCCCCGTAGTGCGAGCCGGAGGGGCAGAAGCCCAGGGCGTAGAACACCTCGGAATCGCCGTCCAGCCGCCACAGGGTCTGGACGGGGGAAGGGGGGGAGGATGGAGGGTAAAGGAAACCGTTTACTAAGACTCTACTGTATAACGACTATAGAGGAAGATACTAAGCAGGTGGGCGGCGGGGAGGAGTATCCGCTCAATGACACGGGTGTGTCGGTGTCGTTCCTACCCGTGCCTTGCTTTTTTGCTTTTCAGATATCCGGACACTCCTACAGCGCCTGATCCCTGATAAGGTGATAACTAACATCAACTGCGGGACCAGGGTGCCTCTTGGGGATTCCTCCAAGCATATACAGACACACAATGTTCCAACTCGCGGCCAATTTTCTTAACACACGGTTTCCTTAACCCACACACTACCCCCCCCCCCACCCCACCGGCGCATTGGGCCCCCCCAGGAGGGCGCTGCGCCTCCTGATAGGCCCCTCCAGCGCCGCCGCAGCCCCCGGATCCACCCGCCGCAGCTGGGCCAGGGCCAGAACCGGAGGAGGAGGCGGACCCAGCGAGGGCCCTTGGGACGACCCATGGGTCATTGCAGCAGCGGCACGGACCGGGGCGTTGTGTCCCGCCACCGCCATGCCTGGAGCGACCCGGCGGGTCGCTCCGGCAGCAGCAGCAGCAGCAGCAGGTAGGGAGAGGGATTGTGGAGGTTTGGCGGGGGCAGTGGCCCGTGGGGATTTGATGGTGGGCGGGTGGGGCGCGGCGGGGGGGTGCCGGGTGGTGGTGGTGGTGGCGGTGGTGCCAGCTGCCGTGGTGGCTGCTGCTGTGGTGGGTGCGGCGGTGGGGGCTGCTCCTGCGAGAGTAGTGGAGCACGGCGTTGTGTGGACTGGTAGTAAGTAACCGAATGTCTATTGCAGGGTAAAGAGCGATATAGTCATCGGGAGTTAAAAGAAAAACTACACAGCAATCAAGTATACTGGTTGTTACTTTAACATCATCAGAAAGGCGGCTGTAGTACAGATATAACAAATTGCACGCACCTGCCGCCCCCTCCCTCTGCTGTGCCACGCCTCCCACTGCGCGGCTGCCAGCAATGCCGGTCCCGCTGGCATCCGCCGCTGCTGCTGCTGCTGCCGCCGCCCCCGCCGCCAGCTCCGCCCACTGGTACCAGCTGCACCACAGCGGGCTCAGCGGCGACAGCGGCTGGTGCGGGGTGTGGGGCTGGGGCTGCTGCAGGGCGCAGTAGCAGGGCAGGTCCTGTGGGGGGTGGGAGTGTAGGGGGTGGGGTGGGGGGGTGGGGGGAGTCGGTAACAGGTGAGGGACTGGGGGGCATCAGGCGGCATCACGGGACTGCGTATCTGCATTTTTGCATTATGTGTTTGCGTGATGTTAGGGGTAAGAGCACGCGTGCATGACCAGGGTAGGCCCGCAGCTGTGTTGGCGGGCGGCAGAGGTGAAGGGGGAAGGCATGGTAAGACGGGCACGTTTGTAACGCAGCCCATAAACACACACGCCCATTTTGCCTATCATTTCCCTGAAGTTCCCACCCTCTCTCCTTTCCTGCTGCATGATACACACACTGCGTTTCTTTCGCTCCTTCTCCTCCCCTTCCTTTTTCCCACCCTTCCCTTTTTCCTTCCCTTCCCTCCTCCCCTCCTCCCGCACCCACCACGACACGCAGCTGCCGCAGCACCTGCGCCACCGCCGGCCCTGCTGGCCCCTGCTGCTCGCCCCCACCTCCACTTCCTCCACCCCCGCCTGCCGCCCCCGCTGGCCCCAGCAGCAGCAGCCCCGCCGCATACTCCTGCAGCCCCTCGCACACCACCTCCCCACCGCTGCTGCTGCCTCCCTCGCCACCTCCTCCACCTCCACCTCCACCTCCAGCCGCACGCACATGCACCACAAGCCAGGGCCCCTGCCCCGGCTGCCCTTGGGTCTCCCCACCACCGGGACCTGCACTGCCGGTGCCGGCGGCGGCGGTCTCGACCTCCCCTGCCGCCAGCGGCTGGTGCTGCTGCTGGCGGCAGTGGCTCCTGCCCCGCAGCAGCAGCAGCTCAGCGGGCGCGGGGCACAGCAGGCGGGGTAGGTCGAGGTGGGCGGGCAGCGGGGCAGGGGAGGCGGAGGTGGAGGTCAGGAGCGCCAGCAGACGTGCTCCTGACAGGAAGTGCTGGTTGACCTGACCGTAGGCCTGAGAGGGGGTAGAGGGCAAGGGGCAGGCGGTAAAGGCAGGTGGGGAAGAGGAGGAGGAAGACCGGGTAAAAAGGGCAGGTGTATCAGCAATGAACAGGGTTGCTGGGTTCAGCCGTGTTGCAACGTGGTGAAGGAAGGAAGAAAGCTTGGGCCCTAACCCAACACCCCAACACTCCCACCACCACCTCACTCCTGCTTGGCAGCTACTGCTCGACACACCCGCCCCGCGCACACCTACAATGTGCGGATGGAGCGGGTCGACTTTCTCCGCGGCCAACCTGAGCAGCTGCGCCGCCTGCTGCGGGCTCCAGCTGCAGCTCAGCCGCGACAGCACCTCGGGATTCACGGCCAGCAGGGCTGCAGTGGGCGCCGCTTGGTTGGTCCGTGCGGTGCCATCAGCATCTTGCCATGGCTCGATGCCGCCGGTTTCCTGCTGGTTCATGGCCACAAGCCTGGCAGAGCCGGTTGGGGTTGACTGATGATGTTGCCGCTGGGCCCGCCGTGCAGCCTCCCTGATGCGCGCGGCTGCCTGCGTAGCTGCTGCCCTAGCTGGTAGGTGGGTTAGGTTACTGCTAATATATGGCGCTGTGGATCCAGGCTTGTAGCGTTTCGACGGCGGAAGCTCATCTCCAATGCCATTAGGTTGTAGACCGTCCATTTTCGCCCGAGTCACTTCCTCGAACGCGTTTATTTCAACTTGCATACTTGGGTTTTTTCACTTCCGTAGGCTAGAGCTAAAAAGCTTTTGATCAGGCCTTTAAGCCTTGGTCAGAAGGTCCTTGGTCTTGAAGTTACAAAGTGATTTCTATATTCATTTTTGTTGGCACATATGAGCAGAGTTAACACTTTAATCCATGTTGGCTTGTTTCAGGTTGACGGGAAGCACTCAGGGCGCGCGGTAGCCAAATCGCAGCCAGGCCGAAACTATTAAAATAACTCGGAGTAAAATTTTCAACGTTGTAATCTTGCTATATTCATATCTATTAGTGACATGAAACTATGTATATATTATGGGCATTGGCCTGCACGGCGCCGGCATGCAGCTCATGCCAAGCCACTGCTGATGCTTTTATGACATGTTGTTATATGAAAAGCCCTGCCCATCTACCGCTGCTAAAACATACTTTTGTCTTTTTCCATTGTAAGCCGCAGCGGCCTTACATGCATAGGCTGTCGGGTTCCGGGTTCTCTGTGTTGTTTGCTAGCAACGCTGCAGGGTGTCCCCTTAGGCCACAAACCAATGGCACACTGCCAATGTTCGTATGTGTGCTTCAAGTTACCCGCATGCATCATAGGCTGGGATTTGGGATCATATCAGGAATTTACAACATGCGTATGTATTTGACAGGGTGCGGAAGCCCATGTGCCTGGCATGCGCCCAGCAGCACACCCCAGTGCAATCCAGCCCTTGCGAAACTTCATACGGGGTTTAAGCCTTTCACTCAATTCTTGACTCATTGCCCATGCACTCTGCGACACCTTCAGCAGCGGCCCTAACAAGCCTTACCATGCATGTGCTGATGACCAGCCATGTTTGCGTGGGCAGTGTATCTGAGGCAGCGCTGGGGCGGTATATATGGAGGGCAAACCGACATGCATAAGTTTACGGGCCTTGCCTAAATGCACCGGACGATGAAAGGGCGTCCCGCGTACCTCAGTACTTAGGATGGGTGCGGTTACTCTTGCAGCACAAGCACCCGTGCCCCAACTCCATCTTACTAATGCCTTATGACGAATCTTGTTTCCCCCGGTAAAGAACAGACTGCCATTGTATACACCCCAGCATGCTTTCCCCGGCTAATGTACCGGCATACTTTCCTGTAATTAGCTGAGTGGAGGAATGTGAAGACTTCACATGTTACCTTCTATCCTGATAGCATGCTATTGGGGAAGCAATTACTTTTGAGGTGTGTGCTTTTGTCCATCATTTGGCATCACAGCCTTCCGAGCTTGTCCGTGCAGCGCTTGTCGGCGCTTCTGATAGATACACGCGAGCCACGTTACCCAAAGACATAACCAAATAACTGCCCAAGGCTGCCCTATTGGAATTGGCTTTGGCTTGCAGCTTTTTTCTAACACGCAGCTAGCAACCAGACACTAAGGTCACCTTTCTAACCTTGCATGGGGATGAATACTGTATACATAGCTGCTGCCGTACAATGTGCCCAAGCTGCTTGGTAGCCGTTATAGCAACAGCCAGCAAAAGATTTTACAAAATACCCGAAGTAATATATCCAACCTAGCGCAGGGCTTTCAAACGCCTTGCACAAGCGTCCGTTGGTCATGCTTGACCTTTACGCTTGCCAATTTTCCTAGGCGCTTAAATACCAGTTGCAGCCCCACAAATTTTGACAACTAAAGGGGTTATTGCAGCCGTCTTCCAGGAAGATATATCAGCGTAAGCACCAGAAGTGCCGACAGCAGTAAGGTGCGCCACGCTCATTGTAGGCGGCCCAATCTTTACAGGCTTTTATTGTATATGTTGGCCCCGGCTTCATTTTGTGTGTAGCATATATTTCGGTGGCCTCCTAGGAAATCCCATATGGCGCGGCGTGGACGCGCCTTCCCCTCTAGGCTTCTTTGTTAACAAGTTTATTTTCACCGGCATACCCTCCGATTACAAGTATGATTAGAATAATTTAAGGCAGGACCACAGGGCCGTGGTGCTCATACATACTGTGGTCGTCGCTTTCAAAGGCCGAAGTTGACGTTCCAAGCTGGTCCAATACGCAAAATTTATGTATCGTGATGTAACTATTGATTTCCTCGTAAATACCGCAAACTAGCGCAGGTTCTGGGTCATCAAGTATTGCGGCAATCATTGCTGTAGGTCATCGGCCGGTGTTGGAGTTCAAGCTAACACCTCGAGCTTACAGTTTGGGTGTGTCAGATCAGCCACAACGCCTACTATTATCATTCAAGCAGTGTACACGGAAGCGCGAGCTGTGGGAATCTCTACGGCATGCATGGTTCCATTGATGAGCTGGTCGGCGCCGCCAGCGAGCCGCAGCAGCACCTGCGTGTGACGCATCTGGGCCACCGGGGCGCACGCGGCGGCCTTCCTCACGGTTACAGCGTGCCAGACGCCATCACAGGCACCGCCAGCCGTGGTGCAGTCAGCCTCCACCGCAGGAATGTCAGCCTTCCGGACGGACGCATTCCCAACTTGCGCCTACCTGTGACTGATGCTGACGGAGGACCTGTGACCGCTTCTACAGCTGCTCATGCTGCTGCCGGCTCCGAGCTGCTCCGTCCTGGTAGGCGTGTTTCAGGCCACGTAGGGCTCGACAGCCGCAGGAGCGGTGCGGGGCTGCCGGGTGAGCTGGGCCGGGAGGCCCTTTTTGCCGACCTGGGCAGCAGCAACCCTGCAGGGGCTCCTCTTGCTGCTGCTGCTGCTGCCGGGGCCGCTGGCAGCAGCCGGCGGCAGTCCAACAACAGCCGCTGGTTGGGCGCAGGAGGCGGCAGAGAGGTAGAACTGGCGGACCTGGGTCACCTGGGGGCCGCCGGTGTTGCTGCCGCCGGTGTTGGTGGTGGCAATGTCAGCATTAGAGCATTGCTTCGCAGCCCTGCTGGCGAGATGAACGACTGGGCAACAAGACAGATCGCTGCTGCGGCGGGTAGCGGGCGAGTCCATGGCAAGTCGGCAGAGGGCTCATTGTACGGCAGTCGCGGGCTGCGGCCAACTGAAGAGGAGCTGCTGCTGCTGCAGCAGCAGCAGGCTGAGCGGCCGCTGATGGCGGAGGAGCTGTGGGGCGATGCTGCAGCAGCAGCTGCTGCTGCTAATAACAATGATGATGACAACGAGGAGCAGCTCGACCAAGAAGTGGAGGTGTTGCAGCATGAGCCTGGCGGGAATGCGCTTCAGTACCCTCTGCCACCGTTATCTGCAGCACAGCAGCAGCAGCTACGACGACCACCTCCGCCGCAGAGGCACAGGCTCGTTCCGTTGTACGACAGCTCTTCCGGGCGAATGTACGGCAGCTACCCGGTGACGCTGGCATACCCCCTTGCTGACGCTGATGCTGTTGATGACGATGACGCTGATGCTGCTGACGTCATGCACCTCCAGGCGCATGGCCGGCCGTCGTACGGTGGCGTGCCTTCTCGGCTGGCTGCGCGCCTGCCGCCCTCCACCGCACTGGAGGATCAGCAGCAGCAGCAGCAGCGCATGCGAAGTACCCGCCATCGCACGACGGATCCCTACCTCCGCCCTGCACCGCGACATAGCTATCATCATCAACAGCAGCAGCAGCAGCTGGGAGGTGAGGTGCTGCTGGACGCCGCAGGCCTGCATGGAGACGACGGAGTCGGCAGCGAGGGTGCTGCTGCTAGGGGTGCTGTAGCTGAAGGCTTGGCGGCAGACGCACAGCGGCCACTACACCGGCGGCGTGAGCGCTCCCTGCCCCTTCACACGACACCATCGCTCCAGCAGGGGCCGCCACTACAAGCACCGCCGCCACTACAGCCCCCGGCTCCATTGTACGACGACGACGGAGGCGAGGACGAGTACGACATGGGCACGCTGCAAGACCCACGACTGGCCCCGCCGCCGCCACTACAGCCCACCTTCTCGGCAAGGAGGCGTGCGGAAAAGCAGCTGCTGCAGCAGCAGCAGTTGCGGCTAGGTCTGGCGGACAGCAGGTCCATGGAGCACCTGGTGGCGGAGGCAGCGGCTGGCGGCGACGTGCCGCTGCCGTACGGCGAAGACACCGCTGCTGCTGCTACCTCTGGCGCTGTCGCCACGGCGGCCCAGGGCGTGTGGGACAGCGAGCAGCACGAGCCTCTGTTGCCGCCACCGCCACATGACGACCTGGAGGTCGAAGAACAAATTCTCCTGCTAGAGCAGCAGCAACAGCAGCAGCAGCAGCGGCGGTACCGGCAGCTGCAGCAGCTGCGGCTCCAGCAGCAGCAGCAGCAGCAGGTTGCGGCGGGCGGGTTGCACCCGCGGTGGCAGCGGCAGGTGCGCTGGACGGATCGCTATGACCCACTGGAGCTGGAGGAGGAGGCGGACTACCTGACGTGGCGCTTGGAGCGGCTGACGCAGGCGCGCAGGATGCAGCTGTTGCGGGAGCAGCAGCTGCAGGTGCAACAGCAGCAGCAGCAGCGGAGGGTGCGAGTAGAGGAGAGGGGTGTGTTGGTGCCGCTGGCTGCTGGTTCGGTGCGGGATCAGGCGGCGGCGGAGGGGGTGCTGCTGCCTGGGCTGGAGGCCTCACGCAAGCGGAAGCTACCGTCTGAGGGCATTGAGCCGCCGCTGCCGCCGCCGCAGCAACAACAGCAGCAGCAAAGGGATGTTATGTCATGTCCCGTCCGGGAGGCAAAGCGACGGGCGGGAGCAGGAGCCGGGGCGGCATCACCGCCACAACGGCCCCCATCTGCAGCGGAAGCAGGAGCAGGCCAGCAGGACGAACAGCCGGACCCGCAGCTGCGGGGCACCCACGCAAGTGGCGCTATGGACGTCGAACCGGCTGCCGGTGGTGGTGGTGGTGGTGCTGCCGCTGCCGCCCATGCTGCTGCTGCTGCTACTGCTGCAGCGGCAGTAGAACCCAGCAGCTCCCCTCTTGCCGGCGCTGCTGAGGGACGCTCTGGCGCTGCAGCTGCCGCTGCTGCTGCTACTGCCGCCGACACCTCCGGGCGGGGGGAGCAGCAGGCGGCAGCTGCTGCCTGCTCCTCCTCCTCCGGGCCGCATGGGCTCCCCGCGGGATGTGTGGTGCTGCGGGATGTGGAGGGGCTGCTGGCGGCGGTGGGCGGACTGCTGCGGAGACCCCCGGTGGGTGTGCGGGAGGTTGGGGGTACATGATGCAGCAACAAGTCCCAATCCCATATCCCGACTCATGTAGTGAGCGCATTCGGAGACTCTAGGGTGGGGGGTGCGCATGTGATGAGGCCCACTGCGCTTGAGTGTGTAGTTGAGCAGAACAAGAGCAAGCAATTGGGATAGGTTCGCATGTGAACCGCGAGTACAGGCAAAAACAGAGGGAAAACAGAGGTGAACAAACCTGAAACGTAACTCAAAAACTGAGTAAATTGCTGGTGCTGGATGTAAGAAGAGTGGCGGGTTGACGACGCATGTCGGTGATGCTGATGGTGTCGGGAAAAACTAATTACTGCTGAGTACCTAGGCCGCTGACCAACTCGACGCCGGGAGCCCCCGCTCTGGTCACGCAGACGAGACACCACAATGCTGTGCACACATGCGCTTTCCGTACACACATGCGCTTGAGTGTGTATGGAAAGGGGATGTGTCAGGTACCCATCAGCCGGCTGGTGTTGTCGAGAGTGTGTACCGTATGCCCTTCCTATGTTTCCAGTGTACCACTATATCGCTGCACCCTACCCACCATCTCCCTTCCGCCCCCCTCCCCTCGCGCTCCAGGCCTACCTCGCCGTCAGCCTCACTGCACTGCTGGGGCTGCACCTCGCCTCCTGCGCCCGCACCGGCAGTGCCCCCAGCCGCCAGCTCTTGCAGCAGGCAGCCGCGCTGGCAGCCGCGCAGCGGGGGCAGGGGCAGCAGCGGGACCCGGCACAGCAGCAGGCGGCAGGGGCTGCTGCTGCTCAACAGGATCAGGGTAGGGAGCAGGGTAGGGAGCAGGGTGGGGAGCAGGGTGGGGAGCAGCATGTGGTGGCGGCTGCATGCGACAGCCAGCTGCTGGTGCTTCTGGATCTGGGGGGTGGGGGCGATGAGGAGTGGGCTGGGCCGCAGGGGCAACCACAGCGGCTACCGCAGCAGCAGCAGCAGCCACACTCGGGGAGCAGTAGCAGCAGCAGCCCCTTTGCGCGCTGCTTTGTACTGCACTGCTGGCCGGAGGAAGGGGATAAGGAGGGGGGTGCGGGCGGCTGCATGGCGGGCGGCGGGCGAGGCCAGCTGGAGTCGCTGAGGGCGTTTGCGGAGCGGTTTGCGGCGCCCCGGAAGGGGGCGGCGGCGAGGGTGGAGGGAGGCGCCAGGGTGGAGGGAGGAGCGGCGGCAGCGACGGAGGCGGAGGTGGAGGAGGTTGAGAGGGGCATATTGGGGCTGGCTAGCGTGCTGGTGAGTGGGTGTGTTTGGGAGGACTGGCTGTGAGTGAGAGTGTGTTGAGGTAACTGGCCTGGTACTGGAGGGGTGCTGGGAACGTCAGCAGGCTTGTTCTCTGTACGGCAAGCTGGAGTGAAAGGGATAAGTGGATATCAGATGTGCACTTTAGGGGCATTGTTCTTTGGTATAGGCAACTCAGGGTGCGCCTTTCTTGTGTCGATTTAATTTGCTGTTGTTGGCGTCGGCGCTAGCCCACACTTCCCGCTCCCTCCTCTTTCCCTTCTTCTTCTCCTCACTCCTCACTCCCTCTGCTGCATCCCTCCCTCCCCTCCCCTTCCCTCCTCCCTTCCCAGCCGCCCCCCTCCTGCCCGGGCCTCCGCGGCCTGACCGAGCTGCAAGCCGCGCTGGCCGCTGGGCGGCTGCGGGAGCAGCAGCTGCTCACCCTGCCGCAGTGGTGGGCGGCCGGGGCAGCAGGGGCCGGTGGGTGGGCCCTGCAGGCGGGTCCGGGCGCAGGTGCGGGTGCCAGGGGGCTGGCGGGGGCTGCAGCACCCTGGCGGGCCGCACCTGCTGCGGGCGGGCTGCAGATGCGCAGGTCGGGGCGGCTGGTTGGGGCGGCGGGGCTGCAGGGGCAGGGGATGCAGCAGGAGGGGGGAGCAGCTGACGCCGCGCTGTTGCTGATGTTGGCGGAGGCTGCGGAGGAGGTGGAGATTGGCGCTGCACCGCGGGTGGTGCCGCAGCATGTGGCACCTTGGCTGGTCCCGCAGCACACCGCACCTTGGCTGATGCCGCCGCCGCCGCAGCAGCAGCTGGTGGAAGCTCCTTCCGTACCGGAGCCGCATGCGTGGGCGGGTGCGGGTGCGGGTGGGGGTGGGGGTGTGGTGGCGGCGATGGAGCCGCAGGGGGCCGTCCTGGCAGCACTGGCAGCCGAACAGCCACAGCAGCCGCAGCCGCAGCAGCAGCAGCAGCAGGAGGGGCTCCCAGTGAGTGAGGTCGCGGCGGCTAGCGGGGGAGGAGCGGCGATGCCGGCAGGGCAGCAGAAACCGCCGCCGCCGCAGCAGCAACAGCAGCAGTTGCCGCAACCGCCCCAGCCATTCATACAACATCAACAACAACAACAACCACAGCGGCAGCCACAGCAGCAACAGCAGCCACAGCAGCAACAACAACATCCGCAGCAGCCACAGCAGCAACAACAGCCGCAGCAACAGCAACAACAACAGCCACAGCAGCAGCCTTCAGAACAGGGACGAGCCAAACCCGGCCTTTCCGACCCATCTGGGTCAGCCAGCGGTGAGCCTTCCAAACACGCCCAAGACGCCATGGCTGCACATGAGGAGCCGGAGGTGAAAACGGAGCAGGAGGCCAACAGCAGCGACCAAGGGGACGGCGGCGGCGGGCCATCTGATACGGGCCCCGAGCGCCCGCCGCCCGCGCGTCCCTTCGGCTCCCACCCTCGCGGCTCCCCAGCTTCCCTGTCCGAGCTGCTTCCTGGCGCCAGTGCGGCTCAGCTGGCGGACCTGGCGGCGCGCATCCGGGCACATCAGGCGGGGCAGGCGCATGTGCCGGTGAGGGGGAGGGGGGGAAAAGAAGAATACCCGTGAGAGGTGGTGGTGAGAGGGGGGGTAACGGTCTTGGTAGAGGTGATGAAGGCGAGGGGCGGGAGGAGGGGAAGGGTAACAAAGGACTCTGAAAGGAGCCATTAGGGGGAAAGGATGGAGGATGGTAAAGGGGAGAAGCGGCTAGAGTTGCTGCTGCGACGAACCCAGGTGACATTGCAACCCCCCGCCCATGCTGCTGCGGAGGTTCATCCATCTCCTCATAACCCCGCCCTGGCTGCTGCTGCTGCTGTTGCTGCTGCTGTGGTGCTGCCCCCCACCCCCTTACCCTCACTTATCATTCCTTTCCCCCTGTCCTGTCCTGGCTGCTGTGCTGTGCCCCCACCCTTACCCCCCCTGGCGGCTGTGCAGGTGTACGTGCGGCTGGGGATGCTGACGGGTCTGCGGCCGGGGCGCTTCGGGCGGGCGGCGTGGGGCCCCTCCGGCTCGGGCACCGCGGTGGGGGTGATGGTGTGTCCCGAGGGCGCCATGCACGCCTCGGGGCAGGCGGGGCGGCCGCGCAGGGGGCTGCTGCTGCTCACACTCACCGGGAAGAAGACGGCGGAGGCGCAGGGGCCAAACGGCAAGGAGGGTAGTGCAGCAGGGGGCGGAGGCGGGGCGTCAGGTGGAGGTGGAGGTGGGGGTGATGGTGCAGCAGGGGGCGGGGGCGGCAGCAGCAATGCTGGTTGGGTTCGCGCGGAGGACCCTCGCGAGGCGGCTGACAAGTGGCTGCTGTGGGGCAACATGAGGAACCGCTCCTGGCCGGAGGCGTACGAGGTGGCGATGGTGGGTGTGGGGGGCGTGGGGGTGGTGGGGGAGAAGGGTTTTGCAGCCTCGCCCTGCCGGTAGCTCCGTTGGGTTGGTGTCCCGCAGCCTGCTCCGCACCTACAGAGGCACCATTGCGCTTGCAAGCTTGAAAGCCCATCACGTGTTTCCTCTGCACTACTCCTATTCCAATGCCTTGTCCTGACTTGCGGTTGGGTTGAACAGACCTTCTAAGCTCACGTGATGAGCGGTAAAACCTGGTTTGGGTTTCTCTCTAACCCCTACTACCGCAACCCCCCTGCCTTTGCGGCTGCTGGCAGGTGGAGGCGGACGGCACGCGTGTGTGGGTGCCGTACAAGCGGTGGCGGCGGGATGAGGTGGCGGGGGGGAGCAGCAGGCGGGTACTGGGGGTGCTGCTGCCGGAGCTGTGAGGGAGGGGGAGGGGGTGCATTGATGGTAGGAGTGAGGCTGCAAAGGAATTGGGGGAAGGGAGCGTCGTATTCCACAGGTCCAAGACAAGTAGATTTGGCGGGCCAGGTGGCTAGGACAGGGAGCAGTAGGGGAGTGGAGGGCTGTGGCGGACGCGCCAGTTGGTCGTTGGATTGCGGGAAGTTGGTGTTGCTGTCGATAGAGGGGAGTCGTCTTTAGAAATTGATGCCCTTTTTAAGCTTCAGTAGGCGTGATTTCTTATGCTTTCAGGTGGCGTGGGTTTGCCATTATGTCGTAATTTGCAACTTTGGCGCTTCTTCGTTTACCTGTACATGTAGACGTGTGTTCAACCAATAGAAACCATGATTGATTGGACTTGCCGCCAGACTTGTAAGGCTTGTCTGGCCTAGCTTGGGATTTTTCATGTGTGCATTTGCAGTAGCTACAATTGGAGTAGCTACCAATGAGTATGGCCGGGGCGAAACGCAGGCGCGTTAAAAAGCAGAACTCTGCCACTAAATGGAACAATGGAATTTGGAGTCAAACCTCGGGTTCTTAATAGGCGCAGATGACGTAAGCTGCGGCGCGTTGCCGTCGTTCGGTAACATTTGTCGGGTTTCATTCCAAATGCAAATGCAAGAATAATTACCAAACCTTAAGCAAGCTGTAATATTTTTGTCATAAAGATAACAGCAGCGCTTAGAGTTCTGCCTTTAGGAAGCTATCATGGGAAGGCCTAGCTCGCTAAGTACTGCCGCCTAAAGGAGTACACGGAATAATTGGCGGTACCGGGGCTGCATAGGAAAGACTTGTGAGCCGTGCGCATAATGGCTGGTTTGACATTTAATAATATCATTTGTGACGCATATCAGCACGGTTTAGGTTGTCTTCAGTATGCGATTTTTACAGGGGAGTCCAAACGACTCAAGTGCGACGCACAACCCTTTGGGCCTTATAGATCATGCCACGAACTTAAGTCATTGGGATCAATTGTCCCTCTTCAAGTAAGGGATAACGTTTTATTCACCTGGTGGTGATCTGTATACCACTGAACCTTCTCATCAGTCGCTAAGAAAGGGTGCTGTCTAGGTATTCTACCCCAACCTTGGGGGAATATTCAACGTGGCAAAAGAACGAATCCGTGCCCAAAAATCCGCTATCTTCATGGGTCCGTACGGCATACAGTAATTGATCATGTGCCCGCTGGCGATCCGTAAGATATGCACGTGACTGGCTACTATATATTTCAAGCATTTAAAGGTGTTAGAGTAAAAGTTATTGGGGCTTACCATACGCCCGTCTATTGGCTTGCTATCCCGGAGAGTCCGACGGGTGCACATAACATTCTCTGCAGCCCATACAGGCATATACCGCTTAGGCTCACATACATTTCTCAGTTGTGTAACACAGCGAATTAGCTTAACATGTGCGGCATAGAATAAGAATGCAGCGCTTTCATTCCATGCTTCGGGTTGCCCCTTTCATTGTTTCCGATATGTGGAGGCTGCGGTGCGACGAAGTATGGGTTTCCGTGGCTTTGCTAGCGCTTCTCCTGGCAAGAATTGTGCCATCCTTTCTGCTTACTGCAAATTTCTATGGACAGGTGAGCAGCCATGCCCAGAGATCGGCCTACGATTGCTTAGAGAAACAAGTGCATTGAAGGAGCTACTAAGCTCCCAGTGTCCCTTGTCTCTGCGGTTTGCTCGTCTGTGATGGGTGTAGTAAGCTGATAACGCAGTTACCTCTGCATATCTTCCAGCATAAAGTTGGAGGAGTTACTTGACTTAGTCCTGCTTGCTGCGCGTCTGACCAACATGCCATGTTCGTTTCCAGCAGGCTGTGACCGACGCTGTCGCCTTCGTCGACCAGTGTGTTTCTCAAGCCGCGAATGCCACCCGGCTTATCGCGCCATGGCTTCTCAACCCACGGCTGCTAGTCACCGCAACAGCTGTGTACCTTGCACTAGCACATGCCACGAGGCGGTTCCGCAGAAAAGGACTTCCTGGGACCACAGCGACTGCTCCTACCACTGCTAATATTACTGCAGCCAGCCATGTTAGCTTAGCTGAGGCCGCCGCGGGAGCACAGCGACGCGAAGTTCCCAATGCTTCTTCCCCACATCCCCTCGTTGACATCGGCGCGACAAGCCACGCTAGTTTCCCCAAGCCCTGCTGTCAAGCGGGGCATGAGGGGGCTAGCAACATGGCGGCAACAGCAGCGGTGAGGTATCAGCGGGCTACGGTGGCGCCCCTCCAGCCCATGGGCAGCAATTGGCACCCAACCGGCTCAGCGGTTGCCCATTCCTCAGCAGCAGCTGCTGGCGCTGCTCTCCCGCCGCCGCTCCCTCCTCGCAGCGCGCATCCGAACACCGCTGGGGCGCTGTCAGCCGCCGACCTGGCTGCTTGTCGTACGGCACTGCAGCGGGAGCCGTACCGCTCTCCTGTTGGCCGCTGCGCCGTGCGGTTCAAGGTGAGGGCGGCAGGGCGGTGGTAAGCCAGCTTTGGCGGTTGCTTTGGCCATCGACTGTTCCACCTACAGCTGTCATTTCGTGTGGCACCGCAATTCCCCAACTGTGATAAGCGACACCGGAAGCACAACGGAGAGGTTCAATTCCTGACCCAGATGCGACCCAGATCGAATACCGCTACATGTTACGTCAGTATCCCCTCCCTCACAGGGGCATCAACCCCAGCATCCTTGCAACCCTCATCCCTACCCCAATACTGCCTCCCTCTCACCTGCACCACACACACCAACTCACGCACCAAGTTCATTCAACACGCTCCCCCCTCCTTCCCTCCTTTCCCCCGCCCGACCCAGATCCCCTGGGCCGAGCCCGAGCAGCTCACCCCAGGCTACGAGGCGCGCATCGCCGCAGTGGCCGCGCAGTACGGCCTGCGGGTGGCGGGGTCGTACGTGCGGGCGGGCTGCATCGAGCTGGTGCTGGTGCTGGAGGCGGCGGCAGCGGGGGGGCGGCAGGGGCTGGGGGAGCAGCCCGCTGGGGGTTCCCCCCACCGCAGCACCACCACCGCCACCAGGGAGCAGGTGGGGTGGCTGGCTGACGTGGCCGCCCTGGATGTGACAGCGGTGGTGGGGGCGCTGCAGCTGAGGCATGCGGGGGGAGGAGGAGGCAGGAGCAGCCCGCTAGACGCCATGCGGCTGAGCCAGGTCAGCACCTCCCTCCGCCTGCTCAACCCGGCTGCAGCGCCGCCCCAGCAGAACCCCACCTCCACCCCCACCACCCCCACCCCCACCTTGTCAGTCACCGCCTGCCCGCGGGTACTGCTGCTGCCGCCAGCCGGCAGCCCACCCCCGCCAGCTGCTGCCCACCCGACCTCTCCGCCCCCAGCCCTCCCCCCAATTGCTGCCGGCTCCAACCTGGTTACCGGTGCGGACTCCCACACAGCCCCGGCCCTAGCCACGGTGCTGCTGCGCATTCGCCGGGAGCGCTGCCCCACCTCCATTACCTTCGCCACTTCCACCTCCACCTCGGCCTCCTCCCCCTGCACCAGTAGTAGCAGTAGGAGTGACGGGGGTGAGGTGGAGGTGCTGGTTCGCGCCCACAGCGCCTACCTGCCGGCGCGGCTGCGCGTGCTGCCGACTGGGGGTGGTGGAGCGGGCGGGGCCAGGGAGGCCAGGGCGGCGGCTGCGGTGGCGGAGGGGCAGAAGGGTGAGGGGCAGGAGGCGGCGGAGGGACAGACGGATCTTGATGATGACGTGGAGGAGGTGTATGCGTTGGAGCTGCTGGCGCTGCCGGAGAGGCCGGGGACGGTCATGGTGAGAGCGGGGCAGGGGCTGGGGGGCGGATGGGGGCAAATATATTTATAATAAGTGCAACAACTAGGGGGAGGAGGAGAGGGGTGGCATAGCCACCTTGGTGTTGGCGCTTGCCGAGCTGTCGCTAGGAAGCGCGCATGCGTGCAGATCGCATTTGGGCGTCGCCTGCTTTCTGTCTTAACTTGTCTTTACGTTCAAGCTCGAAGCGCTTTTTCCTCATCAAGTCAACCCCTCTCCCTTCCATCACCTTCCCTGGCTCCCCGATCCACCACCACCCCGCACCGCCTGCACAGCTGGATATCACCTGGCGGGAAGTGCAAGCGGGTCAGGAACAGCAGCAGCAGGACCTGTTGCCCCCCGCCGTCCGCGCCTCGGAAGTGCGGCGGGAGTGCCGTGCCACCGCCACCACCCTGCCGCTGCTGGCCCTCCCCGGCGACATGGAGGACATGGCGGCTGAGCTGGAGGGGGCGGCGGCGGCCTGGCCGCCGGATTCGTGCGACGAATTGAATGCGCTGCTGTACGACATGGGCACATGGGCCGCCACCAGCATGCAGCATCAGCAGCCGCAGCAGCACCGTCGCGACGGTTCGCCTTGCCTGGAGTTTTGGTCGGTTCTGGGTCCACATTTGCTGAAGCATGCGGAGGCTGCAGGCTGGGAGGCCACGGCGAGCCGCATCCGCAGCGACCTCACACGACTGAGGGCGGTAGCTGCTGAGCAGCAGCAGCAGCAGCAGGTGCCACCTCAGCAGCTGAGTCGGGCTCGTACGACATCGTCCTTCGCCTCGTTTGTGGGTGGCTGCCTTAGCAGCGGCATGCTGAGCATGTTGGGGAGCGCATACCACGCTGCATGCGGCGATGCTGCGGTACGGCAGAACCACTCGGGGGTGTCCAGCGCGCAAAGGCGACCCATGGGTCGTGCTGTCTGGCTGTCGGCGCTGCTGCGTGTGCTGGGCTGGGAGGTGGCGCCTCCTGCTGAGGCTGCTGCGTTCGAGGCGTTCTTGGGGGCGTGGAGTGTGGCTCAGGGGCACACAATGTAAGAGAAGGAGGGTGGGGGAGGGTGCGGCTCACTCTAGGCGAGTGAGTAATGATATGAAGGCCAGATAGTTGCGGTCATAAAGTTCGGCTTGCAAGTACGCGCTCTCGGATCAGCAACTGCAACGTTGAGCGGAAAACCAATTATTATTATAATGCCGCATATCTGGTGAGCCGCTGTACCTCTTCAGTCCCCCGCTTCCCTCCCCCTAATACCCCTCTCCACCTCCGCCCCACCCCCCTCCCTACCTCCAGCCAAATGGTGGAGTGCCTGGCGCTGCTCTGCCTGCTCTTCCGCACCTCCCGCGAGGGGCACCCGCCCCTGGGCGCTGCCAACGCAGTTGCGGTGGTGGGCTGCGGGGTGGGCACCCTGGCCACGTTGGCCTGGCTGGTGCTGCCGTACCGCGTGTGGGTACGGCTGGTGGGCGCCGCCAAGCTGCCGCGGTACGGCGGACACCTGGCGGCCAAGGCGCTGGTGGCGCTGGCGGGGCTGCCTGCGCCGCCGGGCATTGCGGCGTACGGCAGCGGGGTGGGGGCGCTGCTGCTGGAGGGGTGCATCCTGCCGGGGGCTTGTCTGGTGAGGGTGGGGAAGGGAGGGACGGGATGGGTTCCTAGTTGGTCACAGGAGGTGGTGCTACTTCCGTTCCAACTGCTTGTACCCAAGCGTCTGTGCAGCAAGCAGGAAAGCCTGGCGTATAAGAACCGTCTGACGTTGACCCCCCGCCCCCTTCACGCCCCCCCCCCTCCGCAGATGTCCCCCCGAGCCGCGGCGCTCATCTCCGCCCTCAAGCTGCCCCTCAACGCGGCCATGCTGGTGGCCACGGGGGCAGCAGCGGGGCCGGGCGCAGCAGTGCTGCTGGCGGCTCGTGTGGAGGCGCTGGCCCTGCTGACCACCCTGGCCTGCCACCTGTACATGCGGCTGGGCTACCAGTGGCGGGCGGAGCAGCTGGCAGCAGGGGCGGGGGCGGCGGGGGGCGGGCAGGCGGGGGGCCGGCTGGAATGTGGTGGAGCGGAGGGAGGAGGTGGCGTTGCGGGCGGCCGTGGATGGATGTGCGGGGAGGAGGTGAAGAGCGTCAAGGTGGATTGAGAGGGGAGGGGACGGGTTTGATGGTGCGATGTTTTGATGTGGGTTGGGTAGGGCTAGGATGGGTCATGGGTGGTTAATGGTTACGTTGGGGCACGGGGCGATGTGGCAGCTGCGCGAGGATATGGGGACATGGGGGCCTGAAAGCCCCTGCACGGCTTCTGGAAGTGCGTGCGCTGACCCATGGGTCGTGCTTTTCGTAACCTGCAACGGTGTGCAGGTTTGTGTTTTTTTTTAATTCTCCCATGTTTTCCAGTGATTTCCGCCGTTAAGCATGTGTTCCAGTGATTTCCGCCGTTAAGTGTTTATGGCACGCAATGGAGGTTCGTTCTACTGCTTATACGCCGCACATGTGGGGCCATGTCCCCCATGTGGCATCTCTGACAGGGTTACCGTACCCGCACGCCTCGACTGACGGTTGGCCCCGGGAGTGATGGATCGGTGCATCGGGAATGCACGAAATGAGTGTTGCCGGACGCTCCCATGATTGCATGGGAGGGGGGGAGGGGTGCCGGCCCCTGCCGGGGTCGCTTACAGAAGCCCGCGTACCGGTACCGGTGTTGGGTACTCTCTGGGGTCCCGGCTTCATGCCCTGCCTGCAGTCTAGCTGAAGGCTAGGAGGTTCAGGAGTCCTGGAGACGGTGTTTTGCAGGACGTTGGAGTGCTGCCAGCTAGTCCACCGTGAAGTAGAGCGATAGATACTCGGGCGGCCCCTGCCATTCTGTCCTTGTGTAGGGCTACCGGCACTCGCTCCTTCGCCTCAGGTGGGGGGGGGGCTCCTCCCACCCGCTTGTGGCCCCTGGAACCCACATTGACACGCTGCAAGACGGCATTAGAGGCCCGCCGTTGCCTCAAGCCGTAGGGAGCTTGCGCGCCTTTCGGGCACGGTTACGTAGTTCCTTGCGGCGATGTATGTACGGCAAAGCGCCTCCTCCGCCCATCCATCGGAGGCGTGCACATAATTAAGGTGCTGCCTAGAAAGTCCATTGTTCTTGTGGATAAGGATTGGTTGGAAGGAATACCCAAAGCCTGTTCAGGCGGACAAGGGTTCCAGAAGCTTAGTTCCAGCACCTTACCATCTGACAGACCACGGAAGGTCTAGGTTGCTAATCTAGTCTACCATTTCTCATACTAGCGAAGTTTCATCCCCATTCACCGGAAGTTAACAGCGACGTGGTGACGGCCTAACTGACGAGGAACTGAACGTTGGCGTCGAAGGAAGCACGCCACAAGCAGCAATAGGACAGGTAGCTCAATAGCGGGCGCTTAGTACTGGCCGTTTAAATCGCTGTCCCCACTCAACATTTGACCTTCGTTCGTGTCGTGTTGCAGTTCTCACACAGGCAGCACTCTATTTTCGCTAATCGTTTTGAAATAACCCGATAAGTTGAGCCCCTTAATTCAAGTCGACTAAACGCCGAAACGCCGATGCCCGCTGAGTCTTCACGGGGCATCGGCATCCTTGCCTCACCCAGCAGCAAGAACTCTGAAGGCAAGACCTCTAACGTGCTCTTATCAATACTGCCCAGCTTCCAACTGACTCCTGTTACGTGCGTGCGCCTAGCAGGCAGAGCATCCATTTTCGAAGGTGGAGATGGTGCTGCTCTAATGCACCTGCTCCACGCGGGCATCACCTGCGCGGCTGTCCTCGCGCTCAAGGTGTATCGCTCCACACGAGCGCGCGGCTCTTCAGCCAACAAAGCCGACAAGTCCCCCACCGGTAAGTCCATTTCCCCTCTCCCGCCTCACCACCCTGCCCGTCCGCCTCTGCCTTGCCAAACCATGTACCCCCTCCCCGGCACCCTTCCCCCATGCACCTTCCCTAACGCCTCCCCTTTCCACCTCAAAAATACCACCACCACCACCCACCTCCCCAGCGGAGGAGCAGCTGGAGGCCGCTCGTGCGGAGCTGGCCGTCAAGGAGGAGCAGCTGCGGCAGCTGCAGGAGCAGGTGGCGAGCACGCGGTTCTCACAGGTGCCGGGAGAGGGGGGGGGCAGGAGTGGAAGGGAGGGAGAGGGGAGGGAGGCAGGAAGAAGAAGAGGAATAGGTCGTAGGAAGCACGGAGGTCAGCAGCTGCCGTAGGTGTCGGCAACTGCCTGGCACTCAACTATGCGGGAGTGGACAAAGTATGCCAGGCAGTTGCCAAGCATATGAGAAGGAATGCATCTCCTACCCTTCCCCCCTCCTCTTCTCTCCCCACCCCACCCCCCCCGACCCCCCCAGGAGCAGTCGGAGGAGCTGTCGGAGCTGCGCTGCCGGCTGCGGGGGGCGCAGGAGGAGCTGCTGTCGGCGGGGCAGCGGTGCAGGGAGGCGTCGGAGAGGGTGGCGCGGACGGCGTGAGTGGAGGGGGTGGATAAACGAAGGGGTAGTGGAGCGGTGGCGAGGGGGTGTGGTATGAATGGATGTCACAACCCGCTGGGTAACAAGATCCCTGGGCAGGAGTGAGGTGGAGGGAGGGGCGGGTAGGTAGTGAGGAAACACCAGCCGCGCGACGAGGCGAGGGAAGTGGGGCCGGTGGGAAGGACTGGAGGGCTGGGCAAGTGGGGCACAGTTAGGCAGGTGTGTAGCAGGCATGGTGAGGAGAAGAGGTCTTGGACCGCCCGGCGCCGCCGCTATGCCGCCTGGCCGCTTCTACCCATTCCCTTCTCCTCTTGCCCTCCCCTTTCCCTTCCTCCCCCCTTTCATCAGTTGCGACCTGGCAGTCACGGAAACGGAGCTGCGGGCGCACAAGGCGCAGCTGCAGCGGGCGGGGCAGCAGCTGCAGGAAATGCAGGTGGGCGGAGGGGGCGGGGGTTGCGATTGCGGATGTCATCGACATGGGTTGGGGGCACGCCCAGCGAGGTCGGGAGAAAAAAGAAATTCCAATGTGTGTTGGGATAATGGTACAAATTGCTGACAATCCCTGGTCGGGAGGGGAGGGGAGGGGCACCGCAAGGGTGGCGTCGCAGGAGCTATCAGTGCTTCAGTGGCGGTGGAGGTCGGGGGCGCTTTCCCCTCTCCGCCCCTCCACCTCCTCATCCTCCTCCTGCCCCTCCCCCCCTACTCCCTTCTGCGCTCACTGCATGAGTCGGGATATGGGATTGGGACTCGTTGTTTCACTTTATAATTTTTTTTATAATTGTTCCCCCTTCCCCCCTGCCAGTCACGCCTGGAGGCCGCGGAGGGCGAGTTGGGTCTGACCCGCAGTCAGAACCTGATGATGCAGCGCGAGGTGGCGCTGCTGCGGCGGCAGCTGCGGGAGGCTGGGCAGCAGCTGGAGGGGCATCTGGTGGAGCGGGCGGAGAGGGAGCATGGGTACGAGTATGAGTAAAGGAGGGGGTCAAAGGCCATTCCAAACTAAAGGAGGTCACAGGAGGAGGGGGGAGAGTGGGGTCAAATTAGACCAAACCATGTGAAACCCTAAAGGGCAAAATTAGGGAATGAGGCGGCAGGGAGAGTGGGGAGGCGGGTCGATATGGGCTGATAAGTAGGTATGGCTTTGAGCTGAGAAGCAGGATTGAGAGGAGGCACGCAAGCGCACGCCTGCCTCACATCGTCTAGAGTACGGTATGGGTGTTGTGCAATCGCACTGTCATTTGTTGTTAGTGCAGGTTGTAGGGTTGTTGCCGTTGGGTCGATAGTAGTTAATCAGTACTTGGTAATAGTAATACACACAAACGCACAGATGCTGATGCAGATAGTAATACACACAGAGATGCTGTTTACTAGCAGCAGCGCGTGGTTTGCTTACTTACGGTTGTTGTCTCATGTGCTTCGGGCTGTGTGCGCAATCATGCGCGGGTTTGCGCCCGCTGGAACTTGCGGCTGCTGAAGAGGTGGCTGCCATTCACTGCTCAAGAATCAGAGTGAGGCGGGCTCGGAGGCAGTACTGGCTGGGGTGTTGGTGTTCGTTCGTGTACCTAGCCAACTATGCAGGGAAAGAGATGGAAAGATATGATGGACGGATATGAGCACTGGGTGGCAGTCCAAGCCTTACGAGGGGATTGGTGGCACTGTTACTGCTGCTGTTGCTGGCAGGATAGGTCTCAGGATAGTACACGAGACGTTTGTTGTTTTTGTTGTTGTGTTGTGGTACATGGTATGCCTTTGTGTTGTGCCCCCTTTTCCCTTTGCTGTTGATGCCCCAGCATTTGGCTGTGTGTCATGACCACACGACGTTGGAAGATCTTGCTGCGGGCTTTGATTAGGTTTAAGGCTGGGGCACCTTTCAAGCGCAGTTGCCCCCCTCTACTCGTCATCCTCGTCACCCCCCCCCTTGTCATATTCACATCTGCTAACACGTGTTGCAAACAGCATGGCACCCATGTTCTTGGACAAACTTTACGTTCGTGAAGCTGAACAACACGTGTGAAGTGTCCGCAAATTTCAACCAACGTCCTCGCTTATTACAGACGCAACGATTCCTGTCCGTAGCATATGCACAAGCACCGGTACATTCCAATAAACCTCGTTCTGCGAAACACTTCGTTAACACCACAAACCAGGTGTATCGCAGGGCTAGTACGTTCCAACAGCCAACAGTATGTGTGTTAAAATAACTGGCCAACAGTATGTGTGTATGTGATGAAGTCTCCACCCGCATGTCCTCCTACCTACTCCCCATATATGCGGATATATACCCGGATGTGGTCACTGTCTGACCCATGGGTCTGTCTCAAGCATCTGTCAGCTCGCACCTGTTGTGTGATTGTGAATGAACGCACACATGCTGCCCCTGTCAACACACCTAGACACACAGACAGATGCTGCCACCCAACCCCCACTCGCAAGCCGGGAGCCGGGCAATGCTACACCCGCTGTCATCACTCCACCCATACGGTATGGGCCGTACCAGTGCCGGTGGCGGCAAGGACGGCATCTGTGTCAGGTAACATGTAAGATGACAGATCATGAAACAACGAGTCCAAGCGGTCAGTAACCCCAAGTCAGCGCGCCGACGGCTACCCCCCCCCCCCCCGCCATCGCTTTGCCCTAACTTGTGGTCTCCTATGGTTTGGTATGGTCTTTGACCCCCCCCACCCCGCCATCAGCACTCGCCACTCGCAGGTGACAACCAGATCACATGCACAGCGTCATTGTCAGCTCTGCTGCTGCTGCTGGTGGTGCTTGAGAGCGCAGTGTGCTGCCGCATCCCCGCCACCTACCAGCATCCAGTAACAGTAGCATCACAACATTCGACAACACGACATCATCCCCATCAACTCGTATACACATACTGGTAATCGCTCCCATCATCCAACCCACTGAACTTCCTGTCCTTTGATGACCGGGTTTGGTAACAACAAGATTAACATTGGTACACCGGTACACAGTAAAGCCCACCCCACCCCCACACGTTACTACTCGCGGCCAGTATTCTTACATACGACCAGACCGACCACCAGCCTGTCACAACCCCCCCACCCCCCCCGCCATCATATCATATGGGCAGGTCATCCGAGCTGAACACGGCGGGCGGTTTGAAGCGGTCCGCACTCGCATCTGTGAAGGCGCGCAGCCCCACACCCCCGGCGGAGGAGGGACGCAGCCGGTCCGACACACCACCACCTCCGCCAATACCAAGACCACCTCCTCCGCGGGGAGACAGCGGGGCACCGCCTGCTGCTGCACCCGCACCTGCTGCTGCTGCATGAGCGCTGTTGCCCGGGGGCTGCATTCCGGATGCAGCAGCAGGGCTGGCCGAGGCAGCGGAGGCGCCTCCTGCTCCTGTTCCTCCTCCTCCTCCTCCTGCTGCTCCACCCACAAGGAGTGAGGGCACGCTGGCTCGGAATGCCGCGGATAGCGAGGTGGGGGCGGTGGCGGAGGTGGGGGCGGAGGGGGAGGCGGAGGAGGAGGGGCGGCTACGGAGGCCGCCGAGGTTGGAGGAGGGACCGGAGGAGGAGCCCGCGGTGGAGGAGGTGGAGGGCGAGGGCAGGGAGCGACGGGCGGAGGCGGGGGCGGGGTCCAGAGACATGGACGGCGGGCGGTGGGCGGAGAAGCTCCTGCGTGCGGGCGGGTGGAGGACGGGTAGTGGAGAGAGAGTGGGTGGGTGAGTGGGTGGTGAGTGCACTGGCGGTAGGGCGGGTGCCAGGTACGGACGCACAGCCCCCGCAGCCACACCACCTCCCTTACCCCGACCCCAACCCCTGTGCAGCCCATGAGAGGGCCCTCTTGCAACCGCACCCCCCACCTCCGGCCACGTCCCTCCGCCCAACCCACCTCTTGGGTCCGCTGCTCGCACCGCCGCCTGCCGTGTTGCTGCTCCCGCCTCCTCCACCGCCGCCGCCGCCTCCACCGCCCCCCACACTGCCGCTGCTGCCGCTGCTGCGACTCCCACTCAGCGGCAGCCCCCGCACCCCGGGAGCTGCGTAGTAGCTGACACTGCCGCCGCCCCGGCCCCTGCCACCACCACCCCCAGTCCCCGGCTGCTTACTCGCATTGAGGCGACTGCTGGCAGGTCTAGCCTTACCAGCCCCCTGGCTCCCTCCCGCCCCTCCTCCTCCTCGGCCGCTGCCGCTGCCGCTCGGCCCCCCAGCTCCCCCACTCTCCCTCCGCCCACCCGCCACCACCTCCTCACTCCCCTCCCCACCACCTGCCTCCTCCCCTCCCTCCTCACCCCCCTCCTCCTCCCCATCCTCCGTCTCCTCCGCATCCTCCCCCCTGCCTCCCCCCCCTCCTCCCCCTCCCGCTGCCCCCATGCTAGCCGCCAAGTGCTCTCTCAACCCCACCAGCGCCCGCTGCTGCGCCTCCGCCGCCGCCGCATTGCTCTGCAGCTGCACCGCCAGCTCCGCCATGCGCTGCCGCTCCGAGCTGATCAGCTCAGCAAAGGCACGCAGCGGAGCCCCGCGAGACACCGTACTGACGGCGCCACCGGGTGCAGCGGGAGAGGGCAGGGGTGACCCGTGGGTCGGGTGGTGGTGGTGGTGCGAGGCGGCGGGGTGGGAGTGGGTGTGGGTATGAGGCGCACCGCCACTGCCGCCGCCGCCTGGTTGCGCGCGGAACATACCCCAACCGGCGGAAATGGGCCGGGATTGGGTGACCGCAGCGGCGGCAGCGGTGGAGGCGGAGGCGGAGGTACGGCTGGTGGCGGCGGTGGAAGCGGCGCCGACGGAGGCAGGAGGAGCATTGGCGATGCGTTTGTGGTGGTTCTGGCTGGGGAGGGCGGTGCTGGGTCGCGCCAGTGGCCCCGCGGCGACGGCGGCGGCGAGGGCAGCGGCGGCGGCACCGGAGGGCGACAGTGACGACAGCAACCGGCTCGCTGCCCCGCCTGCCCCGCCGCCTCCGCCAGCTCTCCCCGCCATGCTCATTATGCTGGCAGCAGCAGTGGCGGCAGCCGGCGGCAGTCCCCCCTCCTCCTCCTCCTCATCCCCATCCACTGCAAAGGCCGCGTAGGCGTCCTCCCCCTCCCCCACACTGCTGCCTCCACCTCCTCCACCTGCCCCTCCCCCCCTCAGCCCCGCCCTCCGCTCCAGCATGTAGTAGCGCCCCTGCAGCTCCCGCAGCGCCACCACCGCCGCATCCACCTTGTCACGGAGCGCGCGGTTGTCCTCCTGGGCCACCTGGGGGGGCGGGAGGGGGGAGGGGGTGTTGGTGGTGGTAGGGGAGGAGGGTTAGCGTGAGGAGGTCAGCGTGAGGAGTGCACAGGGGCCAGGCAGGGAGATGCAGCAGCAGGCGGTTCCCACCAGCTTGCCCTCCTTCCACACCTGGGCAGCCCCCCCCCACCTCCTCCTCCCACCTGCTCCCCCCACCTGCTCCCCCCACCTGCTCCACAAGCACACCCTACCTGCCCCACCTCCGCTCCCCCAATCCCTCACCCCCCCTCCCACCTGCAGCTCCCGCAGCAGCTGGCTGTTCTGGTGCAGAGTACTCCGTAACGTCGCCCTCGCCGTCCTCGCGTCCTGATCCAACCGCCACTGCAGCAGCACCACCCGCGTCTCCGCAGCAGCAGCCTGCGCAACCGCCTCGGCAGTGGCATCGCGGCTGGCGCCGACCCGCGGGTCACCCAGGCAGTATGTCCGCACCAGCTCGTCCAGCGCCTTTTGACGTGCGGACCTGCCGTGCACGGTCCGGTCATCGGGCTGTTGCATGGCGGCGTAGAGGTCCTGGCTGAAGGCGGAGATGGCGGTGTCTTGTTGGGTGACGCGGCGTTTGAGGGCGGCGTTTTCGGTTTTTAGCATGCGTAGGGAGGTGTCCTTTTCGGCGACGTGGCGGGAGAGGATTTGCAGGCGGCCCATTTGGCCCAGCAGCTCCTTGTCGTGGCCCTCCAGCTCGTCCTGGGTTGGGGGGGTAGGGGGGGTAGGGGGGGTAGGGGGATTAGGGGGGGTAGGGGGGGTTGGAGGTGGAGGGAACTATGAGCCGCGAGGACACACTGGGACCGTGACCGCGGGGAGACCCAAGGGAGGGGTGGGGGTGAAGATGAAACGACTAACGAGCCGTGTGATAAGGCGTCATCATGGTTTCCCCTTCCCGAGGGAGGGGTGTGGAGAGGGAGAAGGTGGCGGACACACGGAGGGCGACGGGCGGGACCCAGATGCACATCACCCACCGCCGCCGCGTGGTTAACATCCGAACCAGGTTGCTGCCGGTGCAGGTATTGGAGGGAGGGAACCCTCCCTCTCACCATCTTTCTCTCACCCTCACTCTCACCCTGCCTCAGCCGGGGTCATCAGACCGAATGGACACCCCAAGCCGCCCCCCACCCCTGTCCCCCCAGCACGGTAACCCCGCCGCCGCCCCGCCCCCCCCCACCTGCAGCCGCTCGATCTCCTTCTCCTGCGGCTCGAGCTGCTTGGCCAGCGTCTCAGCCTACGAGGGCGGGAGGGGGGAGGTCAAAAAGACCATGCACCAAACCATAGGAAACCACAGGTTAGGGCAAAGCAATGAGGGTAGGAGGCGGCAGGGTGCCACAAGGATGGTTAGTATTCCCTACCGATACCGAGGGGGGAGGGGGGGGGCAGGTGAGCGGGGGGAGGGTGTTAGGAAGAGGGTTAGGAAGGGGGTGGGTGCGGGCGGGGGTGTAGGCGGGGATACCGGAGCGAGGAGTCTTGGCCCTCATGGGGGGTTGAGGGCGTGTCGCGTGTCCCAACCAACCACGTAACACAGCAGCCCAAGCGCCCAAGAAGATGAAGCACTACACGCAGAACGAGCGGCATGACCGCGTCGCCGGCTTGACGTCTTCCCCTCTAACCTCCCCATTGCGGTTTTCATCATCTGTCCTCCCCCCTCCCCCTTCCCCCTCCAGTCCCTTGCCAAAATCATCATGCCATCTCCCCCCCCCTCCCTTCCCACCTTGTACGTGAGCACGAACTTGTGCTTGTCCAGGTCCTGCACCTTCCGCCGCAGCGACTGGTTGGTTGCGTAGTTGTCCGCGTTCACTGCGTCGCGCTCCTCCAGCTCGCGAGTCAGCTTGGAGATGGTGAGTCGCAGCTCCTCGCACTGCTCCCGCAGCGCCGCGTTGTCGGTGGCCAGCTTCTCGCTGCGTTTGAGGTCCAGCGTCTTGTCGGCTGGGGGGGGTGGAGGGGGTTGGGTGGGGGGTTGGGTAAAAGTGAGGAAACTGAGGGGGGACAGGGGAGGGTCAAAGACCCTACCAAACCATAGGAAACCACAGGTTAGGGCAAAGCAATGGGGAGGGGGGGGGGGTTCAGAGATACGGTATACCACATATGAGCAGTCTCCTTCCTCACCCTCCACGCCTCCCCCGTCCCCCCCCCCCTCCCACCAAACCCCTCCCTCCCCCGCCCCTCCCCCGCCCCCTCCCCCGCCCCCACCCTTGAGCCTCAGGTTGGTCCTCTTGAGGATGTTGTTGTCCGCCTTGAGCCGCTGCTCCCGCGCCTCCGCCGCGTCGGTGAGGGCGGTGATGCGCTCATTGATGCGGTCGGAGTGGTCCTCGAAGTCCTCCTCGGCCTGCAAGGGGGGGCAGGGGGAGGGGGGGAGAGGGGGCAGGTTGAGGCGCATGCATGCATGCTGAAAGGTGCGGCACACACACACACACACAGGGGGGGGCTTTCCGCTATCACTCCCTCTTCTTCCTCTAGTATTCCTACGTAGCTGCTCAACAACATACTTCGATATCTGGGACGCCATCATTCTCCGGTATACCACCGGTTCGGTCAGCATTTCCGCGGCTCAGTTTACCTAATGCCCTCCTCCGCCGCCCCCCTCCCCTTCCTACCCCTCCTACCCCCCCCCCACCTGCTTCACATACTCGTTGAAGAACCGGTCCTGCTCCTGCCGTGCCGCCTCCGCCGCCGCCAGCCGCCCCGCCATACCCTCCATCGCGATACGGTGGGCGGTGCGCAGGTCCTGAGGGGGGGTGGGAGGGGGGGGTGGGGTGGGGTTATTGTTGGGGGGGGGAGAGGGGGTTTGGAGGGAGGGGTGAAGGGGCCCGGGAGCCTTCGTACATCATGAACACAACAAACCAAGCACTGTACACGAGAGGTTCGGGACCCCAGACGAGCCACCCGCACTGCCCGGGAGACATCCCAGCTGCCCCCCCTCCCCGCCCCTTCCTTGGTGGTTTCCTAGGGTATGGTCTGGCCTTCCTATTCCCCCTCCCCCCTCCCCTTCCCCCCGCCCCCCCCACCTGCAGCTCCCGCTGGTGCGCCTCCTGCATGCGCCGCACCGCCTCCTCCGCCCGGTACTGCACGTCGTCGCGGGCTGCGGCCAGCTGGCGCAGCTTCTCAGCCTCCACCTGCAGGGGGGGGGAGGGAGGGGAGGGAGGGAGGGGAGGAGGTCAAAGACCAGCCCAAAACATTGGAAGCCACAGGCTAGGGCAAAGCAATGGGGATAGGAGGCGGCATGGGGGGAGAAGTGGGGCGGCGTGGGGAGGATGGGTGGGTGTCCTCAGGGAACATGGGGGGAGCATTGATTGGAAGCATGAGGATGGGGCGGATTGAACCCCATGCACGCACTCCACCTGCGCGAGCTCCATGCAGCAGCAGCTGGCCGCCGTAGCCACCCAGCCAGCTGGAAAGGGACACCGCTACCCTGCCACCGAGGCGTCCCTCTCCCTCCCCCTTCCCCTCTCCCCCACCCACCTGCAGCCTCCTTTCATACAGCGCCTCCAGCTCCTCCGCAGCACTCATGTGGGCGCCCTCCAGCTCCTGGGGGGATCGATAAGGACCACACCTTAAGAAACCACGAATCAGGACAAAACAATGGCATGGTTTTTCTTGTTCCTCATTCCTGCTCCCTCCACCCCCCAACCTGTGGCCTCCTATGGTTCGGTATGCTCTTCTGACCTCCCCCCCCCCATGCATCCCATTCGTTCACGGCACGCAGGTTTGCCGCCCGCACATCCCTGCCTACAAGCACACACACACATGTATCTCGTACCTATGTTTCTCCCCGAGCACCCCACCCCACCAGGACAGGGCGGGATGTGGGCCGGCTACCACATTTGCACCCCCCCCTGGTGAAGCCTACATGTCATACAGCCCGTCAGTTTTCTTATCCCCCCACCCCCCCACCTTGACCACCCTCCTCTCCAGCAGCGCCGTGTCCGCCTGCAGCCTCGCGATGCGCTCCTCCCGCTCCGTCACCGCACCCCGAGCGGCAGCCAGCTCGCCCTCCAGCCGGCTGATGGCGTCGCGCAGGACCTGGGCGGCGCGGAAGGCCTGACACCGGGGGGAGGGAGGGTGGGAGGGGAGGGGAGGGAAAGAAGAATACCCAGCGGGTTGAATGGGAATGGCAAAGAAGGCGAGGAGGGAGGGGTTGGAAGTGGGGAAGTAAGCGGTGGTGAAGAACGGGCGAAACCTGGGGTTTCAGGGGTTCGCTGCTGCCCGGTGTCCGATCCTACGGTCCTCCGTGGGCCCCCTCCCCCGATTCACCCCACCTCCATGTCCAACCTCTACGTCCCTCCTTCCCCATTTGCACGTACCTGAGTTCATTCTCCCCACTCCCCGCTCCTCCCCTTCCCTCTCCCCGCCCCTCCCCCCCCCTGCCCCCCTACCTGGTACTCCGCCTCGCTCCGCGCACTGCCCACCATCATCGCCACCTCCACCACCCGCTCCCGCAGCGCCACCAGCCGGTCCTCCGGCACCGTCACGTAGAAGGGCAGGGCGGCGGGGGAGGAGGGGGGCGCGGTGGAGGCGGCGGAGGAGGGAGTGGGGGCACTACCCGCATGCAGCGTACCCCCCATACCGCCTCCGCCCCCTCCTCCTCCTCCCACGCCTCCAGCTCCCCCGGTGCTGCCCCCGGCGCCCCCGGCGCCTCCTGCAACCCCCGCAACCCCCGGCCCCGCCCCCCCTGCTGCAGCCGACATGAGGTGTTGCAGCGGCGAGTGTGTTATCCTGAAGTGCCGCCCCCCCTGCTGCGCCGCCTCCAGCAGCAGCCCGTCCAGCACCAGGGCCACGGAGCTCATGAGGATGCTGCCGTCGCAGCTACGGGGGGGTGGTGGGGGGAGGGAGGGGAAGGGGGGAGGGGGGGAGAGGAGTGAGAAGGGGAAACTAACGAGCTGTATGACGAGGCTTCACCGTGGGTTGACCAGGGGGAGGGAGGGGGTTGAGGCGAGCAGCCACTGCGGGCTCCTGGCCTCTCGTCTTCCCTCCTCCTTTCTCCCAACCAAACCCCTACCCTACCCACTCACCCCCCGACAACCCGATACATATTAGTCGAAGCAAACAACCTACCCCATTCCACCCCTACCTCCCCTGTCCCCTCCCCTCCATCCCCCCCCCACCCCCTACCTCGCGGTGAACAGCAGCCCGCGCGAGGGTACCAGCACCATGCGACAGATCCCGCCCCCCACCGCACTGTGCAGCGGGTAGGGGTGCGGCGGAGGAGCCAGCGCCGCAAAGCCCGGCCGCGGCGGCATGTCGGGCGGCCAGGTGTACGACACCACCGCCCCCGTGTCGTCCGCCGCCAGCAGCACGCGGTCAGCCCCCAGCAGGCAGGCGGGGGCGGAGGGGCCGCCGCGGCAGGCCACCTCGTACTCCACCCGCCCGGACAGGATCTGGGGGGGAGGAGGAGGGAAGGGGAGGGGGAGGGAGGAAGGGTTTTGGGGTTTACCGGATGTTGGGTAATGCGAAGCAAGCGGCGTCCTACACCCTGCGCCCCCAGACACAGCAGTTTAGTTGGTCTTATTCGTAACCCCAACCAGCCACCTTCCCATCACCCACCCACTCCGACCCCCCAGCCCCCCACCTGTCGCGCCCTGCCGTCCATTGTTCGCACCACTGCACCGCCTGAGAAGAGGCGAGGGCAGGGCAGGGGCGGAGGAGAGAGGTAGAACTACTCAGATACGTGCATGGGGGTCGGACACCAAGAATTCCAGGATTCCTAAACTTCTCTACCCTTTCTCTCCCCCTCCCTTGCAGGATGTACAGGACATCCCCCAGTTCGTCAGTTTCTTCAGCTTATTCCCCCCACCCTATTCCCCGCTACCTGGTTCCTGGTTGTACATGGTCACCGAGGTGTACACCGCCTGCTTGTCCACACACTCGTACTCCATGATGCGGGTGTAGGTCTTCAGGTCCCAGAAGTAGCTGCATTGAGGGGGGGGGAGGGGGGAGGAGGACATGTAAGGGAGGCAGTGCATGCGGAGCCACCTGCCTCCGTGGGGGTGCTTCCAGGTGCTTCCCACCCCCCCCCCTTGGCGAGCAGCCAGCGGAGCCCGGCCCCCAACCATGCAGGCAGGCAGGCAGGCAGGCTTGCCTCACAGCTCCTCCTCATCCCCCAACCCCAGCCCCCACCCTCTCAGCTGCAGCTCTCCTGCCTTGTTGTGTCTCTCCCCCCTTGTCGGCCCTCCCCCCCGCCCTCCCCTTCCCCCATCGGCAATCCTTCCCTCCCCTTCCCCACCACCCTACTACGCCTTATCCCTCAGTTAGTTGTTTCCTCTTTACCCTACTACAACTACGGAATGCGTACCCCTCCCCCCTCCCCTCCTCCCCCCCACTCACAGTGCGCCCCCCAGCCCCGCCGACACCAGCAACCGGTCATCCGCCGCGAACGCCAGGTCCGTCACCGCCGCCGCGTGCCCCTTGAGCGCCGCCAGGGGGGGCGAGCCGTGGTAGGTGGCGTGCAGGGAGATGGCGTTGGTGCGACCCACAGCCGCGAACAGCGCACCGCCCGTGGAGAAGCGGACCAGGGCGGCGCGCTTGAGGGGAGCCTCGAACACCAGCTCTAGGGCGTCCTGGGGAACACATACGGTACACATGCATTGTCCGGATGGAGAGCTTTCACGACGACAGTCGTCACTACCGGTAGCCTTCACAGCAGGGCAACTCCCCTCCTCCCCCCTTCCCCTCCCCCCCTCCCCCCCCCCTCCCCCCCTGCCGTACCAGCATGATGCCGTACAGCCGGATCTTGTCGTACATGCCCGCCAGCAGCAGCTGCCCCCCCGGGTGCATGTCCAGCGCCAGCAGCTCCTCGTCGAGCGCCAGGCTGAGCAGGCAGCGGCGGGACTCGTAGTTCCACACTCGCAACTGGGGGGGGCGGGAGGGGGGGAAAGAAGAAGTGCAATGTGTGGTGTGATAGTGGTAAACTAGCTGACAAGCCCTGAGGTAAAGTTCGTGAGTCGAGCCGAACGGAGAGCGAGGGGGAGGGGGGGAATAGATGAGAAGTGAAGCAACTGGGGAGGCAGCCAAGGAGGGTCAAAGACCACATACCAAAGGAGGGGGGGAAACGGCACTTCTACTTCCCCCACACCAACAACCGCTCGTTTCCTTTTCACCTCCACCCGCCTCCACCCCCCCACCTGCCGGTCATCCGCCGACGCCGCCGCCAGCAGCGGCACCGCGGATGCCGCCGCCAGCCCGATGATGCGGCGGGTGAGGAAGCCGCCCAGCAGCCGGCGGAAGGGCTCGCCTTCCTGGGGGGGTGCGAGGAGGGGGGATGGGGAGGTGGGAGTGGGGATGGAGGAAGAGGAGGGGGCAAAGATTGGAGAAGAGAAGGAAGGGCATGCTTTCGACGGTATCGATAGTGGCATGCGTACACGCTGAACACGGGTTATGTAGTGTGTGCACGGCTCAATATGTAATCCACCCTTGCCCTGCCCTGCCTCTCCTCCACACCAGCACCTCTGCCACATGCCTGTTGCTGGCAGAGAATTCCCCGCCCCCCTCCCCCCCTCCCCCTCCCCCCCCTCACCAGCAGCTCCGGCCCCACCAGCCCCGCAATGGGCCGCTCCTCCCGCTCCGCCACCACCGCCATGTTGGCAACCATCACATCCCCGCCGCCGCTCACCGCCACCACCTCCCCCTCGTCGGGCGACACACTCAGCCGCACCAGCGCGCGAGCGGGACTAGGTGCGGCAGCAGCAGCAGCGGCAGCAGCAGCGGGGTTGTTGTTGCAACCCGGGGTGGAGGTGGCGGAGGCGGGGTGGGACAGGCCGCAGCTGAAGTTGTAGCCAAAGCCCAGGCCTGGGAAGCGGTAGGAGCGACCCATGGGTCCCGGCGGACCCATGGGTCCTGCTGGCCCCATGGCTGGTGGTTCGGGTCCGTGTGGGAGGTCCACTGCCAGGCGGCGGACCAGCACGTAGAGATCACGGACGCCCGCCCTGGAGGTGGGAGGGGATAAGTAGAATACCCAATGTGTTGAATGGTAGGGGTGAGGGGGTGGGGAGGGAGGAGGAGGAGGAGGGGAGAAAGTGAAGCGGTTGAATAAGGCACCCGTCCCTTGCAGCCCCCCTTCCTTTGCAAGCATGCCTCCCACGCCTCCCACCCCATAGCCACGTCACCTTGTTCCACTTCCCCTCCCCTTTCCCTGCCAGACCCTGCCAAGCCCTTACCTCCCCCCCCTACCCTATGTCTGCACCCCATGGTGTAGCCTTGTCATACAGCTCGTTAGCTGCCTCGTCAGTGTCTCTTTATGGTTTTTACCCCCACCCTAGCTCGTTAGTTTCCTCTTTTACCCCCTTCCCCCACCCCCTCCCCCCCGGCCCCACCTCTTCTGCTCCACGCTGGGCGGGTCGAAGAAGTACACCGTCCCCGAGCTGCCCGCCGCAATGAAGCCCCGCCCCCTCGCAGCCACCGCCAGCAGGTGCTCACCCCAGCACCCTGTCACAACCCCCACCGCCCCGCCACCCTCCTCCTCCTCCTCGCATACTGCTGCTGCTGACCCGCTCCGCCCCCCTGCTCCCGTCCCTGCTCCTGCTCCCGCCCCCGCTGCTGCCCCCGGCGCCAGCGGCTCCACCCGTGTTGCCAGCCTGCTGGTTGCCTCCTGGAACACCTGCACCTCGCCCCCCGTGCCCACCACCGCCAGCATGTTGCCCGCCAGCCAACACATGGCGCTCAGGCAGGGGGCGTCGCAGGCCTGGGGGGGGGAGGGGAGGGGACGGGAGGGAGGGAGGGGAGGGGAGGGAGGGATGGGAGGTGGGGAGGAAGGGGAGGGAGGTGGGGAAGGGACATTCAGCGGAGTTGCCAACGCCCGCCAACACCCACTGCTTTTACCCCCTTTCTGCTCCAGTACGTTCACACCCTCATTCCCCCCCTCCAGGCACACACAGTTAGTTTTAACACCAACAAACCCCCACACCCCCTGCTCCCCCTCCCCCTCACCCACCGCCCCCCCTCTCTCTGGGCATACAGTTCGTCAAGTTCCCTATTTTACCCTCTCTCACCGGCGGCGCGGCTGTGAGTTTGAGCGTGTCGTGGTCCAGGTCCAGTCGGTACTGCGCCACCTGCGTGGGCCCCAGCACCGCCAGCAGCATGTCGTCCACGGGGGAGAACAGCGCGGACAGCAGCGGGGGGGGCAGGTCCAGACGCAGGGAGGCGAGGACCTGGAGGGGATGGGGGGGAGGGGAGGGGGTAGTTACGGAAAGGCGTACCCCAGGCAGGCAGGCCAGCCACGAGGCCTCATATACAGCCCCGCCCTCTCAGCGCTCTTCGAGCACCACCACACCTTTACTTAACCACCTCAGCGACCGCAGCCCTCCGGGCAGCCCCCACCCCCTCCACCTCGCCCCGCCGCCACACCACCACCATCCCTCGGACCATGGGTTTTATGGCCACTCCAGTGCTTTACTTCTATACTTCTACCCTCTCCCCCTGCCCTCCCCGCCCCCCCTATTGCTTTGCCCCAACATGTGGCTTCCCATGGTCTGGTACCGTATGCGGCCTTTGGTACCCCCCCACCTTGCCGCTGTACCAGCGCCACACCACCAGCGTCCAGTCAGGGCTGCCGTACTGGGTCAGCAGGAACTTGCTGTTGGCGCTGTTGTGGAGGGATGAGGGGTGAGGGGGTGGTTGAGGGGGTGGGTGTGTGGGGGTGGGAAAAGACGGGTTGTCAGGCGGTTCGTTAGGCGGTTTCTCTTCCTAACCACCCTCACTAACCCACCTCCCCTCTACCCTCACCCCCCCTCACCCCCGGGGCTCCCCTCCGGGTTTCCAGTGCTTTTCACTTGTTGGCTTTTGCTCCCCCCCACCATGCCCCATGGTGGAGCCTCGTCAAGTCGTCATACACAGCTCGTCAATTACTTATCTTTAGCCGCCCCCCGGCACCCCCCCCCTCCGCCCCCACCTGAACTGCAGGCACTCCACCCGCGGCGACTCGGAGCCGGTGAGGGCGGGGTCGTGGGGCAGCACCTTGACGCGCTTCTCACCGCCGAAGCTGTAAACAGACACCTGGGGAGAGCCGGGGGGGGAGCGGGTAAAAATAAGGAAAACTGACGAACTGGGTCGGGGTGGGGGAAGTGCGGGGGAAGCGGGGGCATGGGGTCAGGGGAGGGGGGTAGAATAAACCAAACCACAAAGTTAGGGCAAAACAATGGGTATTGTTGGCAGGGAGCCACAAAACATGGGAGGGTCAGGGGAGGGGGAATAGAGCTCGACAGGCTGTCGTCATGGTGCCCCTCCTCCTCCTCCCGACCAACACTCCCCTTCACCTGCTCCTGGTCGTTTTCTCTAATCTGCTTTCCACACTGCTCGTGGTCCATCCCTCCTGCTCCATGCCCCTTCCTTCCACCCTCCACACATTGGGTATTCTTCTTTTTCCCTCCCCTCCCTCCACCTGCTCGTGGTCCAGTCCCGGCAGCCTCTCCACCACTGCAAAGTACTTGTAGTTGGCCGCCACCGCCAGCACCACCGCGCGAGCGCCCCGGTCGGCCAGCGGCACGAAACGCATCTGAGCAGCACGGGGAGGGGAGGGAAGGGCAGCCAAGCATGTACACATGTTGCAGTGGATAAATAGATAGAGAGGGAGGTTTGAATGTTGTCATGTCAAGCCGATCTGGCGAAAATTGAACCCAACAACTTGCCCCAACATTGCCAACCAACATTGCCCCCATTACCATCCATGGGCACGTACCTCGTGAGACGGCGAGCTATACATAGCCACTTGCGCCCCAACCGACCATAGCATCTTCTCGCCGTCGAGGTGCCACAGACAGTTCTTACACCCCACGTCAAGCCCGAAGGCAAACCTGCAGCGACCGGCATGCGTGGTGGGCGCGACGCTTGGATGTGGACCTAAAAATATCCCATGATAAACGTACGTGGGCATGACGATAGCTCCATAGTGTCCAGAGCCTTTTGGTCCGTCGTTCTGCCCGGACATTTCAGCCTTCGATGGAATGTGGTTATTTCAAAGGAGTAGGATTGCAATTTCTAACCCTCTTCTACGTGTCCATGATATGACTTCAGCATTTTTGTCAGAGGATGCAATACGTTCTGGATATTAGCTTGCAATAGGTCCCTGGATTTGCGCAAGTGGCATGTTATTCCATTAAATTACGGAAAAAGCAAGGAGCGCAAGAAATACCCAGTTAGTAGATGGAAAATCCGGTTGTTAGACTTGTTACGCACCAACTAGCGTCCGTACAGATGGACGAGCCATTTTCTCTTTTCTTGCCTACACCCGCTTGTCCAGCGGCTCAGCTCTACAAGGTAGTCACATAACTTGTGCTACTGCTGTGTTAATCCCCCTCATTAAGGCCGCTCTTTACCTAACCGCTAGTAAGACTGTTGCCGTCCACTTGATGCTACTTGACTCCTGCTTTTGCTTGATCTCTTGTAGTTAGTCCTCATCAATGCGCCGGCTCCGAACGGGGCTCGTTGTCGCCCTCACAGCCGTTGGTGCCATTCCATTTTTCCTGCCGGAACGCACAAAGATGGGTCTGCTTGAGGTGGCGCGTGCGCCAGTTCTGAACGACGTTTCCACAGGTAATCAACAGCACCCGCTTCACGTCACCCTTCTCCGTACTCGCCCTGTCCAATCCTGCCCCATAGGTACCCGCAACGCCCGCGTGCCACTTACTTCCAGCCCTCCCAGTTCCCTCTCCACGCAGCTTTTACCCTTCCTCTCCCTACTTCCCTCCCATCCACAGACCTGGATGACCCGCCTGCCTTCCTGGTGGCCAAGCATGGCCCCCTGCCGGATGCCTGGAAGCCGCGCATCCGGGCCGCATACCCCGACCTGCAACCGCTGCGGGTGCGGGCACCGCCAGCCAGCGGCAGCAGCGGCGGCAACATCCCCGCCCTGGATGCCGTACTGGAGGCCGTTACCGTCACCGCACAGGGCATGCCGCGCTGGGAGGTGGTCGCCACGCAGCCGGCAGCCCAGGCCGGCTCCGAAACCACCACCACCACCGCAACGGTTGAGGCGGTTGCAACCACCCGACTGATGCGCTTCCGGGACGACGTGTGCATGCGTGTACGGCAGGAGGAGGAGGAGAAGGGGCAGGGGCAGGGGCGGGGGCAGGAGGGGTATGTGTTTCGTGTGGACATGCGCAGTAAGAGCCGGGTGGGCAAGGGCGACCTGGGGGCCAACGCGGGCCGCATCCGGGAGTACCTGGGGGCGCTGCGGAGGGAGCTGGAGGGTCGGGGCATGCAGGTGGTGGCATGAGGGCCGGAGGGAAACACGATAGATTGGAGGGGGATTGCGAGGAACAACTACCTCTTCATGAGGTTTTGGGGATGGAGGAGTGGATTTGGGTTGCACCGGTGTGATAAAACATCTGGCCGCGTGTGCATGTGTGGTTTCGGTGCACCAGCCATGCGGGTTGCAAGTCTTGCCACATTGCAGCATGGTGGGCGGGGGCTACCAATGTTGTGAAGCGGAGGATTTTGCGTGAGGAGACAGCATGGTTGTGAAAGGTTTGCTAGCGGCATGTTGCTGAAAAGGATGCATGCAGGCGTTGTAGGTGGCATGCCCGGGCCCCCAGCTGTGCTGCAGATCCATTATCCGCATGCACACAGCATGCCACGTGCATGGTTGCACAGAGCGTTGAATTAATCGGCCGTGGAGACTGATAGACTGTTGGAGGCGGCACGGTTGATGGGTTGTCCTGTTGCTGTTATGGTTTTATGGTGTCAGGATTTTGTTTGGATGGGTCCATGTGTAAAGGGAGCATTGGTTGCAGAGTTGCTTAGATGGCAGGTTTGGGAAACGGGCTGCTGTCTATGGTAAGCGGGGTGATGTCGTACCAGATGGAACAAGGGTTGACGTTGCTGAGTAACACGCTATTGTTGAAATCACATTGAGAGCCGTTGAGGAAGCGCTCCTTACGCAGGCCTTTCTTCCCGGTGTGGAATGTTACAACGCCCATACGCAAGCTTGGGCCATTGCTGTGGTAAACCGCATCCTAACGTAGGCCTTTTATAGACGTTATACTGTTTCATACGCTATGACGATCCACGCTGGGTCCAGCGGGGGCACGGGCATTTTCGGGACGATGATCTACCCGGGCCGGGGTGTACGGGAAGTTGTGTCGCCTAGGGTGTCGCTCTGGTATGTATGACCTCAAGTGCCTTTAGTGCCGATGAGCTTGTAGTCCAGCCGTGTGGAACACATCAAGTAAAAACTAGACGATGACCTAAGTTCAATCACAAACGGCAAGCTTTGGCACATCGCCCTGACTAAGGCCTCTTTGTCGTGATTTGCCTATACTTAGACGCGACTTGTAAAGAATGAAACTGCAACGAAATAGCTGTTTCTTCGTATTGACCTCCGCGCCGATTCCATGAGTACCAGCTTAGTTAGACGCACGATCACGCCAGTAATTTATCTTTTGTAATCAAGTAGGCACACCTGTACGCCGTTGTAGGGTTAGTCTTCTTGTTGGAGGTCAAGGGCGCGACGGCCCTGTAACCGTTGGCCAGGCTTCCGGATGTTGGCCAAGGACAGGCGGCGGCCCCCTCTTATATTATTTTCGGCGTATGTAGTCTTGCAACTGGTGGGTATATAAACACGTTGTTGCTAGCGTACACTTGTTCATTTATCTCTCGGTACATGTCGCCACGATGCTAACAACAGCCACGCCGGCCGGTCGCCGCAATCCCTCCTGCAGTGCGCATCGGTCAGCAGTAGCGATGCCGACGATCTCAGCTCGCTACCCCACGTCGACTCCTGCAACTACTGCTTCGAATGCCTGCCCTCACCATCTGGCCATCACCACCGTAACCTCCAACAGTCCACCACCTCCTCCTCCTTAGCCACTCACCAACACACCACTACAACCACCCACAACACCTACGCCCGCGGCCGCGGCCGCGGCCACACCCGCGGCTCCGGCGCCCTAGGCGCCCGCATCCGCAAAGGAGGCGGCGCAGCTGCCCTCTCCACCTCCACCTCCGCCCCAGTCATTACCGACCCGGTATGGGCCAACGAACCCGACGGCGCCTACCTCGCCTCCGCCGCCTCCTCCGGCATCCCTGGAGCCCTAGCCAACCCACATGCCGTACAACCCGTCCTCATCGCGCCCGGCGACCACGAGTCCAAGCAGCTGCTGCCCAACTGCAGCCGCTGTGTGGGGTGCAGCAGTGAGCTGCAGGACATGCATGCGGCCCCGGTGGAGGCGGAGGGGCTGGGCGGGCTGGCGTTCATGCACGGCAAGGGCGCTACCAATGGCTGGCTGTTCTTCGGGCGGGTGGCGGGCAGCAGCAAGAGGTACATCGTAAAGGTGGGGGCGAAGACCACCGGTGGGGGGGTGTCAAGGACCAGTTCAAGGCATAGGAATTAGGAAAGCACGAGTTAGGGCAAGGCAATGGGGATAGGTGGCGGCTCAGGGTGCCGCAAGGGTTGGGGGGAGGTGCACATGGGGTGGGCGGTGGGAGGGAGGAGGTGTGGGAGAAAGTCAAGGGTTTTGCCATGCCTGAAGAAGCTGGGGGCTGGGAGTGATGCTGATGATGAGGGGGCGGATGGCCGCAGCAGGGGATGGGCAACAGCAAGGGATGAGAGAATGAGGGGCGTGGTTTGAGCGCTGGTTAGGTGAGCAGGGCAGGCGAGGCAGTGAGGGAGGCAGGGCTCTCAGTCATCGTCTATCAGCCACGAGGGCACAAGATGAGGGAGGAGGGGCGGCCATCATCGTCCGTTGCGGGGCGGGGCAACAGCAAGGGGTTGGGCTGCCGTAAGTGGTGGAGGGGGGCTGCAACCAACCAACCAACCAACCAACCAACGATGACTTGTAAAAGCGTACGACCCTCATTCCCATCGTGGCCTGATCCCCTCTCCCCCTTCCTATCCCCCCTCCCCCCCCCCCCCCTTATGGTTTCCTATGTGTTGGGCTGGTCTTTGACCTCCCCCCTCTCTCCCTGCCAGGTGTACTGCATGCCCTACTCCAAGGCTCACGGCCGCCCCCAGGGCTGCGCTGCCGGGGTGTACACGGAGCGGCTGCGGCTGATGATGGCGCAGGTGCGGCTGGCGGACGAGTGCGGCGCCGTGGGCAGCACACCCAGGTGTGTGTGTGGGGGGGGTAAGAGGGGTGAAGGTGAGGGGAAGGGGGGAGGGGTAAAGAGGAAACTGAGAGGGGGGTCAACGAGCATAGTACACCATGGGAAAATACAGGTTAGGGTGGGGGTAAAACAAAGGAGAATGGCGAGCTGTATGACAAGGCTGGGGGTGGGGGTGGGATGGGTTTAGGGATGGGGTTGGATTGGGGGAGGGGAGGGAAAAGAGGAGGAAATATGGCCATGCATTGGATGATAGTGGCTAAAGGCTTTTGGGTTTAAGGAAGCCAGGCAGGGAGAGATGGCAGCGCTCCCAGATGGGGTCGAGCGGGGTTGCTGGGGAAGGAGGGGGGAGCGGCAAGCAGCACACCCATCATCCCTTTCGGGCTCCCACCACTTGTCGTTAAGGGGAGCTTAAGACCCTGCGGGTATTCCTCTTGCAGCCCTGCAACCCCGCCGCCTGCCCTCCCCACTCCTCCCGCAAACCCCGCCTCCCTCCCTCCCACCCACCTACCCCCTCCCCCCCCTGCCCCAGGGTGTGGGTAGCCCCCGTGAACGCCATCGTGCCCAACGGCACCTACCGCGGCTACCACATCCGCTGGCACGGGCTGTGGATGGAGGAGGCGCCCGGCATCACACTGCATGCACTGCACACCGCAGAGGCCGGTGCGGGACACATGTTCCAGCTGCTGACACAGAAGATCAACAAGACGCAGGTGCGGGGGGGGGGAGGGGGGTGAAGAGGGGATAAAGAGGAAACAACTAACTGACTGAGGGATAAGGCGTCAACATGGGTTGCAACATGTGAAGAGGGGGGGTGGGGGTGTTGTAAGGCGACGTGATGTGTGCGAAAGTGGGTAAACAAGGGGGGTGGGGGTGGGGGTTTATGCATCTCGGTGGCATGACGCGGTTGCGGGTGGGGGTGGGAGGCGATACGGTAGGGTGGCGCGTTGGCCTGCAGCTGGCCCTCCTCCTCCTCTTGAAGGCGCTGCTCTTCCCCTCTTAAGACACCCTCACTTCGCATCATCAGCTCAGCTCCCTCCTGCTCTCCCCATACGTCCTCCCCTCTTCTTCTCTGGCTCCCCATTCCTTTTCTCCTCCTCTCCTTTTCAATGTTATTTACCTCCTCCCTCCCCCCTCCCTGCCTCCCCTCCCCCATGACCCCCCCCAGGTTGTCCAGCAGACGGTTCTGGACCTGCTTACCGCGCAGTGCGACCGGCACAGCGAGAACGTGTTCATCACCCCCGCCGGCCAGCTCACCTTCATCGACAACGACCGCGCGCTGGGGGTGGTGACGCGGTGCGGGGGGGACTCCATGCTGCTGCCCGGGAACAGGTGGGGGTGGTGACGCGGTGCGGGGGGCGGGGGGAGTAAATGAAAGATGAAGCAAGTGGAGTCCCAATCCCATGTCCCGACTCATGCAGTGAGCGCATAGGGGCGGGAGGGAGGAAGAGGGAGGTGGGGGCGGAAGGGAGGGAGAAGGGAGGGCGGTAGTGGGCTGGGCGGTGGAGGGCCGAGGTATGCCTTGTAAACACGATGGACGTCGCCAGGTAGTCGCCGTCACGGGGGGGCGTGTTGCCGCATCGTCCCATTCCGCCATGCGCCTGCATGTCAACCACGCCAACCAAATACCGTCCTTCCTCCCCCCCCCACTCTCCCCTCCTGCCGTTTCCTATCCCTATTGCTTTTACCCCTTACCTGTAGTTTCCTATGGTCCCCCCCCTCCCCTCCCCTCCCCCCCCCCCAGGTACCACACGCAGCTGCGGCTGGGCTACTGGGGCAACTACCTGGACTACTACCGCTCGCATGCGGGCAACCCCGCATTCTGCACCGGACCCATCGACATGCGCGTCATCATTGATTACCGGTGCGGGGAGGGGAGGGGAGGGGAGGGCGGGGAGGACTGGGGGAGCTGAGTTGGTGGCGTGTTTGTACGGGGGACTACACGATAGTTGGGTGTCTGGCTCACTGTGTTTTTCCGCACGCACGCATGGACCTCCGTCCCTTCTCCCCTACTACCCCCCTACCACCCTCCCCCTCACCCCACACGGGCTCCCCACTCCCCTCCCCCTCCCCCTGTATACAGCTGCTACGTCCCCGGCGGCACGCTGGGCACCTCCTACCCGCCCGGCCTTGCCGCCTGCATGCGCGACCTGGCAGCCCACAAGGTGCCCGACATCATGGCGCGATACGGCTTCACCAGCCGCAAGCCCGCGGAAATCCTCAAGCGCCGCGCTCGGGACATGCTGTCGCTGGGGTTCGAGGCCGCGCTGGCCTCCTCGCCGCCCCGCTCCGCGCCGCGCTACGTGTACCAGCAGCAGCCGCCCTGCTGCGGTCTGGTGCGCGACCTGGCGGGGAAGCCCAGGTGCGCCACGTGTTGGAAGCCGGTGCTGGAGGCGCAGAAGGATGGGGTGCGGGATAGTGTGGTGGCGGCGGCGGCGAAGGAGGTGCTGTTGGGGCCGGATGAGTAGCGAGGGAGGGTAGTGGGAGGAGGGAGGGTTGAAGAGGGAGAAATGTGCGGGTGCAGCATGCTGTGATGGATACCGTACTGGCGGCTCTTCGTGACTAGCGAGGGAGGAGGGGTCAGAGGAGGAGGGGGCCGCGTGCGCGTGAGCTGCTTAGTGGTGTAAAAAGGAGGGAACTTAGGAGCTGTTTGACATGTAGGCTTCAGGATGGGGGTGCATATATGGTAGCCGGTCCATCCCGTCTGCCCTGGTGGGTGGCGTACTGGGAATTGGGACAGGATACAAGTGTGTGCTTGTAGGCATGCATGTGCGGGCGGCAAACGTGCGTGCCGTGAACGAATGTGCTACACGACCATACGAGGAATGACTACAGGAAAGACTGTTGAGAGGAAGAGAGTACGACATTAAAAGGCTGGATTCAGCAGCCCTAAGGGCAGGGCGGGTGAAGGCATGGGTAAGCGGAGGGACAAGAGAAGATGGGCTCTTCCAAATGACTCCTTCTGAGTCAAATGGCTGAGGACTTTCCTTCCCTTGCAGCTTCTTGGAGGCATAACCATGCTGGGGAAGCAGCGTGTGGTGTACTGTGAGGCTGCGGCGGGACGTGACACGATGTGACTGTCAAGCTTGAGGACCGATGTGCCATGTCCTGGCTGATACCGGTGTCAGGGAAGCAGCTCTGCAGTTGTATGTGTTGTTTGGGCTTCTGCAGTGGAGATCTGCATGATGCATGCAGCGGCGTTCACAGCACACCCGCTTCTACATTGTGTTTCCGGAATCTGGGTTACACGAGATGAGCCTTGGAAGCTTCACCCCATGCGGGAAAGCAAGAGGCAAGTGCCGCCGTAAAAGCGTCAAAACCGGCACCTCTGACCTCTATTACCCCTCCACCTCCTCCACCTCCTCCCGCCAAGCAAACTCCGTGTGCATCCCCTACGGCCCTTCTCAGCAGCACGCAGCTCCCCCTCCCCCGCTTCCCCCCACCCGCACGTTTGCACCCCCCACCCGCACCTCCTCGCCCGCATAGCCACCCTGCAGCTGCTCGCACCCACACCATCCCTGCTGCAGCCTCCCTGCACGTCTCCCCACCCCACCAAACCGCCGCTCGATTCGGCTCGATTCGCCCTTGCCCAAGCACCCCACCTTGCACCACCACCACCCCACACCCCTCTGCTCCTCCTTCCCCTCCTCTTCCTTCGTCTCCTTAGATGCGGTACAGCGGCTTGATCCCCAGCAGCTCGAAGCACTTTCGCATCACCACCGCCGTCGCCTCGCTCAGCAGCAGTCGGGAGGCCTCCTGCTCGCTGCCCAGCACCTTGCAGTCCACGTAGAAGGAGTTGAAGCGCTCCGACAGCTCGTACAGGTAGTCGGTGAGCCTGGGGGGGGAGGGAAGGAGGGAAGGAGGGGAGGGGGCAGGGTTGGAGGGGAGGGAGGGAAAGGGAGGGAGGGGGGTGGGTGGGCATTACGAAGGCAAACTACGCTGGGGGGGAAAATTAGATATGTGAAACAACGAGGGGGGGGGCACGGGGGTTATTCATGGCTTGCGAACCGGCTTTCAGTTCGACCCTGCCCCTTGCTTGATGGTGTCTGAGTTGTGGGTTTCGGAAACGTAGGTTTCTTCAGCACACTCTTCCCACTTCTCCCCCCTTCCCTGGCCCCCCCCCCACCTGTTGGGAGCCAGCTCCTCAATCGCGTCCTCCAGCGCCTCCGGCAGCTTGCACAGGTGCAGCGCCAGCTCCAACTCCTGGAGGGGGGGGAGGAGAGGGGAGGGGAGGTGGGAAAAAGAGTCCCAAGGTGTTTAATGATGCTAGGGGGGTTAGGAGAGGGTAGCTGGGTGGGGGTTAGGGCGGCAGAGTGGCTGGGTTGCGGTTGCATGGGGTGGGGAAGGCGGGGACATTCAACTCCGTCACGTACCTGCCCTTATGGCGTTATGGGGACGGTCAAACTCCTGGCCGCCCAAACCGTCATACCTCCTCGTCCCGCTCCTTAAAGGCCCTATCCCTGACGTCCTGACGAACTTCCCCCTGAGCCCCCCTCCCCTCCCCTCCCCTTCTTCTCGCGGCCAGATTTCTCAACACACACACACCTTGGGGTGGTCCAGAGCCACGGGTGTGGAGGCGGCCAGCGAGTAGACGTCCTGCCCCGCCTTGCGAACAATGCCTGGTGGGGGGCAGGAGGGAAGAGGGTAGGGGGCGGTAACAAGGGGTTGCGTCAGTTCCACGGCTCGCAGTTGGACTTGGCTTCGCTGGTTCGGGCTGGGCGGGTCGGGCTGGCTCACATGTTGCAACCCATGTTGACGCCTTATCCCTCAGTCAGTTCGTTGTTTCCTCTTTCCCCCCCCCCCTCACCTCTCCTCCCCCCCCGCCCCTCCCGCCCCCCCCCTCACCCGCAATGCGCGCATGTGCGTACAGCAGGTATACCGCGGTGTTGCCCTTCAGGTTGAGCATCTCATCGAACGAGAACTTGTAGTTGGTGGTGCGATGGTTCTTCAGGTCCGCGTACTTGACGGCGCCGTAGCCCATGGCGCAGGCAGCGGCCTCCACCTCCGCATCGTCCACCTGGGAGGGGGGGGGGGGAGAGAAAGGTTAGTATGGTATCTTAATCCATCCATCCTATTCCAGTTACAGAACGACCAACCTGAAGGACGACAACCAAAGGAGTTTGTGCGCGCAAGGGTCATGCGTCACGGGTCGGGCAAAGTGCACCGAGATTAGGATGGCATACCTCCCCTCCCGCTTCCTTTACCCCACGCCCCACGCTCCCGCAAACTCCGCTCCCCCTGCCCCTCCCGCACCTCCTCTCCCGCCTCCGCCCTGCGCTCCCGAATGGTGGCGGCGCAGCGGCTCTTGGCCTCATCCAGCAGCTCCACCAGCCGCACCAGGTCGCCGGAGCGGGTCCTGGTATGAAGGGGTGGAAGGGGGAATAAACGAGGAGTGAAGGAACGGAGAGGAAGTGGGAACAGAGGGAAACGGGGTCATCCTGCCGCCGGCGATGTGATTCTACGGAGGCGGCCGAGGCGCCTCGCACCCTAGTACCGACTCCAGCCCCCATCCCAAGCACCGACGCCCCACATGGTGTGTTCCACCCGTCCCCGGAGCCAGTGGGCCCCCCTGCCTGCCTGCATGCATGTGGACCCCCTCCTCAGTCCCACTCTCCCCCCCCACATCTTCCCACCGCCCCCACCCACCCTCACCTGAACCGCTTGCCATCCTCTCCCAGCACCAGACCAAAGCCCACATGCGACACGCGCGGCCCGCTCCCCTCCACCAGCCACCCCGCCTTGCGGGCCGCCGCGAACACCAGCTCGAAGTGCTGCGACTGACCCACGTCTGCATTCGAGGGGGAAGTGGGGAAAAAGAAATTCCAAAGTGTGGTGAAGTGGGAAGTGGGGAGGGGGAAAGTGGTAAGGGGTGGTAAGGTGGTAGGGACGGCCACGACACCCAAGCAAGCATGTTTCACGCCCAAACAAACGCAACACCCCACTCCTCTGCTGCATGTGCCATGCAGGCACCATGGTACTTGTTCCTTCGGCCCCCTTACCCTAAACCCACACCGCTCCTAGAGCTGCGTTCTCTTTACTAACTCGGGTCGGCACCCAACCTGCAACGCATGGTGGTGCAAGCCTACATGCCACATGGTCCGTTTTCTCCCTCCACCCCACTCCTACACCTCTTCCCATCCTCCCACCCCCTCCCCCACCCCCTCTCCTCCTACCCGTCACGTAGATGATCCAGTCCGCCTTCTCCTCAAACAGCCGGTGCTTGATGGCCGCCATGTCCGTGCTGGCGTACCCGAACCCGCCGTCGCTCTTCTGCACGATGAGCGGCACCGACTGCCCCTCCACAAACACACACGTGGCCCCGTTGTCCAGCGTGGCGACACCCGCGGACTTGAGCTCCTCCACCACGTCCTGGGGGGGGAGGGGCGCGGGGGGAGGTGGCAAGGGCGGGGGGAAGGTAAAGAGGAAACAACTGGCCGGGCGGCAAGGGTGTGGGAAGGGGGAAGCAGTCGGGGGACTTCCGCATTAGGCTGGATAGCTGGGTTGGCAAGAGGGGGGGAGGGGGGAAGGGGAGAAGCATTCTCAAGGAGGTGCCATGTGTTTACGGTACGCAACCGCCAGTGCACACACATGCCGCCAGCGCACATGCGTCTCTTCGTCCCTTCCAACTGACAGCTGTATACGCGCGCGGTCTCGTCCATTGCTAGAAACACCACATGTCCACATGTACCCCAGCAGCGGCTCCTCCACCTCGCTCTCCCTCCCAATACCCCAGTTTCCTCTTTTTAGCCCCATCCCCCTACCTTTCCTCGTCAGGTTTTCCTTACTCTTGCCCTCCCTTCCTACCTTGAGCATGGGGTTGTAGAACGACTCGCCCCGCTCCTGCAGCGTCACCCCCAGCCGAGAGTAGATGGCCTCGAACTCGCGGCGGCTGGCGGCGCAGATGCGCTGCCAGGAAGCCAGGCTGGCGGGGTCGCCTGGTAGGGCGGGGGAGGGGGGAGGAGGGGGGAAGTGAGGTAAGAAGGAAGGCATGACATGTCAAGCTGGGTCCAGGGGTTCAAGCGTGAACCTGAACCGTGCCGGATCGGCCGCCGGGGCATACCGCTCCCGCCTACCGCATCGCACCCGCCCCCCTCACCTCCTCAACCCCCCTCCCGCCTCCCCTTCACCTCCTCCCTTCCCATACGTCTTCTTCTTCCTCCATCTCCCCCCCCCTCCACCCTCACCGCTCTGCAGCCGAGTAACCGCCTCCCTGGCGCGCGTCTTGAACTCCTCCTCCTCGTCGAACCGCTTCTTCGCGGCACGGTACAGCTCCTGGGAGGGAGCATGGGTGGAGCGTGGGAGGGCAGGGGACGAATAATGGGGTTGATGTTGGGGGTGTTGGGGAGAGAGGGAGGCAAAGGAAGCTCAGGCGCCCCGACCCACATGTCGGCTCTCCCTCCAAGGCCGCCGTCACAGTTGCCGGCTCTTGCCCTCCCGTTGCGGCGCCCACACAGCTCCCGGCGGCGCCACTGCCCATGCATGCTCAGTTGCGTCCCGGAACCCGCCTTGCGTCACAGCCCGCACGGCCCAATCGCACCATGCACTGCACGACCCCTCCCTCTCACCCTCCCCCACCCCCTCCCTACCCTTGTTCCTTCTTCCCCAGACGCCTCCCTCCCTCACCCCCTCCCTCCCTCACCCCCGCCTCCCTCCCCCTCCCCTCCCAATCACCTGCAGGTCCGCCACGTCCTCATCCGCGTCCTTGTCCTCCCCGCCCGCGGCCACCCGCTGCCGCCGCGCGTCCGACATGTGCTCGATGAGCATGCCGAACTGAGTGCCCCAGTCGCCCACGTGGTTCAGCCGCAGCACGTCAGCGCCGCTGTACTCGAAGATACGGCACAGCGTGTCACCTGAGGGGGGGAGGGAGGGTGGGTGGGGGGTGGAGGTGGGAGGAGGGAGGGGAGGAAGAAGGATGCAGTGAGGTGATCCAGATCGAGGTGCCCCAGATCAAAGCGACCCTAATTAAAATAACCCAGATGGAGGCGGCCCTGCAGCACCCCAGGGAGCTCCTGTCCGCCAACACCTTCATGGTGGGCAGGAGCATGACACCCCGCCACAGCTCCCCTCCCTTTCCGCACTCCATCCCTTTGGCTTGGCTGATTTGGGTCGGTCTGGGTTGGGTCCAGCAGAGGTTGCTTTGACTAGTCCCTGAAGCTGTTCTTCCTTACACCCCCCTTTCTTCGCCCCCTTTCCTCTCGCTTCCCTCCCGCAGCCGCTGCCCGCTTCCGCATCACCTAACACCTGCCTCTCTCCCCCCCGGCATCCCTCCCGCCCTCCCTCCCTCCCTATCATCTCACCGATCCTCCCTCCCTCCCCCCCTCACCAATGATGGTGGAGCGCAGGTGACCCACGTGCATCTCCTTGGCCACGTTGGGGGAGCTGAAGTCGATCACAACCTGGGGGGGTGGAGGTGGTGGGGATTGGCGGAGAGGGTGAGAGACGGGTTGAAGGTGAGGTGGGTCGGGAGAAGGGTTTTATATGGGTCAGCAAGGGGACATGCAGCATCCAGCGCCCAGCAGTAGCAGCCGCATGAGCATGGAAGGAGCGGGCGAGGCGGGGGGACATGGATAAGGGGGGCCACACGGGGGTCCGGTTCGTACCTTCTTGCCGGCGTGCCCCGCGGGCGCCCAGCTGGCCAGCCCGTTGGTGAGCATGCTGCTGATGCGCTTGGACAGGTAGCCGCGGTTGAGGCGGATGTTGATGAAACCGGGGCCGGCCAGGCTGGTCTCAGCAACCAGATCATTGGTTGGCAGCGCCCCGAGGATGGCATTTGCGACGTCGCGAGGCGCCTTTGGCGCGTTTTCTGTTCCCTTAAGCTTTCCAAAGAGCGCCATCGCGTTGTTGCATTGATAGTCGCCGTTCTTGGCGTTGTTGCAGGCAGCGAGCATGGGCTCCGCGCCGGCGCTGGGGTAGGAGACGGTTAGCGCCTTGCGGAAGAGGTCCAGCAGCTCGCCGCGCACGCTGCCACATGAGGTACTGGTAGCTGCCATGGTGTTGGTGGATGGGCTCACAGTCGACTCTGCACTGGTGTTGATGGCGGCCGCTGATATCAGTGGCTGCACACCTTTACGGACCTGACCAGCAGCTGTTGAAGGTTGAAATGCCTTTGGAAAAGCTAGCTGCAATAGGTAGGCCGCACGGCGAGAGGAAGCCAGTGCAGTAGACGGTGTATGCGAGCGACGTTGTGTGGTGAGGAAAGGACGTGGATGGTGCGTCTGAGACAACATATCACCACTATGTACGCGTACAATTATATATTATAACTGAATTCAGTCGTTGCACGACCGCTTGCAACGCAGCTGTTAAGCGCGCAGTTCCAAGTTAGTACACCTGGGGCACGGACTTCTCCTAGGAACTCTTGTATTATTTGGGCGTGATCTTTCTGTGAAATAAATTGAATTTGTAGCTGAGTCACGTTTGCAAGCTTGACCGTTCATAGGAACCTCCAAGAAGTACTAGTCTACCAACAGAACTTCGGATTTACTTGCAAGTATTTCTTCCAAAGGAGCGGCTTGCCTGGCACCCAACAAAGCAGTACTGGAAAGGCAGGCGGGATTTACGCGAAACTTTTACATAGGCTCCCTTGGGCCAGCGACGCCATGACATCGTAACCTGAAAGCTTGATTTTAGGTATCTGCCATGGTTGACACGGGCAGGAGTCCGGAACCCTTTGCAACGACAGATGGGGTGGATGGCGCTGCGCAGGTGGGTTGCGTGGCATATCAGGTGGCATACATCAGCGTGGGTTTGCCAAAGAAGTGTGCTTTGAACTTGGAACCCGTTGTTCCTTTGGGACTACGTTACACGACCAGTCCGCTTTGTTTCCCCTTACTAAGAGCAGGCGTTCTGTCATCAGCGGAGGACATTCCCCACACACGGCCTACTGCAACCCCTTGCTGTGCGCAGTGTTGTCCCACACGTCACCACCCCTAACCACGAATCCAGTGCACCTCACTCGCTCTAGAATCATTCGGACATGCGCGGCATCACGTTGGCTCCCACCCTTGCCATACCAGCAAACCACTTACGCCATCCCCATACCCTGCCTTCCCTCCCATCGTCCACCTTTCCCCCCTTCCTCCCTTCCTCCCCCCCTCCAGGCGCCCAAGCGACGGCGCATGGGCTCCGCCAGCGCCACCCCCGGCGCCACGCCTCCCACCAGCCAGCTAGGCTTCGGCGATGGCGCAGTGGCGGGTGGGAGCGGCCAGCCCCTGGACGGAGCTGACTCCCGCGGGCAGGGGGGAGCAGGAGCCGCGGGGGGCACCCCCGGTCCCTCGCCGGCCCCGGGTGCCGTACCCATCGGCAAGGGCCCTGCGGTGGTAGGCAAGGGCGGCAGCCTGGTGCTTGGGCGGGGAGGCGGAGGCGGAGGAGGCAACAAGGGCAAGGCGGGCAGCAAGGCGGGAGGAGGAGGGCCGGCGGGGCGCGCTGGATCGGGACTGGGCGGCTTCGGAGGAGGGGGAGATGATGTGGCGGAGTCGGGGACCATCCTGGTGCAGGGCAGGAATGGAGAGGTGGGTGGGGGTCGGGTGGGTGCTGGGGAGGGGGTTGGGTGGGAGGTGAGGGGGGGGGGATGCGGCAGGGTGTGAAGATGGTGTGCATGGGGTGTCCTGGCTCACCGTCCGCCCCAGCCTTTCCCCCTTCCCCACCTCACCTCTCCCACCATTCAACGCACACTTTTCTTCTTCCCCCACCTTCCCCCTCCCCCAGGTCCGTCTCCCGCTAGACATCGGCGCGCGGGTGGACTGCAAGTGGCGTGACGGCGCCTACCACACCGTGCGCATCATCGAGCGACGCAACCTGGGGGGCGACCCGGCCGACCCGCGGGCCTGGGACTACTACGTGCACTACGTGGGCTGTGAGTGCGGGGGGGGGGGAGGGCGGAGGGAGGACGGGGTCGCGGAAGGCAGGTGATAGCTGGCAAGGTAGATGACGCCCTAGAGGGACCATGCATGCGGCACCGTGCCTTTGGACCACCGCTCGTCTTGGCTTTCTCCCGACCCCACTCACATGCTTCCTGTCTGCCTCCCGACACCCCCCACAGCGCGTCTTACCTCACCACACGCACAGCGCACACGCACAGCGGGCAGGCGGTGTCAGCAATACCGGTACCCCTGCTCCGAACGTGCATGCAGCCCTCCTTGCACCGGCTTGTGCGGCCTCGGTCGCAGTCTTTGCCTGAGCCTCCTTAAACCCTCCCCCCTCCTGGTGAACTCCGCCACGCCATCCCATTGCAAACCCCTGCATTACCCGACCCTCCCCCCTCCCCCCAGTCAACCGGCGCATGGACGAGTGGGTGAGCCTGCCGCAGCTGGACCTGAGCACCGCCGAGGTGGAGCAGCAGATGGAGGGGCCGGCGGACAAGTGAGGGGGGTGGGAGGGGAGGAGGAGGAGGGGAATCAACAGTGACGGTGAGGTAAACGACCTGCACAGCCCGGCGGTTCCGACCCAAGTTGGAAAACCCAAGTTATTGAACCGGCGCAGCGGAAGGGAGGGAGGGGCGGCGAGGAGGGGTTCCGGGCTGTTGTGTCCCGCCGCTCCCCTGCCCTGTTACCACGCACCCTGGAGCGCATTGCATAGCACTTCCCCCCAACCCTCCGCTACCTCCCCCCTGCAGGAAGGGTCAGAAGAAGAAGGTGGCTGCGGAGGAGCACGACAGCGACAGCGAGCACGCGGACTTTGACCCCAACCAGCTGCGGGAGCATGAGGAGTTCACAAAGGTGGGGGGACAGAGGTGTGTGTAAGAGGCGGGGGCAGCGAACCCGATACGGTAGGGGAACAACCAGCAGATGCGGGTGCACAGAGGCGTCAAACCTCGCCTTGCTCCTTCCTCCCGCCGCCTCTCCCCTCCGCCCCCGCGCCCCACCCCGGTTGCGACCATTGCCCCGGCATACACACCCCACCCCACCCATCAACCCCACTCTTGTGTGCATGCTCCCCCCCTCCCCGCAGGTGAAGCCTTGTCATACAGCTCGTTAGTTACCTCGCCAATTTCCTCACTTTTACCCCCCCCCCTTCCCCCCCTTCCCCCCGCAGGTGAAGAACATCGAGACCATCGAGCTTGGTCGCCACGAGATGGACACCTGGTACTTCTCGCCCTTCCCGCCCGAGTTCAAGGACGTCAAGAAGCTCTACTGCTGCGAGTACAGCCTGCACTTCTTCAAGCGCCGCTCGCAGATGCTGCGCCACCTGCACAAGTGCGGCATGCGCCACCCGCCGGGCAACGAGATCTACCGCAACGGCAACATTTGCATGTTCGAGGTGGGTGGGGTAAGGGTAAAGGTTTCGGGAAACTGACTGGTTAAATAAATAAATGATAAGTGCAGCAACGAGTCCCAATCCGATATCCCGGTTTAAGGACGGGGGTGGTGAATTAGGGTTAATGGGACGGGTGGTGCGGGATGTGTGGCGTGTGTTGAGGCTTGGGGGGTTAGGAAGAGGGTGGGGGGTTGGGGTGAGAAAGGGGAGGGAGGGGTGGAGTGGAAGCGTGGGCGAGGCGGTGGAGCACGCAGGGACGGAGGGAAGAGAAACTCCAGGTAGGGACTGCCTAGGGTGTTTCACAATACTGCGTATCAGCACCCACCAAGGCAAGCCAAGGCCGCAGGAAGTGTGGACTGCTCCATCGGCCCCAAACGTATTCGCCCCTTCCTCTCCTAACCCATCCCCCCCCGCCTCGCCTTCGTCAGTTTCCTTGTTTTTACCTTCGCCCTCTTCTTCGCTCCACGCCTCCCTCCCTCCGCCCCCCAGGTTGACGGCAAGAAGGAGAAGGCCTTCTGCCAGAACCTGTGCTACCTGGCCAAGCTGTTCCTGGACCACAAGACGCTCTACTACGACGTGGACCTCTTCCTCTTCTACATCCTCTGCGAGCTGGACGAGCGGGGCGCGCACATGGTGGGATACTTCAGCAAGGTGAGGGGGGGGCGGGGGAAGGAGGCGGGGAGGGGGGCAAAGAGGAAACTGGCAGAACCAGTATTCATGCACGCACACGCCAGTTTTCTTAACACACGCCTTCCCTACGTTCCGGCTCGCGGCCGGTTTCCTTCACACGGGCGGCCAGTTTTCTTAACACACGCCTCCCCCCTCCTCTCTCCCCCACAGGAGAAGTGCAGCGAGGAGGGCTACAACCTGGCCTGCATCCTCATGCTGCCCGCCTACCAGCGCAAGGGCTACGGCAAGTTCCTCATCTCCATGAGCTACGAGCTGTCCAAGCTGGAGGGGAAGGTGAGGATCTCATGCACAGCACTTGTATGGTCCCTGCATCTCTCATTCCCTCGTGGGCCGTAACTCCCTCCTACCACTGCAACACCAACAGCAAGCCTAAACACAATTCGGCCCTGTGCGGAATTTAACCCACCATACCTTCATGCGGTATACGACCCCCCACCAACCCCTCCCTCCCCCCCTCCCACTGTATCCTTCTTTTCCCCTCCCTAACCCCCCCCCGCTTCCCCCTCTCTCCCAACCCCCCTTTCCGATGCTTCACTTTTCATTATGTCCCGCTCCCAAACCCCCCCCCCCCCCAGGTGGGCACCCCCGAACGCCCGCTGTCCGACCTGGGTCGCGTCTCCTACCACGGCTACTGGACCCGCGAGCTGCTGGCCATCCTGCGCGACACGGAGGGCAGCATCAGCATCAAGGAGCTGTCGGAGCTGACCGCCATCAAGCCCGACGACATCATTAACACGCTGCAGCAGCTGGGGCTCATCCAGTACCAGAAGGGGCAGGTGGGGGGGGGAAGGGAGAGGTGGGGCCTTGTCACCTACGGGTAGTTTACCATTGTCAAGCAAGGAATCAACACATTGGGTACTCTTCCTCCCCCCCCCCGCCCCCCCCCGCACTCGCTAGATTGCTTGTATTCTGTTAATAACATATGTTTTCGGTCCTGCCTCTTTGTCATGCCCGAGCACATATGGGGCCTTGGTGACGATGTTTGACATCAAGACAATAGTAGTAGACAACTCCAACAGCCAGCATTCAGCTCGGTCGCTGGAGGGTCGCTGTTTCATCGCCACCCCGGACTCGGTATCGGTAGGGACCGCTAACCCATACTTGTTTTTGTGGCACCCTGCCGATTCTATCCCCATTGTCTTGCCCCAACCTGTGGCTTCCTATGGTTCGGTATGGTCTTTGACCCCCCCGCACTCACTGCATGAGTCGGGATATGGGATTGGGACTTTAGTTGTTTGCATTTCTTATATAATTTTGCCCCCCCCCCCCCGCAGCACGTCATCTGCGCGGCGCCCAAGCTGGTGGAGAAGCACCTGAAGGCGGCGGGCGGGCCGGGCCTGGTGGTGGATCCCTCCAAGATCGTGTGGACGCCGTACAATGCGGAGCGGGACTACGCCAACTTTGGGCGCTGAGCGTGTGGCGGGTGTGTGTGCTGCAGGGGACGTCAGTACTCTTATGGGCTGTGCTGGCGGGCGCTGGGTGGTGGTAGTGGGGTTGGGTGTACAGATGGGTAATGTCCTGATGTGCAGATGGGAGTGGGCGGGGGGGGGGGGTGGGCTGTGGTGGAGGGTGGATGGTGAGATGCAGTGGACGGGGATGTGATGGAGGATTGTAGTAGTGCAGAATTGTTTGTTGGGCGCTAACGGTTGGTGGGATGCTGGCACGAATGCAGTGAACTGGGTCTTACGTGTAGACTAGAATCCTTGCGTGTCAACATTGCCTCCCGAAGGACTAACGTGAAGACCGTGCTTGCCTTTGGAGGGCATGCCCACACGCAGCAGAGTGTTATTCGGGGGCAAAGCGGGATATAAGCTGAATCCTTAATACAAAATTACGTGTAAAGACCACAACTCTTAGTTGCCCCGATTGTCCATTCTGCATTGGCGCCTTTTTGCCGTACAGGAGAGACATTGCATTTGAAGTGAGGGGATCAATCCAACAACCGATTGCGTATTATAGTGAGCTTGCACGTCGTGACCATCAACTTATTTTTTGAAACAGGAGTCCTCGCAAACGGATCCCAGCACAACGCCCGTATTCGTCCTTCCGTCTTCCGTGTTCCTTTCAACGCTGAGTGTGCTAAAATTGCATTGCTCCTTGCGTTATTAAGGTTGTTGTTTTAGGACATCAGCAACAAGTATAGGTTAGGTAGATACATTTTTGTGACAGTTGCCTGTCAGCACGACTTCGACTAGGCTTTTCTACCTAACTTGCTCGACTAAAGAGCGCGCATGTCGCGCGCACGAGGCGGCCGTGGGGCCGGCGGCTGGGGCCAGCAGCATCGTTCCTATGAGGACTACGACGATGGCTATGTTACGCCCAGGTCGCGAGGCGGCAGCGGGCGAGGACACCAACAGTCCTTCGGAGATCGCAATCGACCGATGCAGAGCGACGATGGACAGCTTCGGAACGGGCAGCATCCTTTCCAACGCATTCCCAGCTTTGGCCGAGACTTCCCATCAGGGGCGCCAACAGCTGGCACCGACTACCGTGGTTCATTCCGGACGCCTCGCTACCAGTCCGCAGGCAGCTACCGCAGCAATCAGCCGCAACAGCACCAGCAACAACATCAGCATCAGCAACATCAGCATTCTGGGTTTGCTTCGCAACGGAGCGCCAGCGCCCGTTCGCTAACCGAAGGCGGTGGGGGTGTCTGGTGCGGGGGGTCCGGCAACGGGAGGCAACCGTCCGGCAACAGTCGGTCCCGCGCCCCCTACATAGCACCCCCTGCCGTGGTCGCACCGCCACCACCCCCTCCTCCTCCTCCCGCACTCCTCGCCCTGCCACCGCCCGCCGTCTCCTCTGCCATCACCCTCCCCGCCCCCGCCCCTGCCCCCGAGGAGTCCGATGCGCCCAACAACCCGCACTTCCTCACGCCCTCCTTCCCACAGCCACCCAGGACACGTAAGTAGCGGCCCTGGGGTTAGTCCTGGGGGCGGCCGGGCGGGGGCTTGGCTTGATTACGCTGATGGGATGTTGCAGCGCAGAGTTGGGCACAATTGCGGCTTTGGACGGACGGCTTTCTGGGCGGATTGCGGGATCTGGGTCGGTGCCAAACCTGCTCCGTAATTGTTTCCGTCTCCCTCCCCTCCCCCCAGGCACCGACAGCAGCAGCAGCTGGGCGCTGATGGTGGAGGCGAGCTGCCAGGCGCTGGAGGCGGTGGTGGGGCCGCTGATGGAGGGGGCGCTGCAGGAGGTGGGGGGCAGGGGGGAGGGAAGGGGAGGGATAAAAATTGATAAATGTAGCAAACGGAAGGGGGAGGGAGGGGAGATGGAGGCGGCTGCCTTCATACGCCGTCAGCCCATGCGCTGTGGTAGCTCCAGCTTACCCTCGCCCGTTAAGGTATTTTGATTGCTGGTATGCGCAACGCGGCATGACCTACCTTCTGCGGAACCGTCCATGCAATGGCCCTTTCAGCTTGCTCTCCTGGATTACGTTACGTACTCTTACCTCTCCGTCTCCCATGTCTTCCCATGCCGTCTCCCCCCCCACCCCAGCTGTACGGCATGTCCTGGGAGCACGAGGTGGGGTCGCTGGGGCTGCCGCTGCCGCCCTTCAGCGCGGCCTCATGTGCGGAGCTGGTGGCGGGGTGCAAGCAGCTGCATGTGAGCGGGTGCTTGGAGTGGGGGGGAGGGTTGCGGGGTGCGGGCATGGGGGTAGGGGGTGTGTGGGAGAGGAGGGAAGCAGGGGGCTGGGGGAGGAGGGCGTGCTGATGTGGGTTCTGCTGCACCAGCGTCTGTGAGGGGATAGGGAGGGAGTATGGGTGTTGATATTGTCGTGTTACGCATGGGCCTGATGCATGGGGCTGTGACCCGCCCTGTGTGCTACTGTGCCCCTCCCCTCCTCCCCACCTCCTGCCTCTGTCCTCCTCCTCTTCCTGCTCCATGCTTACCATCTACCCCCCTCCGCTCCCCTCCCCCCTTCAGGACCGGCTGCCCATCACCATCCACAAGCGGGTGGAGGCGGTGGCCAAGGTGCGGGTGGGGGGAGGCCCCGGGTGAGGCAGTCGGCTAGGGCGGACGAGATGGGGCGCGCCGGCCCCCCTGGGATGGGTGCACGGTGCAGCGCTGCTGCTGACCCCCTGCGCCCCTTGTCCCCCTTGCTACCTTTTTTATATATAAGAGAATTCGGAAAGGGGTTGGATGTCTCATGCCTCCTCGCTAAAGGGCCAGCTTCGTCCCCGCACCCTACCATCTCTCCCTTGGACCCCATGTCACCTCCCATGTCCCTCCTGTGTCCCCGCTTGCCCCCCTCCACGGCTGCCAGGCCGCCCGCCTGCTGTCCTCCTCCCCTGCTAGCCTGGAGCCGGAGGATGTGACGGCGGCACATGGGGCCATGAAGGGGCTGGTGCAGGTGGGTTGGGAGGGGAGGGGTGCAGGAGGAGGGCTGGAGGAGGAGGGGGATTGCTAGAGCGGGGCTGAGGTGGCCGATGCTCGGACGTATGCGGCTACATGCCTGTCGGAGGCACAAAGCCGGCCCGGAGAGCCCGGTGCCTGGGTTGCTTTACCGGTACCCCCTCGCTAAGGCTGGGTGGCATGACTGCTGGCTCCCGTAGCCTCCACCACCCAGGCCTTCCCCCGTTCCCATTCGCCCCCCTGTCCTAACCTGTGTCGTTTCCTGCGGTTTGATGCGGTCTTTGTCCCCCTCCTCCCCCACCTTCCAGGACTGCGTGAAGGCGCTGCGGCTGCCCAGCCTGCTGGGGGGCGGCTCGCGGCAGTTCCGCGCCTTCGCCTGCGAGCTGCTGCCGCACGCGGAGTCGGCGCTGATCTACTACGACATGCTGCTGGCGGTGAGAGGGAGGGGGGAAGAGGGGGAGGGGGGTCAAAGATCATACCATGCCATAGGAAGCCACATGGGGGAGAGGGGAGGGGAAAGAATACCCAGGAGGGGAGAAGAAGAGGGACCATGCGGGTTGGTTGGTTGCGGCAACACTAGGTAACGCTGGTGGATCATGGAAGGGGGAAGAGCTGGAGGGAGGGTTAAGGATGGGTGGGGGCACGCTGCTCCAATATGCGTCCAGCCTGCATGCCGTCCCATGCATGCTGCCCCCTTCCGAGTCACCCGCCACCTTCCCGCCCTGCTCTCGCCCCCGCAGGACTGCGCGGAGGCGGCTGCGGCGCGTCATCAGGCCCGTCTAGCCGCTGCTGGGGAGGGGGCGGTTGCGGGGGCGGGTGCTGGGAGCGAGGAGCCGGCAGCTGCTTGGGCGCTGGTGGCGGTGGAAGGCTGAGCGGTCCTGTAGAGGCACTTGATGCGGTGCTGATGGCATTGCGGGTGTGTCAAACGGGGCGGAAGGCTTGCATGGTGCGGTGGCGGCAGCAGCTGTCAGGTGGCGGCGCGGCACACCGATCATTCCCATCACTTTGGCAGGCGGGGCGGTAAGAAACCTACTGGCCGTGAGTCGGAACGTACAGGCGGTGTGGTGTGCATGTATACCCGGGGGGGGGGAGAAGGCAGTTTGCTGCTGTCAAAGCCAGAGGAGGCCTGCGGTGAAGGGCAGTGGCAGTGGCAGCGCTAGCGGGGCGATGCAGTGCGGCAGGTGGGGGGCAGAGAGCAGCGTGGGGCGGCAGGGTGTGGCTCGGTATCATGGGCTGTGTACGGCTTGGGTACCAACGGGGGGGGTCATAGCAGCGAGTGTGTGTTTGTGTGTCAACGGTGTGTTTTGAGGGCCGAGCGGCATGTGAGTGCGTCATGCAGCGTTATGTGTAGTGTGTGCAGTGTTTTGCAGGACATGTGACGAATGTTATGAGCTATACGTGTGCAGGGCGGCAGAAGGTTCAGTGTGACCTCTTAAGCAACGTGCTTTGAGCAACGTGCCAGCACTTTTAAGGTGACGGTCCTTATGACCCATTGGTTAGGCTTGTTCCGGGTGCATGTTCCTTGGGTCGCCGCTTGCAGCAGTGACCAGTGCCAGTGTGCGTTGCCGAAGAAAGGAGTGCAGGGAACTAAGGATGCGGTCGTCGTTATGCGTGTGCGGAGTCTTGCTTGCATGCTGCCCATGTACTTTCAATACTGATGCGGTGGTAGAATTGTGAGTGGCGATGGCGGGCCGTCAAATGTTGTTCGCCATATCGTTTGCTGCGATAAGCGCCGCTTTTGCAAACTTTAAGAGTAACACTTGATTGGGTTGGTGTTACGTGTTCGGCCAGGTCGTCCTTCATCCGTCACTTTCGATGACAACAAAATTACTAACAGGGCATGGAAGCTGCACTGAGAATTTGGGCAGCCTAGAGCGTCCTTCATTTGGTATCAGTAACTATCACTTCGTTTGTGAAAGCAGGACTACCTGAGCAGCCAGCTATTCCTGAAGTACTAACTACTAAGCGCGGCTACAGTAACGGAGCTAGACACTTTCTCCAACCTTATTTTCTTACCGAGAAGTCCTTAACCTTTTGGACAATAGCGGAGGGGTCTATCGGCTTGCATGGTAGATTTGCCCATGTATCTCTGCCAGCAAGACCCAAGAGTCCGTACGGCATCTGATCTTGCAGTTGAGGGAATATTGCTTCCTGCGCTTGATAGAAGTTAGGGCATTCCACATCGCTTTGTGTATGTGATCATAGCAAGCATTCCTCTTCCTCGAGGTCGTGCTGGGCAACTTGGGACAGAATTGCGAAGTCCTTCATGTGGGGGCTTAAAAGCCCGAAATTTCTAGGTGCTGTTGCTCCGCGTCTTCCGCCATCGGTAGCGCGCCTACGCAACCGATGGCTTCAGCGAGGAGGCGCTCCCAATGAGCAAGCAAACAAGCAACATGAACAGACTCGGGTGAGTTGAAGTCGCTTTGTTTCTCAAATATGATAGTATCATCTACCGCGTACAGTCCTGCGCAAGCGCGTCTGCAACGGCCAACTGATGTCGGCATCGGTGTACATCACGATACTTAACTCCCACAACACCTTAACGTACCCACCGCTTTCCCATCACCAGTCCGCGGTCAACGAAGTCCACGCGACCAGCGTCTCATCTAGCGCAAAGCGACATCCTCGCGATGCACGCCCATCCCGCCGCGGCTCCCCGCCAGCTGCGCAAGCAGCATCCGCAGCGTCCTTCATCTCCTCTTCATCAAACAGCCCAAACAACAATACATACAGCAACGACGCAGAGCAGGACCTTACCCTAGACCTCGATTACGTCCCATCGCTGGGTCCCCTGCGCGAGGCGTTCTGCGTTGTGGCTCCGCTGCTGCTGGTATGGGCGCTGTACGCAGCCACAGGCCGCTGGCACTTCGGGGCCCTATGGGCAAGGGTGGGCGGTGTGGTGTTGGCCGCCTCGGCTGTGTCGCTGCTGCGGACTGCATGGACGGAGAAACAGTACAAGGTGCGGTCTGCGGTGTGGGGAGGTGAGGGAGGGGGCTCTGGAGAGACAGGGAGTTTTGGACGCAGCAAGTGACATGTACGTATGCCAGCAGCACCAGCCCACAACCCCGCCCGCCCTACCGGTAACTGCAGGCGCGCGAACGAGCTTTTGCAGCGCTGGGAGATGAGGACTCGCGCTTCCGGCCCATCTTCACAACCACTGCTGCCGCTGCCACTGCTGCCACTGCTGCCACTGCTGCCACCCACCACTCGCACCACCACCACCACCACTCCCTGCTGGTGCACGTCAAGGTGAAGACCGGCGACATCGGCGGGCTGATAAGCCAGACAGCAGGTGCGGTACGCTGTGAGATGCACTGTGCTGTGCTGTGCTGTGCTGTGCTGTGTTGCCTGCGGCTCTCTTCCGCCCGGTGTTGCCGTACATCCCAGCTGATGTGGTGCTCTCCTTCCCATGCTACCGGTACATCCTTGGCTATGGTGCATCGCAGTTGCCCTCTTGGGTACCGGTACTTGCTTAGTTCATGCTTACTTGGTGTAATGCTAATACTGCTAACCTGTGTCCCCTGCCAACTTGCCCCACACCTCCCGATACAGATAACACCGGCGACGACGGGGCTCCGCTCGGTAGCATCAATTCACAACAGCATGACGGCATCAGCACCCGCAGCGACAGTGGCCGCTGTGACAGCAGTAACGGTGTCCCAGCGGACACTGTTGCAGGGCCCAGCAGCATCAGCAGCGATCCCGGCCCCACAGTTGCCGCCGTACACTGCTACCACGGTTTCGGAGCCAACCTGGGGTCGTACAAGCGCGTGCAGGAGCGGCTGGCGGGGGCGCTGCGGGGGGTGGTCACCGCGCATGACATGCCGGGATTCGGCCTAACACAGCGGTAGGGTGGGCGCGTGGGTGTTTTAGTCGTGGAATTTTACGGAGAGCTGTTCGTGGAGGGATGCGGAGGCATGGGCTTGCTGTGCTCTGCTTTGCTTAACCTTACCGTGCAGCATCGTCATGATTTGTTTCCTTACGCCCGCCGCTGCAATGTCAGGCACTTGGCTTCGCACGTGTACTCTGCGGTGACCTATTCGTACCTTCATTCGCCTCCCAACACCCCCAAACTGCCGCTTTTGCTGTCCCCGCCGCTCACCCTCCTGCCCTTCCTCCCGCCCCGCCCCCCTCAGTCCCTCCGACATGTCCTCCTACTTCCTCACCTTCAACGGCCGGCTAGGTCGCCTGGTGCTGGATTACGAGCTGGGGCAGCTGGGGCTGCTGCCGGCGGCAGGGGCAGCAGGATCTGGAGCAGGAGGCCAGGCCGGGGAAGGCGCGGGCACAGCGGCTGATGCCGTTGCTTCGGGCCATGCGGTTGCGACCCCCCACCAGCCCCACCACCCCCACCAGCAGGCGCCCGTGGTCAAGCGTATCCTGTTGGGGCACTCCCTGGGAGGGGCCTGTGCTGCTCTAGAGGTGCGTTGGTGGGAGAAAAGAGGAGTATCCAATGTGTTGTGTGACAGTGGGCTGTGGGGTGGGTGGGTGGGTGGAGTCCTGTGCAGGGTAGGTGGATTAATTTGGGTAGGGATTGGCAAACCCGCCCTGCGCCGTTGCATGCGTGCGCGCTTGCGTGCAGGTGGTCATACCATTGCAACCTCGCAGCAGGCGCCCCAGTTGCGCTGACTAGAGTCACCCGCCGTGCGTGCTTCTATGGTCAGCACTCCCCACACGCCCCGCCCCATCTTTGTCCTCCCCGTGCATGTGTTGCACGCCTGCTCGTTCCCCATGACCCCACCCCACCCACCCCCTACCTTGTTTTTGTGGCACCCTACCGCCTCCTATCCCCAATGCTTCACCCTAACGCTTCCCATGTTTTCCCATGGTCTGGTACGGTCTTTATTCCCCCCCCTCACCTCCTCACCTGCTGCTTCACCCCCCTCCTCAGGCCGTCACTCACCCCGGGGGTGTGGCGGCGCTGGTCCTCGTGGCGCCCGCCATCTTCGCTTTCCCGGGGCCCGAGTACCAGCACATCACCCTCTCACCCGACCCACCTGCCGGCCGGCAGGCGGATCTGTCCAGCGATAGCAGCGGCCTACAAGTCGCTCAGCAGCAGCTGGCGGAATCCGAGGTCACTAAAGATGACCCGCCGGAGGAGCTGGTGCAGCGGCTGTACCCCAGGGGCTTCCGCACGGCTCCTCCCCCACCTCCGAGCACTGCTGCTGGCGCCGCTGCTGCTGCTGCTGCTAACGGCGGCGGCGGCAGCGGCGTTCATGCCGGGGGCTCCACCTGGTGGCAGCAGCGGGGGCCGGGCGCATCACTGGTGGGTTCGCTGCTGCGAGCCGGCATGTGGCTGCTGGGTGCGGCCGCCTCCCTGGCGCTGCTGGGGGTGCTGCGACTGAGTGCGCCGGTGATTACACTGTTGCTGAGATACCTGGTGCGGAGGAGGACCTTCTGGATCAAGGTGGGGGTAAAGATGGAGGGTGCGGGGCGGGGTGGGGTGCGGGGTGCGCGTGGTGTTACTGCTAGGGGTGCATGGGTGAGTGCAGGGTTGGTGCGTAGAGGGCCTGACTACCGGTCGTGGGGCTTGGAACCGGGCTGCTGCTGTGGCCCCATCGCCGCCCTCGCCACTGCTGTATCGTTGCGACCCCCTACCTCCCACCCACCGCGCCTCCTTCCCACCCCCTCCTTCCCAACCCTTCCCATCTCCCAGGGTCTGCAGCAGGCCTACTACGACCCCTCCGCGGTCACCCCCGAGCTGGTGGACGCCTACCGGCTGCCCCAGCTGGTTCGCGGCTGGGAGGCGGGCATGGTGAACTTCCTGCTGGCGCGACTGGCACGACCCAGGTGGGGTCAGGAGGGGATTGAATTGGGGAAGTGTGTATACCGTATGGATTATACCGCAGCAAAAAATTGCAGAAATACTGCAATGAACTAGACGTACCGGTAGTAACGCACCCAGGTTGGGGCCGGGAGAAGGAAATCGGAAGCGTGGGTGCGTGTGGGTCGACCTTCTAGTTCAATAGGGCTAGATCTCTTACTCCTTCACCCCTTCCTTTCCTCCCTCCCTCCTCCCTGCTGCAGAGGTGGACTCCGGGAGCTCTTCCGGGACGCGCTACGAGGCGGTCGTAACACCGCAGCAGCAGCAGCAGCAGCCGCATCAGGCAGAGGTGGAACCGTGGCAGCAGCTACAGCCGCTTCCGGCATCGCCACAGCAGCAGCTGCTGCAGACGCAGAGTCCATCGCCCTAGACCCATCTCAGCAGCAGCAGCAGCAGCAGCACGGCCAGCAGCCCTCAGCCCCTCCCCACTCCTCCTACTCCAGCAGCGGCATCAACCCCAGCACCAACCCCAGCAGCCCCCTGCCCCCCCCCGCCGCCAGCGCCCCCAGCAGTGACTACACCGACGATGCGGACCTAGCCTCCCGCCTGGCCGCCCTGGTTTCGGAGCGCCGGCTGCCCGTGCTGATCATCCACGGCCTGCACGACCGGCTGGTGCCGGCCCCCAACAGCCAGCGCCTGGCTCGCATGCTGCCGGGGAGCGAGCTGGTGCTGGTGCGGCGGTGCGGCCACATGCCGCAGGAGGAGCACCCGGAGCTGTTTGTGAGGCTGGTAGCGGAATTCGTGCAGCGGGCGGTGGTGGCGGCGGGGACGGGGGCGGGGGCGGGGGCGGCTGAAGTAGCAGTAGCGGCGGATAGGAGAGGTGGTGTGTAGAGAGGGAAGGGAAGGAAAAAAGGAAATGGGTTGCAACCGGCAAGGTTGGCGAATGTTCGTAAGGGTTGTTGCTTTGCGGTAAGTGAGGGGGTAAAGAGGAGGAACGTGTGCTGTAAAAGAGTGACGGGGAGTGCACAGCAAGCACGGAAGGGGTGAAGGGGGGCGGTTGCACGGAATGAGGTGCGGGGGGCTTTCTGGGTTGAGAGTGCGGGAGCCGGAGGGGGCCATACCGGTAGGTTGTCCATGATTGGTGTGTGATGAGGGCGCTTGGTGGACTACTTCACGAGTTGCTTGCTGCAGTTCGGCGAGTTGCATGTACACGTATATTACTGCTGCAAATTGTAGAAACTGCTGCATATTCTAGAGAGTAACGGGCTGTAAAACAGGCATGGATTCTGGGAGTTGTACGCTTAGCTAGTCGTTGTATGCTTCAAATTTCTCTTCGCTAGCTATTTGCAGCTGGAAAGCAAATTAAGAAAATTACTTGCTTGCGTTGATAGTAGATACAGTTAAACAATCTTCCTGGCAACCTAAGTTGTGCAGAGCCATACATGTTGCACTACTTTTGTAATATCAAATTTCATTTAACTCGATCATAGCCTGCATGCATGATGCCGGTTTGAGGTCAATTGAGCCTGCTTGCCAACCTAACTGCCATTCATGAACAGCAGGCCCACACGTTTTGTTGCTTAGGCACGCATGCGCAGGCCAGCAGGGACGTTCATGACTCCACATGCGTTTGCTTACACTTCTACAAGTGTTTCGCAGATCTCTCAGCCAATACCTCCTCATCTGACTAATTAGCATACACTTCCACAGCTCCAATAAATCTCCGCACGGTCTTGAATTTCTTTTTGCATTGTCGTATTCCGTACGAAACCAAATAAGATTATTACCAAATTTATTTTTGGAATGTTGATGACGCGTCACACTGCGCATGGCTGGAGAAAAGTACGGCGATTCCTAGATAAATTTTGGCATGGTTGTCCTCGTGGCGGGTTAGCCCACACAAAGCTTGTGACGGCCGGCTGCTGGAAGACTGTTCCTAGGGGTGCATGACTGCTCATGCATCAGACCACTGATGACTTAAGCAGGTATAAGCGCATTACTAATTACAGCAGCTAGATAGATCCAAGCGAGCATGCATCGCACGAGAGACTGACTAAGGTATGTCCAAGCGAGCATGCATCGCACGAGAGACTGACTAAGGTATCCAACCAGCCAGCCTTAAGCTAAGGGATGATGTACTAGGGCAATCCGGTGACAAAGGACAAGCCTTCGGCAAACAAATCCCATAGCGGCAGAAATCACGCCTACACGCGCACATAGATAGATGTGAGGCTACACCGCACACTTTTCACATACACTCGTAAAGCAGAACATGACAGCGCAAGCAGTAGTTCTCAATACGCTTAAACAGCTGGCTTATGCACGCTTAGACAGGTCGCAGCTAAAACACGCAACACCCCCATTGAAGTAAACAGCAAGACATACCTAGACGCACAACAATGTACCAGCCAGCAGAATGTCGTAAGGAGCAAGCGTAGTAAGGAGTGTAGTAAGGAGGAAGTAAGTGTAGTGTCTGCTGAGAGTGTAGCAAGAAACACGCCTTGCTTGATGACACCTGCTGGATGGCAGGTACACTAAAAAGGCAGAATTTACGCCTTATCAGCAGCACCAGCATGATGACCAACCTACCTTGCCGTACACCCATCAGGCTGCCAACGTGTTGCACACAAAATACACGGGACCTGCAGGCCTCCAGCTGCACTCCCGTACTAACAATTTCAGAGCCAACCATTCACGCAAACAGCAGCCCTACCCATTATTATTATTAAATCTGGGATCTGGTCCCCTTCGACTCGGGGCACAGCCCTTATTTAATTGCATGCAGTGTAGGGCTGGGAGTCGTCTTGCCTTGCCTTCTGGTTTGGGATAACTGTAACAGTAATTCATTAACCATGCATACAGGAAGGGCGTAGAGCTGTTTGCAATAATTTGCACCACACGAATCACGCCAAACCCACGCTCGAACCGCCAGTAGTCAAACCGTACCGAAAACACACTCTGCGAACTTGTGTAGGGACATACAAGGATTTTATGAGTAGATAGCCCTTATAAGCAGGTAGCCAAAGCACCTAGGCAGCACCAAGGCACACCCACTTTGCCATCTGTCTCCAGCTGCCGCATACGGTACGAAAAAAAGGAAGTCACGCGCGCATGCCAATGATGAGACAGCAGGCCATAACGCCAGCTGCTATATCGTTTCTGCATGCACATACAGAGCCCCGCTGGGCTTAAACGAACCGTGTAATGTGTTCTTCGCCATCCTAAACAGGTGCGACTCGATCGTAAATTTAACCAAGTTTGCCAGTTTAATTGTGAATGACTAACGTATCCGTGCGTTTCAGTGACACCGCCGGCCAGTAGTTCGATTCTGCTCGCTACGATGCCGTAATAACTCCGCCACACGTCCGCCAGGCATGTCCCCGTGGAAGGTTAGTGCGTGGGGTATGGCTGCTCACAACAGCAAAGGGTGACAGATAGACAGCAAGGCCAAGTATTAGAGGCCCAATCCGCCATAAAACCAGAGCCGCAGGTGGAAAGTAAGCGTAACAAAGCATTTCACCCTACTGCTATAAACATGCTCCAACCAGCCACCAGTCCTAAGGGCAGGCAACCTGGCGCAATAATTAACATATGGCACGAATTTCATTACGTATGTGGAATACCGTATTATACGGTACTTTATTACATGCGTTTTGGAGCCAGTTTGACACGAGGGAAATATTGTCTGCCCCATTCGACTACTAAAATTTAGACCCAACTGACATGCACCTAACACCCCAAACACTGCCGTCTGGGCATGGGGCGTTGCGGATGCTGGGCCGCCGCCTTTTTGCCCCAACAGACATCTTGATTGCCAGCAAATCGATACGGCCCCAAAACCCCTCAGCCCCAGCAAAACATTTCATTTCTCCCATGTAAATTCAAATTTGGGCAAGAAATAGCTACGGTAAACACAGCTCCTCTCGTCATGTACGTCGCTTCAGCGCAAACGTGATTCCAATCAATTATGACATGCATACAGGAGAACGCATGTATGCCACTTAACAAACAGGCCATTGCAAAGGAGCCATGGATGGATTCTATTTCCCCCTAGGATACTAATCCCAGCAGCAGGCATACACACCTGCAGGCATACACCTGTGCCAAGACATTACTCGCATTGTGCCACATGTGACCAGTCAAAGCGCAACTAAAGTACGCCCAGAGAAAAGCCATGGACAGACCTTGTCCTCAACGACCAGCAACGTGCACGTACGTACCAGCAGCGCAAACAGACTAGCGTATGTGTCCCTCATAGGTAGCGGCTACAAGTAAGGCGGTCCTGAGTCCAGCAGCACAATTCCTGCGCACAGCTCACCACGCATAGCACATTATTCCACATATGTCCCTGGATGGCTCATCCCTAGCAGCAGGCCACGAAGAGACGGGGACGGGCCGCCGACAGCAGCTGGCTGCCTCATTCACCTACCGCTGCTGCCTTGCGGGCCGGGCTGCTGCTGGCGCTTCCGCCCTCTGCTGTGGCAGTGCCTCCAACTTTTGATTGGTCCCCACTCCCCTGAGGGGCGGATTTTGCGGCACAACCACTTGAGCAACTACTCCCGCCTCCTGCCGCTGCTGCAGCCGCTGCTGTTGAGCAGCAGATGGCCCCCGCTTAGGAGGCACATGGTTGGCGGCCTCATTGGCAATGGTTCTTTGCGCATGGGCACCTGCTGTCGCCGGTGTTCCTGGAACGGGAGGCTCCTGGCGACATGCTCTTGCTGCTGGTTCCCGCATTCCAGCAGCAGCTGGAGATCCGTTCAACACATCGCCATCCCTCAGCCCAACTCCCGCTGCAGCTCCCGGTGCCAACCGCCTACCAGCAGCAGCAGGGCCTGCTGCCGGTTCCGCAATGGCCGTCCCTGCTGCTGCTGCTGCTGCTGGTGCTGCTGCTGCTGCTGGTGGTGGTGGTGCTGCTGGTGCTGGTGGTGGTGGTGGTGGTGGTGCTGCTGGTGGTGGTGCTGCTGCTGCTTGTGGTGGTCTCACCGCTGGCGTTGCTTGGCGTCTGTCCGTCAAGACAGGATCTGCTGCTGTAGGAGCTACTACTGATACTGCCCTGTAATCTCCACAGCAGGATGGCAGCAGCCGTCGTCGTGCCACGACCTGTGATGAGCCATCCACCTCTGACAGGGCTGTCCCCATGTCGACACATTCGCCCACATTCAGATACTGTGCAATACCCACAATAGTTCTCCTGCCGCTGCTAATGTTAATGTTGATGCCTGCGACAGATGCCAGGTTTTCTACTGCCTCGTAAAGCTCTAGATATTTATCGGCTTCCTGTGTCACGCAGAAGTAGGTATATATAGCCCACACCTGGTCCGCCCCCGAAGAAGCCTGGTAGATGCCCTTATTCATCTCCTCGAGGTATGTCTTCAGCCAGTGCTTAGTAGGGCCCTCCTTGAGGATGCTGCATGACTGCCATGTGTCGGTTGCCATTGTAAATAGCTCAGCCACCTTGAGCTCCAAACCCTCAGCAACGAGCATGGAAGCATGCTTCAGGACACCTTTGAGCAGTCCTTGGATCTCCTTAAGCAGCTTTACAGCTGCACCACCAAGAATTTCCTTGTAGATGTGTGACACCCTCTCGTCGTTAGCTGCACTTTCCACCATGGAGTCCACCACCATGCCCAGCCAGGCCTCCAGGGTTAGCCAGTTGCGCAGCTCCTCATCACGCCCGTATCGTGCCATTCGTTCAGCCAATGTCCAAACCCTGCTGAAGTACCCACTGTCAGCCACCACATCTTGTTGCTTCATCATTGACTCAACCGCTAATGCTGCAAGTTTACTGGAGCCATTTGATTGCCCCATGTCATGGCTCTCCAGCACCTTCAAAGATTTGGACAGAAGTACCTGCAGGAGGTGTTCATCTCCTTCTTTCATGTTGAGCCTGTGGTATTTGGGGATGATTAGCATCCAGCGTGCCCTTGCATAGAAAACCTTGCTCCGCCAGACCTCTAGCACGGTCGCCTTGTCATCCAGCTGCGGATTGCAGCACCAGTCAATCCAGACATACTGAATCTCTGCTGATTCTGTGCCATGGCGGAGCATCGATGAAAGCTCCCTGAACTGCAGATCCGACATAGGCGGGCATTTTTTGTCCAAGCACTCATCCTTGGTTTTATCCCAGCGCCAGCTAAGGACAGCAGTGTGGTTCCATTCATCCTCGCTGACGTCAGAGTAAGGCTTATCAATACAATCTGCATGGCCCACACTCTCATACATTTGAAGGTTAGGCCAGCTGAGAACGGAAGCAACCTTGAGAAGTCGCATTGGCCGGCTCTTGATGAAAGGTGACAACGAGTCATCCACATCACGAAGCTCTGTAGGAATGGGGGAAAGGGGGGAGTTTGATTAGCTGTTCCATCCATGAAGTAATCCCAACTTCTTATGAGGTATATTATGCTTTTACAGGGACAATCAGATCGGGGGGGAAGGGTAGCTTCACTGCAAAATGACCCCATGATTTAACAATCAAGAACTCGACGAGGGCATTCCAAATCCGCTTTCAGAATTGTAATCGGGTTGTATGGAAAACGTTTGGGCTCCCAAAGTTTGTTGTACGGCAGGGGGGGGGGTGGTCCGGAGCCCCAGCCAATTTTTTAACCTTTTGAAACTTTTTCCTAGGCATCGTTTTGCCAAACGGATCACAGATTATAATAAATGCATTCGCACTAACATTAGAGCCTTTGTGTGGAGTTTGCGTGTGGCATGTCCCATGGAAAACTCTAGCATGTCCAACATACACAGTACGGCTTCTCCAGACTCCTCTATTGGCAAGATAACTTTTATAGACAGTAATACTAATACGTACCGGGGTCCATGTCAGAGGCAGCTAATAGCAGGGGGCAGCAGCCAAAACACAATAGGGACAAGAGGCAAAGCAGGCAGCAGGGACAGGGACTAAGGTGGAAGGGGCTCAAAGATAGAGGAATCAAATGATTAGTATCGCAAGTTAGGGCAAGGTTGAAGGGGAGGGCACGTGGCAGGCGTGCTGACGACACACCCATATGTGGCTGAGGGAGGAGGCACGGAACTCCCGCGCCAGAGCAGCAGGGGGTTTTACTAAGCATGGACCTGCATCTGGTGCTGAGGGCCGGGTGCAAGCCCAAGCAACATGCTACCCGGGGAGGGGATGCAGCCGTACGGTGGTGGGCTCATGTGAGGGACGCAATCGCAGGTGGACTGGAGCACACTGACCAACGCAACCGTGCACTTCGGCAATACAGCGAAGCATGTGAAGTTATAAGGCCAGATGCATCGGCTGTTCACCGGAGAATAACACCTTGGGCCTCCCCCTGTGTGCGAGCGACCCGGACATGTCACCAAATGGTGTGCGCATGAAGAGAATGATACAGGTCTTTTCAGTTAGTTTGGAGCTGATTAATGCTTTTCTGGGGCAACTTTGTGAAGTTTACAGGGTTGATGTACAGCAAAAACAGCTCGGCAGGGTAGGTGGGTGGTCCGGCACCCCTTTTTTTACTTTCCTAGCATGGGGGTTGGCAAGGACATTTTTACCCCACCCCCCGGGCGCGCTGGGTAAAGGCGCACAAAAAGCTCAACCACAACCTCACAGATCACCCAGCTTGTGGCATGGAGGCGGCCATCATACCCGAGATCAGGTCTGTCGTACGTGTGTGACGCACATGGGCTGCAACCAGCGTCCTGCTCTCATTGTCAGGTAGAGCGGCAGTTGAGCGGTGGTAGGCTACTCAACAAGATCCCGCATGCAGCAGAGATACGTGTCTCCGTGGAACACGCCTGATCACACGGTTATACACGGTTATACCCAGCATGATTGGTGCTGCGGTGCCCTGCCCTGTCGCTTCCCCACGTTGGCAAGAAGGGGCGCACCTCCCCTCCTAAAACCGTGTGGGCCTAGGTAGTGCAACCCGTCTGTCCTCGGGCTTAAGGCTGGGGTCGGGCCGCAAGGCAGCTGGACAACGGGCTGACCATGCTCGTGAGGAACGACAATGCGATTAATGCTACTACCTATTGCAGCTATCCTTGCTTGCTATGCATGGAGATCGGGTTGCACTGACAAGAGAGATCAATTACCGGTACACATCTACACGCGGGCAAGTTGGCAACCCAGTGGTCATCAAGCACTGTCTTTTACAGCTTGCATGGCGGAGTCACCGGGCAACATTACACGATGGCAAGGCATCGTAGAGGAGCTATAACTACTGTAGCTGTGTCTGATCACCGCGCACCAAGAAATTTAGGGATTATTTTTCTTTAACACGCGGCCGTGTAAGGAATTAATTATTTTGACGTGCAGGGGTCTGAGCAATTATTTTTCACAACGCGCAGCCTTCAGCCTAGTACTTAAGCAGCCTGTACTTTAAGTTATAAAGATCGGAAAGCAGAGCGGCGGGATTGCAGAAATTTAAAGCTACAATTTAAATCGGATGAGGGTTGCTCCGGAACATTGTTAGGGATGAATTGCGCATGTATTAGTAGCCGCAACCCTCACATGTTCAGGTTTTGCCTTTCTACAAGCTCAGTAAGCTGCTAGCAAGGAGGCGTAGGTATGGATGGGGTCGGGAAAACTGTGAAACCCTTACTTTGTGGGCGGCACAGCGACAGGGTGGGTAATATTTTTTAATGCGCAGCCCTTTGGGGAATGATTTATTTTTAACGTGCAGGCCCCGGAGCAATTATTTTATTTTGCGCGTAATGCACATTTTGCCAAATAATTATTTAATTTTGCGCGATGATCACTGGGAGGGACGGTAACCTCGAATGGAGCGCTAGCCACAGCAGATCACATGCATGGGCCAACCCGCATTTGACACACGCACACAGTACGAGGTAATATAACATTTCCGAGTCCTAGCTAGAAAGGGTTGCCAGTGTCAGTAGGTTGTTTGGCTTCGCCGCTGCCCGGCTGCTGCTGGTATATGTGTCTGCGACATGCTACATCCGTCCACCCCCTTCACAAGGCTGCCATAGGCCGTCCCCACCAGTCCACACTGTCCGGAAGCATCTACATACCCACTCCTTGGCCTCACTAGTGGTAGCACATAGTAACGGTCGATGAACTGTAGCCTGCGGCTGTCCTTATTTACTTGTTTGTGACACTCTACCGCCTCCCATCCCCTTTGCTTTGCCCTTACTGTGGTTTCCTATGGGTTGGTATGTTGTTAAATCCCCATCCGCTACCCGCCTGCCCTCTCACAAACCCTTTCCCAGAGTAGAAATGTTTACGGAAAAAATAGCCGACCAACGAATATTGTGCTTGAAGTGTAATGAATGGCGTTCATGTGACCAGACCAGGAGGCGCCTCATCATCTTTAGTCAGCCAATGTCCCCCACCTCCCTCCCCCCTGCCCAATCCGCGCTGCGCGTGAGAGGCCGTACGTGTAGGCCAGCCCCTCCCCTAACCGTACGTGGCAGCACGATGACTTGATGCGTTTCCGGATGTACTAGAAGCACGGGGAGGGTGAAAAATGGGGCCCTTCCCTTGTGTTGTCAGCGTCTGATTATGACAGCGTGGCGAGTAGCGCGATCGGTTTCAACGACGCATCATGCAGTCTCGAAGAACGGAAGAATGCAGCTCGTTCCTTATCAATTTCCTCGACGCCGATTGGTAAAGGGGGATGGCAGTCAGTGGTACGAGAAGTACTTGGTGGCGCTCAGCTGGTACCTGAAGGAATGGGTGGCGGAATCAAAGAGAGGCAACCTTGACAGGCTCACTTGGCTTTGGAACTGGTTCTACAAGGCCGTTCAGTTGCTCGCCGAAAGAGAAGCAGCGAAGGCACGTGGTCATCAGCCCGAGGTGTACGACATGAGCGGACCAACGCAGCCCGAGGGCTCAGGGGACGCTGCTTGCGCAGCTTACTTCGACAAGGGCTCGCGTGGCGGTGTTCGTGGTCATCCGCCCGAGCAGCAGATAACATTGCATTGAGTACGGTAAGGATGGCAAACAAGCCGACGAGCTCCTGGTGAATGGTAGGAGGGAGGAAAAAAACAAAAAAAAATGAGAAATGCGGCTGCTGGAGTCCCAATCGCCATATCCCGGCACATGCAGGGAGCGCAGGGAGGGAAGGGTCACAACAAGTCATGGGGTCACCATCCTCCGGCTCACCAATAACCATAGCCATCCAGCGTCCAACATACCCCTCTCCCCCTGGCCCAATCCGTCAGTTTTCCTTATTTTTACTCTCCCCCGCCCAATCCGCGCTGTGCGTGAGAGGCCGTGCAGGCCAGCCCCTCCCCTAACCGTAGGTGGCAGCACGATTACGTGACGCGTTTTAGGATAGAAGCACGGGAGGGTGAAAGGAAAGTGAGGCCCCTTCCCCTGCCACAGCCATGATTGGGACCCCTGTACCCCCAAACCCGGTACCCTTCCTTGGCGTTCATGTTACCCGTCCAGGTGCCTCACCTCCGGCTCACAAATAACCATAGCCGTCCAGTGTCTCCCCCCTCCGCCACCCCCTAGCAACCTATGAAGCCACATCATACAGCTCTTGAGGTTTTTTTTTACACCCCCCCCATAGAGTCTCCGAATGCGCTCACCGCATGAGTCGGGATATGGGATTGGGACTCATGCGGCTTCACTGAGTATAGTACTCAAAATCATAATGTGAATAGCCCCTTATATGTTTTATCATAGACAATTCAAATGGAACACGCAATTAAGAAAAAGAGAACCCTCCCTTTGACGTTTAACCTCTGGACTGCATTGAAGCAAGCCACGGTTACGCACCCTTTGGTAGGTCATTAAGCGCGATGTTCTTCTTTATACAGGTCAGGGGATCCACTGGCTCGTCCAAAGGTGCCTGCAGGCGCAGCAAGTAATACGCGTCTCTTACCAAGCAACTAGCACAATAACGACTGGTGCGTACAAGGCAATCCTAATTAGCTGCTGCAGCCATCGGTAGTAAATACTAGGAAAGCCTGGCGCTTGCACAACAAGGCACGACTTTGCCTCCCACTTGCGTGCTAGGCAAGTCTAGGTGACGCGCATACGTACCCTGCCTTTGATGGGATTCATAAGCAGGACGGGCACCTGCGAAAGTTACACTGTTCTTGTTGAACGCCCGAACAGGATATACTAAGTCGCCGAGGCGCCGACGGCCGAAAGGTAGAAGAAGTAGTCACAAACGCACCTTTGATGCACCAGAACCCATTTTGGGCGTCGGAAAGTGGGGTTAGGCGTCGTAGCCGTAAGCGTCGCGCGCCGCTGGTGGTGTAGCGGTGTACCAGTTACTAGAGTTTCAAGGCGTGTACCAGCTCCTGAAAGCTAAACCTCTCCTAATGGCCGGCTCATGCCAAGCGCGAGCCGGTGGCGAAAACGAGACCGATTGCCGTTGATGCAGCTGCTAAACGATGTAACACGACTGAAGTAACTACGCAATAGCCAGGAGTTAAGCACTTCAAAGCTGCAGCGTGCTTCGCATGCAATATGCTTGCCTCTTTTCCATGTGGACGGACATTGTACGACCTTCGCTCGCAGATTCAGTGTTTCTAGGGAGAGTAGTATGGTTGACATCATGCATTGCGGTAACCAGCTTGATTTTGCTAAGGCCCTACGGAGGATTCGCACGCGCAAAACGGAGTGGTAGGTAGGATAGCTATCAAGGAGGAGCTAGCAAGCATATGCATCCTTCAGTCGTTTTCGTTTCAGTGTTTAGCGCACTAGCAGTTAAACGTCCGATGGAATGGTGTGCAGTGAACGCCAATACAGGATGTGTGGCTGCCAAGATGCGGTGGAGGATGATGCAGCAGGATGCGTGTCTTTCTGTAATGTCCCGCTCATGATGAGCTAAGAGCGCAGCTTGCGAGTCATGGAATTGCTTTGAATCTGGGCATGTTTACAGTCATGAGCATCAGCAATTAAAGGCTATTTGCAAAAGTCATTGCGGCATGCCAGGGCAACTACTGTAGGTCTGAAGTATAGTACACAATTGCTTGTCACACTTTACTGACTTACTTTATTTCTTCGTTTAGCCTTCCTTCTTCCTGAAGACACTTTTGTTTTTCTCTGTCGTGTAGTCCATGAGCCTCCTGGCTCGTCTGGGCCTTACAAGCTATAGAGCTCCAAAAAATACAACCTCCCCAAAGATATGGTCGTTAACAACTTGCTAGGATAATATAGGTGCTCCTTTGCCACTACTTGCTGTGCAAGCACGCTGTCTCTTGCGAAGTCGGGTGTTGGTGATTGCACTGAACGGTCATAATAAGCGTAGGACACATTATGTTATTGTACAGTCAAAACACAAAGTTGGTGCCGACGTCGTGGACGGGCGGCTCGCGCAACATCCGCGTTCGGGAGAATGCCCGCACCGTGTCAGCCCTGGCCGTCGCGCACTCAAAAGCAACTACCTACGTCCCACCTGGACTTAGCGAGGTTGTTGAGCCAGAAGCCCTAAAGTTGGCGACATCTCTGCGGCGCGTGCCAATCACCATCCCGTCCATGCCGGGGTCGCCTGAGATTGCAACGGCTTTTGTGGGCCCCACGGCTGAGGAGCTCTCTCGCTATCCAAGAAACGTGCCGGCTTTCGTGCTGCTGCCCGGCTTTGACTCATCGTGTGTTGAATTCAGGCGACTATACCCGCTGCTTGCGGCTGTCGCGCCCACCTACGCAGTTGACCTGGTGAGCGGCAGCTTGGAAGGAGGACTGTACGGCGGGAATTGCATGGGAGGCGGCATGACGGCTAAGCAGTCCACACACACACCAGTTATTATAACACACACTTAACACACACGCACCCACGACGTCGAGAAGTCAAAGGGAGCAGCAATGACAGGGTCGAGCGCTTTGCCGTACATGTGGCAGGCGTGGTGTTGGGTTGGGTGAGGAACACAGGAAAGGAAAGGGCACATCGCCTTGCCCAAGAAACGCACCTCAAACTCCTTCACGCTCTGCTACCCACCTCACCCATTACTCCCGTCTTCATGAATGCTACCTACCCCGCATGCCTCCCGCCCTCCTCCACTCCACTCACCCTTCCTCCTCCCCCCTCCTTGGCATGTTGCAACCCATGTTGACGCCTTATCCCTCAGTCAGTTAGTTGTCTCCTCTTTACCCCTCCTTCCCCTACCTCCTCCCCTCCCCTCACCTCCCCCCCAGGTGGGGTGTGGATTCAGCGACAGCTCCCTCTTCCTCCGCGAGCCCTCCCGCACCCTCACCCCCGACCACAAGACCGACCACCTGGCAGCATTCCTGCGCACCACCCTCAGCGGGGCAGCGGAGGGGGAGCAGCAGGGGGAGGGGGAGGAGGGGAAGCAGCAGCAGCCTGCTGGGGCAGTGGGAGGAGCAGCAGCGGTGGGGCAAGGAGCAGCGGGGTCGGCAGGGGGGCCAGCAGCAGCGGATGAGAGCTCCTCAGCGCCCGGCGGCAGCAGTGGAGCCCGCAGCAGTGGCGGCTGCGGGGGCAGGCGGGTAGTGCTTGTGGGAGCATCCCTAGGGGGAGCGGTGGCGGTGGCATTCGCAGTGGCATATCCGCAGGTGTGCGTTCGGGTTGGGGTGGTGGTGGGGGCGGGGGGGCGGGATTGGGGGGCGGGATTGGGGGGGCGCGGGACAGCCCGGTCAGGGCAGGTGGGTGGAAAGAGACGAGTGGAGGAGGCAGTGCAGGAGGATACCGGTGCGTAGGCCCAACGCATTTCGCCCTCTCCCATCACCCTCTCTCTCCCCTTCCCCTTGCCTCTCCTCCCTTCTTCCCTCTCTACCCTCCCCGCCCCCCCACCCCCTCACCCCCCCTCCTCCCGTGCAGCTGGTGCACTCGCTGGTGCTGGTGGACGCGCAGGGATTCCTGCAGGGGCTGGGGCCGCTGCCGTTCGCCCCCCGACCGCTGCTGCAGGCGGGGGTGGCGCTGCTGGGCTCGCAGTGGCTACGACGGGCGGTAAACAAGGTGGGGATGAGGGGGTCGGGGGGGGGAGATGCTGAGGGGGAGGGAGCTGCTAAAGGGGGTGCATGGGAGGGTGTGGTGTTGGTCGGAGGCCTGGGAGGCAGAGGGACACGCAGGGGGCGGTTGGGGGTTGCGTGGCAGCAGAGGGGGCGGTGGCGCTACTCTCCCTTCCTCGCCCCCTCTGGTCCTATGACCCTCCCCCCCCCCGTATGTGTGGTGCTGCCTGGGACTCCCCAGTTCACCAATTCCCCCTCCCCCCATCACTTCCCCGCTGCTCCCCCTCCCCCGTCGTCTGGTTTGCATTCTCATTCAACACATTGAAAAAAACACATTGGGAACCCTTCTCCTCCTCCTCCCCCTCCAGATGGCCTACTACGACAAGCCCCGCTTCGTGACCCCGGAGGCGGTGCTGCTCAGCAGTCTGCACACGCAGCAGCCCGGGTGGGCGGAGGCCAACATCGCGTTCATGCGCAGCGGGGGCTTCGCGGTGAAGGAGAGCATCAGCAAGGTGGGTAGGGGGTTAATAGGGATACGTATTCCGCATTAGGCTGGATGCTAGGATTGTGCATATCGGTAGTCAAACGTGTTGGGTTAGTTGGGGCGGGGAAGGGAGCTAGGAGCGAGGAGCGAGGGGGGGATTGGTGCTATAACATTGGATGCAAGTGGATGGCAGGCTAGGGGTGCAGACGTGGGTGTGGGTGTGGGCTGAAGGCAACGCAGCGTGTCGTACCTTCCTTGTCACCCGCGTGCCTTACAGCGCTCGCTGCGGCCTCCCCTTCCCCCGGTGGCACCGTCAACAGCGTTACCCCCCTCCGGTTCCTATCCCCATTGCTTTGCCCTAACCTGTGGTTTCCTATGGTTTGGTACGTGGTCTTTGACGCCCCCGGTTCACCACCCCCCTCTCAACGCACCCGCCGTACCGCTCAGCCGCTCCCCCCACACCCCCTTCCCCAGGTACCCCAAGAGGCACTTGTCATGTGGGGCCGGAACGACGAGATCTTGGATCCAGCTTTTGCAGAGAGATTCAGATCCACCCTGCCGTACTGTCGCCGACCTGTGGCCTGGATCGAGCGATGCGGCCACCTGCCTCACTTGGAGGCACCGGAGCAGGCGGCGGCGCATATCCTGGAGTTTGTGGGCCTTGCGAAGGAGGCTAGTACGGATAATAACATTAATAATCGTACGACTGAGGGTAATGAAATGCGAGGGAATTAAGGTGCAGACCGCGTAGTGGTGGCGGTGGGGCATGTGTATGCTGAGGCCCTAAGTGGGTCTTTCTTAGCAAGCGTGTGAGGTGACATGTGAGGTTTGCAGCACGGAAGGCACGGAGGAACATACCGTGGTGCTTGGAAAGTAGTAGCAGCGGTAGAAAGGAGCAGCGGTAGCAGCTAGCAGCAGCGGAGGGGAGGGGGAGTGAAGGGAGCGAGGGTTGCAAAGTGCGGCACGCGTGTGCCTGCTTGCTTGGCACGATTGCTACAATTGCAAAATACTTCTTTGCTTAAATATTTGAGTGTCTAGGTGAAAGGTAGACCTGGTCGAGAGGCAGGCTAATGGGAGTGGCAGAGAGGCGTAGACCTAAAGAGAGAGCGCTATAGGTGTATGTGTGATACGAAGCTATGCAAACATTTTGAGCGAATGGGGTCTGTCCAGTCACGATGGAAAGTGAGTGCTGCAAGAAAGCTCAAGGTGAACGACCGGGCTGTACGACACACACATCGGCAACTGTTGTACCGGATGCTCCTGTTTATCGCTCGGTATATGTCGCTCGGGTCTTCAGATATCGGTACTGCTAGATTTATGACGCTTTTGTGGTTATAGGTTGAGAAAGTAGGATGTTGGGAATGTGGCCAAGAGTCCCACCCAAATGTCGTTCAGAACACCCCTGTATGGGACCCGTGGGGGACATTCATCTGGGTCGTACATGAATGAATGGATGACCGTTACAATGGTACAAGATAGCGACCATGGGTTTCCCTGCCGCCCAACATGGGGATGTCACATGCAGCCGCATGTCTGGATCCAGATCCAACCGCCATCACCATCCCCGCCACACCTCACATAGCTACCACGAGAACATGTGTTGCACTGCGTCGCATACACCACGCCTCACAATCCGGTAATCACAGAATCACAGTATGTTCCGACTCGCGGCCAGTTTTCTCTACACCACGCCTTCCCCTCCTCCCGCTCCTCCACCTCTTCGCCATGCTCCCTGGCCGCCACATTCCGGGCGCTGCGGAACGATCTTCTCTTGCTGCTGACACAAGGAGGCAGGACCAAATTACGGTCCTCCCTCCTCGTCACCCCCGGATGTGGATACCCACACCCGAGCAACCTACCTACCTCCCTGCAGTGCTCCTAACCCCTACCCCTAACCCGGACGGCTCCCCCTAGCCCTCTCATTGCCCTGTCTCCCTGCCTTCCTCCCTCATGCGCCCGCCCCCACCTGCTAACCCAACAAATCCCCAATACCGGTACTGCAAATCCCCACAACGAGAGAACCCAGCTATATCGGTATCCTGCCCAGCTAAGGGTCTTGCTACCGTCATACCTAGAAGGGCTGTGCGGGCAGCATGGACGTAACCACCACCATCTCCCGAGGTACGCCATTCTGTGGCAACACATCCGCCGTACAGTTGTGGACGCCGTACAACGGCAGGTAGGTGCCGTACAGAGTGATCGCCGAAACGTACGGCGCGTGACGTATAGTCCCAATGCGTGCGAAGGAATGGTGAGCGGGGTGGGGGAAAGAGGTGCGAAAACGATTAAAGGGACGGAAGGGAGGGGGATGCCTAACAGGGCGACAGCATATCCCCCAATCCGCATCCCACCCCACGCACCTAATATTCGGCAGGTTCAAAGCCTAATTTCCCTCTCATACACGTTCCATCTATACATTGATACTACACGTTTACACCAAACGTACATACTAGACCTTTACAGTACACGTTTATGTTCACGTTTACACTCCCACCCACACCCACCTGCCGTTCGCACTTCTCATCAAAGTAGGCGGCAAAGTAGCCCTTCAGCTTCTGGATGCCCTCCCGCCGGATGAGCTCAGCCAGCTGGCGACCCGCGGGACACGAGCCGTCTGAGGGGGGCAGGAGGGGACAGGTGGGCGAAAGGAGGAGAACGGAAGTGAAGGGGCATGACTGGGCTGATAAACAGCAGGACATGAAGGTCAGCTCAGGCGGCGGTCCACCGACCCACGGGACATACGCGGGCCGCGGTGACAGGGGGCCCCAGCTGGGGCAGAGGAAAAGGTGCCAACCCCCCCCTCCCTCTACTTCCCCACCGTCCCCAACCCGCCCCCAAACCCACCCACCTAGCTGGCACATGAGCGATCGGTCCTGGTTGTAGCACAGCAGTGCATCCGGGTTCTGACCCAGCCGTCGCAACTCCTGGAGGGGAGGAGGAGGAGGAGGAGGAGGAGGAGAGGGAGGAGGAGAGGGAGGAAAAAATTAAATAAGTGAAACAACGAGTCCCAATCCCATATCTGGAGAGGGGCCAAGATACGAGGAGTGTGAGAGGGGGGGAAGGGGAGTGAGGAGACACAGGGGGGGCAGAAGATGTTTGGCTGGACGTGAAACGGGGGCAGGGCATGCGAGGGCAGGTGGAGGCCGGGAGGAGCGAGCAGCATGCTAGGCCAGGGACACGCAGACCCCTATGATGACCAGGACTTCCCACCACCCACTACCCCCTCACCCACCACCCGCCGCACCTGTCTCTCCCGCTCCCCCTGCAACTGCGGCACCTGAATCTTGACTCGCACCGCCGCCTCCTTGGTCGCCTTGCCCGCCGCTGCCGCCAGCTGCCGGGCGGTGCGGGAGGCCTCCAGCGGGATCTCACTGGTGCGCGGGTCGACCTGCCGGGCCTTGGGGGCTGCGGGGGGGGGGAGCAAGGGGAGAATACCCAATGTGTTGAATGAGGGAGGGAGGGAAAACATACCGGTAAATGAGGAGTGCAGCAACTGGAGGCCCAATTACCCTATACCCCGACACATGCAGGGAGCGCAGGGAGGGAAGGGTCAAAACAAGCCATGGCTGTTTGGTTTTGTCGACATTAATACTTTGCCGAAAGAGAACACGACCCTCGGGTCACGTAAGCTACAGTAACATCACATGCTGCCCTTCCTCGCTTGCGTTTCCCATCCACCCCACTATCCAGCCTAATGCGGAATGTGTATCCCTATTTACCCCCGCCTCTCCGTGTGGGGGCTGCCAGCCTCAACAAATTGGGCATCCTTCTTTTACCCTCCCCCCCTCCCACACCCCCGCGCCGCTCCGTCCCACTCTTACGTGCGGTTCCCGTGATGCTAGCCATGAGGGGTGTGAGGTTGGCTTGCAGGTTCACAATGGTGGCGCTGGGGTTGTCATCGATGATGCGCACCCGCACCTCCCGGGGCAGGGAGGCGGAGGCGGAGGAGGTGCTGCCCGGCTTGTCCGCGGAAGAACCAGCAGCAGGGGTGGTGGAGGAGGCGGAGGCGGGTCGCTTGCACTGGGCCTTGTGGCTGGGCCAGTGGGCGACCTGGCAGGCGCTGGGAGGGAGGGAGGGAGGGAGGGAGGGCGGGAGACACATGGTCGGGAGGAGTGTCAAATAAAATATAAAAAGGCGTAGATGGGCATGAAGGGGTCATGGAAGGGACATTGTGTAAAGGGGGGCGGTACCTCCCACCCTCCCTCCCACCTCCTCAGCTCTCGCCTCCCCAGCTCTCGCCTCCCTCCCACCTCCCTCCCTCACCGGTCGCAGTAGTAGACCCCAGCGCTGCAGCCGCTGCACCCCTTCTTGGCGCCCGTCTTGCCGCAGCTCCCACACCGCCGCTCCGCACCTGCAGGCGGGGGGCGCGGGGGGTGGGGGTAGCGGTAGCCGTGTTGGGGGGAGCGTGCACTGCGCATGAGGGCATGCATGAAAGGTACGGCACCAGATACACACATGAAAGGTACGGTTCTATGGTACCAAATACCGGTCACACACATCACACCGGTAATACACACTCCAACCTTCCCTACAACGCTCCCAGCTACCCAACCACCCACCGGGTCGGATGTTGTTGTACTTGGCCTGGTGCAGCAGCGCGTAGATCTCACTGTTGTACCTGTCGTGTCGTACGCAAGCAAGGAATGAAGGATGTACGGCAACAGGACAGTACGATGTTCGACAGTAAAGCAACCAGGACGTGGTACGGCAAAGCGCAGTAACAGCAACCACATTGGGTTGCCGCCAACAACATCAACTACGCGTGGTTCTCTCCTCATGCCACCGTACCCCCACTCCCCTACCCCTCATCCACAGTGGCTAAGTGTATCTAATCCCCCACCAACCCACCCCCCCACCCCCCACCTCATCCCACCTGCCCACTGTGAGTGCGTCCACTCCGTCATTGTCCCGCTGCCCCGGGTCCGCCCCGTGCGCCAGCAGCAGCTTGATGGACTTGATCTCCGTGCTCATGACCGCGCTGACCAGCGGATAGGTGCCGAACCTGGGGGGGAGGAGTAGGTGCATGGGGGGGGGGGGGGGTGTGCATGGGGTGTGTGTGCATGGAGGGGGTGCATGGAGGGTAAAGAGGGAACAACAAACTGACCTTGTAATAAGGCGTCACCATGGGGTGCATTGTACATGATGGAGAATGTTGCATGGCGGTTGCCTTCAGCTACATGGCGGTTACCCCCTCGAGCCACCTCAACAGGCTTCACAGGGGCTAGGTTGCTTTCCCAGGGTTGGCACCCGGGGCTTGCAAGTCGGTCCCCGGTCATTCACACCACCCACCACCCACCCACCACCCACCCACCACCACCCACCCACCACCACCCACCCACCACCACCCACCCACCACCCACCCACCACCACCCACCCACCACCACCCACCCACCACCACCCACCCACCACCCACCACCACCCACCCACCCACCTGTCCCTGGCGTTCACATCCGCCCCCGCCTCGATCAGCATCTTGGCGAGATCCAACACCACGTGGTGGGCTGCGGGGGGGGGCAGGGGAAGAGGGGAGGAGGATAGATGCGATGAGGCACTGGCAGGGGTGGAGGGCGCTGAGTTAAGGAGGCTATGCTGAGTTAACACGAGGGGCTGCAGCACCAGGGTGTTCGCTGTGTACTCTGCCGGTACTTCCGGGCAACTGCCTAGTGGGTGCGTTATAGGCAGAAGAAGACGTATGAGGGAGGGCGGCAGTTGCCCCCCGGCAAGTTACCCGTCGCATGGTGCAGCGCCGTCCAGCCCGCCGCGTCCCGCCCGTCCACCCGCGCGCCCGCCTCCAGCAACCGCCGCAGCACCCCGGAGTGGCGGGAGCCGCGCTCGGCGTCGCTGCCAAACTTCTGTGGTGGTGGTGGTGGTGGTGGTGAAGGGGTTAGTGGGGGAGGTGAGGTGAGGTGGGCTAAGGGCTGAAATGAGTCGGATTGCTTGGATGGTGAAACGGTGTGAAAGGTAGAAGCGAGTGCGGGGGGGAGGATCTTGTGAGGAGGCTTGGGTGAACGATGAGGGATATTGCTAGCGGGACAGAAAGGGGACCGTTCGGACCGTTCTACGCTGTAATGTTTGGGCCCACACGCGCAAAACCGACCCACGGGTCACCCTGCCCACTCACCCCGCTTGGGTCCGCGTTGGGTCCCCGAGTCCTCTGCGCCCCCGACACCACCACACTGATCAGCGGCAGTCGCGCCTCCAGGGCCCTCAGCCGCAGGTCGGAGGGCTGGAAGCCCTTGGCGAAGGACCTGTGTGTGCGGGGGGGGGTCAAAGACCATACCAAACCATAGGAGACCACAAGTTAGGGCAAAGCAATGGGGGTAGGAGTTGGCAGGGCGCCACAAGACAAAGTGTTGGTTAGTATTAGGGAGCGAGGGAGGAGGAAAGGGAGGTGGAAGGAAGGAGAAGACGGTCCCGGGTGGATGTGGTGGAGCGGTGATAGGGAGGCGGCGTTTCCCCGCCTTGTTCCTGCTTGTCCCACCCGCCATCCCCGTGTCCCCGCATCCCCGTATTCGTCTCACTCTTCGTCCCCGATGTACGCCGCGATGAAGGTGTCGTTGGGCCAGCGGGACAGCGGGCTCATGTCCACACCCGTCTGAGGGGGGGAGGAGGGGGCAGGGAAGGGAGGGGGCAGGGAAGGGAGGGGGCAGGGAAGGGAGGGGGCAGGGAAGGGAGGGGGGCAGGGAAGGGAGGGGGCAGGGAAGGGAGGGGGCAGGGAAGGGAGGGGGCAGGGAAGGGAGGGGGGAGGGGGATTAGGAAAACCCAGTACGCCGAGGGAGGGGGTGTGAGTGAGCAGGAGGGGGAGGTAACACGCAGTAAAACCCAGAAGTGGGAATTGCAACAGCATCCTCCCCCCTTCCCTTACCCTCAACCCACATACCTAGGGCCTTTCCTTCTTTTCCCCTCAACATCCCCCCCTCCCCCCTCCCACCTCCCACCCACCCTGTGCTGCATGTTCCTGATGGGCATGTCCGATCCGTCCATCGCCCGCACCGGCCGCTGGTCGCCGTCGTCCTCCTGCGGGGGGAGGGGAGGTGGAGGGAGGGAAGGCGTAAAGAGGAAACAATTAACTGACTGAGGGATAAGGCGTCAACATGGGTTGCAACATGTGAGCCAGCCCGACCCGCCCAGCCCGAATCAGCGAAGCCAGTAGGTGGAGAGGGTGTGGGAGGTGGAGTCGTGGAGAGGTGAGGGGAGCAGGGGAGGGGAGGGTGCAAGTACCAGCAATCTAGCGTTGTAGGTTAAGTGGCCAAACAGATTGGGCCAGCAGGTCTGGACTGGGTCCGGCTTGTTGGTTGGATCTCCCCTCCCCGCCAACACTACTACCTCCCTCCCCATTCCTCCTCCCTCCTCCTCCCTCCACCGCCCCGCCCCTCCCCTCCCCTCCCCCCCTTCGCACCTCTCTCAGCTTGTTCAGCTCTGAGGTGAGGAAGGCGTTACCCGGGTCGCGAGACAGGCCGGCAAGCAGCGTCCGCTCCGCGTCACCGGGACTGCACCGGGTCGTGCGGGGTGCAGGGGGGTGCGGCGGGGAGTTGGACACAACCGTAGCCAGCAGTAACCGCACATCACACGACGACAGCAGCGGCGAGCTGATTCCTCCTCTCACCCCACTCCGAGAGGCGGTTAGGCACCCTCAACGGCAACGTCCTCCCCTAAACAGCCCCCCCTTCTTTCCTCTTTATCCTTCAACTGCTGCTAACGGTGCCAAAGCTGCCAACCAGCTTCGGTCGTATCTGGAGTTGTGTACTCCTCTGTAAGCATACCCCCCCAACGGCTCTCAGCAGCCTCCCCCCTACCGTATAAGGCCCATCTGCGCTGCCGCCTTCCTGCCGTACGCCTTCACGAAACCCGGATCCGCTGCAATGCACTTGTTGGCGGCGTCGAGTGCCGCCTGCCACTGCTTTAGGCCGAGGTGGGTGGCGGCGAGGTTGGAGAGGAGGACGGGGTTGGAGGGCGCCAGGGACAGGGCCCTGCAAGGTGGGGTGGGGAATGGGGGGTTAGTGGAATATATAAGAAGTGTGCAGCAACTGTAGTCCCAATCCCATATATGGGGGGTGGCGGCGGGGTGACGAGGAGAAGGCCCTGGGCTGGAAGAAGGTGGGGAGGAGGACGAACTGAGGAGGAGTGGGGGACATGTGGGCTGGGATTAAGGAAGGGTGAGGGAGGGGAACGGGAGGTTTGGTGGCAGGGGTATACGTTGGAGGAGGTAGCAGTAGCAGCCGGAGCAGCGACAGAAAAACGGTGTCGATAGGCGTTAATTGCCAGCAGCGGCATAACACCGTAAAAACGACGGTAGAGCAGGGGTGTCGATGTGCTCTTGCGTACCCCGATGGGGGCACATCCGATTCGTTTTTGAAGCCCCCGGTCGGCGATGGCTTGATGCGGCGGGCGCCCGATGTTTTTCATTAATACACAAATTTTTGAGAACTTATAATCATACATGCCATGCAAATAGCGACACATGACGCACCGGCTATAGAAATCGAGCGCCTGCTCATAAGCCTTGTCCGCAAAGCACCTGTTGCCCTGGTCCTTTAGTTCCGCCGCCTCCTGTGACAGCTCTGATGTCGTCATTTTTAACCGTGCTTGACAGTATCGCCTGGAAAATGAGGATAAAGTAAACGCAGAAAGGCCGCAGGGCTGACATACCCGCCGTACTCTCGTACTGCCTGGAATTGCTTTGGCGTTGCCTCCTTCACGACATGGTGTAATCAAATATACCTCTGTCCTCTTTGAACTGAGCTGAACCTTATGCACGTATAGGCTTAGAGCTTAGCACGCGTTCATGCAAGCATCGCTACTCTAAGCCATCCCTTTTAACGTAGTATAGGTATTGATAGAGGCTAAGTAAATGCGTCCCAAACTTGTTGTCTGTCAAGCTTTGGTTTTATTGTAAACTTAATGCAGCGAAAGGACTCAGTGAAAACAATCAGCCTTGCTGGGCGACTAAATGGAAGACGATGAGGAGTATAAGGTCTCAAGTGGGTTTAGGTGAGCACCCTTTCTATATTACGACGGAGCTTCGCCAAGGGCATGTGTACCATTTCTCCAGCCTGGACCACACATGGCACTTTTGCACTTAGAAACATATCGTGCCTGGAACCTGCCTTACTACGCAAATGCTCATGCACGTGTTTCTAAGGTTACGGGAAGTACAACTCGAGTGCGCTTTGCATAAATGTCCTCTGCGAAGCTTAAAGTTTGCATAGAAAGCGGTGGCTTCAAGACCTTGTACTTCTCCTTATACACGACGAACCGATGCCAGCAACTCCTGCCTCACTGTTTCCGCTCTGTCGCCTTCCAATGCAGCTGCTCGGTTGCTTGCTGACACTACGCGAGCAAACTCCGGTCCCCTCCCCCCAAACGCTTGACGTCACCCTCCGCATAGGACTCTGTGTCCCAATCGGTCCTAGCCCTTTAACCTTTCCATCTCAACCCTCCGAAACCAACACAGGTGGGAGTCCAGCAACATCCGGATTGCCTCCGATGTCCCGCCTGAGCTCCTGGAGCTCCCGCCTCCGTCACGGGGAGGCGGCAGCGGTGGCGGAGGTGGCGGGGGCCGGCGGGTAACGCAAGGTATGGGTAGTTGAAAACAGGGCGGAAGTAGGAACGGAGGGGAAAGCGGAAGCGACGGTGACAAGGAAAGGCCGGAAGAATGGTCCAGGAAGCCGAAGAACAAGGAAGCGGCAAGTATCCCATCCCCATCCCCCAACTCATCCCACCTTCCTCCTCACCCTCACCCTCACCCCCTCCCTCAGGCGCCCTGCCCATCCCGCCGCTCAACCTCAAGGCCCGGGCCGAGCGCTCCGAGGACCCCTGGCAGGAGGCCCTCCTGCTGTCGCACCCCTCCGCCTCCCTCGGCCACCACCACCACAGCGGCAGCAGCAGCAACCCCAGCCACAACCACAACCACAGTCACCATTCGGGGGGCCACAGCCACACCAGCCACAGCCACACCAGCGGCCACCATGCGTCACACCAGGGGGGGGCTCACCTGGCTCACAGCCACAGCCATGGCAGCCTGCACCCCCACCGCCACCGCAGCACCACCAGCAACAACACCAGCACGGGGGACTCACCCATGCGAGGAGCCGGACACAGCGACAGCGAGGGTGGCGAGGGTGGCGAGTCGCCGCCGCTGAGCTCCCGCGGCGGTGACGGCGGCGGCGGAGGCGGCGGCGGTGGCGGCGGCGGCGGCACGGTTTCGGGTGCTAGTGACGGCGGCAGTAGCTTTGCCGCCGGCGGCGGTGGAAGCAGCAGCTACGGCAACGCGGGCAACCGCCAGCGGCAGCGGTACGGCGCGTGGTACGTGCCGCCTAAGGAATGGAGGATGGTGTACGGCAGGAGCCGGAGCCCCACGATGAATGGCGGGGTGTCGGGCACGCCGCCATCCTCGGTGGCGGATTCCACGTCGGCGCCGTACCTCCCGCAGGAGATGGCAGGTCAGAGCTTCAGTGGCGTCGGCGGCAGTCACAGCAGCGCCGCCGCCAGCTTTGACGGCGCCGGCGGCGGCGGCGAGTCGGAGGCCGAGCGAGCGAGTCGCGAGGCGATGGCGCTGGAGCTGGGCGTGTCGTACACGGCGCGTGCGTATAAGGAACACCTGAGGTCGCGACACTTGCGGCCGCCGGCGGCTCTGAAGCGCGTGTCGACACCGACGGAGGAGCAGGTGGGAGGGAAGCGAAGGAGAGGAGGAAGAGAAGGGAAGGGGAAGGGAAGGCTAGGAAGAGCAACAGGCCACATGGACGAGCGAACAGAGCCATGCACCCAATGGCATGAACTGGGTGCACCTCACTTCATGCCGGCACGCTCCATTCCATACCGGGATGTATCCCTACCTAACTCGCCTCTTCGTCCCTCAACATGTCAACAGATCCGGCAACACCAAATGGACGTGGCGCGGGCAGCGCAGTTAAAACGCGAGCAGGAGCGACTGCTGCAGCAGCAACAGCAGCAGCAGCAGCTCATGATGCAGCACGCGGGGGCGGGTCTCGATGTTCGCTCCAACCGCAGTACGGCGACTGGCATGTTGAACCACCCCTCCTCATCCTTCGCCGCCGCCACACCGAACACGAGTTCCCCCGGTGGCGGCGGAGGCCGCGGCAGCAGCACCAACGGCGGCGGAGGCGGCGGCAGTAGCACCAACGGCGGCGGAGGCGGCGGCAGTAGCAGCGGGGCGTTTGCCTTTGCGCCCCGGCGGCTAGTGGTGCCGCCGCCGCCGTCGTTGCCGGAAACCCCCACCAGACATCCTGCGACACCGCCGGCGCCAATGGCGGCGTCGTTTCGTAACGCCTCGCCGCCGCCGACTGCGGGGTCGGAAACGCCGACAGTGCACTCTGCGTCGGCGGCGGCGACGCTGCCGTCAACGCCGTCGCCGCTGCCGGCGACACCGCCGACGCCATTGCAGCTGCAGACGGATACGCCTCGTTCCGAGCGCGGCGGCTCTTCGCATTCTGAAACAACGGAAAGTCGCGGCGGTACGGCTCGGTCGTCCAATGCGGACGCCGCCTCGACGATAACGACGGCGACAACGACGACGGTTGCGACGGTTGCGACGGTTGCAACGACGCCGACAGCGGCGAGTGGCGGCGGCGTGAGTTCAATCCGTGGCGCTGCGGATTGGGTGGAGACGCTGGATGACGTCATGGCTCCAGCATTGCGTGAGAGGATTCGGCAACTGCTTAATGTACAGGTGGGTGCTTGTTGACACTGAGCCGCGACAGATACGCACCCCGACTGCTTAAGACCGGAAGACGGGAAGGTGGGTAGTGAAGATATGATATGCTGACTCTGCAGGACGCCATTCTGGACCACCAAGCCCGCATGCACGCGTACGAGCAAGAGCGCGACCGGCAACGGCGAGTACGACAGTTTGCCGACGGAGACCCAACCGCCGGCAACGGTCCCGGTGTGGGAGGCCCGCGGGGGTTGAGACGAGGAGGGCCGCAGTCCACGGCAGCCGGGAGGGCAGCGCGGAAGGCGCGTGGGAGTGCCGCTGCTGGGGGTACTCCTGGAAGGGTTCCCGGCGGCGGTGGCGGTGGGGGCTCGCCTCCGACGCCCTTCACAGCGATCGCAGTTGCCTCCGCAGCTGCTGCCTCACCCTCAGCGGCGGCTGGGCTGGTTCCAGAGCCCAACGGGCACCATCATGCCTTTGGCCCTTCTCCGTCTCGCTCGCCCAAGCGAGTGCACCTGGTAACGGTCACATCTGCCAGGGGCCGCCATGAGGTGGTAGGGAGGGAGCATAGTCGCGTTGTAGAGAGCGCGACGGGGGATGCGGTAAAGCATGGAGGAAGCGGCAGCGGCGGCGGTGCCGAAGCAGGCGCAGGAGGCGCCGGGGAGCTTGGGTCAGAGGCTGCAACAATGGGGGCAGCAGCCGCGGGGGCAGGTGCCATCACCGCCGTGCCGTCGCTCTCAACCCTGCCCTTGCCGCCGTTGCCAACCGCCGCCAACCCACCACACCACCACGACCCACCACACCCCCCCGCTCGACAACTCTCGGGCAGCGCCTCCGTTGCGACATCGGTCACCGCCAACCCCAGTAGCAGCATGGGCGGCGCCTCCGCTGCCGCCACAGCCGCCATGTCGTCGGAGCTGTCAGGATTGACACCGCAGGCCTCCGCTGCCTCGCTCCACGCCGGCTCGTCCACAAGCACATCCCGTTCGTACGGCGGCGGCAGTTGCCGACCCAGTCGCTCGTCAATGCGCGCGAGCATCCCGCAGCCACGTAAGATCGCGCTGCCGGGGGCCGTTGGCGACCTAAACCACCTTCAACTGCTGCTAGATAAGCTGCCGCATGGACGGCGGAGGGGGCATAGTACGGCAAGGAGTTACGAGGGCGCCAACTCTGCACGGAGCGCCGGCGCCGGCGGGTCACTAAGCCCGAAGTGTCGTCAGCGGTTTACCGTACATTTGCAGCACACGCCGCGATCCACGAGCCCCATTGCCAGCCTAGCCGCCGGTGGTGGCGGTAGCGGCTGGGGCGAGGCTGCCGTACACGCGGCACTCAGCGGCTTTCCTGTCGGCGCCGCCGCCGCGGCCCTCGCACGTATCGTTAGCGACGACGACTTGCAACGGTCGGTGTCCGCCGGCCGGCGGCGAACCCCCAGCCCGTCTGCCAGCATGTCGTACACGATTATTGCAAACCCGTCGTACACTTCAAATGTCTCCGTCGGCTCGCCGGAGCCCTCCACGTCGTCCCCCGCACTGGTGCTGCCGCTGCTGTCGCCAACAGAGCCGCGCGTGCTCGCTCCGCCACCGCCGCAGGCCCTGCCGGGTCCGGAAGACGAGGGCTTTGTGCCGTTGGCCGTTACGGTGGTTAAACAGCTCATGCCGGGGCCGTCACAGGCCTCATTCGAAGCCGGCGGCGGCGGTGGCGGCGGTGGCGGCAGCAAGTCAGGGTCCATCTCGCCGCGGCTCCGACGTTCACTTACCGCAGGGGCTGCTGGCTCCCTGGCGCTTCTGCGGTCCTCATTTGGCGTCGGGCAGCAGCAGGAAGACGGCATGATGAGACCCATGCGTTTTTCAGATGAAGAGCCGTCTTACTACCGAAACCGTAGTAGCCTACGTCGGGGCGGGGTTACGGAAGCAGAGCTACTGGCGTCATTGGCGGCTATGGTGGGAGGAAGCATAGGCGGTAGCGGCGGCAGCGTCAACGGCAGCTTTAGCGCTTTGGATCTGACCCATGGGTCACAACCCGCTGCTGGGCGGTCCGGCTACTTTGCGTCGCCGTCGCTTCCGGAGTTGAAACTGCCCCTGCACGAAGCAGGTGCAGCTGCTGCTTCTGGATCTGACTTGTACGGCAACGGCGGTAGCGGTGAAGACAGCGGCGGCGGCGGCTGGCGCAGCCACCGGCGCAGCGATGACAGCAGCGACGATGAGGACGACAGCGGCGGCGAGGGCGCTTCGGCGGAGGCAAAGCAGCACCCCCAAGACGACGCAGCATGGAGGGCACTAAGGGAGCGCCGGCGGCTGCCTCCCGAGAACTCCCTGCCCGCCAGGATAGCGGGTCCGATGGCAGCCGCACGAGAGGGCGGCGGCGCGCACAGCTTTGCAGCGGAGCACAGGGTTCAGGGAGGTCTGCTGGATAGCAGTTTCGTGGCGGGCGGCGGCGGCGGCGGAGGAGGGAGCGGTGGAGGAGCAGGAGGTGGGGGTGCAGGAAGGCTTAGCCCGCTGCTGCCGCCGCCACCTGCGCTGGCAGCAGCGCTTCGGGGCAGCGGTGGCGGTGGAGGCGGAGGCGGTGGCGGAGGAGGAGGGTCAGGAGGAAGTGAAGGTAGCGGTTTGCTGCCAGGATTGGGGTCCAAGTGCGCCCGCGGGTCGCCGAGCCCTACCAAGGGCGGTCCCGGTGCATGCGGTTACTATCCGCCTCATCCCGCCGTCGACCTCTTCGCTCTGGGTCTCCTGCCCAATCCCTCACTCCTGCGGGCCTCAATGGCCGCAACCACCACACGAGCCGCTCTCCACAGCCACCGCCGCGCCCGGGGCCGCAACGGCAACGTCGCCTCAGCCATCGCCGTGCTGTCCGCGGCTGGTAAGCTGGACCCCAACCCCAACGCCTCCGCAGTAGCGCTGGCCTCCGGCATGGACAGCCCCTCCTTCTCCTCTCCTCGGTCTGATATGGGAGGGCTGAGCAGCCTCGCGGTGGCTGCCGCGGCGGCGGCGGCGGTAGCCGTGGACCGTCGTCGCGGCGGCGGCCTGTTCAGCGCACCCACCAGCCCCATGCCGTCGCCGTTTGTACATATGCGCCCACATGTGCCCCCGGGGTCACCCTTGAAGCTCGCGGGGGCGGCGGAGGCGGAGGAGATGCATGCCCGGGCGCGGATGGGTCGTGCAGGAGCCCTGGACTTGCAGCACATGTTTGGGGTGGACGTGCCGCAGACGCTGCTGCAGGCGCAGTGATAGGGGTATTGTTGTTGAGTGGTTAGAGCGGTTTGTGGTTATTACACTTGGCATGTTGAGGGCCGTGTTGGCATGTGACGCATGCAGTACAAGGGTAGAGGACCATGCACGCATGCCCAGAATGTGGGTACTGGGCTGATGGGTACCGGGGGCATGGTGTGTACATGTATTAGACAGACAGGTTGCCGCAGCTGTTGTGGGAAAACCTTATACACTGTTTTCGTGCATGTTATTCCGCTGTGTGACTACGGATAACCTGACCATGACGCATTTCACCATGATGCATTAGGTTTGTCAGGAGGAGGAGTGGCCAGTGGTAGGCGGTCTGGAAGGGGGTGGAGACGTTGGAGGGGCGACCTGCAGGAGGAATCCAGCGTGTAACACCAGCTTACTAGTCACATGTGGTGTGGCATGTGGGCTGAACCATTTTGAGCGCAGGAAGTGTTTGCAGGGCAGCGTGCCTGTACCATTGTCCCATGGGTCTATCTACGACTCAGTGTAGGATGCCATGACAAGGGGCTGTGACCTGGCTTTGGGTGACAGGCGCGGAGCCGGGGCAGTCATCTACTACCGGCATGCGACCACAGTCCTGAACATGTAAATGGAAAGTGGCACGTGTGGAAATGGCGTGGAATGCAGCAGTCACAGCCTGGTGACTGTGAAGCTGACGACGGCAAGGGTGATAACGTGAGGGCGCAAGGGAACCTGCTCATGTTTTGAAATTCAAAGGGGGCCCATTTGCGTCTGTTTCTTGTCTAGTAAATTGCTAGAGGTGTGGACGCCATGTGTATACCTCACTTTTCACGCCATGCTTATTTCCTTACAAGGGCTATCACTATCGTGCTGTCCCTCAACACCGTAAGCGGCAACCAAATGCATTCGGCATGAATTTCGTACGTTGAAGATCAAGGTCCCAAGCCAGCAACACTCCCCAACGCCAACGACCACAACGTCCCAACGCTCACTAACCCATTCAACCCGCGTGCCTGTCCAGGTATGCGAGGAACACAAAAGGGAAAGAAAAAGCCCAATTGACAACAGAAAAGGGTGCCATGCCTAGGTGGGAACAGGCGCACACCCGAACAAATACAACGGGCAGGAAAGGCCATGTACGACACAAAGTTATGACGTTATATTAGAACAAGACAAGTCGCCCCATGCATAACAGCCAGTGGGCCAAGCTGGGGCGATGTGACAACCGGTAGCAGGTATTGTAAGATCTACAGTAAATGTGCAGCCGCTCTGGAACGCAAAAGGAATCCCCTCGGTTTCCGCGCTAGGCTACAAGACTAGATTGTAAAACTGGGAGCCGATTCCCACCCCCACTCTGTGCATAGAAGCTGGTAGCATGTATGTACGGTAGATACAGCAGACGCCAAAAGCAAAAATACGCGTTCCCCTTGCCTTCCCCATATGACGTCCCCAGAAAAGGAAACAACACCAAAGCGTCACTTCAGGCTACTTAAGTTCGGACACCCACTTGGGTTCACTGTAACTCTGCCGCAGCTTGCCACGCTCAACTCACAAACCCGCCTTTCGCCTTGTGCGTTTGCTTTCCTGAAGGACCTTTTCCATGCGCCGGGCACGCACACACCCAGGCTCGCGGAGTACCCATGTAACATGTACAACTACCGTACATACCGGGAGGTACGGAAATACCCACATGCACCAGCAAATGACACAACCCCCATGCATGTTGCAAAGCACATGTAAACACATTCGGTCGCTTTAATACACATCGTCCTTGCACGACCACACAGATAGCGTGGCCCATGGGGCCGGCATCAGATGGCATGAAACACACCACGTCTCTCTCTATCACGGTCTACGGGAGCGCAAAAGTTAAAGCATGGCACAACATCCATGTAGCAGGTCTCTTTGCAGCAGTGCTGGGCCTTCAACAACGACCCCAAGCAGCACAAACACAACACCACAACGCAAATGTTAAAAGAATGGGTGAAACGGCTGTGTTAAAATAACTGGCCAAAGAAGGGGCACACGAGCCGAAGAAGGGGCTGAGATAAGAAAAGGATCTCCGGCTGATCTTGCAGCGGGTCTTGCATCTATCCTTTAGTCTCCAACAGCGGCATTAGTTGCCCGAGGGAGCCCGGCTGAGGCGCACATCCACCGTCATGAGGTCCGACATGGACTCCTCCAGAGGCCTGGAAGGAGGGGGCGAGGGGGCAAGGAGGGTGGGAGGGGCTGTTTAACAGGGGTGCGGGGTAACACCGACAGGAGGTTGGAGGGACGGGGGTGAGCCTGAAGAGGTTAAGCAGCCCTAGGTGAGGAGCCTCTGCATGAGTGAGGGAGCCCCGTGCTGGTAACCGCTGCAGCCACAGAGAAGAAGGGAGGAGCAGTTCCAATACCCGTAATGACCCGTACGTGTACTGCCATGATGCAGTACATCCATGCATCTGCTTTTAACCACTGGCATTGACAGTATTACAATGGATTCCGGGAAAGCAACTTGCCTGTGGAACACGAAGAGGTCTCGCCGCCGCCTACTCCGTTCGAGGCTTGGCATTAGGGAAGCAGCGACAGGGGAAAGGGAGAGGGTGAGGACAGGGCGCGCCGTGAGCTTAAGACCGGAAACTCAGTTGCGGGACGTGCATCGGGTCAAGGAGCACAAGAAGCCAACCACAACAGAACCCACTTTGAGGGCACGGGCTGCACGGCAATGACAGTACTCGCATGACTAAACACTGCAAGCGCGTCCTCGCAGGCGACCAAACCGCCCTGCGTCTAGAGTTGCGCGCCTCCAAACCGAACAAGGGTGCAGCAACAGTTGCACCCAAGCACTTCACGACCCGGACTCCCTGCACCTGACGCCCGGGCCCCTTGCCCCTACCTCCTAGAGTAGCTGTACAGGCCCCCGGCCGCCCCCACAAGCACCACGGTGGGCACCACCGCAGCCACCACGATGGCGGTGAGGGAGGTGGGGTTACTCGAGGAGTTGGAGGAGGAGCCATCTGTGGGGGCAGAATAGGGCAGAACTGTGTGTGAGGTGAGGCGGGTGGTGTGACGGTGCGAGGGCAAGGGCGCGAAGCGGGCGGGGAGGAGCCAATCGAGGCTTCGAGTATACCGGTAGGAACCGGTAGGATTGTGTTCATCAACCGCGCGACTTACCGCCTCCAGCGCCGTTGGATTGCGTGCCGCCCGGGACCAAGCTGTCGGGAGGTGAGGCCGGGTAGCGCTGCATTTGCTGCTGGTAGGGCGGCAGCAGGGGCGGCGAGGGCGGGGGAGATGGCGAGGGCGGAGGGGACGGCGGAGGAGGGGACGGAGGCGGCGACGGGCCCGGGCTTGGTGGTGGAGGGTTGGGTGGAGGTGGGCTTGGTGGTGGTGGGTTGGGAGGGGGCGGGCTGGGGGGCGGAGGGCTAGGTGGAGGGGGGCTGGGAGGCGGTGGGTTGGGCGGCGGAGGGCTGGGAGGTGGCGGGTTGGGTGGAGGGGGGCTGGGTGATGGAGGGTTAGGGAAAGGGGAGGTGGGCGGCGGTGGTGGAGGTGTGGAGGGGCTAGGAGGCGGAGGGGACGGTGGCGGCAGGCTGGGCGGCGGCGAGGGGGGCTTGGGGGGTGGCGGAGATGGTGGTGGCTTAAGGCGAGCGGGGAAGGTGGGGTTGAATGGCGGCAGGGGCAGGAAGGGCGGCAGGGCTGGCGGCTCCAGGAATGGCGGCTCAGGGCTGGGCGGGGGCGGGCGCGGGCTTGGTGGCCGGGGCCGGGGAGGGCGGGGACTGGGCGGAGGGCGGGGACTGGGTGGCGGCTGCCTGGGTGTTAGGGGCTCGGGGCTTGGCGGCGGCGGCGGGCAGCACAGCTCCGGAACTGACAAGGCACCGTTGGCGGCACATGCGTAGAAGTTGATGTAATCGGTGGTGGCGGTGAGGACGGTGCCGCCACAGCCCACGCCTGCGACGGTTACGAAGACGCTCATCTGGGCTTGCAGCATGAGGAGCACGATCCTAGCCTCCGGCGGTGTGTTGAAACCGACGTAGGCGGTGTAGATAGGCGCGGAGCCTGTGTCGGCGCTGCACTTGTAGGTGGTTGGTACGACACCGATGGTCGTACGGCTGGTGGAGTAGATGAAGGTGCGGATGGCGTCGCATGAGGTTGTGGATACTTGGGCGGCGTGTACGGTGATGATGAACTGCTGTGCAGGGAGGGGAGGTGGAGGTGGGACGGAGGGTGGCGGAGGGGAAGGCTGCGGCGGGTGGGGTGAGGGTGGGGGTGGAGAAGGTGGCGGCGGGGATGGTGGGGGCGGTGAGGGTGGTGGGGGTGATGGCGGCGGGGGTGACGGAGGCGGGGGGTTGGGTGGTGGGGGTGAGGGTGGGGGTGGGGAAGGGGGTGGCGGAGATGGAGGTGGAGGGTTGGGCGGCGGAGGTGAGGGTGGTGGTGGCGCGGGCGGTGACGGCGGTTGCGGCGGCAAGTTGGGTGGCGAAGGTGAGGGTGGTGGTGGTGCGGGAGGTGACGGCGGTTGCGGCTCTGATGGGGGCTCCGAGGGGGGTGGTGCGTCGGGAGGTGGTGGCCGGGTGATGGCGGGTTTGGGAGGCTCTGCGGGGAGTAAATGGGTTTAGGGCAAATGGGAAAGGGTCACGGAAGGAGAGGGAAGGTTATGGCAACAAGACGACGACTACAAGACACGACAATGTGAGCGTTGCTCATTCCCAGGCGCCCGAGCTGCCGCTACCTTCGTGCATTGCAACGTCGCCATTGTCAGGAAACGTACCCGCGGGTGAAGGTGCAGGCAGCGATGGAGGATATGCCGGTGTGGGCGGGTATATTGGTGCCGATATTGGCACTTCCGAACCCGAGGGCACAGACGGGGGCTGCAATGCAGTCGGTATGACTAAGGCTGGCGGCGCTAGCAGCTCGGGTGAAGGCGGCTCCGGCGGAGGTAAGCTTGGGAGTGAGAACTCCGGAGAACCTGCCGATAGCAGGAAAGCGGCACTCAAGTAACGTAAAGCTAGGACGTGTGCAGTCGGGTATGAATAGGAACCCGACAGGATGGCAGAGGTTCAGGGCGCGACAGTGTCAAGGCAGCAGGATGTACCGGTAGTACACGACGCGAGGCGCGAGTGCAGGGGTGCACGCAGTGTCCCGGACTCTTCCTACCTGGTTGCGGAGTTGGGACAGCAGCTGAGAAGCTTGTGTCGGTGTCTGCAGCAGCCACCGCTGGTGCTGCTGTTGAGCACAGCACTACCAGCAGCAGGATAGCGGGCGCAGTGGTGCTCCGCCATAACGGCTTTAGCAGCGACGTGCCGCCGTCTTTGCTACGGCTTGAATGGGGAGCTGCCGAGCGGTGCCGTTGCAGGTGGTGGTGAGGCGATCTGGTTGTGGAGCAGGCTACATGTGAAGGAGATCCCGTCTCGGCAAAGCCGCTGTCGTGGCTGCAGGCTTGGCCGCTTGCAACGCCCATGCATGTGCTGGGCTTATACGATGGGCAGCATTGTGTTTGGCTGCCATTGCAGGGACCGCAGTTGGTTCTTCTGCAGCTGCACGTGCGTGTGTCGGAGTTGTCGTCCATGCATGTGGTAGATGCGCTTGCAGGATTCCGCAGTCGGTCGTGGATCGACCATGCAGCTTCACAGCGCGCATGAGCTGATTGAGCCATACTGCCGCTAAAACGTAGCGGGCGCGCTTGTTTGTCTTCTGGATGCCTTACAACTGATAGGGCGCTGATGTCCAGAGCAATGGCTGCGCATGGAAGGGAAACATGATTCGGTTATTAATGGTGACGGGCAAAAGAAAAAACATAGTTCACAGAGCAGGGCTAGCGGCTGGGCGCTAGCATTGAGCAGCAGCAGCTTGTTAGGAAATGGGCAAAGCGGACAGTATAGCCTTAGTACGCGCAAGCGTTAGAATCATGGGCAAATGTGCATAGATAATATACAAAGCGTTTCTAGGCGATTAAATCAAGCGGGTCGGTGTTCCCTGCTGCCATTGTCGCTGTGGGCCTGAAACTATCAACAAGTGGCTACTCCTCTGCTGGTGAGGAGTGACAAAACACACTACTATTAAACCCAGGTTGAAGCCTACCTGGGTCAGGCGAATTAGCTATGTTGTATAGCATGATAGCGAGCGTCCATCGTCAACGCGACTCCAACAAACGTAAGGGAGGGGGTGCACGTCCGTTGCCGAGTTCTATCACGTTCTAGAATATGTGTTCCTACCCAAGTGCGGCCTCTCCGGGTAGGGGGGAAAATGAACCTAATTGACGGCTTGCTCACGACCCCCTTGTGGGGGCTAGGCTGCCAGAGACTATATGCTACTCAGTAAAACCTATCTTGTGCTAGAAGGATGCGCGGTCACTGCTTCAAAGACGTTCGTCCTGTCAAGGTCAAAGCTCATTAAGCGGACTGACGCGCCCCAGTTAGGCAGCAAGTGTGTGTTTAAGTCCGGTAGTAAAAGTAAAATACTTTACCCATTAAGCTATGCCTGCTTCAATCTCCTACCTCGCGTCATCCGAGCTGTTGGCCGACAGCAGTTACAACGGCCTGGATCCGGGAACGGCACTTCCCCCTAGTTCAAGCTTTGGTAAACCTTTTAAAGATGTATTCTTCCGTGTTGCATACCTTTTAAACCGACTAGGACCAGTTCTTCAGTCAGTCAGCCTGACGGACTACGAGGTTCTCGATCTGTAGCTATACCGGATCTGGCCTGCATTTGCCTCTTAATAGAAGGCTTAGGAGCCCAGCTTTAAAAGGGGCTTTAGAAAGGGGCTTTTAATGTGTTTCTATGTTTACAGGAGTAAATCTTCCACGACTACACACGTTACGCTTAGTTGCAGTAGCTGCAAGCAAGCGTATCGTGCGTGCGGTTAGCATCACCATATGGCATGAAGTCGTTGCTTGCCGACCTTAAGTAAGTGCATGAATTTTTTGTTGTCACTTCATAACAGGGAGACATCTCGACCAATGTGCAAGCCTTACTGACTTCGCGTCGCACCGTGGCCAGATGCTTGCTTCTTTGTCGATATCCTGTAGGCAGTTGGGTTTTGTTTATTGATGTCGCTGTGAAGGAGCAGCATATGGCGCCCATTATAAGTATCTGTGCCGTCGGACCACACGTGCATGCCCATCCGGCATTGTGCAGCATAACCTCATATAGGAGGAAAATCATTACCTAGCTAAGTGTACGGAGTGTGCTGGACGTAGTCCCGCATGGCGGTGTTACAAGGATAGCGTAACGCCAATGGGCGCTAAACACAGCCTGCGCTAACGACCGTCCTTAGGCACGGGCTACACAGTGGGTAGCCCCGTGCGGACAGTCCTATTAACATACGGTGGAGTGACCCAGAGACAAGCCAGGATGCTGGGCAGCGCGAGCTGCCTGGAAGTCGGTTGAGTATTGCATCAGCTAATATCCTACGGCGTTGAGCTTGATGACCAACTTGTCACGAGCCGTCAACGGGTACGCATGCCACCCACGCACTTGTAACCTGTTTCAACAGCGCATCCTAAACCACCACAATCATCCCTGTTCTTGGATCCACCGGTTAGCCCAGCTAAGAGGAGGACCAATGCGAACAGCATCTCCCACACCGCTCGGCCACCCTTCTAACACTACACCTTCCCAGCCGCCACCCCCAAAAACGCTCTTCCATAGCCCCGAACCGACAGACATATCCGGGACATCCCAGACTGCCATGCACTTTCTTCCCCTTTAACCCTTCGCATTAACACTGACGAGCTAGCGATGCTAGGCAGTGAAACTCCAGTTGCTTCCGCATTCACCTGCGACCTCCGCACCCACGTAAGCCAGGCAAGCGCGTCGCACATACCTCCTGGCCATTGCAAAACGCGTACGCACAACGGAAGTCCCACACCCCCTTTGCAAGCAAACAAGGTTCCCCAACACGCATCACCGGGCGAGCATGACCTTGATGAAGGTGTCGTACATCACCTTGCCGCTCTTCTCCGGGTCCGCCTCCGCAATCATCTCGCTGATCTCCTCGGGGCTCAGCTTCTCACCCACGCTGGTCAGCACGTGGCGCAGCTCGCCGGTGGAGATGAAGCCCTGGCCCGCCTTGTCAAACACCTGGCAACCAGGGCAGCAGGGCAGGGGGGTTTCGTTAAAGCCATGCACGTCGAGTACCCAATCGCATAGGAAGGGAGCATTCAGTCGTCTATGCAAGGCAGTGTGTGGAAGGAGACGGGTGCATTAGTCAACCACATTTACGTCTGGTGTGGGTCCTTGGGTCGTTGTTAACCAATGGCGAGATAACGAAACATTGGAAAGGGGATGGGAGCAGCAAGCATGGAGAGGGAGTAGGCAGAGCTGTGGGGAAACAGGTTTGCGTTGTGGAAGGCATGTGTTGATGTTATGAGAGGTAGCCGAAAGAGGGGCTGCCCCCGAGGTAGTGTTCCCAACATGGCTAAGTATGGCCGGCTCTCGTCTACGTTGTGAAGCATGCAAATGACATGAGCCAAGACAGGGTGCGAGTGTGTAGCAGTGTAGTGTGGACACCGGAAATGGGAGGGTGATGCAGGGACATACGGCAACAGTGGCAAGTGCCGCTATCGCTCTAGAAGACATGGACAGGACTGGTTCTACCAACCAAAGCGCTTAGCGTGAGAGGTGACGGGAGACTGCTTAGCGAGCCGCCCAAAAAAGGTTAGCACAGCCCCTGAGGAGGGGCGTGGGGAAAGCGCGCGCACCTTCCACGCTGCCTTCAAGTCCTGCTCGTTATCATATTCCCGGATATCGCGGGACATGATTTTCTCGAACTCTTTGTAATCCACAACGCCACGGTTGTCCGGGTCTATGTCCTTCACGATGGCCTTGATTTCCGCCTCGGTTGGCGATTTGCCAAGGGCACGGAGCACTGTCCCAAGCTCTTTGGTTGTGATAAAGCCATCTCCATCGCTGTCAAAGCTGTGAAAGGAGGCATGGACCCGCCAAGAAGATAAGATTCAAACCTCGCAGGCGCCCCCCTAGCTCGTTTGCGCAAAACACTTACAGGGTAAAAGCCTCTTTGTACTCAGCATAGCGATCCTCAGCCATTGCTGCTATCAACCACGTGCGCGCTGGAAAGACAACTAGTCGCGATAAGGGCAGCTGAACGTCAACTGACGCTGTGTGCACAGTAGCGTATACTTGTTATTATATAAGTCTGAGCGCTGTAATCACTGTTGAATGAAAACCACGGTTGGCAGTTCTGCCGTTTTCCCTTCAAATGGTGCATGACACGACCCCACAAGACGGTCAAGACCCATGCGACCCATGAAGCCGGTACTTTCACATGTTGCCGACGCTCCATACTATAATCGATTTTGGGTAGGAGTTTCTAATATATTGTCCGGTAAACGCTTCCGTTGGCCCGATGCCGCCTTGCCGGAGCAGCGACACGTTCCAAAGCCCCGGCAGCGCGTAGGAGCTGCATGGCGAATAACTATTCGTTGGAGCTCCGAATTTGCTGCTAAATCCGGAGATGGCGGTTGGCGGCCGCCCTCGTGCCTGTCGACCGGCAAGTAATTGCGTCTGTACATGTCGCCGCGTGCCTGCAGCCAGCGTCTTGTCACCAACCATTCGGGGCATTAACTGTAAAGCAATTCGGCAATTACTTGCGCCATTGGCGCTGCCACGCGCTATGTCCAACTTGTGGCCATCCAGGCCGTTCTTGTGGTCCTCACAGCTGGTAAATCCACCCGGCCTTCCCGACCTTTCCTTGCCCGACGCCGCATTTCTCCCTTACAGGCATGTGGGTCCGCGGCACTATCCACCACCATAAGACCGTACCGCGGCCATGCAATCCTCATCCGCACATGCCGCATTTCCTGGCGGAGAGACGGCTGGGGCATCGGCTCGCTTGCCCCACATGCAGCAACCCGTACACCCTCAACGCAGGCCACGGCGCAGCCCGTGACTTTGCCGGTGACGCAGGGCCAGCAGCAGCAGCCACATCCACCTCCAAATCAAGTCCAAGGCCAAGCAAGCCAAATCCCCGGATCACAGCCTCAGCTCCCAGCACAACTTCAGCCCCATGTCCAGCCTCACTCGCAGCTGCAAGCGCCCACGCGTGCAGCTGATGGGACTCCGGGATCCTCTCCTGTCAGCATGGAGGAGCGCTTGAAACAAAGGCGCATGGCTGTTTACTCGGAGCAGGGCGCCAAGCGAGCAGCGTTGGCGGCATCGGAGGCGGGCCGACCAGCCTTGCCGCCGTCACCTGCGCCACCACCGACACCGGTAGCAGGTGGAGGCGGGGAAGCTATTACTGCTGATGCTGCTCCTGGTGCCACAGCCCAACCTTGGGCGATGAGTCCCCAAGCCCCGAGACCCATGGGTCAGTCGGCAAGCCAGCAAGCGGTTTGGGCAGCAACAACAACATCTTCACCTGCGCCCCCAGGGGCTCATGCCGTACTGCAAGATGTACGGCAGCCGCATGGCGTTACGGTACCTGCAGCGCAGCCCTCATTAGGGACGCAACAACCCCGTCCCTTGGATCAGCAGCAGCACCAGCAACTGAGCTACGGGCAACATGGGATGCAGCAAGTACGGCAGCAGCAGCAGCAGTGGCAGCCAACGCACTCGCAGCAACAACCGCAGCACCAACCTCAGGCTCTGCAATGGCAACAGCAGCCCTTGCAGTCACAGCAACAGCAGCAGCAGCAGCTTCAACCAGCGCAACTGCAGCAATACCCGAACCAACACTATCACCAACAGCAGCAGCCGTACCCGTACTTGCACCAACAGCCAAGCAATAACTTCCAACAGCAGCTGCACTACCAGCAACAACAACAGCAACCACAGCAGCAACAGCCGCTGTACACGCAGCAGCCTGCATCGCCCTCATCGTCACCCCCACCATCACCACCACGCACCGCACCCCAGCCACAGCCGCTTCCCTCACAACTGCGGCCCCAAGGTCCCATGGCAGCTGCAGCAGCAGCGCCCTCCCACGCCCCTCCAGTGGCGGCTGCAGCCACATATCAGCATCAGGTAGCGGGAAGAGCCCCGGTGGCTGCGGCTTTGCCTCCAACAGTGGCCCCACCGCCGCCGCAGCAGCAGTCGCAGCAGCAGCAGCAGCAGTGCTCGCTACCGCAGCAGCAGCCGTTTCCACAACCTCAGTCTCCTCCGCGACCCCACTTGGCGCCTGCAACACCCTCCTCCCCAGCAGTTGCCCCGTCAGCCATGCAGCAGGGGTCACCTTCCTTCCGGCCGCCTGTGACCTCCAGCCAACCTGTCGCCTCCATCGCCACCGCATCGCCATCGCCGCCCTCATTACCAGCAGCCCCAGCAGTACAAGCAGCACCAGCAGCAGCATACGCTGCGCAACCTGCCAGGGGGCCACAACCACTGCCGCCATCACAGTTACCTCCCTCGCGGACTCCATCCCAGCAGCCTGCTGCATGGGGAGGACCGCCCGCACCGCATGCCTCAACCTCACCCGCACCTCGCGTTTCTTCGCCGGCGGGGGGCCCAGTACGGCCACCAACCCCCCAGCAGCAACAGCAGCCGCCACCGCAGCCACAGCAGCCGCAACAGCACCTCAGGCAGCCCTCCTCGTCATCGATACCATCTGCAAAAACGGCACCGGCAGCCGCAGCGCCATCAGCGCAGAAACCCCTGCAGCAGCAGCAGCAACAGCAGCAGCTCCCGGACCTCCTGCCGGGTCTGCAGCTGCCAACATCAACATCACCAGCAAAGAAACCGCAACAACAGCCGCCGCCGCAGCAGCAGTTGGGACTCCCTAATCTCCTCCCAGGTTTGCAGTTGCCGCAAACGCGTGGCAAGAGCTCCTCCTCCTCGTCCTCTTCCTCATCTGTCGCGTCTCCTCGATCGTTGAAAGAGCCCACGGTTACGGCTAGCAGCACACGATCGACCCGTGGGTCATTTAGCGGGCAGGAGGCAGCAGCTGGCAGTGGCGGAGGTGGAGGCGCCGGAGGAGGGATACTCGTGAGCAGCAACCGCCGGGCCCGGGCGGAGTTTGCGGATCCGACGACATTGACGTCACGGTCCCAACAGCCAGGGTCAACAGTCGGCGGCCGCGGCGACGACGACGGCGGCGGCAGCGGGACGGCAAGCGCGACGGAGGTACGAACGCCGCCGCAGTTGCCGCCGCCGCCGGCGGCGGCGACAGCAGCCACGACGGCGCCTCGGCCGTTACTTGACCTGAACCCCAACATGGTTGCCGGGCCGTTGGGACTCGGGCAGCAGGTGACAGCGGCAACCACGGCGGCACGGCGGCGGATGGCTGCGGCCGCAGCGCCAATGGCGCCGTCGTCGTCGGGTTATAACGGCGGCGGCGCGGAGGAAGGGGCGTCAGAAACACCCCTGGCGACGGCAGCAGCCTCCTCGTCCTCCTCTTCACTCGCGCCGACAGCAGCAGCAAGCACAGCAGCAGCCTCCATGACGACAACCCAGTCCAGTCCCGACGGAGGACCCACGGAGGAGGGAGCCGCAGAGGTCACGGAGGGTCCTACCGCACCGGCGGCGGGGACAGTAGCGGCGGTTGCAGCAGCTGCTGCAGCAGCAGCCGCTGCAGCCGCTGCCGCGGCAGCAGCCAAGAAAGAGAAGAAGCCCGCTAGGCAGGCAGCGCCTTGGCTGACGTCGTTCAAGCAGGCCGGCGGCGGCGCAGCGGTGACGCCAGCGGCTGCTGCCGCCACGCCAGCGGCGGCGGCGCCGGCGGTGGATGCCGGGGTGGTGGCGGCGGCGATGATTCGCGCGGCGGCGGAGCGACCTGCCAGGGAGCTGGCGGCGACGGTGACAGGTGGGAGTCACAGGGAGTTGGATGGTACGGCGGTGGTTCGGGTGCAACCACGTAGATGAGGGCCGGGCGGGCGATATCGGTAGAGACGAGTCCTACCATCTTTTCTTCACGACCTTTACCTTTACCTTGCCTAACGCCACCACACATCCTGCATGCAGACCTCCCTGCGCCCATTCCCGAGTTGCAAGCTCGACTGGAGGCAGCCGTACAAGCGGAGCATGAAAGCGAGCTGCGGGCATTACGAGCGTTATACGCGCACGGCAGTTTGCGGCGGTTGCAACGCGAGGGAGTGGTGTTGGTGGGCCTTACGGCGGCGCCGTCAGGACGGTTGTACCGCTCCTTCCTCTGGCATTTCCTGGTCATGCAACAACAGCAGCAGCCACAGCACAGAAATTCGAAACAGGCGTTACCACAACAGCAGCAACAGCAGTTGCCGTACCATAAGTTCCGACCTGGTGCGAGCGTCATCATCACGCGGCATGTGGCGGAGGGGGCTTCAACAACTGCTGCTGCTGCTGCTGCAGCTAGCAAAAACGGCAGCAGCAGTACCAACAAGGGCAACAGCGGCAACAGCAGCAACAAGGGTGTCATTCGAGCTAGCAGTAGCAGCGGGGGCGGAAGCGGACAGTTCGAGGAGGTGGACGCGGGGGTGGATGAGGAGACTGGGCTGCCGGTGGATGGCGTGGAGGGGGTGATTCTGGAGGTGGGTGGGGGGGTGGCGTCGTACGGCAAATGCACTGTACTGCTCTACAGACGAACTCATTCAGTCTCTTCGCCCCTGCGCGCGCTTGTGCTATATTCCATGACATCAGCATTCAATTGCCCAGTAATGGCTTGACACGCGGGGACCGCTATAGCATCTCCTATTGCCTCCGGTGTTCCCTTGACGTGCTTTTTGCTCACCTCCATACTCTGGTCTTTGTTTATCGGTCTTTGGATGTTTACACCACTCTTTCACACATACGCCCATTTGCACCCGCACCCGCGTCCGCAGGTCCACAAGGACCACCTGGTGGTGGCGCTGGAGGGCCGAGCCAACGAAACATTCCAGGTGCCGGTACCATACTGCATGTGTAGGCGGTGTGTTGTCCTAGGAAACCGACCGGTAGTTAGTGTGTATTAAGAAAACTAGCCGCGATTGGCGAGTCGGTGTGTATGTTGGGTCTGGATCTGGGTTGGGGGGACTGCCGAGGGCGAAAAGGGGGGCGGTGGGGGGCTGGGTTAGTGCTTCGCCGGAATGGCTGCAACCATGTCGGTTAGTGCTCCGCCGTGTGTTGTGTGCACTGCAGGATATGGTTGCTGCGGCAGAGGAGGTGGCAGCGGGGGGGATCAAGAGACCCAACAAGGCCGCCTCCTCCTTCCTGGGGTGGCGTCTGGACCAGTCGGTCCGCGACACCACCACTCGGCGGCACCGGGAGGCGGTGCGGCGGCTGGGCACGTGGGTGGAGCCGGAGGGTGAGAGGGTGGTGGTGGGGGGGAGGGGTGCTAGGTGGCTCTCCCTTGGTTTGGGCCTAGGGGAACTTTGCCTATACCGTATCCCTTGCAAGCAGCTATTCCACACACTCCTACCAGCCTGCCCTACTGCATGCGTGCCTGTTCTTAACTGGACATAGGCTTTACATAGCGGCTTCCCGGAACATCGCACCGTCATCCTCCCTTTCCCCCCTTCCCCTGCCTCTCAGGTGAGGGACGTGTGGGCGAGGCGCGGGTTCGTGCCATCCTGGCGGGGTCCAGATCCGCTGCCGTACTGGCCTCCGAGCCGCCCGAGTGGGTGAGGGAGGTGAGTGCCTGGGGGTGGGGTGGGGCATTAACGCATTATGGGACCAGTGTGAACCTTCCTCCCCAACCCGTCCAGGTCCCCAGTGACTTCCTTCCGCCGCCGGCAAGCTCATTGGGTTATTGGGGGTGCGTTGCATGGCGCCTGCCATCCGCACCCACCCCACCCCACCCGCTTCCTCCACCACCGCCCCACCTCCCTCTCCTCCCCCCTTCCTATCCCTGCCGCCTCACCCCCCGATGATTTTATTGTTGTTTTCATCTGGTTTACCCTAATTCCCCCCCCCCTTCCTTCCTAGGCTCGCTGGCGTGAGGCCGCTCGCGCCGCCCTAGCCCGGCAGGAGGGGCTGAACGCCTCGCAGCGGCGGGCGGTGGCGGCGGCCCTCACGCGCTCGCTCACGCTGTGGCAGGGGCCGCCGGGAACCGGGAAGACACGAACCCTGCTGGCGCTGGTGGAGGTAAGTGGAGGGGAGAGGGGAGGGGGGGGCAGGGGAGGGGAGAGAGGAGGGCAGACAGGGGAGGAAGGTTGGAAGAGGGTATTCGCAGCATGGCGTGTTGGGAGAGGCAGGGAGGGGAGAGGCGCAACCAGGTTGCATGCCATGCCCTGCTGCTAAAGTCTCGTTACGCTGATGAGTCTCCCTCCTTTCTCCGCCTCCGCTTCCCTTCCCTCACAGATCCTAGTTCGCGTCCGTACAGGCCGCGACTCCCCCTCCCCCTCCTCCTCCTCCTCCTCCTCCTCCTCCTCCTCCTCCTCCTCCTCCTCCTCCTCCTCCAAGCCCGCCTCCTCCTCCTCCTCCCGGCTGCTTCCCCCCTGGCACGCCGCCATGGGTCCGCTGCTGGCGGTGGCGGACACCAACGCAGCGGTGGACAACCTGGTGGAGGGGCTGGCGGGCAGGGGGGTGCGGGTGGTGAGGCTGGGGCCGGCGGCAAAGGTGGGTGCAGGGAGGGTGGGAGGGTGGATGGGGGCAGTAGGGGGAGGTAGAGAGGTGGGGTCTCTCACTGCTACGGCGGGTGAGGAGACAGCGATAAGGGGTGTTCTTTGGTGGGGGGTGCGGCTTTGGGGGTTAGTTCTGATTGGGGCTTTGTCATCATCTCCCGTTATCGCAGCCCAGCATCGGTACCCCCCATCTGGGACAGCCCTTTTCGGACATCTCCACCACAGTCCCTCACCTTGGCTTCTCCCGCTCCCCTCGCCCCCCCCCCCGCCCGCCTACCATCCAACCTGCCGCACACCTGTCACATCACACACCCCGCCCCCACACCCTGCCCCGTGTGTCCTTCCCCCACCCCCACCCCACCTCCCAGGCTCGCGAGTCGCTGCGCCCCCTGAGCCTGGAGGCGCAGGCGGAGGCCAGTGCGGCGGGCAGGCGGGCGGCGGAGCTGCGAGCCGCAGCACTCAGCAGGCAGATGCAGGTGGGGGGGGAGGGGGAGGAGGAAAGCTGACGAACTGCGTGATGAATGTATGACAACTGTATGCAGGTGTGGGGGGGGAGGGTTCAGGGAAGGGCGGGAGGGGATGGGGAAAGAGTGGTATCGGGAAGGCGGAGGAGGAGGAGGAGGAGGGATTTGAGGCGTCCCACCTGTCGCCCTGTCGTCCATAGCCCATCCCTTATCCACTTACCGGTATGACACCCCCCTTCCCTCCCCCTCGCCCATGCACCTCCCCCCCTACCATGCACCCCCCTCCCAGCTCTCCTCCCGCTCCTCCTCCTCCTCTGCTGCCGCGGCGGTTGAGGCGGCGGAGGTGCGTCAGGACCTGGAGAGCGCGGAGGCGGGCCTGCGGGAGGCGGCGGCGGCGGTGGTGGCCAGCGCGGAGGTGGTGGTGGCCACGTGTACGGCAGCGGGGGACAGCTTGCTGGATGGCAGGTGGGTGGGGGGGTGGGGGGGTGGGGGGGTGGGGGGGTGGGGGGGTGGGGGGGTGGGGGGGTGGGTGGCGGTACGGTACGGTTTCGGTTGTTGCGCTCATTTCATGGGTCGGGACGTGGGGTTGTGCTTCCGTCTTCTTAACTAATTATTCCCTCCCCCCCTCCCGTGGCTCGGCTAACTCGGTTCCATTCAGCAGGAGCTCGTTGGCTTGTTTGCCAGCCCCATTCAACACATTGGGTACCCTTCTTTCCCCCCTCCCCCCTCGTCATGATGATGCCTTATCACACGGTCAGTTAGTTGTTTCCTCTTTACTCCCCGCCCCCTCAGGCCCTGGCGCTGTGTGGTGGTGGACGAGGCCAGCCAGGCCACCGCGCCCTCCCTGCTGGTGGCGCTGACCCGCGGGTCGGCCTTCGCGGTCCTGGCGGGCGACCCGCGGCAGCTGCCGCCCACCGTGCTGTCGGAGGAGGCGCTGGGGCTGGGTCTGGACGTGACGCTGTTCGAGAGGGTGGCGGGGGGAGTGGGAGGTGAGGGGGGGGTGGGAGGTGAGGGGGGAGTGGGAGGTGAGGGGGGGGTGGGAGGTGAGGGGGTGGGTGGGACGTGAGGGGGGGGTGGGAGGTGAGGGGGGGGGGGTGGGAGGTGAGGGGGGGTGGGAGGTGAGGGGAGGGTGGGAGGTGAGGGGGTGGGTGGGAGGTGAGGGGGTGGGTGGGAGGTGAGGGGTGGGTGGGAGGTGAGGGGGGGGGTGGGAGGTGAGGGGTGGGTGGGAGGTGAGGGGGGGGGTGGGAGGTGAGGGGGGGGGTGGGAGGTGAGGGGTGGGTGGGAGGTGAGGGATCACACATGATGAGGAGGAGGGAGTGAGAACTTGGCCCTTCATAGGAGGTCCTGGAACTCTGACATTCTTCAAGCCTGGCATCCTCCCACCTCGACACACCACGATACCCAACAAACCCCAACTCGCCCCCCCTCCCCCCCCCTCCTCCTCTCCCCCCCTCCTCAGGCGTGTTGCCGCTGCTGCTGGACACACAATATCGCATGCATCCCGCCATCTCCGCCTTCCCCTCCGCCTTCTTCTACGGCGGGCGGCTGAAGGACGGAGTGGGGGAGGCGGACAAGCCCGTGCCCAAGGTATGGCGGGAGGGGAGGGGAGGGGGAGCCGCGTGAGGAGGGGGGCCGGCGGGTGATGCTGTTGCTGTTGTCGCTGGTCCTGCTGTGGTAGTGGTGGTAGTGCTGGTTGGTGGTGGGTGGTTTTCTTACCATACCTCTTTGGGTTTACTCTGTCCCCACATTCACCCCCCCACTCCCCGCCCCCAGGGCTTCCCCTGGCCTCACCCCGCCAAGCCCCTCGCGCTACTGCACGTCACGGGAGGCCGTGAGGAGACCGCGGGAGGGCTCGCGGAGCCGCCCGCCGCCGCCTCCTCCACCTCCACCTCCTCTTCTTCCACATCCACATCCCCTGTAGCGTCATCAAGTGGTGTTGGTTCCGGCAGCGGTGCAGGTGCGGCAGCAGGGGGCAGCAGCGGTGCGGGGGGCAGCAGTGGAGGCGAGCGGTCCTCCTACCGCAACCCCGCTGAGGCGCTGTTGGCGCTGGCGGTGATCCAGCAGCTGCTGGCGGCAGGTGGGTGGTGGGTGGGTGGGTGGGTTGGGATTTGAGCACTTGGAGTGGGAGGGAGTAGGGCTTTAGGAGGGGACTGTCCCCTTTACACCGTATGCTTGCGTCTTACTGGTATCACGTATCAGTGCAACATGCGCCCTACCCTGCCCACCACCTCCTAACTCCCTTTCGCCGCACATGCACCTCACCTACCCACACACACACGCCCCAGCCCCGCCCCTCCAAGCCCCAACCACCACCCTCACCTCCGCCCCCCCCACCAGGTGACGTCAGCAGTGCCGCCATCCTGACTCCCTACCGCGGCCAGGTGAGTCGCAGTCGGCAGCACTCCCTCTGGCCTGCATGCGGGAGGGGGGGAGCATCTGAGCTGGGAGGGCTGACAAAGCCATGACCGCACCGCTCAGGACGTTGTGAGCTGAGCGGACACTGCTGCGTGTTGCGTGCGAGCCCCTCTGGCTGCTTTTGCATGCGCTGTGCTGTGCTGTGCACGACTCCTCATCACACAACACGTGGTTCCTTCGGTCCGGTGGTCCCAACTGGCTGTGATAGTGACATTAGCGTCGCCCCTGCCTCCCTCCCTCCCTCCACCCCCCACCCCCCCAATCAGGTTCGGCTGGTCGAGGCGCTCGCCCGGCAGCGGGGCCTGGATGCGGTGTGGTCCCGGTCCGGTGCGGAGGTGGCGGTGAGCACTGTGGACGGCTACCAGGGGCGGGAGGCGGACGTGGTGGTGTTCTCGGCGGTCAGGTAGGGGCGGGGAGGGAGGCAGGGGAGAGGGAGGGCCGGGAAGGCAGGGGAGGGGAGAGGGAAGATGGGGCAGAAGGGCAGGAAGGGGGAGGATGATGTCGTACTGGGGGGCATTCGGGAGAAAGGGCTGAAAGGAGAGCAGGAGCCGCCCCCGCATGCAGGGACACAGCCCGATGCAGGGACACAGCTGCCTTCTTCCTCGCCCTTCCTCATGCTCCTCCTCACCTGCTCCTAACCCTCCCTCAGGTCCAACCCCCGAGGTGCCGTGGGGTTCCTGTCCGACCCCCGCCGCATGAACGTGGCCATCACCCGGCCTCGGAGGGGGCTGGTGGTGCTGGGGGACACGGACACGCTGACCCGTGGGTCACGGGACTGGGCCACCTACGTCAAGTGGGCCAGGTCGCAGGTAGGTGGGGGACGGGCTGTCGGCGGCTGCCTGCGGTCTACTGGGTTACCGGTATGTGCTGTTGCACTTGTGGAACTTGTGGAATAATGGAATTCTGGTTGCAGAGGCCTCTGCACGTCTACAGGGAATCCCGTGCAGGAGAACCCTCGGTTCCAAGTGGGCGCGTGTGGGCGTGCGAAGAGGGAGCATGCCGGCATGCATGCAGTTCCCTCGTTCCTGATGCACGCATGTCTGCCAGGACTGCAAAAGGCACCCAAAGCCACCGGCCCCCCTCTCACACCACCACCAACTCTTGTTCCTGTCTCCGCTGCTGCTGCTGCTGCTCCTTTCATTGCAGGGACTGGTAGCGGCCGATCAGGATGTGATTGATGTGGAGGCGGCGCTCGCATGCAGCCTACCGCCCGCTGCTGGGGCGGGAAACGAGGACAGCAACAGCGGTGGTGGCAGCGGGAGGGCTGGAAATCGTGTCAGCAGCAACGGCGGAAATGGTAAAGTGGTCGGTACCGGTAGTGTCAAATTAGCGAAGAGCGAGGACAGCAGGAATGGGAGCAAGGGCAGCGCCGGGAATGTGCCAGCGGCGGCTGTAGCCGCTGCGGTGTTGGCCATAGACACTTCAGAACTGGAAGAAGAGGAGGTTTGGGAGGAAGGAAAGGATAACACGGGCGACGGTGAAAGGATAACACGGCCAAAGGGTGGAAAGTTAGTGCGAGTGCGTGCGGTGCAGAGACGTGCGGTGCAGCAGCAGCAGCGGGAGCAGCCCGAGGAACAGGACGGGCAGGAGCAAGGCGAGCCGCGCGTGTTGAAGGTGAAGAGGCGGTTGAAAGGCGGCCGAATGGCTGCCGGTTTCACATGAGGTGAACTATCTAAAACGTTTCTCATAATCGCGGGTACGGCAGTTGGTTATGCAGAAGCTGTTGTTAATGATGAGTGTGATGAGGCATGGGGCATTCGGACTTCCGTACAACGCGCGGCCATGCATGTGTTGTCCCGTGCTTTTCGATACTTCTTGTAGTACGGTATGGTTCTGCGGAATTGTGAGGAAATGCAGTATTATGACATGCTATTAATGCCGTACTAAGCACACTGCTGTACGGCTGGTAATGGGTAAGGGGGTTTGCAGGAATTAGGCAGGAGGGTGTTCCTCGGCATTTATGTACGCAGGATGGTGATCCCATTTGAATGAATAGAATTGCTTACCGCTACACGTGCCCAAAACTCTAATTGTAATAACGAAGGGATCCGCACGGTTGACAGCAGTTAGTCGATAAGGAAGTTCGAGGGCGGAAGGGATACAGGATCTGGGGTCCCATAAGTAGTATAAGGACGGGCGGGCTGCAACTGGCCCACGGCCACGCTTTGGAAGCGAGGGAACAGCCATCGTGGTTACCTCGGCCGATTTCAGGAATGTTTTATCCGAAACCAGCCAACCCGAAGCTACGTTGCGTAATTGTTAAGCACTCTTAATCCACAGTTTCCAAAACATTGCGGCAATGAGTGAAGCCGTAAAGGTCTTGCGGTCGTTGGCTCGTTGCGGAAGACTTTGGAAAGAGCTATGTAGAAGGCTTTCATGGTTCTCGGAGTAATGGATTAGAAATGTTTGCAAGGTAGCACCATGTGCGCATACATGTAAGGGGGGATGGGGGTATGGGGGAAGGGGCACCAGCCCCTTCCCCCACCAAGGTGCATACGGTGCCAAGGGAGGCAAGAGCTCCACAGACGGCTGTGACACTCCACGCTAGTTGTCACAAGTTGTGCATACGCTGCATGGCCGCGCGTTGTACGGAAGTCCGTATGCCCCATGCCTCATCACAATCATCATTAACAACAGCTTCTGCATAACCAACTGCCGTACCCGCGATTATGAGAAACGTTTTAGATAGTTCACCTCATGTGAAACCGGCAGCCATTCGGCCGCCTTTCAACCGCCTCTTCACTTTCAACACGCGCGGCTCGCCTTGCTCCTGCCCGTCCTGTTCCTCGGGCTGCTCCCGCTGCTGCTGTTGTACCGCACGCCTCTGCACCGCACACAGTCGCACCAACCTTCCACCCTTCGCACCGTCGTCCGCGTTATCCTTTCCTTCCTCCCAAACCTCCTCTTCCTCCAGATCTGAACTGTCTAGGGCCGACGCTGCAGCGGCTGCAGCCGCAGCTGCCACATTCCCGGCGCTGCCCTTGCTCCCATTCCTGCTGTCCTCGCTCTTCGCTAATTTGATACTACCGGTACCGACCACTTTACCATTTCCGCCGTTGCTGCTGACACGATTTCCAGCCCCCCCGCTGCCGCTACCGCTGTTGCTATCCTCGTTTCCCTCCCCAGCAGCGGGCGGTAGGCTGCATGCGAGCGCCGCCTCCGCATCAATCACGTCCTGATCGGTCGCTACCAGCCCCTGCAATGAAAAAAGCAGCAGTAGCAGTAGCAGCGGAGACAGGAACAAGAGTTGGTGGTGGTGTGAAGAGGGGCCGGTAGTTTTGGGCGCCCACATGGAACCGAGGGTGCTTCTCCATGGGATTCCCTGTAGACGTGCAGAGGCCTCTGCAACCAAAAGTCCACTCCAGAGAGTGAGGGGAGGGAAGAGGAGGGGACGCCCGCGCCCCCTTAGCTTACTGTCTGCTGCTGCTGCGAATGCTAGTGCTGCATTGGTGTCCTTGCGGGGTACGGACGCTGCCGCAGTCGCCGGCGGCAGCGGCAACGGCAGCGTCTCGGCCGTTACTGGACTTGAACCCCAACATGGTTGCCGGGCCGTTGGGACTGGGGCAGCAGGTGACAGCGGCCACCTCGGCGGCACGGCGGCGGATGGCTGCGGCCGCAGCGCCAATGGCGCCGTCGTCGTCGGGCTATAACGGGGGTCGGCGCGGAGCGAGGGGCATCCTCTTCCCTCGTTCCGATGGCATACGGGGGATACGGCACAACGACGACCCAGTCCAGTCCCGACGGAGGACCGACGGGGGAGGGAGCCGTAGAGGGGACGGAGGGTGCTACCGCACCGGCGGCGGGAACAGTGACGGCGGTTGCGGCAGCTGCTAAGAAGGAGAAGAAGCCCGCTAGGCAGGCGGCGCTGTGGCTGACGTCGTTCAAGCAGGCCGGCGGAGGCGCAGCGGTGACGTTAAAATAATTTGGGTTTTTTTGCATGATACTGGTGCCGCCTCGTCAGCGGCGCCGGCGGTGGATGCCGGATGGTGGCGGCGGTGGCGGTGATTCGCGCGGCGGCGGAGCGACCTGCCAGGAAGCTGGCGGCGACGGTGACAGGTGGGAGCCAGGGAGGTGGTTGGCACGGCTGCGGCGGCTAGGGTGTAGTTATGATCTTGTGTAGATGAGGGCCGGGCGGGCGATAGACGCGTCCTACAATTTTAGTTTTCTCCACAACCTTACCTTGTCTAACGCCACCACACACCGTGCATGCAGACCTCCCCGCGCCCATTCCCGAGTTGCAATCTCGGCTAGAGGCAGCCGTACAAGCGGAGCATGACAGCGAGCTGCGGGCGTTGCGAGCGTTATACTCGCACGGCAACCCCACCCTTCCAATCCCCAACCACCCTCCCCTCCACCCCCTCCACCAGGTGACGTCAGCAGTGCCGCCATCCTGACTCCCTACCGCGGCCAGGTGGGGAGGGTAGAGGAAAGGAAGGGGGGGGTGCTGTACTAGGAGGTGAGGAGTGGTGCTTATTGTTATTTTTGTTAAGTGCCCGTCATAGGTCTGGGTCACGGGACTGGGCCACCTACGTCAAGTGGGCTAGGTCGCAGGTAGGTGGGGGACGGGCTGTTGGCTGATGTCCGCTTTATGCTGTGTTGTTGTACTTGTGGAGTGACTTGCATGGGTGCGACAGGAGTTACGGTATTCCTGATGCTTTTAGGATGGGAGGAGGCATTGGGTCGCCACTTGTAGTTAAGTGTAGCGAGAGGAGGGTTGGGGAGTGGTGGAAAGCAGGTAGTTGTGTCGGACTGATTCCACCTTGTGTCTTTGGCCGTTTATGTGCAGTATGGGGGCTCTTTAACGGCATTGCGGTTGGAGCGAGGGTTGGGCCTAAGGAATCCCGCAAAAACGAAGAGACGTCAACGTTTGTGTGATCCCACAACGGTTGAACCCTTACTGTGAATAAGTATGGGTTTGGTCCCGCACCCTCCCTGGCCAATTAGTACCGGTATGCCAGGGTATGCAGGTGCAAAGGTGATACGCCATTGTCGTACTAGCATATTGTAGTGATAGGATGGAACGATATGACGCGCCTAAACTGGAAAGGACAGTGTATATACCGTTCTTGTGCTGCCGGGTTGCCGTTGGCTGCTTAGGAAGCGGGTGCGATGGTGCTTATTAAGGTGGTCAGAGGGACAGACACTACAATGTGCAACGAAGGGCGTTATGAGCAGGTCTGAGGGACGAGTGTTGTCTGGAAAGCTTGTGTAGCTTTGCCAAGTGGTATGGAGCTTGTGTGGAGGGGCTCGACTGGAAATGCAGTCACAGTTGAAGTCTGTACGTGCGCTCAATGTTCCCGTACGAGCCAGGAGGTCAAAAACATCAGTACCGATTCAGAAACGCAGCAAGTAAGTTCCGACCATGGCCCCTCACGTGCTGCCGCTTACCACCTCCTCCTTCCCCCGCATCATTCGGTCTATCCGCAACGTCCCTTCAAGCAACAGCCCTAACACCACCACCTGCCATGCGCCGTAACATAACGTAATGGAGTAGTAAAAGTTGCTGTTTGCGCTCTCGTACGACAACCACATGCGCTGCATGGCGGGTCCCAGTACGGCAAGCAACAGCAAACTGGCTGGAAGCAGTAGCAACCGCTCTTGTACGGCAGGCAGGGCGAGCTGTTGTCGTACAAGTAGTGGTAGCAGGGAGAGGAAGAGCCCCAGATCAGCCACGGAGGGGTAGGGTTTGAGGAGGGAGATGCAGAGGAGTTGGATGAGGAAGAGGGCGAGGGGGCGGCGAGGGCCGAGGCGGAAGGCCAGGGGCGCGGCTGGCGCCAGGAGGAGGGAGAGGGCGAGGAGGATGACGTAGGGCTGGAGCGTGTGTGTAGGTGGGTTTGGTGTGATGGTGTTGTTGTCGTACACCGGGTGCACCGTTTGTCGTACATGCGGACATCAGGGGACGTTGGGGAGGGGAAGGGCCAAGGGAGAGCACCGTAAGGGCGGTTTCAGGAAAGGATGGGGTAGATGTTAACGGGTGTCTACCGTACTGTGTCTTTCCTTGAGAAACAGGCAGACAGACGGACCGGGGTGCCAGGCAGGCGTCAGCGCATCACAACCCCAGAGCCTTACTTCCGGTACCGGGGCACCTGCTGACAACCACTGCTGCCTTATTGAATAACCGTCCAATTATCGTTAGCTGCAGTTAACTGCCGTATACCGTACCTTGGTATCCTCGAAGCCCTCCATCGCCAGGTACCACCACTGCCCCACATTGGGCGTCGCGTCGTCGTACGACACCTGACTGCCGTACACCCGAGGGATCCAGCATGTGGCCAATGCGGATGACGACAGCAGCGACGACCCATGGGTCATGGAGGCCATTGCATCCTCGTTTGGGGTTGCTGCTGCGGCTGGTGGTACCCAAGCCCAAGCCCAAACGCTGCCATAGAGTCTTCGCAACAGCGAGGTCGACGGCCAGTACTGCCATTGCGGCCTTCTGGCGGCGAGGAGGGTCAACGCTTGCGCGGCAGCGGGGAGGCAGGGCCCGCCGCTGCTGTCACCACCACCGCCACCGCCGCCGACAGCAGCAGCAGTCGCAGTCGCACTGGCGGGCGCCGCTACCTCAGACAAATGCGGTGGGGATAGAGGTGGCCAGGGCATGAACGGGGTTAGGTAGAGGTCCGATAGCAGCACCAGCAGTAGCAGCCAGGCGGCTAGCACTGCCGTACAACGTGCCAGGGTACGCCAGGGCAGTAGGTGCTGCCGCGAATACGGAGATGAGGCTGGAGAAGGTGACGGCAGCTGCGAGGAAGGAACGGCAGCAGGCGTCTCCGCCGCTTGTGGCCCCTGCTGGTCAACCCCATGACCTTCTTTCTCCTCCAACACCCGCACCTCCCGATCCGCCCGCTCAACGTTTCCTTCTCTCTCCGCCTTGCATTCCTCTCTGTCTTCCTGCCCAGAGCCGCCCGTTGCGGATAGTGACGGCGGCTGCTGCTGTTGCCGCGGTTGCGACCGTTGCGGTTGCGGTTGAGGCGTCTGGCGGTTGGTCAGCAGCTGTGCCAGCGGAGCGGCCACGTCCTCAGCCCCGTACGACAGCAAGCAGGCCACGGGGAGCTGGGCGGGGGGAGGCGGAGGCGGAGGGAGGCAGAGGCGGAGGCGGAAGGGAGGGAAAAGGCCAGGGGTAAGGTGCATTCCTTCCCAAGGACGGGTTTTGCTGCGATTGGCGCCATTGGTCCTTTGGGATTTCCCGTTGCACCGCTGCCCTAGTGGTGTATCCATATACCATTATGCGGCGCGTCTGTCTAACAGAGTCAGCGAACCCAAGTTCCTTGCCCTCAACGCGCCCTGCACCGACCCATGGGACATGCACCCACCAGCAGTACGACATTGTGCAGGGAGCAGTACACCGCCACCGCGAGACCTAGCAGCGCCGCCACCACTGGTGCTGTACGGCTGCTGTCTCCCTGCCGGTGGTATTGTACGATAGCTGAGCTACCGGTACCTCCTGCTGCTGCTGTCGTACGGGTGCCGTTATTAGTAATGCTGCTGTCATTAGCAGTAGCACTGCCGTACAACGCCGCCACCACTGCCAGGGACTCCAGGGAGGAGGTGGTGCCGGCGGTTGCAGTGGCTAGAGATAGCGGGTTGAGGAGGTAGGTCCAGGCGAGGAGAGCCGGCAGTGGAGATGAAGGACCGGAGGGAGGTGTGGAAGCAGGGCTGGAGGCGGGGCTGTGGGCTGCGGGTGCGGGTGCGTGGCAGCAGCCGTGTTAGGTCGGGTCGAGGAGGAAGGTGCGTTAGGAGTCTTGGAGGCTAGAAAAGTGGCGTAAGCGCGTGTGCGGAGGGGCATCACAAGAGCCTTGCGGATGCCATATGCTGCTATGACAAGGACCGTCAGGAAGTTCTTTTACCTTGAGACGCACGGGCCGAGGACAGCAGCTGCGAGGCTAGGCGATATAGCAGGACTGCCGCCAGGATGTCCAGGATGGTGTTTGTAAGCACGTACAAGATGTCATGGTCAGCCAGCGGGCCGTACAGCCATAATGCAAGGGGCGGAATGCGACAGGAAGACCCGCTGTAAGGCGAGACGCCCAAACGGTATAGCGCCAAGCCTTCGCGAAGCTCTAAGTTGCTGTTAGGTGCGGTTGAGACCTCAATGCGCCACGCCAGCCATCGCCCCAGCCCGCTCCAAGCAACTAGCAGTCGTGCAGCTGCACCAAAGATTATGGCGAACAACATAGGGGCGATGCGTTGCCGATCGTCTACCTGCCTACGCAACCGACATAGCGGGTATTATGGGCTGCTTGCCAGTAAACTGTAGTGTATGGTGATCTATTGATACGTCGAACAATTAACGACGATAAAAAGTCGGAGATAACTGCCAAAGCTTTGCGGTACGGGTCGCGGATCTAGCTTGGCATTTGCCAGCGATCGCTCGAGCCGGGCAAACGCCGAGGCATCCAGTGACACACTTCTAACGTTGTAAGCTGGACCATCGATTATAACTAAAAGCAGACTTGCCTACACGACCTGCTGACCTGGCCGAGGTCTATGTCGCAAGCTGGAAAGTAACACTCCACCCCAAATCTTTGAGCGTTACTGTTCTATCGAACTCTCTATTTTTAGCTTCAAATATTATTTGTTGGTTTGGGCCGAAGTCTTGCCAAGTCGATGTATGTAGTCGGCGGCCCTCCTGAATAGACGCAGCGCGCGGAGCATGGAGGACTATCGCTTAGAACAACAGAAGAACACAGCAGCTCACATACTCTCTCGGACGTCACTTTTGCACCTGTACGCGCATAGAAACTCCCTGCCACCAGCGATCGCCCGCTTTCGCTTACTCCAGGTTCGTTTGCACGGCGCGCTTGTCAGCGTCAGCCCTTTCCTTCGCTTAATATTTGTCATCTGGGCCCGCGTAGGTCCTATCGCAAAGTCCCGAAGAGGCCGACCCGGCCATCATCGAGGAACAGTACCCACCTAGCCATCCCCTCGCAGCAGCAGCAGAAGGCCCGGCTGCTGACCGCCCAGCTGAGGAGCCCGAACAGCAACCCGCAGATCGGGGCGCAGCTCCAGAACAGGAGGAGCCCCCTGCCTGGGTTGCACCGCGCCGGGCCTGGCCCGCACCCGCACCGCGTCGCTTTGCCGCAGACGAGGCCTCTTCTTCCAGCGAGGGCTCGGACCTGTCAGACCTAGATTCCTTTTCTGACCTGGACGTTGACTCGGAGGACGGGAGGGCAGAGCGGCAGCACCGCGCTCGTGCGGCGGCAGCGCAGCAGCAGCAGCAGGAGGAGGAACAACAACATCAGCAGCAGCCACCCCAGCAGCAGCAGGACGCGGACGGCCGGCCGGAACCGGAGGAGGAGGAGGGTGCTATAGCAGCAGCAGCAGCAGCAGCAGCAGCAGCCGCACCACCACCAGCAGCAGTCGCTGCAGAGGATCGTGACGTCGAGGACGACGGAGAGGAGGAGGTTGTGGCCTTTTAGTAGCTTTTGCGCGATGTGTACGACATACCACTGCTGCTCCTGTTCATATTCTTGTTGCAGCGGGCACTGTTAAGCAGCAGCGTGTAGTTCACGCAACCTAGGCCCTTGTTCGAGGACCCACCATCAGCCTCATACGGACTCTGAAGACGGCTAAGGACACAGTCAGAGACACGCTAAGACAAACAGGCTTAGCCGGACAGGATTAGCCAGACAGGATTAGACAGACACGCTAAGACAGACAGGCACCAGCAGCAGCAGTAACAGCAACTCAGCATGCGGGTCCTCTTCGCCCGCGCGGTGCGCTACTTGGCACTGCTGCGAGGCCATTCCGAGTTCGCGCATTCCTCCGGGGGTGCCTCCTACCCGCTACATCGCGGGCCGTATGTGTACGGCTTTCCGTACGCTCCGTACGGCGGCGGCGTCGCGGCATCGAAAGTGTCGACGGCGGCGTCGACGTCAGCAGCAGCGGCGGCGGCGGCGGCGCTGCCGCCGGGCGCTGCAGCAGTCGCCGCCGACGCTACAGTGCTAGCACGGCGGTTGCATGGCGCCACCGCTGCCGTACTGCGACGGCTTTACGTAATGGTTATTGCATCGGCGGTTGTGGCGGGGGCGTCGGCGGTCATGGCGGGCGCGTCGGCGGTTGCATCGGCGACGGATACGGCGGCGTCGCTGGCGGCGGCGGCTCCGAGGACGATGCGGACGGTTGTGTGGGCGGTGCGAGCCAGCCTGAGCTATAAGCGCTTCGAGGTGAGGTGGTGGCAAGGCGGGAACGGGGATGGGAAGGGGAAGGGGTGAAGGGAACGGGAAGGAGAGTTGTGGTGGCCCACAGACCGCCGCAGCAGAGGGAAAGGTGGCCTGGCAGGAAGCGAAGGGTGGTGCATATAGCCATACTGGGCGCAGGCTGAGCTGGCGGCTTGGCGGTGGAGTGACCCATGGGTCACCAGGTCCCACCTCCGCGCACAGGCACCCGTTCATGCACCCCGCCAACCACAACCCACAATCCTAACATCTCATGCGGCGGCCCGTCCCGCCTCCTCCATTACTGGGCCTTGGGCTATGGGTGCTCAGCTTACCTTCTTTTCCCTCCCCATCTGCCTCCCTGCCCTCCTCCCTCCCTCTCTGCCCCCCTTTCCCTCCCCCTCCCCCCCCCAGGCCTCCTGTGCGGGTGCCGACACGGAGGCGGATGCGGGCTACCAGGCCGCCCTCAGCCAGCTGCACACCTACTGGGCACACAAGCTGCTGGAGGTGGGGGGGAGAGACAGGGGGTGCGGGAGGGAGGGAGGGAAGGGAGCGGTGCATGTGTGTGCATGTGTATGATGTGTCTCCGCCACGTACCTCCCTCACGACCCCGCCAGCCAGTACAACCCCCATTACCCTCCCCCTCCCCCTCCCCCCCAAACCCCCTCCCCCCCCAGGTGTGTCGCCGCAACGGCGGGGTGTATGTGAAGGCGGGCCAGTTCGCGGCCGCGTTCGGGGGGGTGCCGCGCGAGTACCGCACCGTGCTAGCGCAGCTGGAGGACCGGGCGGTGCCGCGGCCGTACAGCACGGTAGCTAGGGGGGGGGGAGGGGGGGGGAGTGGGGGCGGTGCCGCGGCCGTACAGCACGGTAGGGGGGCGGGAGTGGGGGCGGTGCCGCGGCCGTACAGCACGGTAGGTACACTCGATACGGATTGTAACAAAGGTCCTGGATGAAAGGCCTCTCGAGATGTCGTGAGGTTTCCCTTATGGCTTGTATTGTAGCCTTGCTACAGTAGGGGGGGGGCAAAATGGACGAAACCATAGGGGGAGAGGGGGTGGGGGGAGGACAGCTGGGTGGGGGTTAACGGGGGCTAAATGGAGAGATGGGTGGTGGGTTGAAACTTGGAAAGTTAAAGAGGTGGGGCACTCAAAGGGCGACCCTGCGGGTTGGGCTGGCCGGGAGGGGAGGACAAGAGCGCTGGGGCGGGTGGGGCGCACTGACTACTTTGCCCGCACTGATTACTTCGCCCTCATCCCTTTCCTTCTTTCCTCTCCTCCCCTCCTTCAACACAATGGGTGTTCTTCTTTCCCCCCTTCCTCCCTCCCCCTCCCCTCTCCCCCTTCAGGTCCGTCGCGCCCTGGAGCGGGAGCTGGGTGGAGCTGCCAGGGTGGACTCGCTCTTCTCCGCATTCAACACGCGGGCCACGGCGGCCGCCAGCCTGGCGCAGGTGGGGGGGGAGAGGGAAGGAGGGAGAGGGGGGAGGGAGAGGGGGGGAGGGGCAAGAGGGGCGTGCTGCTGTCGCCTCTCCGCCTGCATTACCAAAGGCCACCACTGCAGCCCTTACTTTCGTCCTTACTCACCGCTGCTGCTGCTGCCTCCCCGGCTCTTCCCCTCCCCCTCCCTCCTCAGGTTCACAAGGCGGTGCTGGCGGACGGGCGGGAGGTGGCAGTCAAGGTGGGAGGGGAGGGGGAAGGAAGTGGAGGGGGAGAGGGAGGCCTTATCGGTGCTGTGCTTACCCATGCACATCAAACATTCCCCAGACCCAACCCCTCCTCCCCCTTCCCTCTCCCCCTCCCTCAGATCCAGTACCCGGGTCTGGCTGCCTCCGTGTCCGCCGACCTGGCGGTCATGCGGCTGCTGGCGGGGGCGGCGGGCGCGCTGTTCCCCGCCATCAGGCTGGGCTGGCTGCAAGAGGAGCTGAGGGGCAAGCTGGCGGGGGAGATGGACTTCAGGTGGGGGGGGGAGCCGGGGAGGGGGGATCATAGGGGGGAAATAGGGGCTGGGGGGGGTAAGGGAGAGGGAGGGGAAGGTTGTAGGGGGGGGGGGGGTAAGAGGTGAAGGTATATCGGAAGTTCCCAGCAGCCGAGGCAGCTGGGGTAAAGGGACGAAACTGACGGGCTGTGTGATGAGACTTGCTTCGCCATGGGTTGCGGGGGGGGGATGAGGTGAGGGGAGGGGGAGGGAAGGGGCCGAGGGCACAACCAGGTTGGGAACACAACCCGCTACCGGTATCACACCCCCACCCACCCGCCTGCTCCTTCACCTGCTCCGCCTCTTCCCACCACCAGGAGCTTATTTCCTTGTTTGCCAGCCCCAATACAACACATTGGGTATTCTCCTCCCCCTCCCCGCCCCCCCCCCAGGAACGAGGTGCGCAACGCGGCTCGCTTCCGCGCCGTCCTAGCTGACTGCGATTCCGCTGGCGGTGGGGGCGGTGGTGGGAGCGGAGGGGGCCGGCCGGGTGCGCGTGTTGCGGTTCCCTCCTTCCACGAGGAGCTGTGCGGCCCCAAGGTGCTGGTGATGGAGTGGGTGGAGGGGTGCAAGATAACGGATGTGGAGGCGCTGCAGCGGCAGGTGGGGGGGAGGGAGGGAGGGGGAGGGGAAGGAGGGAAGGGAGGGAGGGGGGAAGGAGGGGTTGATGGGGGTAAACCTTTCCTCCGTTGCGTACTATGGGATTATAACCTTCAGGTCTTCCCGCCCTTGATTTTTTGGCTACCGGTACCACTCTCCCTCGTCCATGCACCCCCAACCCCCCCCAGGGCATCAACCCCCGTCTGGTGGGTCGGCAGCTGGTGCGGCTGTTCGGGGAGCTCATGTTCCTGCGAGGATACGTGCATGGTGGGGGGGGAGGAGGAGGGGTGAAGTGGGGGTCAAAGACCATACCAAACCATAGGAGACCACAAGTTAGGGCAAGTTAGGGGGGGGAGGAGGAGGGGTGAGGGGCGGAAGAAGGTGGGGGAGGTGGACACGTGCATGGCTTCCTTACCCTCCTGCCCCCCTCCGCTGCACCAGTGTGCTCCACCGGGTTATAGCGTCATGCGGTCAGCAGCACCTCCCGACTGCCGCCCTGTCCTCCTCTGCCCCCCTCCCTGATCCCCCCCCCCGCAGGCGACCCGCACCCCGGCAATCTCATGGTCAGGGCGATAGGTGCGACGGGTGGGGAGGGGAGGGTGGGGTGTGGACGTGTGATGGGACCTCATGCACCCGCACCCGCACCCGTGTGCACCACCCCGCCCACATCCCCATGCGCCCCCACCCGCGTGCACGTGTGTATGGCGGCGCCGAACGAACTGGGCAGGGCAGGGCGGGCTGCTAATGAGGCTGTACACACCGGCACGCAGCACCCCACGGCTCCTACCTGTACGACATCCTTGCCTACCCTCACTTCTTCCTCCTTTCTCCCACCTCCGATCTCCCCACCTCCGCCCCCCGGCTCCCCCAGGTCGGCCCAGCTGGCTGCGGTGGCTGCTGCGGGGCAGTCGGAGGGACTGGGAGGTGGTGGTGCTGGACCATGGGACGTACCTGGAGGTAGGGGGGGGAGGGGAGGAGGAGAGGAGAGGGAGGGAGGGAGTGATGTGGGGGTAGGGCGAACACATGTCACCTGTCCTGTGCACTACCGGTATGATGGCCCACACTCATCTTGCCCTCACGCATGGGATGGCCTTTTTCCGACTTCCTCCTGCTTCCCTGCTCCTCTGTCCCCTCGGCCCCCCCCCTTCCCCACCCACCTCCCCCCCCAGGTTGAGCCCCGGTTGCGGCAGCAGTTCTGCCAGCTGTGGTGCGCGGTGGTGATGCGGGACGAGGGGACGCAGGTGGGGGGCAGCAGGGGCGGCGTGTGTGTGTGTGTGTATAGCGTCTATCCTAATAACCCTACCTTCCTTCACCTTCCCCTCTTCCTCCCCCACCCTCGTTTCTTCCTCACTCAACCCTACACCCACTCCCCCATGCCGCTCTCCCCCATCCTTTTACCCTAATTCGGAGCTTCCTGTGGTTTGGTCTTTCCGGTCCCATTGCTTTGCCCTAACCTGTGGTTCTGGTATACCTCTTCCCCCTTCCTCCTTTCCCCTTTGCTTCGCCCTAACCGGTTGCTTCCTATGGTATGGTCCTATGGTCATTACCCTCCCTTATGGTCATTAGCCTCCCTTATGGTCATTAGCCTCCCTTATGGTCATTAGCCTCCCTTATGGTCATTACCCTCCCTTATGGTCATTACCCTCCCTTATGGTCATTACCCTCCCTTATAGTCTACCCTCCCTTATTGTCATTACCCTCCCTTATGGTCATCCACTCCCCCCCCACCCACTCCCCCCCCACCCACTCCCCCCCCTCCCCCCCCCCCCCACACCCACTCCCACCCTCCACCCCAGGCCGACATCTCCACTGCCATGGCGGGCGAGCGGGGCGGCAAGATCCTGCCGCTGCTGCTCACACAGCGCGCCCGCAACCCCGCGGAGGAGCGGGCGCTGCGCGAGCGGCTGGGCATCCGGGGCTTCGGCGACATGAGCGCGCTGCTGGCGGCCGTCAGCAGGCACCTGGTGGAGCTGCTGCGGGTGGTGACGGTGGTGCGGGCGGCGTCGGCGGCGCTGGGGGTCACCATGGGGGAGCGGCTGAGGATATACAGTGGGGTGGCGGTGCGGGGGCTGCCGCCGCTGAGGGGGCGGAGAGGGGAGGGGAGAGGAGGGAGAGGCGGGGGTGGGGAAGGGGAGGGGGAGGGGGAGGAGTATGTGCATGCGGTGTTTGAGCGGGTGCCGTACCGGGTGAAGCTGCGGTGTGTGCTGTTGGCGCTGGGGGTGGGGTCGTGGGGGGCGAGTCTGGCGGGGCGGGTGTGGGAGACGGTGTTGGGACTGTTTGGGGAGGCGTTGTTCGAGTGAGGGGTGAGGAGGTGAGGAGCCGCAGCTGGTGGGCCGCGTGGGGCCGCGCCGGACCTGAGCTCAGGCTTGCGCTTTCTTAATAGGTTGGCGTGGTGTGTTGGCTGTCGGGAGATGGAGGTGCGGGTCCTGGCGGATACTAGCAGTAGGGGAGGATAAGGAGGAGGAGGAGGCTGTATCTTGCTTGATGGGTGACGTTAGGTAGGGCATGCATAAGGTACAGGTGCCGTACTGCAGACAAGGGTTGCTAATTGCTGCACAGGCGCGCAGGTTGGGTAGAAGACTGGTTGGCAGAAGGCTGGTGGGTATCTGGTAGTGTGAGAAGCATCACATCAGCGCCACCGGGCATTGCATCACACCGACCAAGTGCGTGGGACACCTCGGAGCGGCCCACGCGGGTACGTATGGGTCTTGTGTGAGAGGCACACACGCACACACAACTGTTCTGTTCTGTTCAACCATTTGGCAGGAGCTGTTTTGTCTTATCTGCAGCAGCAGAAACAGCATAAGGAAGAGCAGGAGAGCTGAGGCTGAGCTGAGCAGCAGCAGCAGCCTGGCTGGGTCGCCGCTGGTTGGGTGTTCGCACCACAGCAGCAGGGGCTGGCTGTACGCTGTTGGCAGGTGGTGGTGTTGGGGCTACGGCGCAGGGGTGCAAGGGCATGTGATGGGGGATCCGCGGTGTCCTGCAGCGCTTCATGTCCTTGTGGCGTTCTGCGTTGTTGGGGTTGATGATGATGATGGTGGTGGTGGTGGTGGTGCTGGTGCTGGTGGTGCCTGCAGCGAAGGGCTGCAGACCTGTATAGCCTTCACAGGGGTGGACCTGCATTGTTGGTCCGGTCAGTTGCTGCGTATGCCTGGACATGTCGTTTGTCGCTATCTCCGCTATGCTATACGGCAGGTCTGCTCGTACACTGTACACCGCTGGTGCTGCTGCATTGAGGCTGAGGCTGGGCCGTACAGCGGTTGACGGCTCCACCGAACGTTTCTATTCCAACGGCCTCTGGCATCGACACTTCAACGCTGAAGACTGTAGCAGCTCTATTTCAGCTGCAGTGTGTCTGACGTATGTACAGTTGCCACTGTCTGCGGGAAGCCACCAAGGCTGATCAGCGCCAGCTGCAGACGGAGGACGACCCTGACTAGCACCGCCTGTACGGCACACCGCTCGGCCAAAATGTTCACGCTAGTCAGAAGGCTGTTAGGTTATCAGCAACAAGTAGTTGGCCTCTACGTCGTCAAACACGTCGCAAGAGGAGGCACGACCACATCGTGACACTCCGTGACCTAGTATCTATAGCGATGGAGATCATCCATACCAGAATACAATTTCCTATCAAGGTTATGCGTGTTATGTTATCTTGTTGAGAAAGACTCTGCGCTGCCAAAATTGTTGCAGCTGTCGAATTGCACCGCAGATGCAAACCCAGCGCTAGGATGCTGTGCAGTCCCTTTGTCTATGACGGCCTGTACCATGTGAAGGACACAGAGGTGGGTAAGGCCCAATGAGTAAAGAACCTTGTGTAGCGCAGACTGTAAGGATTGGGACCCCGCGGATGTCCAAGCCTCCACGTTCCCTGCCAAGAAATCTGCCTGCTCCCGATCCGTTACTTCATACTGCACATCTGTCCGCTCTCCCTACCCAGGACGGACCTCTCCCACCCACTAGAGGGTCGGCTGGGCTTTGTTCGACCCAAGGGTCATTTGCGAGGGTCGGGCAGGATGGGCTGCTTAGGTGCACACAGCCGCATGTCAGCTTCAGCTAAGCAGCGGAGCTTACATACTTACACTACTGACAGCTGTGCAGCAAAAAACTAGGTTTAACATATTGGAGCCTTTTAAGTACAGTAGCAGCCGCCTTTCATTCGCCAATGCAGCGTGATCTCAGATCACCTTGGCAGCCGCCAGCCATGGAGCTTACAATACGGTTTGTCGACGATTGCTGCTACTTACTATCTAACAACTACAATTATATGCTTACACTACTATCCAGCTTTATGCGGAATCTTCATCCCTATTAACCCAGGACGGAAACTACAGGTTTGCTGCAATCAAGGGTTACAGTGACCCGGGGTTGCAGCAGCAACACCATCAGCAGCAACAACAGCAGGCGGAAGGTGAACCGCAGCATGAGGGAGGAGGGGGATGGCGCGGATTTGCGAATGGAGCTCCAAGCTCAGGAGCCGCAGTATGAGGATCGGGAGGAGGTGGATGGCGCGGATCTGCGAATGGAGCTCTCCATTCGCAGATCCGCGCCATCCCCCTCCTTCGGATCCTCATGCTGCAGCTCCTGAGCTTGAAGCTCCACTCGCAAATCCGCTTGCCTTCGTCCTGTCTCGAATGCCATCCTGTTTTCCCGCACATTTTGCACTTCGATACTTCATTTTGTCTCTAACTCTGTCCCCCTTTCCTCGCTCTGGTTCATGTTTCTGCGCATGGCGTTACTCGCATTACGCGGCTGCTGGTCCTGGTGATGATTACGGCGTCTTTGCTCGGAGGTACGCAATGCGCGTTTGCACGCATGCATGCACAGCATTGTGGTGTCTCGTCTGCGTGACCAGAGCGGGGGCTCCCGGGTTGGTCAGCGGGCTGGGTTCTCAGTAGTAATATAGTTTTTCCCACACCATCAGCATCACCGACATGCGTCGTCAACCCGCCACTCTTCTTACATTCAGCACCAGCTATCACAGCAGTTTTTGAGTTACGGTTCAGGTTGGTTACCTCTGTTTTACCTCTGTTTTGCCTGTACTCGCGGTTCACATGCGAACCTATCCCAACTGCTTGCTCTTGTTTCCGCTCAACTACACACGTCCCCACCCCTCCCCCTCTCCAGGTGTCCCCGAGGGTGACCTGGGCATCCAGGTGTTGCCGGGCGGTCAGCTGGACCTGCACGGGGCCGCCTACCTGCCCACCTGGACCCGACTGGCCAGCACTGTACGGCGGGGTAACAACTGGCTGTCCTTGAAGGTGGGTGGGGGGTGTTGGCGGGTTGGGTATGTGGTGTGTGTACGAGGGTGTACGAGGTTCGCCTCTGGGAATACGAGCAAGTGAGGGGGAAGGGATAGGGTGGGGGCGGTTGCGGGTGGGGGCCCGCATGCTGAGCATTACGCTTCCCCGTCTCCCCCGGCTCTCTCTGTCTGAGTTGGGGTATGGCACATATCTTTTCCCCCGCCCTCCCCTTCCCCTCTCCCCGCCTCTTTACCCTACCCCTCATCCCTCCTCCTCCCCCTCCCCTCAGGACCCCGTCCCCTCCTGGCGCCCCGGCCAGCTGCTCTTCGTGACCACCAGCATCTACCGGGACGAGTACGAGAATCAAAACGAGGTGGCTGCCGTACAATCTGTCAGCAGCGATGGTCGTACGGTTACCGTAAGAGCGCCTTCCAGCACCACTACGGGTACATGTGTGTCGGGGGGGGGGGGGGTTGGGGTGGGGATGGGGGGAGAGAGGGGCGTGTGCATGTGTGTGTATGTGGGCGTTACAACAATGCGTGCTCGTGACCTGAGACTTCACTTCATTTAATCCTTCCTCCCCTTCAGCCCTCCCGCACCCCCTCCCCGCCCCTTCACCCCACCAAGCGGCTCCAAGTACCAGAGCGAGGTGGGGCTGCTGTCGCGATCCATCCTGCTGCAGAGCTGGGCGGGGGTGGGCAGCAGCCGGAGAGGGGGACGCGTGAAGGTCATGGGGCAGGTGAGGAGGTGGTGAGGGGGGAGGGGAGGGAGGGGGAGGGTGCGCTGGGTATGATAGGACTGTGCTTGGTACGGAAAATTGCGGCAGGGAGGGAGGGGGAGAGCGGGCAGCGCCTTTCAGCACACCTCCGAACTAGTCTGTTCTCCTAATGTGTATGTGTATGTGTGTTCACTTCCCCAACCCCCTGCCCCCTCCTGCCCCCCGCAGGGTCGGCTGGAGGGGGTGTTGTCGTACCGCATGGGGCAACGAAGCGTGCTGGGCGCCTACCCCTTCCACTGGTGGGTCGGCGGTTGTGGTGGTTAGGAAATTGGTGTTTGCATTGGTTGGCTTTTGGATGAGTTTAAAGGGGTTGATATTGTACGGGATTGGGCGACGAAAGGCGTGGGTGTTTCGGTTAAATGGTGTTCATAGATATGGCTGAGCTTATCGTGTCGTACAACCAACCCGGCAGGCATAACGCCGGCAACACTGGAGGTGGAGTGTCGTACGCCCGCGACTGTGCCGTATACGCCTCCAACTATCGATGTAAGTAGGGAACACCACATCACATGCATTCACCTGCAATGAAAACTACCTGAGGTATACCGTTCTGTCCCTCACTCACTCTCCTCCTTCACTCTCCACTCTTCCTCCCCCCCCCCACTCCTATTGCCCAGGGCTCGGTTCTCATACCTATGAACATGCACCGCCTCCGACAAAGCTAAGAACTAACCCTAAACCAATTTCCACATGCACGTCGGTCTCCAGTCCTCCTAAAACGTCGCAACAGCAGAGCTGGCAGAGGGGATAACCTTCCAAAGCCGCCGTACTGGCTCATCCTGCCCTGGTCTCAGCCCGCTTGCTCCGCCTACCGAGCGAAGCATGGATGGACATGCCCAGCGCAAGAGCCTTGGTAACGGCGCTGGCACAGCGCCCACCAAAACCATCGACCGGTCCCTCACCGCCCTTTTTCAGCGACCACGGACATCGACCTGGGTTCGACCCCACCGGTGATGACGGCAGCGGCGGCATTGGAGGGCTCATGGACCCCTACGACCGGCCCACCCGCAGCCAGCTGAAGGGGGCCCAAAGCCGCCTTCGGATGGATACCGGTAAGCGGTCCGGGGCCCTTGATGAGGTGAGGACTGGGCGCCTGTGGCTTGGATGACGCTGATGCTGCTGTCCCACCACCATGACGCACCTGCTGTGCCTTCATGCGGCCCCTTCCTTGCAGTTGCCGCACCACATCGCCTTCCATGCCTTGATGATGTTTGCCCATTACCTCGTTGCCCTCACAGGTGGCAGGTCGCTACCGAGCACAGTTCACGGGACACCACGTGGTCAACAAGCGGCTGATGAGCTGAGTGTATTGCCCTAGCAGGAGACGAGCGTGCAGGCAGGAAGGATGGCAGGTGTTGTGCGTGTCCTGTAGGCGGCAGGTCTGTGCAGGACATGAGTGTTAACGGATTTGGCGCACAACCGGTGTGGTCGTGCGGAGGTGTGACGTCACAGGCTGCTTTGCCAGGCGCCTGAGGTCCTACGATGTCCGTGCAGGATGTACGGAAGTCGTACTGCACTGTTGAAGCCTCTCCCTAAACCTGTTGGGAAGGCTATGTTGCAGTAACAGAGGCCGGCGAAATCCCTTTTTGAGTAGGGCAGATTGACTGGGCAGGTTGCTTGCGGGTACTGCCGGAATGATGACGAAGCGCAGTGAAGCTTTGCTCTGTGCACTTCCCTCTGCCTGTGCATGAATGCACTTCTCTGGTTGCGCGTCTAGGTAGGCGCACATGGCAGCACTGGAACGGTACCCCGGACCTATTGCCAGTAGGCCGTAGTTGCCGTAGAAGCGGGCAAGGGTACGGCACCCAAGTTGTACGGCAGGGGTGTACACAGCTTTGCATTACCCCGCTCTATTGCCCCCCTTCCGTCGCCACAAGGGAGGTTGGAAGGGACCACGGTCGCGTCTGGGCATTGGCACGGGCGACGAGTGAAGCAAAAGATGTAGCGCTATGTGTAACGCTCTGCAACCAGCTGTGTAACGCTTGCTAGCAGATGTAACGCTTACAAGCACACGCAACACCGAAATTGCCTCAATAGGACCACTCTTCCGGCATTTCACCCATACAAAGTACAGATATCCCTCCAAGCTGCGAAGCACCTCCTCTTTCACCGAGTCAAACCATCCACAATGAAGACCCACGACGACTTAAAGCGCACGCGCACAAGTAAGACATGCATGTATCCCCGGATATCCCCGCACTACGAATTAAACCCCCACCGAGGGAAACCCCACCTACAGCGGCCACAGGGGGCGTCGTACCAGGAAGCCAAGGTAGTCCCCTTTCCTTCATCCGCGCGAGGCCTCAGCCACGTATACACCATGAAATAGCTGCGAGCATGTCAAGACGGTTAACGTACGACAACGGGAGGACTCCTGTTCCATGCCTTGTGTTGTTGTGAGACGAAACGGTTGCGGTTATTACCAAGTCTGAAACTGCACACGCGCACAGCGCCCCAATGGACAACAAAGCACGCAGGCATGCAATACTCTGCTCGAGAGGATATACAAAAGCATGCCGTGTTCAAGCGTGTTGGCGTAGTTAATAAGGTACACCCGCCCTGCCGGCACCCCCTCATCCTCTCCCACGTCGTTTCCTCTTTACCCATCCTCTCCCGAACCCACACAAAAGACACGCGCACGTACCGTAAAGCAGCTAGCTACCCATGCAACTCCAGGCGAACCCCGCCCCACTGACGCACGGCACCACATGTGCGCAAATATGTGACGGGCGGCAAGGTGAAGCTAACAGCGAGGGTATGAGGAGTGGTGTGGTGACGCGCCCGGCATGCACCCAACGTAACTGCAGGAGGCACGCACTTACCCGAAACGAGACGAGACGAGCAGAGACCACAACAACACACGACAGACCCCAACGCGCACGCTCGAAACAAACCTACTAGCGGCACGCAACTCCAAAATCCTAAACCCCAAACCCACAATCTGCGACCCCCCCCCGTGCTGACCTTGACGGCATGTGGAACCCTGACCTCACGTAAACCCGCAGCAGCAGCACCATCACCAGTGTTAGTTCCCCCAGCTCCTTCCAGCTCGTTCCCTGCGGTACCCTCATGTAAAGCAACGCGCAGCATCGGCAGCAGCGGCACCACCGCCACCAGTATCCGTTCCCCCAGCTCCTCCCTCCAGGTCCACCCAAACAAACAATACTTTAGTTAATACGTTCCGTCTGCTCCCGAGGAGGGCAGCGACAGCAGCCATGCAGCCAGGAACCGGAACTCCGCCGCCGCATACACAGTGATGCCGTAGTTGACGAACTTCCGTACAAAGTCAACATCGTACGGCAGCTTGGGGCTCTTCATGAGCACCCCCGCTGCCGCCAGCGCCTGTGCCTTCCTCTCCACTGCTGCTGCTCTCGCTGCTAAAGGCGAAGCGCCACCCTGTCCCTCCTTTTCCTCCTCCTTCCCATCCGCCGAGACTGCCTCTGCCACCACCGCAGTCACTGCCCTACGTGCCCCACCCGCCTTCTGCCCCTCCTCTCCTCCTGTCTGAGCCCCTCTCCAGCATCCCTCGGGGTGCACCGGCGGCTGCCATGCTCGCCTTAGCCCGGGCGGTGCGAGTGCCAGCAGCCGCGGCAGCAGCGCCAGCAGCAGCGCCTTGCTGCCCTCCTTGATGGCGGACACCAGCAGGAACCCCAGCAGCAGCACCAGGAGCGGCCGGGGCAGCAGCTGCAGCAGCAGCTGGAGCAGCGGGGGCAGGGAGGTCGATTCGGTTGCTGACGAGGAGGAGGAGGATGAGAAGGAGGAGGAGGGCGCTGTGGCTGCTGCGGAGGCTGATGTTTGAAAGCGAAGCAAGGAGGAGAAGAAGGATGCTGATGCTGATGATGATGAGGACACGGAGGGTGTGATGGTGGATGATGCTGGATCGCCACCAAGGAGCTGCGCCAGCAGTTGCGGAGGGGTCGTGGGGTGCGGGGTGGTGGTCAGGTATTGCAGCAGCGCTGGAGCCGTGTTGAGGAGGTTGCTGGTGCTGAGTAGGCCTCCAAAAGCCGCACCCAGGAAGATAACCTGGAGGGAGGGAGAGAGAGGGAGAGAGAGAGAGTGAGCGGTGTTGGGGGAAATGAGGAGGGCAGAGTGGGCAGCGCCCATTGCAACCGGTGCTGCTCTCTCCAATGTCAACGACTTTCTTCGAAGCAGAGGTTACGATGACGGAGAAGAGGGAAGCCAGATGCTGTCGAAACAACATCCATCACGCACCATACTCCTTCTCGCCATCTCTTCTATGTTACTATCGTACCGGTATTCCCAAAGCCGCACCTCCCACCTCCCACCACCGCCTCCCTGCTCCTCACCGCGTATTCGTAACTGGTGGTGTGCGACAGCGGCCGGGGGTAGCTGGCCAGCGCCAGCAGCATCATCCCCCCCACCACAACCAGCGCCCCCCACCCGCGCAGGCAGCAGCAGCTACAGGGCCCCCCGCCACCATGCAGCCCCACTGCTGCTGCTGCTGCTTCCGCTGCTGCTCCCTCCTCCAGAACACCCCCTGCTCCTGCTAGTAGCGCCCCTGCTGCTGACGTGGAGCTGTTCCTAGCCGCCAGCGCCGCCATGAGCGGCAGCCCGACCCGCCTCCACAGCCCCCATGACGCCAGCCCGCCCGCCGCCCCAGCTGCCAGGTCCACGGGCGTGTGCACCCCCAGGTAGAGCCGCGACAGCGCCACCCAGCCCGCCCACAGCACGGAGGCGGCCAGCAGCAGGGCAAGCGAGGTCTGCTGGGAGCCTGCGTCGTTGCTGCTGGTAGTGGTAGTGATGGTGGTGGTGGCGGTGGGGCCCCCCAGGAGGCCCATCTGTGCGGCTACCACTGCGCTGTACGCCGGGAGCACCAGTGCACACCAGGTGTGCATGGAGGGCGCACCCATCTCGATCTCCCCGCGGTACGCCGCCTCCAACACCTCCACGCCGGAGCCTGCGACGTTTGCGCCAGGGCCGGCTGCGGTGCCGGCTGCGGTGGCGTCAGCTGCTGCTGGTAATCGCTTGTCGGCCTTGCCGTTCTTCTTTTCCGCACTTGCGGCTGCAGCGGCAGCAGTTGCGGGTCCGGGTCGTGGGCAGCTGAGAAGATCCTTGAGGACGCAGGTCATGTAGGTGGAGACGGCCATGCAGAGGCAGATGGCCATCGCCGCGGAGCCGCCGGAGGGGCCACCCAGCCACATGATGGGCGGGATGGCCAACAGGTAGAACTCAACCGACACGGTAAAGGCCTGGAGGATGTTTCAGGATGACAAGGGTAACGAAGGAAGGGGTTTGACGTCATGCTTTAGCACCACTTTGGCAAGGGACGCATATCCATTTCGTTTTGGTCGGTTGGTCATCAGCCAAGCGCCAGGAAGCAACGTCCTCGGTTCAGCAGGACAGCACGACAAGAATGCTTTTAAATTGCATACGACGTGCAAGACGTATCATACAGGTACAGTGTCCATGCAAAGGCAAGCAACCGCTCTTCGCGCCCTACCGGTAATCGAAATCTACCAGCATCAGTTCTTTGCAAGCGTCCCACTTACCGTGATCTTAACAAGCACGTCAAGTAAGGGGTTCCGCAAGCGCTGCTGCAGCGACGCCACCATGCCGCAGTGTTTGTAGACCAAGTCGAGGACAACTGGCCGCACATGTTTCCGAATAAATGGTGTAAATAATGGAGCAAAAATGCAAATAACTAAGACTAGCGCGCCTGGAGCAGCTAATACGTCGTCAAGTGGCCGCATTTTGTATCGAGCATGACACGGTTACTATGGTAAGTGGCATACCCACTATAAGCGTTGCCATAACGTGGATCAGGCCAGTAACAGAGGACGAGCGGTACGGATTTGACATCGCCGTGATGCCGTTGCTAATGATCCGAGTTATCCTGCGCTGCTGTGGCACAATGCCGTGCCAGTTTCAAGCAACGTTATCTGGCCGATTACAGTAATGCATGTTAATCACCTGTTCGTTTGCTGCCCTTGGGGGGTCCATGGGTCGCGGTGAGGTCTGGCAGCTGCATGTCGTTAACCTGCGTCCCAGGCACTGCGGCAATGCGAAGATGTTCTAATCGCGCTTTGATTCAACACTTCCTGTGTCCAGTAAGGCCAGGACAGCCTCAGACAAGTCTGCAAGGAAGGCGTCGATGCTCGCTACACGCTGGCCACTCCGCACTAGCAGCTCTGTGGTCACTCCTTCACGATGGAAACCCTCGCTTGCCAGCTTTCCCTCTTGGCCCTTGGATGCTTGCTATCTCGTTACCTTGGATCATGACGCATCAACATTCACTGACTTGCATATTTGTAAGCACCGGCAACAGCCCGATGTAGTGTTGCTTAACCCGCACGGCTGAAGCCGACCCAGTTCCGGCCTTTCAGCACCGCAGGCCTGTTGCGGCGTTCCTGTTCCGCCGGTGCTCCTGCTCCACGGGTCACATTTCAATCCGTACACGGCAGTTGATCAGTCGCGACGCCCTTAGTCCTGCAATCTTTTTGCCTCTGCTGTGGTCGGTCGGATGGTTCTTTGCACTCGAGTGATTCTCCCACTAGCGCAGGCGCTGGCCTAGCAAGAAGCGCCTGCTGGCCTACCCGCTCCGGTGGTCCGGAACAAGAACCTTAGCCGAAAGTCCGCCGCTCCCTCCTGATGACCTGACCCATATCACGGGGCCCTAATAAAGACAAAAACCAGGGTTCACAACACACAAAAAGACACAAAACATGTCAGCATGCTTGGCTTTTCGTGGACGAGCAGCAAGCCGAGCAACGCATGAATGCCTTAGCTGCTACGACCGCTTTCCCTGCGATTCAAACAACGCTGGATCCCGCACGCATCCCGACTGCGGCCACTTCTTCTGTACTCCCTGCATGACCGAGTACGTGCGGGGTGCGGTGAAGGAGCGCAAGTGCCCCGTGCCCCGTGCCCTGCCCCATGGCTGCGGGAGGAGGAGGTGCATGCAAGGCCCGGCTGCCCCGTGAGGCGGTGCTGACGGCCCTGAAGGCACATCCTGTGGATCGGGAGGTAGGACCGTAGGAGGAGGTGTGGGCATGTAGCGTGGGTGGGCGGAGAAGTATTGTAGCACAGTAGAAGCTGAACGCCTAGCCCGTTTCATAAACTGCCAGGACGTAAAAGCTAAACCCCTTCTCATTGTTGTTGCCAACTTGCCATACTCGCCATCCATTAGGCATTCGAGCGGCTGGAGGCCGAGGCCTGCATCTCCGCCTCCGCGCGCATCTACTGCCCGCACCCCGACTGCTCCTGCCCCCTGGAGCTGGCGGACCTGGCTGACGTGCCGCCCGACCAGCCCGCCGAGTGCCCCGCCTGCTGGAGGGCCTTCTGCCCCCGCTGCCGTACGACCGGCTGGCACCAGGTGGGGGATGGGGACTGGGGAGGTAGTGGGGGAGTGCTTCCGCATGCCCTCACCTGAACTTGCACGCACTTTCCCCTACCCACACATGCTGCAGCATGCCCGCTTGTTAGCCTATCCATCCTCCACTTCCTCTTGATCCTCCTTTTCCCGCCCGCCCGCCTGCCCGCTGCCGTAGAACCAAAGCTGCATCGAGGCGCGGGGCGACGCGCACACCGCCGCACTGCTGCGACTGGCGGGGCAGCGCGGCTGGCGGCGCTGCCCCCGGTGCGGCGTGGTAGTGGAGCGCAGCGGCGGATGCGACCACATGAGGTGCCGCTGCGGCTGCGACTTCTGCTACAGGTGCGGCTGCTGCAGGGGCAGGGGCGGCTGCATGTGCGGAGGATGAGATGCGTTGTGGGCTGAGCTCTGAATGGAGTGCCAGGCGTTGTGAGAGCTCTGAGGGTCTCCTGAGAGCGCTGGGTGTGTGAGGGTCTGAGCGGCTTCGGAGGGTTGTGGCTGGGTAAGGCGAGGGAGGGGAGGGGTGAGAAGGGGCAGCGGGGAGTAGCAGCGGCGAATGAGGTTTAAGAGGTAGCTTGGCTGGGAGTTGAGCGGGAGAGGAGGCTTCTAGGGGCGGCAGCTGGGAGGCTTTGGTGACACGCATGGAGACGGGATTCCTCTCTTTTGCCTATATGGTTGCACAGGTGCTTACGTTGGCTGCGCAAACGGCCGGCCGGCAGTAAGCAGCGTCCGGTCTGGTCCGCTCCGCATCTTGCTAGTTAGGGTTTGGGGCATTACTTGACGGTGCCGTTGCTGTGGAGTTGGCTTTGAAAATCTTTGTTGGGTGATCTGGATATCGTACCATTGGCCGCCATAAGCTCATAACCCCCTCAAACGACCCATCAAGTTGTGCTATTGCATCCTGCAAAGCCTCATACCCGTTGTCCAGGTAGTGGAATGCTCTCAACTGCCCTATCGGTAATGCGAATCCGTCAACACAATACCAAACAGTACCGTAGCAGCAACAGCGACAGCAGCCGCTGACCGCAGCAACCGGCATCTCCAAGACTCCAACAGCATAGCAGCAGCTCCTCGGTCCTCGGCACACAGCCGGGCGACCTTTCCCGTCCAACCGAATGATGGGAATAAGCCTGTAACCCAAGCCCCCGCGCATACCCCTTCAACACACGCTTGCTGCACGCCGCACAACAACACGCAGCCCCCAACATTAGGGCAGGTAATGAGACCGCTTCGGTCTGGTAGGTCACGGGGCCCTCGCATTGCGCGTCACCCTAGGGTAAGCAGCAACACATGTAAAAGCTTGCGGCATCACAAGGTAACATTCATTTGCGTGAGAGGCCCGCCTGATTGCCCCGTAGTACAGTATGAGCTGCTGGTAAAGCAGCCGGTGTGGGGTATGTGCGTCGGTATGTGGGTTAAAGCCTCAGGTGAGAGGGAGCCGCTAGTTGTCGCATTGCGTCGTATTGGATGGGGTGGCGACTGAGTGCAAGCTCAACAGAGTCCTGCGACGATGCGATGGGCCTAAGAGGTGGAAGGGTAGCCGTGCTTGTGCGACGTTAGCTAGCATTGAGCGTGCCAACATCCACCAACGTATTCGCAACCCCCAGAACTTACTGTGTCCCCCAGGGCCCCTCCCGGTTGCTGAACAAACCGTGCCTTTCACCTGACGTGCTAAACGGTTACCAAATTCCTACCTCAGCTAAGACAGCAGTATCGCTGGGCCTCGTGGCATAAAGCAGCCGTAGTGTCAACTTAAGTATATCGGGACGAACACTTCAGCAGTACCAGGCTACGTCCCAAAGTTGCCATTCTATCGTACTCCTTAGGAGCCTTCACCTGTTCTAGAGTCCCACTCTTACATTCCCATGAAACCAAGCGTCACATTCCACCAGACGATTAATCCAGATCGGGCAACCCTAAGGGAGTCTCAACGCCCCATAACAGCAGTAACTTACAGCTCAACGCAGCACCAATTGACCAGATATTGGAACACGCACACAACAACACTACCGGCCAGTTTTCGTGGCCAGTTTTCTAACTCACACAACGACATTGACCGAAGTCCGCATGCCCACACACCTGCCCATACCTTCATGAAACTACAAAGCACCTCGTAGTTGCAACGATGGAACGCTGAACCCAAACAACGTCAGAATGGACGGACGTTGGAAACAACCCGCGTACGGGTGAGCACCGCACCAAACGCGAAGGACCACTAGGCTCAACCTGCATCCCCAAACGTCTCCGCGTCCCCATAACTGCGTCACAACTGCGCCGCGGACACTAACCAATGCGCCTTCCCGCCATCCGCCAACCTCTTTTTCAGCGCATGTTACCTCTGAACCCGCCTTTCCCCCCCATCTCCACCGTCCAAGCTGCCCCAGCCAGCCCATCACCGCCCCTGCGCTCCACCTGCACCACCTCACCCAACCCTGGCGCGCCATCCGCGGCCCCCATCCCCGCAGCGGCCTCACAGCGGTCCGTCCTCCTCCTCGTGCCAGTACCAACAGCGGTGCCCGAAGGGGCAGTAATGCAGGCTCGGCCCGTACCGGCAGAGCCGGCGGATGACCTCACGCCCGCCCCGGAAGGGCACATGCGGCTCCGCATACTGGTATTGCGGCGCCTCGTGAGCATCCTCGTAGTCCTCGTCATCATCTCCGTCTCCATCCTGATAGCCCCTGTCCTCCTCGTAGCCCCCGTCGTCCTCCTCATCATCTGCGTCAGCAGCCCCATAGCCTCCGTGTCCACCTCCATATCCTCCGTCGTCCTCCCCATCATCTTCCTCGTCGTTCCCGTAGACGCCTCCGTAATCACCTTCGTAACCGCCTCCATATCCGCCGTCATCGTCCTCGTCATCGGCAGAATCTGGACGTGAATCCGAGTCTGAATCAGAGTCTGAGTCCGAGTCGTGCCCACGGCCCCGATTCCCGGCCGCTGCCGCATTCCGTGCCGCTGCAGCCGCCGCCGCAATCCGCGCAGCCGCCCCAGCGACGCCAACAGGAAGGCCAATCGCCCCATTCCTGCCCGCAGCAGCAGCAGCAGCACCGCCGCGTGCCGCTGCGCCTCCTCGGCGGCCGCCCCTGTCGTCGTCGTCTTCCTCCGGCACGTCGAACAGCGGGCAGCCGCAGCTGGGCGTGCCATGGACGTTGTTGCGGTTGGGTTTGTTGTTCTTGTACGCAGTGCCGCATGCGTAGCAGAAGTCGCAGCCGCAGCGGCACCTCATGTGGTTGCAGCCCTCGCTGCGCTCCACCATTTGCTTGCAGCTGGGGCATTGCTTCCACTGCTGCTTCGCGGAAAAGAGCAGCATGGCAGCGTCCTCAGCGGACCGCTGGTGAGCCGGCAGCTGCTGGAATTGAGAACAGGTGTAGCCCTGCAGCAGGATTATAAGGCGAGGAGAAGCAGGGAGGCGAAGGGACAGCCGTTACGAACGAGGCTAAGCACGGAGAGAGTCTCAGTATCCATATCGCAGCAAGCACGCTGACGACCAGACGTACCTTGGTTCCCTGCCGAAGGAGACATGCCCCGGCACCGACACGCAGCATCGCATAACCCAGCATACACATCGCCGCATGCGTGCCGACACAACACTAGAACCCACCACCCCTGTTCAACGTTCACGACACCCGACAGGGTACGCATGCACAGCGTGCTTCCCTCGACCCACATGACGCCTTATCACACGGTCATTTCGTTGTTTCCTCTTCCCCCGACCCACATAGCAGCACACGCGCCATCCCCACCTGGTGCCATCCTGGGATGAGGCAGCGCAGGCAGAAGGCTCGGCTGCAAGCGGGGCAGGTGGTGGGCTCATTGTGCGGCACAGCGCCCTCGGGCCGCATCAGCACGGTGGAGCAGTCCTTGTGCGGGCAGTAGATCTTCAGGCTGGGGTCGATTGCCTGCTCCGCCTCCAACATCGTAAACGCCTAGCGGAAGGTGGGAAGAAGACAACAGGAACTTTTTGAATTGTACGCACAGCTGGTCAGGCCTGATAAACAAAGGCGCGGATCGCCATGCCCAAAAAAGCAACCCATACCCATACCAGTAAGCACACACAAAGCAACGTAAAATGCTCCCTAGCGCGTTTGCATGCGCTTGTTGAGCCTCGACGCAGCTTCTCGCTGAAGCCCAGGCGATGAGCGTCGTCAAAAGCACCTTTATCCGGTCTTTCCAACCTCACCTGCAGCTCCTTAGGGCTGCCTTCCAGCAACTCCAACACATCGCCTCGCGACAGCTTGCTCACGCAGCCCTTGCCGCCGCCTGCTCCTGCCGCCCCTCCGCCTCCGCCGCCTCCCGCAGCCATGGGGCAGGGCACGGGGCACTTGCGCTCCTTCACCGCACCGCGCACGTACTCGGTCATGCAGGGAGTGCAGAAGTAGTGGCCGCAGCCGGCAGCGGCGGTGCTCGAGGAGGCGCCGTCGGCGCCCGCGCACATGACCTTGTCGTACGGGAAGCGGTCAAAGCAGCACTGGCACTCGATGGTGCGTTTGGCGGAGGAGGAAGGGCCAGCGCCGGCTGAGGAGGTTGCGCCGCCCGGTGCGGCAGCAGCATCCCTGCGGTCAATGGCTTGGCTTCGAGGAGCACGGCGGCTGTCAATGCTGGCGGCCTGGGAGGCGGAAGGCGCAGACGGCATCTGCGCCACCGTAGATGGCCGAGTGCTGCTGGAGGGCTGTGGGCATGGGTGCGGCTGCGATGGCCTCGGCAGCTGCTGCTGCTGCTGCTGTGACTGCGGCTGGTTATTGCGCTGGCTTGCGGTAGGTCGCGCTGCTGCAGAGCTGGGAGGGCAGGCGGATTGAGAAGAGGTATGCTGCGGTGGCTTTGGCCCAGAAGCACCTCTGCCCCCAGCAGCAGAAGATGGTAGCGTGCAAGCACCGCTTTCCTTCCGGCATGCAGCAGCAGACGGCCCCGCACAAGCATCTAGCTTCAGGGCTTTGCTTGGTCGGTCCGAATCTGTCTGAGGTGCGGTACGCGTGGTTCCCCTGCTACTTGCTGCAGCGGCAGATGGTCCTGCGCTGTCATCAAGCTTGGGAACCTTGCGTGGTGGGGGCAAACATAGCGGGTCCTCAATTTCGTCTCCAGTCCTCCTCCATGTTCGCTCATCAATTCTCGCAAGCTTGCGGGCAAAGGCAGCGTCGTGCTGCGCAATTTTGGCCCGCCATTCCTCATGCTCACTTAGCACCTCCGCAACTGCTCTGGAGTCCCGAGCAGCCCGCTCTTGGTGAGACGTTACAGCGGCAAGAGCCTCTGCGGCAATCTTGCCCTGCTTGCTTCTCACCTCGTCGAGTTGTTGCTCGACTTGCAAGAGCTGTGCAGCATCCTCGCGAGCCGCAGCTTCGGGGCCAACCTCCATGATGAACTCCACGTCATCGTCTCCTTCTTCTTTACAAGCATATAGGATTGCCAGTCGCTGGGCAAGTATGGCATCTTGCTCTGCTTGTAGCTCTTCCTCCTGAAGCCGCAACGCCAACAGTTCGCTCTCCCGGGCTAAGCAATCGACGGCAGCTGCCATTCTTGTATGCGTATTATCGGTATGCACGCGAACTTGGAGGGACGCGACCAGGGCACCAGAGACAAGACCACCCTAACCTGGCTCCAGAACCGGAATAAAGAGAGTCTTCGCTGCGGCGGGGGCTGTAAAAGTGTATGAAAGGGCCCATACGGGAGTCATATGCCTGGGATGGCCGCAAGAGTTGATATCAGATGCGCTTGCTTGCAGCAGTCGACAACATCATCAACCTACAACAGGAAGATAGATAGGCGCGATCATCTTTCGTTCGTGGTAAAGCTAGTTCGATGAAGGGTGGTAGAGGTGGTTCGATGAAGGGCGTGACGACGGCGTAAGCAACATTCGGCCGTTTCACTGCCAGCATACATGCACGCGGCCTGCAAGAGAAAACATGCAACATGCCATGGCGTTCTTATCGCCCCCATGGCGCAGCTTCCAGTCTTCCAGCCGCCTGCGTCAAGCCCTCCCGCTACCAGCCAGCTGTTTGGGATACACGCATACCGACCTTCCCTTCACGACGCCGGGCTCCCACAGCCCTTCGCAGCGGTGCTTTCCTTATCGTGCCCTTCCACTTGCGGCACCGGCCCCCTCGTCCCTTTATCCGTCTTATGGCGCCTGCCTCCTCTGCCCTTTCCCGTGTGGCGCCTGCCCCGCCCCCACGCAGGCATCACCGCACTGCCCATGTCATTGTGCGCATGCGTGCAGGCATTCCCGCCTTTCCAAGATGGGCGTATTTGTCTTTTTCCCTTCAAGACGACCTGTGCCCAGTGACAGCATGTACCCCGATGTGCCTAAAAACCTGCACCCATAACTGCAGGCATCGACTTAGGGGAGCACTCGCCCCAGGGATATCCACTCTAGTCCCAACCCCGGTACAAGTTGTTATACAGGGCTTACAATTATTGTGGCAGACGGATGAGCCACAATGGCTGCATACATGTTTAGGGATACAAACATGCGAACAGACGAGACCAGCTTGGGGTCATGCGCGGCTTCCGCACATATGATGTTGCACATGAGGTTGCAGTGGGCATGTGTGCAGCCCAAAATTGGCAACCCACAAGCACTAGTAGTAGTATTAACCATGTACACAAGACTTTACCTAGGCGTACATACAACTTGCTCGTCCATAGCAAACCCCAAACCCCTTACAACCCGTGGCCCATGACAGCTTAGCAGGATTGTACGGCATGCCTGCAGTACATACCGCCTAAGTCACGCCTCAAACACATGCGAGATAGACAGTCTTCACATCCATTCACAGGCTGACAAAGTACATCCCACTTGACAATATCCAAGAATGTTGCAATCAAAATGCATGCCAAACGCAAAACGCTGTTTGGGTGTTGAAGACACATGAAGTGTTGCGCTTCGGGTATAGGGCAGTCCTCAGGTGACCTAACTCCAGGAATGACCCGCAATGTCACAGGTCCGTTACTGGTTCGCTGTCAGACTGCGCAACAATGAGCTGCGCCTGACCGGGTCCTGCAGTTGCAAGGAGACATCAAGGCGACGTTCGCGCGTTACATGAGGGGACACCAAACAAGCAAAAGCCTAGGCAACATGGATATGCCTCGTGCTGTGCCATTTGACTGACGCCGTAGAATTCGCAGCGTAATTCGTCCCGAAGCGATTGAGGACGTCCGGCCGTCCATCCGTTCAGGAGCTGGCATCATGCTCTTTTGGACGGTCAACGCACCTGCAGACCGGTAATGGTTTGCATCTGCGCCGCGACGGCGGCCTCCCACTGCGCCAGGGCTCGCTGGTGCGCCTCCACCTGGCGTCGTAGATTGCTGATCTCGGGTAGACCACCTGCTTGGGAAGGAGGAGGGGCAGATGCGGCGAGAGGGTAAGGTTTGCCAGTTAGAGTGACTTTACGGGTTGGGATACTGCAAAAGGTCCAGGACCATGTAAGGCGTACAAGGTGTGGCAAGCGCACATGAGCTAAGAAGGGTGCTACCGGTATGCCCGAGCCTGATGGAGGTATGGAGACGTACACACCTGCTGCCGCTACAGCTGAAGTCGTCTGCTGCACCGCTGCCTGCGGTTGGGAAGAGGTGGCAGGAGTCAAGCGCATGGAGGTTGCATGAATGCGACTGCAGCACAAGGCATGTACGAACCCTAGCAAGCCCTTATGAAGCCTGTCGGGGCCGGTGAGCGCATGCATCCCTGCCTCGTCCACCACCCCACGGCTGCTGCCTTGATGCATCCCACTTTGAGTTCCAAACCCAACCCCTGCTACCGGTAACCTCACGCCCCGGATGCACCACCAAAAGCTATACTGCCTAGCCTCATCTGTACCTAGTCAAGGCCCTGCTTCCGGACGCACGCACCTGCAGCGACTCCAGCTCCCGGGACAAGCCGTCCAGCGCGTCGCGGCACCGCTCCAGGAGGGGCCGCTCCTCGAATGACAGGTCAGCGGCCAGGGGCTCCGTGATGCGGTACAGCCGCTGCGGGACAGGAGTAAGTGGACACAAGTAGGGACCGTAAGTGAATGTGGTGTGGACCGGACATGCAGCAGCAAGCGACATGGTGCTAAACAGCATGTGAACTTGAATAGATGGGAGCGGATACCGCCATCACAGGAAGAATACAGGCTGGAAAATCACGAAACCTCAGTTGGCGGCATACCGGTCTGTATAATAGAAACAAAAGTATTGCGCGCAAACCTGTAGCGAAAGCTGATTGTAGGCTGCTCACCTGCAGCCTCTCCTGTCCTCGCGTGGCCGCTTGCTGTGTAGTGGCGAGCAGCACCTGCAGCGTGCGTTGCTGCCGGGCAGCGCTAGCCGCAGCAGCACTGCCAGCGGCTGGAGTCCCACCGCCGCCGCTGCTGCCGCCGCCAACAGGGGGGGAGGGGTTAGCGCCAGCGGCCGCCGTCTGCACCGACGAAGAGATGGTGGAGTCATAGGACGTCTCCTGGAAGAGCGGCGGCGCTGGTGGTTGCAAGGTGGAGTAACGGCTGGATGGTTGTTGCTCCAGAATGGACTGCTGGATTGCGGCGCCGCGGACATGCCTGTGCAGATGGAAAGCGAAAACAGTTGGGGTGTTGGGGTGTTAATAATAATCACCCTGGTTGGTAGATGGGTCGACAGCGTGAGGTAGTGAGGAACCAAGCATGGCCTAAACTGCCAGCAGCAACGGTACACTCCCATAGAACACCAGCCACACCCTTGCTTCCGGGTAAATTGCTTCTGACATGCCATGGGCCCATGGGTTGCTACGCACACCCTACCGACCCACCCAAGCCCTCCTAACCCCACGCACCTCTTCCGTGCCTCTGGCAGCACCGACCCCATCAGCGGCGTATCCGACTGGCCGGCTGGCGTGGCAGCGCCACTCTCCTGCGCCATGCCACCACGCCCGCCTGCACCGCCGCCGCCCTGCAACGCTAGGGGCGTCTCCGTCGGCAGCGGACCCCGCAGCAGCAGTGACGCCGTGGTAGCTGTGGACGCTGCCACCCCAGCGCCCGCAAGGGCCGTGGGGAATCCCAGCTCGCTGACGCTGCTAACAGCGACGGATGCTGCCACTCCGGCACCGCCATCGCCGCCACCGCCGGATGAGCGGCGGTTCCCAAACTGAGCTGCTGCATGCTGTCGTTCTGCTCCTGGCTGCGATGCAAGGCCCTGTCCTGAAACAACTCTGCTGGGTGCAACCCAGGGAATCTGGTCTAGCGATGCCACTGTCGCTTGGTCAAAGGACATCCGAGTCAGCAACTGCGGGACGGCTGCTTGTGAGGGAGCAACGCCGACGCCGACACCTCCGCCAGTGGAGAAGAAGGTAGGGGCGGAGGCGCCAGGCGCTAGTAGGGCTCCGCCACCAGTGTTGGGCACGCTGCGGTGACCGGACGGAGGGGCCATCCGTGATGCGTCTGACCGGCCAGCAGCTGCTGCAGTGGTTGCGGTAGCTGCCAGGGCTGCGGAGGAGTAGGGCAAGCCGCTGAGAGTGGATATTAGAGGTTGGCGTGCAGAGAGCGCTGCGGACAGGCGTTGAGCGGTCGCGTCTCTTAGGGTGAACTGTTGCGAAGATGTCGGGAGCTGGGCGGAAGTTGAAAGTCCGAGTTGTCCAGGGCTGCTTGTCGATCGAGACCTGTGGAGGAAGGCATGCAGGGAGGAGGAGAAAACGCAGGAAGTAAGGCGCGGCGGGCTTGGCTTCAATCGTGCTGTGCTATGGAGCAATGGCGAGCAAGGACGCCGTGCCGTGCTGCTGGTTGAAACCGTCAACAAGAGCAACAGAAGCAAAGCCCAGCTGGCACGCACCTGGAACCAGCTGCATCAGCCGCGGTGCTGGCATCATGAACCTCCTGTTGATGTACGTGATTGTACGGGGCCGGAGGGTAGCGACGGGTCAGAGCGGCATTCACCAGAGGATGCTATTTCAATCCCTTGCCGCGTCACGATGCCAGCCCTACTCCCAAGACTCCAAAGACGTGTTCCTGCCAGATACCGTTAGCACCTATATCCCAACCCTGCACGCGCACCCTTGCTTCCGCCGCATGAGCCCGCAGGCGGGCAACACGGGCCTCCAGCTCGTCTTCCCGGGCGGCCACCGCTGCCTCGCGCGCCGCCAGCGCCGCCATGGCAGCTCGAAGCGCCTCCTGCGCCTCACCCGCTGATTGCTCCCGGGCCTGCAGCGCACGGGGTCCCTCAGCGGATTGCACCTCCCAATCGATGCACCCCACCCAAGCATGTTGTCACAGAGTCAGCGGAGACCGGGTGAACAGCAGGAACGGTGTGGCAGGTAGGGAGAAGCGACAGTCGCATGCACCGCATGCGCTACACATGTAACAGGAGATCGGAGCGCTGGACGCCATACAGGTTCGCGCATGCGTGCATGCCCCTTAGCATGTACCGGTATCCACTGTTGCATAGGAACGTATGATAGGTGCAGGACAACGCGCTAATGTATGCCGCCGCACACTCGGCACACATGCATCACCCATACCTCAAGCTCCTCCCGCTCCTTCTGCAGCGCCTTCCTCTCACGCAGCACCTGCGCCGCCTCCTCCGTCAGCCGCCGTGCCTCCTCCTCCAGGCTAGACCGATGGGCTGACAGGTGAGCCTCAGCCTGCGCCAACTCGTCCGACCTGCATACATGGCCAAGAGGGAATCAGTACACGGCTCCCAATTCCCAGTCGCACGAAACCATGCATGTACAGCTGTGTTGGCCGAGAAAAGGCGAGCTCCTGTGGGTGTTCCTGTAACATCCCCCGAGCTGTTGTATGCTGACCGCTTGCCGCACCCTCTCCCGCGCCGCACCTGGCCGTGAGGTCTGCTTCAGCGCGTTTCAGCGCCTCCTGAGCCTCCTCCACCGCCGCCTGGCGCCCCGTCAGCTCCGCCATGCCCAGGTCCAGCTTCGAAGCTACCTCCTCGCGCCACGCCTGGGTAACGGTTGGCGGATATGTAAGGACTCACAAAAAGGACAGCCAAAGAGGGATTGGGATGCTGTCAGGACGCAGAAATTCATGATGCAGCAAGCGCAACGCGAGCTTGTGGGCAAGGGCGCTCGGTAAGAGCCACCCACCTGCAGACTGGCCTGCTGTGCTGCCAACGCCTCGCCCTGCTGCAGCACCGCATCCAGCTGCCGCTGCTTCTCCTCCACCAGCGCGCGGGCTGCTGCGTGCTGCCGCTGCAGCTCGGCCTCGCGAACGGACAGCGACTCGCGCTGAGCTGACAGCCTAAGAGGGCGCATGGCAGGAGGCCCGCTTGGGTTTATAAGAGCCTTAGGCCATTGGGCGGCAGTGTACGCGGATCGCGTTGGTTCATACAGGCTCAGACTTAATCGCTTTCGTCCGTGCAAATACTCATACTCGGGCCGCAACAGACTTTACATGCAACCCGGGCCGCAGACTTACTGCTCTTCCCGGGCACGTAGGTCCGCCTCCCGCCGCTGCAGCGCCGCCTCTGACGCATCCACACTGGCCCGGGCCGTCTCGGCGGCTGCACCCTCCGACTGGCGGCGCTCCAGCTCCTCCCAGCGGATGCGCAGGCGTACCTGCTCCTCCTCCAGGCGTGTCCGCTCCGCTGCAAGCGACGCGCGCTCGGCCTGCAGGGCCACTCGCTGTGCCTCCAGCTTGCTGCCTTCAGAATCCAGCTGTGACCGCCGCATGTCGACCTCCAGGGCAGTGGAGGCGGCAGAGGAAGCCTGCCGGCGCTGCTCCGCAAGCTGTGCTTGGCCCTCCGAGAGCTCCCGCTGGAGCGACTGCGGCGTGCAAAGCAAACCCGGGGGCTCAGCCCACATGCTATGGAATATTATTATGCTAGCCGACCACTCAATCCATACTCCGGTTGCATGGTAGCATGCGGGCGGTGAGGAATCGCCGCAATTCAGTCGAGCAGTGGACTGTGGTATACGGCTACGAAGCATGCCGCTGCAGAGCCGCAGGTACATACCTGCACTTTCTGTTCCGACTGAGCCACAGCCGCCGCTCGCTCGTCCAACAGCCTTGCTCGCTCCTCCAACCGTCGCGCCTCCGCCTCCGCTTCCGAGCGCCGGCTATCCAGCTGTCGCGATTGGTCCTCTAACCGGCGAGCTGTTGACTCGCTCTGCCATTGCCGCTCGTCTAGCTGCTGTCGCCGCTGCTCAAGCTGCCGCTCGCTCTCCCGCAGCTGCTCCATGCGCTGCTGGAGCTGCGACTGCTGCTGCTCAAGCTGCTGTTTATGCCTAGAAAGCTCCTCCAATGCCTGTGTGGTAAAGGAGGAATGGAGGCCTGAGACACGGACAGGGGCTCACGACCAGGATATGGGCTCGTAACAGGCACGTGGGGTCCGGGACGCTAATTACCGCATCACATTACGGAATAGTGACCATGACACGGACACTGCACGTGATGGGTTGTTACATGGCATTTGTCGCGTCTGATGAGAACGAGGCGTGTTGTGTTCACACCCAAACGTGCTCGCGCCGGGTGCCCAGGCCTACCTTCTGGGCAGCATCGTCACTGCCCAGCTTTGCAGCAGCCGCAGCCGCAGCTTCATCCCGTGCAGTTGACAGCTGCCGCTGCAGTTCATCGATCCGGCTCCTCAGGACTCGCCCCTCATCCTCCAGTGCCGCGGTGCGCTCGGACGCAGCCTGTCAGGCAAACAGCACCCAAGGACCGTTGAACAAAGTTGTGCACGTCCCTACAGCATGTCAGGTGCCTTGCATGGGGCCCATTTTGGCGATGCAAGATGTGCATGGTCCTATTATGGTCCTATTGTGCATGGTACAATTTACAGAATAAATCGTTGGCGCAAGGCTAGCGTTACATTCATGGTACGATGTACAGAGGAGATATTGGCGTCGACCCCTACCTTCTCGGCTGCCGTACGTTGCTGTGTGGCGGCTTGCTGGACTTGCACAGTCGCTGCCCGGGCATCATCCAAAGCGCGGTTTAGATCCTGGATGGTACCTGTGACGACATCAACGGGCGCAGCATCGCGTATTGCATCAGCACGCGCATTGTCGCTCGCCATGCATACACAAACACTGCTAACCTCACGCGGGGTTCCACAACGAGCTCGCCTGAAGCCAAGAGCACAGGCAGGTGACGTACCCTATCCTCCCAAACGTACCCTCTAGCCGGCGCTTTTCCACCCTGAGCTGATCCAAGTCGGAAACCGCAGCCCGATGATCGTCCTTGGCCTGTCGTACTGCTTCCTGCGCTCGCCTCAACTCGTCTTGCAGCCTCTGCTGCTCTGCAGACGCCGCCTCCCGTGCATGTTGGAGCTCGCTCTGCAGCCGCTGCTGCTCGGCCGCTGCTGCTTCACGCGAACGCATGGCTTCAGCTTGGAGTTTCTGCTGCTCCGTCGTCCTCTCCTCCCGTGCCCGCTGCAACTCGCCCTGCAGCCGCTGCTGTTCAGCCGCAGCCGCTTCACCGGCACGTTGCAACTCGGCTTGTAGTCGTTGCTTGTCTGCAGCGGCCTCGGTTGCTGCAGCTGCTGCAGCGGCTGAAGCCTCACCAGCCTTCGCAAGAGATCTCTGCAGCTCTGACTGCAGTTGAAGACGCTCCGTTGCAGCAGCGGCGGCGGCAGCGGCTGCAGACGCCTGCGCTGCGCGCAAGGCCTGCTCGGCAGCTACGAGCTTCTGTCCCAGCTGCTCCGAATGAGCCTCGGAGGAGAGGAGCTGCTCTTGGAGCTTTGCCATGGCGTCGTGAGCATCCTGTTTGGAGGAGTGGCGTTAGTGGGGCACATGGGGTTGCTCAAGATGGGGAGCGTGAGCGCTCTTCCACGGAAGCCAACGTGTTGCAGCTGGCCACAAGCAATTGAGGTATTACTAGAGTTGCATCACCCGAGTGATGACATATCTCATGGACAGATCCTAGGCTCGAAAGCGGCAGCATTATGCGGTCACTTGCCTTCAGCTCCTTGCCCCGTCCCTCAAGCTCTGCCGTGAGTTGCTCCACTAGACGCGCCTTGTCTTCCATGGCCTTCGTAGCCTGTCGCACGCCAGGGACCGTAGTAAACAGTCAACTGGTCGTCCAGCGTTTAGTATAGATATAAGCTTGCATTTACGGGTTGACATGCGTATGCATGCAACATTGCTACTTGCTCCGGTATCCTGTGACCCATGGGTCAATCAGTCGCAACGAGTGCCTCTTGTGCGTGTACTCACCTGCTTTGCCCGCATCTCCCACTCCGAGGAGGCTGTGCGCCGGGCGGTCTCGACCTCGCTCTGGATTTGAGTCTGAAGCGACGACACCTCGTTCTGCAATGCAGAATAGCAAACGGTAATCAGTGAGATGCACGATACCACCTCTCTCATCCGAGAGCAGAAGAAAACAGTGGCTCCGGGACCGGTACATGGAGATTATCACCACAGTTGACCGTGTTGACCGGCTTGCTGGGCTCACCTGCACCTGCGCCTCACGCCGGGCGAGCTCAGCCTGGCGCGCGTCTAGGTCCGCAGCCACGCTGTGCGAGAGGCTCTCCAGCGCGGCTTGGCGGCAGTCCAGCAGACCCCGCGCACGGGTGTTCCATGCCTCCAAGTCGCCAGTCAGTCGCTGGCTGAGAGCCTTGAGGTTGGCTAAGGGTTGGCCAGTGAAGGGTAAAGGCATGGTGGGGAGAGGGTTGAAGGGGTTAGCGGGTGGTCTCTTACTAGCCGCCCAACGTATAGTAGCCAAAAGATTGCATCCGCATGATACCGGCACATTTGTCGCACGGCTTCGCTCCAAGACCTCACGAGTGGAAACTGCTCCGGCAAAGGCCGGTACTGGTCCAGGAATGCCCAGTGCGCTCTTCGTTACACACCGCACCCTCGCACTGCAGTGTAGTGGCGCTTACGCCCTGCCCTCAATTTTGACGGCCCCTTCCCTCTTCCACACCTTCCATCTGGACGAGTGCTGTCGTGCGCGCCTCAACGCGGGTCTCCCGGGCGGCGACCTGCTGCACTGAGCGCTCGTGACTCTCCTGCAGCCAGGGAAGCCGGTAGCACATTAGGTTTCATGGCTAAGCGGTTCTGCTTTAATGTCTTACCTCCTCTCCTAGTGTGCGTGCAGGAAAACGTAACGGGAAGCACAGATACAGACCAAGTAAACTGCCCACTAACAATTCCGAGCCTTTGCATGCATCACCTGCAAGCTGGCGAGCTGCTGCAGAGCCGCTTCCACCTCAGCTTGCCGGCCGTTCAGGTTTTGCATGCGCCGCACGAGCTCTTCCCGCTCAATAGCCTGCACGCATCGGCATTGGGAGTGACAACGACTAAGGAATCAGTTTCGTTGGACTGCATCCAAACCTGGTCCGGTCTTCACGTCCCTTCTTTCCAACACCATGGGAAAAGAGACAAGCAGCTCACCGCTTGCGCCAAGCCTCTCTGCAGCGACTGCTCCCGTAACGATAGCTCGGTTTCACGTTGACTCAGCTCTTTCTGCCGCTCCCGGAGTGAGCTCTCGGCCTGCAAGCACGACACATACCAGACAGAGCATCCCCATTAGCGCTAGATATACGGAATATTTTACGCCTTAGGGCACTAGCACAAGGGGCGACCTGTAACGGAATTGTTAGTGGGCTGTGTAGTGCGAGGATGATGTCAGCAGTGAGCCGAATGCCCCTTGCATGCCCCCCAGCTGCGTCATTCTGCCTCAGCGCACGGAGCATGCCGTGTGCGGCTCATCAGAGCAGCATGGCGGCCTTACGCAGTGCCGCCCACCTGCGATACCTCCACAGCCCGCGCCCTAGCCTGCTCCACCAGCTCATGGGCGCTCTGCATCTCATGCTCAAAGTCTGCCGTTGACCGCCGCATGCGGGCGTGCAGCTCCAGCCGCTCTGCAGCAAGCTTCTGTGGGCGAACAACATAGGCCGTCAAGAGTACCATCCGTTGTGGTATGGTTATGAGCGCGTGGGTCTCAAGCAATGCCAAACATGTAGGACAAGGAAGCAGCAGTTACCGGCTGAATGATAAGCCAAGAGCCCCTTTACTACCCTTGGGCGCCCAGCCCGTTTTGCTCCGAGTGTTACAGCCCGCCGCGCCCGCCCCCACAAACCCACATCAGCGTCAGCCTTCGTGGCCATGCGAAGCCGATCCACCGACTCGGCCTTCTCCGTTAGTGCCTGAACATCCGCCTGCATGGAAGCCGAACTTAAATAACAATGCAGAGGCGGCGATACAGGCACCGTATCGCAGCTTAAGCAGGGTTTAATGGTGGCGGTACTAAGCGCAGATGGTCGTACCAAGCTTTTACGTTGATTCAGCTGTCAAGGGCGCAACGCACCTCAATGTCACGGCGAGTTGCAGCCAGCTGCTGCTGCTCTTGCGCAAGAGCCTGTTGCTGCGCCTCAAGTGCGGCACGACGGCTCTCATATTCCTGGTCAGGACCGTCAGGATGCGTTTACAAGAACAGCTTTAGGCACAACAGGTGCTGCTTGCAAGCGACGCATGCAGCACACAACAAAGAGCCTAACGACCCATTCCGGAGCGGGCCCAGGAACTCACCGCACACTCATTCTCGTTGCGTCGAATAGCTTGCTCTAGCTGGATCCGCTGCTCTGCCAAGCCTGCCATCTTGGACTCCACCTGTGCCGCAGCCTCGGCGCCCTGAGCCTCTAGGCGGCGGGCCTCCGCCTCCACTTCAGCCCTAGCAGCCGCCAGACGCGCCTCACGTTCTCCGAGCTCGGCGACCTGTCCAGGCCAGCAGGCAAAAATAGTTGCAGTTAATCGCGACGCGGTCAATGGAGGCACGAAGGCAGCGCCTTATGTGGTGTACGAAACCGGATAAGACGCCGAGGAGAGTGCCAGGAGTATGCCAACATGAACTAGGGGCACTCTCGAGCATGCCGTAGCTGGCCATGGGACTCTCAACACCCATGGGGGTTTCAAGGCCCCTTGAAACCCCCAAAGCCCACCTGCTTCGCCACCTCCGCCTGCTTGGCTTCCAGTGCTTCCTGCTGCTGCTTCAGGCTTTGGAAGCGCTCCAAGCCGACCTGCAGCTCTGCCATGCGCACAGCCAGATCCGCCTCGCGCTGCGTCAGCGCTGCTGCCTGGCCCTGTGCTTCGGCACGCTGCACCTGAAGCTCCCGTTCCGCTTGCTCCAAGTCCCGCCGGAGCTCCACAATTCGCTGCCGCTCTGAAAGGGTATCGTCCATTAGGGCTTGCAGGCCCGAAAGCGACGCCTCATGCTCAGCTACCTGCGATCGCAATGCGGAAGAAGAAAGGGGGTTTCGGCATAATGCATGCTGACGTACGGTATCTAACCGTTGGTGGCCCTGCTAGGAGTGCAATGGCGAATGTTGCTGTCTGCATGCGCTTTCCATGTCAATAGTATAGTGCCTTCAGAAGCAGCATCTTAACAGTCAGTACCCAGCCCGTCTCATCATCATAAACACACCCGCTGTTGCGCAGAAGCCAACTGCTCTGCCCAGCGCGCCAAGCGCGACTCAGCGTCTGCCACGTCGCGTTCTCGTAACGTGACGGCCTTCTCCCGCTCTGCCATTTCCGTTGTCATCTTCTGTTCGCGTGTCTCCACCTCAGCTAACAAAGCCAACTCGCGTTGCGACATCTGTGCTGCAAGCGTCTGCTCGCGCTCCGCCACAGCCGCCTCCCTCTCAGTACTGCGCTTCTCCGCTGCGGATTCCCGCTCGCTCGCACGCTTCTCTGCGGCCGCCTCACGCTCATTCGCTCGGCTCTCTGCTGCTGCCGCACGCTCATTCGCACGCAACTCCGCCGCGTCTGCCCGTTCCTTGGCCTCCTTTTCCGCCGCCTGCTGTGCCGCCCTGGCCCGGGCCTCGGCTGCTTCGGCCCTCTCAGCTGCACGTTTGATTGCCTCCTCCGCCTCGGACTGCTTGGCAGCAGCTGTTGCCTGCATGGCGCTGAGCTGCTGACGACTGAGGGCGAGCTCTTGCATGGATGCCTGCATGCAAGGGAAGACCATGCGGACACGTTCCATAGGGCGGTGTCAGGATATAAGCGCCAGCAGCAGCCGTGTAATCCTCCAGAAATGCCGTTCGGAAAGGGTAGCTGAGTCAAATGACATAAGAGTGAGCACATTGCGGCTACTCTTGTCCTCCCAACCGCGAGCTTACCTCAAGCTGCTGCTTCTGCTTATCCAACGCTTCACTCCGAGCCTGCCATTGGGTTATATGCCCATTAGTCAAATGCGGAAAGCACAGAGGACCGCCCAACATACAGTATATGCTAGCCCTTTGTGTCTTCATCGGCGGTTCTATCTTGTGCCCCCGGGTAACCTACCTGCACCTGGCCTGCCAGTGACAACAAGCGTGTCCGTTCCTCGCTCAGCGCCTCAGCCGTTGCCCGCAGATCGGCATCACGTCGCGCGAGCGCCTGTGCCTCCGCAGCAGACTGCTGGGTCTCTGATGCCACTCGCGCCTGCAGAACGGGCCAGGTCAATACCACAATGCGAGGTGACCCATTGGTCATTGGTTATTCATGTGAGGAGTTCTTCCGCCCACCTGTTGCGCCCGTATTTGCTTCTCAATCGACGAGAGCTTGGCCATGCGCACGTGCAAACCCAGAACGAGCTCTTGAATGACGGTTTCACGCTCCAGCACTGCAGCACGTCGCTTCTCCAGGGCGGCTGTGGCCGCTGCGACTGCCGCCTGCGGGACTGCTGCTGCTCCTCGAGCAGCAGCACCACTCGCGGCAGCAACTGCGGGAGCTGCGTCTGTGAGACCCGCCAGCAGAGCTCCAGCAGCGGCCGTTGAGGCTGGAATGGGCGCCAGGAGCGACGCCGGAATCTCCCCCTGCAGTACACGCGGCAATGGCAACGGTCAATGCATGCCCTGGTTCTTCCCTCGCTTAGAGTCCTTCTTCCAAGCCCCATCATGCATGATACCGGCCAAGCTACAAGCTCGGAGCAGGTTAAGTCCCATGCAACAGGTGACCCCTCCATGACTCCCCCCACACGCACCATGGCCAAGCCCTCCAGTCCGCCTGATGAAGCATCCGCCAGCGGCGCCACCTCCTCCCTCAGTGTGTTGAGCTGCGCATTGAGGTCGCGCCACGTCTGCAGCAGCTTGGCCTCGCGGGCGTCCAGCGCGGAGCCGAGCGAGGACAGCGCCTGGCAGGGGAGAAGCAGTAGGTCAAGAGCAAGCCTGCAACCGGTCAGGTGGCTAGACGGAGCGTACGTCAACAAGGACTGCCTTGCCTTAGGATATTAGTGGGCCTAGGAGAAACAACTCAACAGACTGCGGTTGCAGTTGCACGTCTCCCGCATAGATAACGACACCGGTACCCCACCTGGCTCATCGCCTCCAACGAACGCCGTTCGCTGGCCGCTTGCTCCATGGCCGCCCGCGCCGCTGCCTGCTGCGCCTCGGCCTCTGAAAGCAGTTGCTGCACGCGGGTCTGGTCGGAGGCCACTCGCTGAGCCTCACGCTCGCGCTCCGCCGCAGCGTCCTCGCGCTCCTTAGCAGCCTACAGAGGGACCGAGCAGGCCGAGGAGGTGGGCACAGAGATACGCGCCGAACCGGTACAGCGTACTGGTTGCCCATGTTGGCTCAGCAACATTCAATGTGAAGGGTCGCTTTGACAGGGCAGCATGGGCGCAACCACGACCTACCTGGATTGCCTTGGCCAGCTCGTCAGTCTTGGCGTTGATGTCGCGGCTAGCTGCGTTGACTCGTTCCTCCAGCTCTCGTGCGCGTCGCTCCCGTGTCTCAGCAAGGGCCTGAAAGAAGGGAAAAGTTCATAAACAAGAAAGCTCGCGTCCAATGGATGCATTCAGTATGTAAGCGTCACCCTCATGCACCGCCATTACGCAAAAGCTAACCAACTGAGGAGCCCCCGCCCTTGGCGGCATCTAGTACCTGCACATGTTGTGCCTCTTCACGCGCCACCTCAGCTTCTCGCTGCATTCGTCTCGATTCGGTCATGAGCCGCTCGTGATCAGCCCTCTCCGTAGCCATCGCCTGCATGCACGTAACGGTATGACCGGTAGCGCAATGCATTGCGAAGCAAGATCCATTTACTGGGCTGTGCAGAACGGTTTGCATTCAGGAGGGGTTAACCTAGCTACTGGGGAGCCTACCCTACCTTCCGGTCCTGCGCCAGCCTGTCGCGCTGCTCCGCCAAGTTCTGTAGCTTCTGATCCACGTCTGCTTGCTGCAGCCGGAGGGATGCCTCCAGGCTACGAAGCGACACCTCCTTCTCACCCAGGTCCTGCACACGGTAAAGGGACGCAGCCGCACAGTGGGAGGTGTACCACATAAACATGGAGCGTTTTACACACATGCGTATGGGTTACTATTAAAGCCGGGAGGATGGCATGTCATGCAGACAGTGGCACAACTTGAGGGCACATAACCGGTCATGGTGACAGCTCTGCAGGCAGAGTGCTGACACGTACCCGTGCCATTCGTTGCTCTTGTCCAGTCATGTCCTGGGCCCGCCGCTCCAACGACCGACTGTTGTTCTGCGCAGCCACGGAAAACGGGATGGGACAGTGTCAGCACATGCACGACTCGATCAGCCTGCCGTCCGTTGAACAGCCCATTGTACCCCAATGTACCTTTCTCCTCCCCAGTTCCTCACCTGCACCTCCTGCTCGCGCATGTCTAGCGCCATCATGCGACGCTGGTACTCCATCTCCAGGCCTGACCGCTGCTGCTCCAGGTCAGCCTGCAACAGCAAGGCCAGGCGGAAATACAGCCAACCCATGACATGAAGACCCGCCAGACTTGACCCACGAGCGAAGGCATGCACGGGATGGTATCGCCGGCTTCGCTCTCACGCACAGTCACATGCATACAGCAACGATCTAGCCACCTGGCAGGCCATTACGGTGAATGGTAACCACTGGTTTCTGCGGCACGGCAGCTGCAGCAGCCGGAGCTGTGAGAGTGAAAGCTCCCGGTTGCTGTTTGCGCACCTGGCGGCGCTCCAGCTGGGCCTGACGCTCAAGCAGTGCGGCCTCACGTTCCTGCGGGCGCCACCGTCCCCGGGTTTTGACGTCAGAGCACGAGGTGCATGACCATCAAGGGTCACATGGGCCAATTTCCCAAGCAGCAAGCTAGCGTTAAGCCTTGAAATGGTTGGCCTCTCCTTATGCTGGTCCCAGTCCAACCCACCCGCAGGCTTTGCTGTACTTCTGCTGCCATGTTGCGTTTGGCTTCCTCCAGCGCTGCCTGCTGGGAGACCAACTCCGCCTGGGCTGCCTGTAAGGGTGCAGCGATGCACCGTCGGGCAGGGCTTGCTTAATGTTGTGGCATTACCTTCAGCATGACCGTGAAGCGAGGTCTAGTGGCTACTCGGAAACAACTATATGCTGGAAGGAGGCGCGGAGCGGCGTACTGGTCATGTCACGGCGCATTCGTAGGAAGGCATATACCATGAGGCATATGGCCGCGTTTACCTGCAATTTGGCCCTGTCAGCTGCCAGCGTCGCAGTTTCGCGCTTCGCCTTTTGCAGCTCTTCATTCAGCTCGGAACGCAGCGCAGTGACCTCGCGCTCCCTGGACAGGAGCTCCTCACCCAGCACCTGAAGCCTGGGGTAGCGGGCATGCATGCATGTGTTCGGAAGCGGGGCATGTCAGGGGCCACTTGCATGAGAGGGATGTGCAGCGTATGCAAACGCTGATGCTGCTAGTTAGCATCCAGCCTCCGCCGCATGCCGCCCAACCTGCGCTCGTCGGCGTCGACCCGGGCCTTGCCGTGGTTGATGGCAGTGGTCTGCTCGGCGATCCACTCCTCCACCTCCTTGGCTCGCGCCTCCTGCAATGCGGTAGCATTCCAGCCAGGCATGCAGCGTCGGCTTAACAGCACGGATGCTAAGCGGGTCCTGGGCTAAGTCATGAACCGTGGTGCTGCATTTGTAAGCCATGTACCATGCAGTGCCGCACCTGCTTCTGGCTCAGCTGCTCAATCTCAACACGGGTTCGCTCGGCCTCCAGCCTTGATGCCGTCTGCTGTGCTTGTAGCGCTTCCAGCTCTGCCTGTACTCATGAAATTATAGTTGCAAGACCCTGATCTGAATGTTTGGTATGTATACATGTCTACATCGGTACATGCTGCCATACCTTGTGCTGCTGGTGCCAGGTCTCACGCTCCTGCCCAATGGCGAGCATCAGGCGCTCCTTGTCACGAGCAAGGCCGCTGACCTCCTCCTTAAGGGCCTCATGATCCTGCATGGCGAAGGGGGGGGGCGGAAATTTTGATAACCTTCATTGGATTCAAACACATGCCGTTCATGCCATGTAAACGCATGCTGTGTAGGCAAATCCTGGTCGCCGCGTCACACACGGCAAGTAGCCATGCATGCGGCAACACCTCCCACACCCACCTTTCGCAACAGCCTGAGGTTTGCATGGGTTTCGCTGGCCGCCTGGCTGGCAGCAGCCTCCGTCAGGCGCGCGTCGTCCAGCGCAACAGAGCGCTCAGCCAGCTGGCGCTCCGCTGCTTCAACCTGTACGGCATAGGCACACGGCATAGGGCACATGGTATTAAGTAGGATACAGGGGTTCGCAACGGGCCCAACGGCATGTTGCGTGGGGCGGCATGCACGATTTGGGTTACCTCCAAAGCGGCGCATCTGGTAAAGCCACACACCCACCTGCTTTTCGACTTCCTCAAGCCGTTCCTCCTTCTGCTCCCGAGTCTTTTGGAGCTGTGCAACCTCGGACATGAGCACAGAAACCTGCATTGCGCCAAGGATATGCTTACTGGACAACAAACACAGCCCATGAGGCATGGTCCAGTAGTGGGGCCAACGCACAACGCATGCGCGTTCAAAGCCAAGACGCAAATTGAGCGTGCACCATAACCCCACGCTATCGTGTTACGTACCTGCGCCTGCAGGCCCTCCATTTCAGCCATCATGGTCCGACGCTGCTGCTCGTGGGCGGCCTGGCGGGCCGCGCTCTCCTCTTCAGCCTCCCGCAGGTCTGCCGCTAGCTTCTGCTCCCGCAGCGTGACGGTGGCGTCCCGCTCCTGGGTACACACGGGTACAACTCTGGGGGTGGTTACCTTGACTCGCGCTAGCAGTGTCGCATTGTACCTCCCACACAGCAGCAGAAGACGTGCTTCCCTCACCCCTGCCCGTACCCACATGCAGCTCAAGCGAGATCTTCTGCCGCCGCTCTTCCAGGGCTGCAGCCTCCTCGTCTAGTCGACGCCTTGCCTCGCCCCGGTCCTCCTCCCATTCCCGGACTTTGGCCGCGAGACGCGCAGCTCGCTCCTTGTACGCCTCCCGCAGCGCCTCCGCCTCCTTGTTCGCCTGCGGCATGATGCAGGCGAGGCCGGAAGACGCTGTTGGTAGCTGGGCGGTTTGGCATGGACGGTACAGCCCCGGCCGGTACAAGCCGCATGTGGCTTTGGGTACATCACAGCATGCAGCTGCTCAAAGCAGCGTTGGCAAGCCCCTCATTCCTCCAGTCTAACACAAAGCATGGGTTGCTGGCTTCAACTGCGGTCTAATACGCTTCATGCCATGTAGTACCACCGTACCAGCAGCACCCCACCTGCTGTGCCGCTTGTTCCAGCCTAACCAAAGCCGCTTCGCGCGCAGTCAGCTCGTTCTCATGCTGATGCAGCGCCTCCTCCTTCATGCTGAACCGCTGTGCCATCTCCTCGATGCTCCGCACCGCCTCCTCACGTTGCTTCAACTCGTAGTCTCGCTGCGCCAGCTGCAAGGGTAAAGAAGGCAAGCCGGGGCCGGTGTCCCTTTGGCGTTAATTGTTAACTCAAGTTAGACAATAAACCCCAGAAGGCACCGTGTTTCCCTTACATCTGTCGCAATAGCGTCACCACAACGCACCTCCTCCTCTGCTCGGCTGATCTTTGCGCGCATGTCGTCCTCCTTACGGGCCAGGGCCTGCATCTCCATCTCCGCCAGCTGCATCCGCTCATTCGCGTTTGCCGTCGCAGCTGCTATAGCTGCCCGCTCCCGCTGCAGCAGCTCCAGCGCGCGCTGCTGCTCACTGCGCAGTACCTCCACGCGCACAGAGCTCTGCAGGCTCACCTACAAGGGTTGTGGATAGGTGGACAGTCAATCCATGCGCTTGCTCTCCATAGTGTAAGGCGTACCACATGCACGCCTAGGGAAAGGAGGTGTGACCCAGATCAACTGCAAGAGGGAGCCTGACAGCCGCCTTGCATGCGCCATTCCGCACCTTTTTGCGCTCGAGTTCCAGGGCGTCGGAATCGAGCTGGTGCAGCGGGAAGCTGTAGAGGCGAATGAGGGCGGGGGGTGTAAGAGGCCGTGCAAAACTGCTGGGCACTGCGTTCAGGGACCTTTAACACTAGCTTGTGTACCGGTACTTCTTGACTAAAACATACCTCGCTAACGGACTATTAAGCATCGCTGTCACTTAGGGTGGTCCTGCCCCATGGATTGTGATTCCATCCCACCTGGACGGAGCTCGAGCTTCGGCACGAGCTGGTCCATGGTCCCGCAGCATTCCTGATACCGCATCCTCCGGGGCCATGGCTTTATCTTCGGCATCCTTAAAGGTAACACGTCGCCTAGATTGGACGTCCCTTACAAGCAGGTCCGGTGTCTCGCGTTGATTTACAGCCTGTTTGGCAAGATAACTGGAAAGAGCTTTGGTGGCTGACCCTGCCCCAGCTGAGGTACTTATTGAATGGGCCTTCTTGGGACTATCAGCAAGAGCTGTAATATCTGAATAAAGTTCCTGGTCTAATAGGGATGGAAAGGGTCGAGCTGTTGATTTGGACATCGGCTAAAATAAAGTTAGCATAAGGTTTTGGGGAATGACTCCCGACCGTGTATAATCTACAGTTATAGAATTTCACGAACTAGCACAAAGCGCTGACCCGGTCAGACCACAATGGGCAGTGTGGGTTCTAGGCGCTAGACTGCTTACATGGCGTGGTCAGGACTGGGCCGGATACGATATGACATTGATTCACGTCCGTTCCCAAAGCGCTGGACAACGCAGATGATTTGCTTGTACGGCAGTTATGCGCCCTGGATCCAAGCGGTTGGACGAGGCAAGTCGCTTCAACTTGCAGGGATTAAGAAGTGGACGTCCTGCCTATGCAGTTTGCGCTGTACCAGACTTTGCTATATTTACAAACGACAGATGGTACCGCTGGTGGTATGCTTCCTCGATGAGCACATCCTCAGAGCGGAAAGTCACGAGCGCCATGCGTGCTACTGATACGTTGTGTTACAGTCGCTGGAAGCTGCTCTATTTCGTCCACGAGAGGGCTATGCTGTTGCACAGGGCTGATAGCAACCTCGATTATGCTGGACACAGGCCCGTGAATCGCAGCATCAACTGGTAAGCAGCTCAGCGCGGTTCAGGAAACTTGAATTTAGCAACAGGCCAACATGTACGGAGACGTGAAAAATCCAACCGATTGGACCGAGGTGAACAACCACACAGCCCCCGAGGTTGCGTGCAAACATGCGTGGGGCATTCAAGATCTCACATCCATGTAGACGCAAGCTTCTAGGACGGGCAACTATCCTAACGCCCAACCTTGTAACCACAGGTACCGGTACACAGGGCAACCTACAGACATCAGCCGACTGCACGCTCCAGTGTTTGAATCGAACTCACAACAGTTCAATCCGGGAAACCTACGACGCTAAGAGCGGCCTTTCTCGCGTGCAGCAAGTGACTGGACTCCTCATGGCAGACAACTTATGTGGCCGTGGCATTGCGGACGTCTGCGCGGCCAACACCACCCTAGCCGTCGTCAACTCAATCAACTCGCGGTTTACAGCAACCCTCCGCATTTCTTTTGGACTGGCTTGCCGGCCTCGTCCCGCCAGGCACAGCTGCTGCTGCTCCCGCCCTGCCCTTCTGACTGATGGCCGACAACGCCCCCTCCTGCATGCCCCCACAAGTTGACAAATCGCCGCCGCGTCCGGAGGTCTGTGGCGGCGGACACCAGCATGCCGCACAGCGCGTTGCCCGCAGCGAAGGCAAGCGCAGGGCGCCAGCGACCCCAGGAGCACTGGCGTGAGAGCAGCAGCAGCGGGAGCGTGGTAACCGCCGTTACCCAGACTTGCAGCCGCGGCGACAGCTGCGAATGCGCGGGTGAGAAAGCAAACGACAGAGGGCTTTGCAGCTATCGTTTGAAACGGACAAAGCTCCGGCTAGTGGAATGTCCCCACCCCTGTACTCTTGCTCATCCCAAACTCTCGGCTAGAGTCGAGGCCTACTCAACGGTACGCTTGATTTGTGCACTAAAACCCTGGACCCTGTCCCCTTATCCCACCCCCTTTCACACCTGCATGGTCACCGGCTCCCAGAAGCTGTGGTGGATCCACAACATGCCGTACCGCCGGCACGCGGTCAACCAGGCGTCCGGCACCGGCAGCAGCGTGCCGCTGGGGGAGACAGCGGGCCAGGTAATGAGGCCCAGAGCGGCTGCGTCCAGGCAGCCCCTCAGCAGAAGGACCAGGTTGCGGCGCCTGCGATACCAAGGTGTGCGCGCAAAGCAAGTGTGCAAACGCAAAACCAGCCGGGACGCTTCACGCGTATGGCAGGCCTGGGAGAAGCCGATCGGGGAATGTGTTAGCAGCATACGGACAACAAAGCCACCGCCAGCTCTGCGCTGAAAGATTAACGCCCTACCGCATGTGCCACCGTAACAAAGCCGTACAAGCTCTTCCTGATCAGGGTAAAGGCTTGTGATAGTCCGACACGCACGCCTCAGCTCACCTGGCGCTCCTTGCCATTCCCTTCCCAAACAGCGCCAGCCCCAGCAGCACCACGCTAGGCGCCAAGTAGACAACCTGGGAGACCAGCTGCAGCCGCCCCCAGCCGTCCTGGTGGCTGCTGCAGGAGCCATCATGCGCCCCTTGGGCCCCAACACAGCAGGCGCTAGCATCGGCTTCACGTAGGGCACGTAGCGTGGTTGAGACGCGCAGACCAACCTCCATCAGCAGTGCTGCTCGGTCAATCCAGCAGCATTGCGCCGCTTTGAAGGCCTGGTAGGATCGCTCCAGGGCGGGCGGGGAGAAGCCCAGCAGCAGCGCGTGGAGCCACCAGACCAGCAGGGACCGGCGAGAGGCGTCAGGGCGGGGAGGGCGGGCAGTGCTGGTAGCAGGAGCCGGGCCGGTTGCGGTAGCTGTGGACGGTAAGCCGCCGTTGCCGCTGGTGGTGGAAACGCCGCCGCTGTCGTCGCATACGGTGCCAAGCGGGGCTGCGACATGCCGCTTGTCTGCATCGCCGCCGCCCTTCGCAGCGTCCTTGCCGCATGCCGCTGCCGCTTCTGTGGTCACAGCCGCAGGCTCGGCCCCGTGCAGCACAGAAGCACCAACCGCGCCACTGTCACACTCTTTGCCGCTGTTTCCATTCATTCCTACGTAACGCGGCACAGCTGGCAAAGCATCCTTGTCGCCCTCCTCCTCAGCTACTGCCTCCCACACATGTCTCGTGGCCGCCAGCCGCACCTGCTGGCTCTCATTGCGCTCCGCTTCCACCTGCCCCAGCTGCCATACCACCCCATGCAGCCACTCGCCGCCTCCCTCTCCGCCTTCCTCGGCCGCAGCCGCCAGCTCCGGGACCACATCCCGCACCTCCACACCCGCACTGCCCAGCGCCCGAAGACCCTCCAGCAGGCAGGCGAACATACGCTGACGGGTGAGGAAGTGCAGGACGTTTTCATTGGAGCTCCATGGGTCAAATGTCGGCGCCGCGTCCTCATGCGCCTCGTACGGCAAATGCAGCATGAGATCCAAATCGTACGCAAGACTGTTCAGGCCATTGTACTGAATGGCCTCAGCGGTAGCGGCTAGGCCGCTCGTGCTGCCTGCAGCCCTAGCAGACGTTGAGACGCCGCCTGGCCCCGATAGAACGGCGGGCGTCAAGAAGGGAGAACCAAAGTCGTGTTCCGCAAACTCGTACGGCAGGCTCGCCCACCGCCCCTCCGCCCGCATACCCGCATCCCCTGCCGCTAGCATCCCCTCCAGCTGCCGTACCGTGTCGCCCCCGAGCACACTGCCGTACAGCTGCCGTACCTCCTGGGCTGCGGCGGAGGGCAGCACCAGCAGCGGCAGGGTGGCCAGCGGCGCCGTCGCAGCCGCTGAGGCCGCCGCGTCAGGCCCAGGCTGCTGCTGCTGTGGGTCCGGCGGCGGCGCAGTGTTGCGCGGCGGCAGCAGGTGCAGAGTCAGGGCTCCGGGGGTGCGCAGGGCGGCGGGGGGAAGGGACAGCCTGCGGCAGGTTGGCGTAAGTGCTTAAAGGCATGCATTGGCATCGTGCCTAAGCGAGATGTTCTAAGGATGCACTCCGCGTAATGTTATGGCTAGCGTAGGGCCTGCGATTGCAAGTCATGCTGCAATCTCAGGGTTCTGCTCCCTCTGCTACAGGGCCCTCCTTGTTCCACGTCTCGGCTTAGATGGAGCACGCACCCTTCCACCCACCTTAGCGCCCCAAATGCCTCCTCTCCTCCACCTGCTGCCCCGGCCACTGGCTCCACCTCCACCTCCTCATCCATATGCACCACCGCCCCATGCAGCCCTGCTCCTCCTGCCGCGCCCATGCGCCCAGCCACCACACAGCGCACGGAGGCAAGCCCGCGCAGCGACCGAGAGGGTACAAGAACCAGCACCTGCACCTCAAGTTCCTCCTCATCCTCCTCCTCGTCAGCAACCACTGTTGCGCCATGGGCGTTACCCGTGCTTGAGGCCGCGTCCTTCTTCGTCTTCAGCGTCGAAACCGGCGGCCAAGTAAAGGCGCTAGGTGCATCGCTGCCGTCTGCGCCGCCGCCTGCCTCCTGCTCTGGCGTGTTAGAGGAGCTCTGCGACACCTGCAGGAGCTCTTGTACGGCACTGAACACTGCTGAGTCATTAAAGCTGCTGTCGTACGACACCGCGTCCACTCTCATATGCCGTACAGTGCATGCGCTGCCGCCGCTTTGGGTGGCGGTGGCGGTGATGTTGCGGCTGCGGCTGTTGCGGCTGCTGATGGCGTCCTTGTGGTCATCATCAGTGTCCCCTACCAACAGAGAGTGCACAACCATCAGCAGCTGCACGCAGCCCTGCACGCATATAACCGAGGACAGCCGCAACAGCGAGCCCTGTCCAGCGCCCACCGCGGCCACGGCGGAGGCATTGTTTCCACCGCCGCCGCTGCTGTCTCTGTCACCACCGGCGACCTCAGAGGCCTGGCCTCTGGCTCTAGCTGCTGCTGCTGCGGCGGTGTAAGATCGTACGGCCGCAAGGGCTGCGGTGGTGACACGCGGCTTGGCGTCGCTGAAGCTCATCCAGCCCGGCTGCGTGGTGTCGTGTGGCAGGCCCGCCTTGACGCTAATCGTACGGCGCAGATTGCGGGAGCGGTAAAGGGCGTCGGAGGGAGGTCGGGTGCTGCGGGGGGAGCCTGGGCCGCTGGTTTCGAGGATGTACTGTGCGCGTCCGGCTTCACTGATGCAGTGGCGCTGCCTGTTGGCCGGAGGCGACGTCGCAGCTCCCCATGCTGATGCCGCTGCCGTCGTTGGGCTTATTGGTGTTGCTGCCACGCCAGCTCCGTATGCTGCATACTCGGGAGGCGCAAGCTCAGCTCGGTGGTACGACAACTGCTCCGAAATGCAGAAGGGAGAGGGAAGGTAACTGTACGGCGGGCTGCTACAGCTCAAGGCATTGCTGCTGCAGCTGCTGCCGCTATTTAAACGGCTTGATGAGTTGCCGTCAGCAGTGCAACTGCCGCTTACTTCGGTTAGTTGGCCTCTGGTGTTGCAATCACGACCAGCGTGGGCTTGCGATCTGGACACAGTTGAGCTGCAGCTGATACTCTGCACGATACTGTGCCGCCGGTACCTGGCCTGCTCCCATGCTCGTACCACCAGGTACGGCAGTACGGCCATCATGATGAAGAGCAGGGCTGCCTGGGCGGGTGTGAGGTACTGCGGCTGGGAGGTCCCCGGGGGCAGCAGCCGGCGGT